ACAATGTCCAGAAGAACCACTAACATGTGTAGATTCTTGAGCATAGCCGCGACCCATCCATTCGTTATGCACAGCATCCTCGCATTCTCTGCCTCGCATTTGGCGTGGATCTCTCAGTCTACCGAAACCCGAAACCTTGCATTCCATCACGCAAGCCTTGCTCTCAAGGGATTGCACGACGGCATCACCAACTTTACTAAGCACAATTCGGACGCAGTGCTTGCGGCGTCTCTCCTGCTTGCCTGGCAGGCGACAGACTGGTAAGGAAGAGCTGCGCAAATTGGAACAACCAAAGCTAACGTAGTCATACAGGCGAGGCTGGGCTTCTCTGGTCACAGGCACGAAGACCGTCATCCAATCTATGCAGCCCTGGAGGCATGAGTCTCTATTCGCTGACTACATTGCCGAGCACACTCCTATGCCAAACCGACATTTCATGAACCCCATCAGTACTCCAATATCTCCCGAAGCACGAAGAGAGCACATGAACGCCCTGGTCGATATTCACGCCTCCTTGCAACGATTGCAGCCCTACCTCGTCCGTAACGAACAGGAATCGAAATGGGTCGATCAGCTAAAGGGCTATCTCGACCGCCTGAGATCTTCCAGCCAGCCGCAAAGCCCCGAGGAACAATTCAACCAGCTGTACGCATTACGGAAGTGGCTATTCTGGGTTCCCATTTCACTTCTCGCGGCCAAACGGGGGGACGTCAATGTCCTGGTAGTTCTCGCGCACTTTTACGCTACCGCACTAGCCTTGGAGCCGATGTTCCCGGATGTTGCGTCAGTCTTTGTCGCGGATCTTTCCCTTCGTCCATTGGAAGAGATCAACAATCTGGTTCAAGGTTTCCAAGACCCACGATACGATTCACGGCTGCAGACCATGTCGTATCTAGTGCAGTTCCCAATTGATATGGTTTCTTCGTACAAGACTAGGCGGGAATGGTCACGGCAGCAAATGTCGTCCATCTCTCCGATGCAGCAGCAATCTGCATACGCACTGGAGAGCATCAATCTGGATCTGGAGAACCATATCGCGCAGTACAGCTACGGCCAAAGCCTCTCCCCTGCCTTTGCTCCTTCACCACTTACTTTCCTTCCCTCTGGCATGACTTCTGCACCAACGTCACCGTACCTTGAAGTCCCCCGATCTGGTACTGTCGACGCGTACGGCACAGCTAGCAGCTATGCATCCTCGAGTAGCTACGCGTCTCCGCTGGGGTCGCCTGCAGCACTGCTACCGCCTTATTCGGCCCCACAAGAACATGCATTCGCATTTGGAATGCAATCTGGTTATCCCAGCGGGTTCGTGGCTACACCTATCTGGACGTGAACGAGCGCGCGCTGAACGATCCCCCAGGAACCAAATGACTAGTCCGATGCAGATTGTCGCTTCTCAACCTCATCATCATAGTCCTATGCCTGATGCTGGAAACGCTCAAGGCCAGGCGACCACTGCGGGGTACGTACCGAGCCAGTACAGTCACGCCTGAGAGAGCATCGTCTCGACGGAAATTCAAGGAACCATGCCGACGCAACGAATTATCACATCCGCCCGGCCCGTCCTCGTCGTCTCCACCGTTGCGTGAGATGAACAATTTCCGATCGATTGATCTCTGCCCATCACCAGCCAGAGTCGGACCTATGACATGCCACCACTGGCAAGGTGTTGTGGCTTCCGCCGTAAGCCGTTCATGGACTGGTTGCTCCGGCGCTTCGGCGCAATATCCGGAGAGACGCAAGGTGGACGGAACAGCAAGTGGACATGTTTCGCACTACGATGCAACAGGCACATGCTCCCCTGTTGTGTCAGCCGTAGTTGGACCGGAGTTGGGTACAATGTAGGAAACGGCACATCGAGCTGCGGGACTGGTGCCCGGCGTGCGTGGAGAAGGCTCGTCAGGCTTTCACAGACGCCACATGAACATCGGCAATGAGACAAGGAAAGAAACTGCATTAGGCGGGGAGCTACGGCGACGAGTACTACTTTCTGAGAGAGGGTTTCCTGATTGAGAGGACTCCGCACTTCCCCGACTACAGCGCAAGGATACTTAGGCACCAGCAGATAGCATGCACAGAAGAATTAAGGTTATCCAGTATCGTCCTAGTTTCTCAGCCCTAGTCCTAGTTCCTCCATGTGATGGCCAGGGTCTGCCCTGCATGCTCGCTTGAAGGATGGACAGGTCAGCTACCAATTTTAGCTTTGTTCAACCAATCACAAGTCGCTACCCCACCATCGCTTCCCATTACCAACCCGGCAGCACGGGTTTACGTACAAGCATATTGCCGACGATGGATTACCGTTGCAGCACTCGAGTTCCTCCGTTGCTGCCAGGTCAAAATGCGCACTTTTCTGGGCTGGGTAACCCGGACGGAAAGGGTTTGGGATCGAGACACAACGTGCGCTAAGGTATGACCTACAGGGAGGAACGAGCTTGATGTCATTCCAGTCCGCTGGATCGCTTTTCGCGGGTAGCGGGTTAAGGTTTTGCTGGCCAATCCAGCCACGCGTACGCGCATCACACTGGTCAAAGCAGCGACAGCTGAGCCATTCTTCTTTGGTGTTCGATTGCGAGAGGTCACTGACTTTGCACCGCCACAGAATACCCCGGCTTGGCAGCCTACCAATAGCGAGAACCGGTCAACGTTGGCGATTTAAGGCTGATCTCGAGATCCCGAGGCTACCTACCATGCAGGTTCTTTTAGTTGCGATTGTAATCAGATGGCCCTTCAGGTCGAATGTGAACGAAGGATTGCAGCCACAGGATCCGGATCCATGCAAGCGACGGACGTAATGAGGAAGGTGCAAGCGGTTCAAACGAATCAATGTGGCCTTCTGGCATGTCCTCCGCTTGTCTGCTTCTGTCGCATTACTTGCATCGCAACACTTGCTTGTCAACATGTTGCCTTCGGCTTTCGACTCCCAATGTGGCTCACCGACAGTTCCAGCAGTGTGTCACGTCTTAGCTAATAGCTCACACCAGAGCCTTCATAGTCGAAACTGTCAAGACCATCTCCTCGGCATCTCGGTACTTGGATGTCCAAGCCTGATCCATGGTCTGCCCGAAAGCATCGCTGTGCGACTCACGTGCTACTGGACTTCGCAAAAGCTTTGGTGCTTGACATCCCAGATGGCAGATGCATCTAGGGAGCCCGGCAGGCCTTAGCCGCGTCCCTGGTTTCACTAGCGAAGGCACGAAAGACCAGGGGAGGCGAGTAGAACCACACTTCCAAGAAACGTGCAATGGGAAAAGAATGACCCACAACAAATTTCCGCCGTTCCTGAGGTGCAAACGGCTCCGCTCCCTTGGATCTTTTTGGGCTCCGCTGTCTCCATCGCGCCCTACACGTTTTTTCGACTGGCAGTCGCGTGCACAGGCTATCTATTTGGTGCCGTGGTCCACGGCCTCCGGAGGGAGTTGCGGTGTCATAATGCCGAGACCTCGTCTCGTCTCGAGCCCACAGTAAAATGCTAGACTGTTCACTCATCTGCCAACAAAACGTAAACATCGCATGATTCTTCCCGCCAATGCGGTTCCTCCATTGACCATGAGAGAAAGCTGATCTGGCAATCGCAAAGCCAGTAGCAAATGACTCGAGTCCTTCCACTGTAAAGAGCAAAGCTCACGAACCGGCACGGCACTAACTCACTTGACCGCCATCCGACGAAGATCATCTACCAAAATCATGTCGGCCGAACAGCACGCGAATGCCTGCGCAAAGAAAGCGATCTCTGACGTCCGGAACAGATTTCCGCTAACACTAAACAGGTCATTGATAATTTCTATTTCCGGTAACAAGCGCACATTGGGGCGAGATCCGACGCGTGCGGCCATGGCGGAAGTGCCGTAGAATGGACATGTCGAGCCGAGAGAGACGGTTCACCTAGGCGTCATGATGCCGAATGCTGGAGAAAGATCCGAAAGGCCAACGACATGATCCACACATAAGGGGTGGCTGAACAAGTGCCATTTGGCACGGACTCATCAGCGACTTAATGCGCTCGCTCGTGGCGGCGACATATTTGTTTTTAGTCGGTGAAGCTTGATCCGATGGTTCTGGAGCCCTTCTGGCGCACACGCTTCGCACGTTCTGGCGCCGGCTCTGAAGATGGGCGAAGCCAAACCTGGGCGAACCGACCAACTAACGGAGATCTCAACACCAACCACTCGGAGAATACTCCTATGTTCAACTCGCCGGCCTCTGCCTGAACTAACTTAGTTCTGACTTGACATCTCACCACATCATCGTCACACTATCACAACTCTCCTTTACCATCCTTTCCTCCGACACCTCCGATCACACTCTAGGTTGGAAGCTAAGCCCCACCTTCCAAACCCCCATTTCATTCCAACCCACGCCATCCTAAGACCAATTCGGCGCGGCGACAATTCACCCGACAACCGGTCTACTGCCATGTAACTGCTACTATTAACCGTCAAATGTCACTGTTGCAAGGTGATCAGCAACATCAGCACAACACTGGCCCCTATCATGACCAAGATCGACAAATGAGCGAAGGAGCGAAGGCACGAAGTTACGATCCTCTGCAACGCGTGGCTTCCTAGATGTGAAACATAGTCTGAAAGATCGTCCCAGAGATTTTTTTTCGCTCATGCAGAACGTGAAAGCTAAGATCCGTTCGTACATCGAACATCCAACAAAGATAAGCATTGGAAATAGTGGGAAAATGTGGATTGCGTGGATGCATGCGTGGATGTAAGACCGAGAAAGAGAGCGAACGAAGACCGTCGTGGCTGGTGATGCGGTAGTTCCAACCGACGCCCTTACTACTCGCACCGCACTCGTTTACCGTCGTGGCAGTCACGCTAATGGGACGTGCCGTGTATACGAGGCTGAAGTACAGTAGTGTGTACAGGTGGGCATGGGCGTTTTTTTATCCCGAGATACGAGGCTGGTGCGGTTGGGGATCCTGGAGTGTTCATTGGGGGAGCGTGGGATGATGGTGACGGTATTGTGGCGTGTCATGTATATGCAGTGGATGTATCTCCGATGTTTCTATCGAAATAAGTTCACTCGGGTACTCTGATACCGCTACATAGACGAACCGATATAGATTGGGTTGGGCGATGATGTCGGAATGTGGAGCAAGTCTGGCGATATGTGCTATACTTCTTTTGACTCTATGGAGAAACTGATGATTGACATCACACAGGCCATTTCTCGGCATCGCCGATGATACGCAAATGCTTCCTGTCTTTCGTTTCTCAGGGGGAGCTTCATTTTCTTTCTTTCTTTCCTTCCTTCTTTGCAAGTGAGGCACTTGGAGAGCTGCCCCCCAAGACTATAGCACTGACTCTCTTGTTCAAGTAGCCCAGCTCCAAGCATCCCACTCCTCCTGCCAGATTACCGGCTCTAGAGCCCCCTCAAAACTCAACACCTGACCTAAGGCACACTCTTCAAAAGTGACCTGATGCTGCTTCTCCAGATAAAAGACATCGTACCTCCCCTCCATTGCATCGCCCAAGCTCTTCACATCACCTCCTGGATGTAATTTCTCCCAGGGCCTCGTACAAACACGGCCCTTGCAACGCTTGAGCGTAAGCAACAAAGCATTGAGTCTCGACGTGACCTTATTTATAGACCACCCGTTTATGGCTGTGCTGTTCGTGTTGTAAAGATTTTCGAGCTGATAAGGATCGTTCTGGCATGTCGTTAGTCACTGCTCAATTTGGCCGTGAAGGATAAAGGGTAGCAGAAAGATGGTACATACCGTCATATCGTATAGTTCATGTTCATTAGTGCACCACACAGTATACGCCAAGTCGTACTCCTCTCCCACCACCCTTACAGTCTTATACGTATTGTTCAACAAAGAGCTCTGCCCGAAGAAGGTATTTCCTTCAACTAGGTAATTACCCCAGAATTCAATGTTGATATGTTCGCTTTTCTCGTTCCGCGCAAGCAGCTCTTCAGTGACAGGAATAGGTTCCCCGTCGAAGTCTTCTCGCAAAGGTATACCAGCTAGATGAAATAGCGTAGGGACGATATCAGTGTGGCTAGAAGGAATAGTTTGGACAGCGCCTTTTGCGATACCAGGACCGCGGATGAAGAAGGGTATGTTGACATCTTCCTCAATGCCGCAGCTTTTTCCAGGCGGGAGGCGGTGCTGAGAGATGTGGAAGCCGTTGTCTGTTGTGTAAATCAAGTAAGTATTTTCAAGAACCTCTGGGGTTGCCTCCAGACGTGCAACGATGGAATCGATGAGCTCGTCCACCGATTGCAGAGATTGTAGACGCTTTCGGTACCAATCATCGTTGTAGTCTATCTCGGATTGGTTGAGTTGGCGGAGGGTCTTGAAGTAGGATGCTGTTCCTGGCTGGAACGTAAATGTGAGATGACGAATGAAATGAGCTGGTGGAAGTAACTTACTTTGTCTGGATTGAAGTTGGGTGTTCGAGGTATCGTGACGTTCTGAAAGAGATGCTCATGTCTCTTTGCAGGAACTGGTGGGTTGAACTTGGCAGGCCGTGGGTTGGTGACTGTCTCTGAATGAGGAGCTATAGGCGCTACACCGATGAAGAACGGTCGATCAGATGCGGCAATAGCTTCTTCCAAGAAACCAACTGCAGCATTGGCTACTAGGTCGGTCGAATACTCTCCTGGTAGATTTTTGTAGGGGTCATGGTTACGAGTCATAGTGGAGTTATAGAAGACGTATGTTCCTGGATCAATCAAGACTAGCTGTGTCAGTAATGGGAAGATACCCTTGCCATTTCGAACAGCTTACAGTCGGATCCATTCCAACCACTGGCTCGTGGTGCATCATATGTGGTGATAGAATGACCATTCATAAGCTTGCCAGTGTAATAGGTGTTGTATCCCGCCTCTTGAAGCCATACCGGAAGGTAGTGATCATTGAACCCTTCCTCGATAAACCTAGGATATCCCCCTTTTTGTAGTTAGAGTTTGTTCATAAAGCGGTACACTTATGTCTAACTTACCATAAGGAGCAGAGACGTCCGTGACATTTGTGTTATGGGCAGCTTTTCCTGTTAAGAGGGACACCCGCGATGGACAGCACAATGCCACAGTACAAAAGTGCTTCTTGAACCAGGTACCTTCTTGGGCAAAATGCTTCTGTACCGAAGGCTGGTAGTCGATAGAATTTAGATGCAAGTCCTGATCATCAGTAATGATGAAGATAAAGTTGGGCTTAGCAGAACGGCCCGTAACAGCAGTTAGCCCCAAGGACAGAAATAGTAAAACTTGACTCTTGATCATGGTTACAGATGAAGTTTGAGTTCTCAAGACTCACAAGGCCAAGAAGACTCTGGTTTTGTATACACTCCAACATCGTCATGGCTTGAGTGACCCACGCCCATCGCGCGAAGTTGGAACTTCATTGCGTGCTCGGGAACAGACCAGGGTCAACCATAGATCCACCCACGATGCACACTAATTGCAATATCTACCAATAGAAAGGTAGTGAAAGATATGGGCTTGTCGATTGAGAGGGACATTTTCGCCTACAAGAGAGAATGAGGTGGCAGCGTGACCTCATAGTAGGCGATCAAGACGAACGTGCTTTTGAAGAAATGACTGATGAACTGGAAACTTAGCCGTACCGAGAGGACGTAGAGGACTTTGCTGCAATAAATGCGCTGCAGCGAGAAGTAGTGAACAGGTAGCATTGCAGGTCATGTTCAGATGCTACGAATGAGCTGTGAGTTGACTGCCTGGGCAGTCGCAACCTTGGATAATTGACTATGGTGATAGATGCTCAAAAGTTGACATGTTGATAGAGAGTCGCGGCCAGATCTGAGTATGCCGAGACTTCTTGGTAATACGAGAAGATGCATCTGAATGCTACCAGTTAGAGGGGTAAGATATGTCAAGACATGGGAAGACCTTGTTCACTCATCATGGTGGGGCATCGGAACCGTTCCGAATCGCGGGCCGAGCAGTTGTTCCGGCGGCGCCTTCGATGGCGTAGGTTCAACGCAGCGACAACTCATAGCAAACCACACCGCTCTACCTCTACGCGCAACTATGTCGGGAGGCTGGAATACTATCGAGTCTGATGCTGTGAGTGTACAAGTTCTTTGAGAGAATAGCTTGCTGACTATCCTAGGGTGTGTTTACATACCTCATCGAGAAGCTCGGTGTTAAGGGCGTCGAGTTCGAAGAACTCACCTCTCTCGACGCTACGGCCCTACAAGCCCTCGGTACCCTTTACGGCGTGATCTTTCTGTTCAAATACCCCACGGGCGAGAAACCCAGCGACGTACCGAAAGATGGCACCTACGACCATGAGGCGGCAAACACCCTCTTCTTCCCCGCGCAAACAATACAAAACGCATGCGGTACACAGGCAATAGTCTCGCTTTTGCTGAATCGAGAAGAGGAGGTCGAAATCGGCAAGGAGCTGAAGGAGTTCAAGGAATTCGCTGGTGACTTTCCACCAGAGGTGCGTCAAGTCAGCGAAGCACCAAGATGAAGTAGCTGATAAGGAGAACAGCTACGTGGAGAAACACTCTCAAACTCGGACCTCATCCGCGAAACCCACAACTCGTTTGCGCGATCTTCACCCTTTGTCGACGAAACACAGCGAACGGCCACCGAGGATGACGACGTCTTCCACTTCATCGCGTAAGCCCACCCTTGGTACCCTGGGCAGCTATAAGAGTTGAGCTAATAGGACGAACAAACAGTTACACAAGTATAAACGGCAAACTGTACGAACTTGACGGCCTCCAACCAGCCCCTATCCTCCACGGCGCCTGCACACCTACAGAATTCCCCAGCAAAATAATTCCTGTCCTCCAACGCCGCATTGCCCGTTATCCCGCCACAGAAATCCGCTTCAACCTCATGGCTTGCTGTCGCGACCTGCGTATCCGCGCACGCGAAATCGGCGACGAGGACGAACTCGAAGAGCAGGAGGACAAGCGCGCCAAGTGGCTGTGGGAGAACTCGTTAAGGAGGCATAATTTCGTAGGATTTGTGGGAGAGTTGCTGAAAGGCGTTGTGAGGGCGAAGTTGGACGCGGGTGAAGGCGAGTATGAGTCGTGGGTTGAGGAGGCCAAGGGCAGGAGCAGCAAGAGGAGAGAGGAGCTGAGGAAGCAAGGCATCGCTGAGGATTGAGCTGTTGGAGTGTGGTCATAGTATATGATCGGGAGAGACGAAGAATGGGTTTGTGTATAATGATGTTGCATGGGACAATCTGTTGGATACAAATCTGATAATGATGAAGATCTGTCTACTCAACTACCAGAGTATCCGTAATACCGAGTCATCTTCCAGTTTACTCTGTTCACCTCCATGGTACACATCTACTATCATGGTTACAGATACTCAGGGAAGCGCCCACAAAACTTGTCTCGGAGTCTAAGCACACTTTTCTGTCATGACACAGATGAACGAGAGCAAACATTGTAATGATATCAGATCTTCATTGGTATAGAACTGTCTGCAACCATGCAATTCCCAGATCCAGGGTTTCAACACCATGCCCGCTATGCCTGAATAATGCCGTGAAAAGAAGATTAAGAAAGCCGTTACAACAGTAAAACGAGGGGGATATCTTCGTCGAAATGCGCTACATAACGTCATGAACATGAAACATGATATGGTAGGTGAATGTGGATGCTTGAGGCCGTGAGTGTATGCGTGATAAATTGGAAAGAAAGGAAAGCATGAATGGCCGTCGCTAAGCCGATGTGGCGCAAAAGGCAAGCGAGGCTGGGAAGACTGCCTCCAGAGCGCAGGAGGAAGCTTCGGTTGGTGTTTGGTCGACGACGATGTTGTCTTCCATGGTGGTGGGAGCAGACTCTTCCGCGAGAGGAAGCTCTGCTACAGAGCTGGTAGACACTTCCTCAACCGCCACCTCGTTAAGAATGACCTCAGCCTCAGCTTCAGGTTCAATCTCGGCCTCAGCCTCAGCAACTTCAATTTCCGGGTCCGCAGCAGCAAGAACCGGAATAGCAGTAGGCGTCTGGAACTCAGTGACTGTGAAAGTAGAGTAAGCCGTAGCAGTCATAGTTGCCGTAACAGGATTCGGCATCTGGGCAGCAACCTCGGTAGGTAGCTCGAGCATCTGCGACGACAATGGTGATTGTTGTTGAGCAGCCCGCATACCCATCGCGAGATATGCGACAGCGACAGCCAACAGCAGAATAACGAAATTGCGCTTGTCGCTCAGAAGAAGGATGACATAGTTCTTCATCAGCGTGCTTAGAGGAATCTGATCCGATCGAAGGCGGTGAGAGGCTTCAGCCTCAGCCTTCTCTTGTTCCTTGATAGCAGACTCAAGGGCGCGGAGGCGTTGGGCTACTGCGTCAGATTCGGCGATTGCTTTAGCTTCGAGCTCGAGACGGACAGCTTCTTTCGCTTCGTTGAGTTTGGCCTGAAGATCTTCTTCAAACTTCTTCTTTTCGGCCGCCTTCTCCTCGATACTTTTTTGTAGAGCAGCGGCGGCCTCCTCGAAGGATTTTTGTAGTTCGGCTTCTTCTTTACGCTTCTTCTCGTTGGCTTCCTCTTCCAGAATCTTTGTTTTGGCTGCGGCTTCTTGAATTTGACGTTGGAGTTCCACGGTGTATAGCTGCTTGCGCTTGTCTGCTTCTTGCTCTTCTTGAGCCCGGCGCTCTAGGGTCTTGCGGACTTCTTCGGGGATCCAGGGGTGTATCTCGACATCGCATCTCTCCATGTCATTCCAGCATGCTTGCCATGCGGCAGATCGCATCAGACCGTTGGCGGCGTAGATCTTGATGTCCCATTTCCGTGTACCTGCACCGATACCCTTGCCAGGCTTCTTGAGTTCACGGTGGCAGTCTATGCACATGCTGTGGTCACCGTTGGCCGAAGTGTTGCTTCCTTCGGTCAAGGTGCCTCCACTCATACGACTGCCCCGGCCAGTGTTCTCATCGCCGACGCTGGCGACATCGTCTTCGTCTTCCCGGTCGTCCTCGTCCTCAGGTGGTACAAAGTGACCGCACGGAAGCAGTCGGGGTGTCTTCAGCTCCAAGCTCTCCAGGATGCGTTCCTCAAGCAGGTCGTATTCATCCCGAGGATGCGGGATGAGAAGCCCACGTCGCATCAGAATAATATCCTGTAGCTTCTCCTCCAACAGCTTGTAGTTTTCCACTAGCCAATCCGGCATGATCCTAGCCATGATGTCGTGCGAGTATGGTACCTGCATGGGCAGAATGGTGACATGCAACAAGACAAGCGGTGCCTGTTGCGGTGTGGGGGTGGGTCTCGGACTGTGAGGCTCCCGTATGCTCCTTCTCCGTGACCCAGTAGACTGTCTTGTTACATCGGATTCGGACCTTCCGCTTCTGCTGGGTGTAGCCAGCTTGAAGGATCCCTTCAACCGTTCCTGTGAGGTTTGATGTGCGAGCATTGGTGGAGGCGACGACATCTGCATAGCGCGAACAGACTCTGTGTTCCGGAAGCGCGGGCGTTCCTTTCGGGCTCGCGCACCAGCTTCGTTGGCAGGCAAGGCAGGCTTGGAAGCTATCGAGGATTCTGACGGAATAGCCGAGACGAAGCTGTAATTTGACATCATTCGTTGTTGTGATCCGGGGCGTGATGTGTATGAGCTGCGGTAGGGCTGTGGTTCGTCGTCGGGCTCCTGTTGCTGCAGCTCAATGCTATGTACAAGGTCGTGGGCCATTGGGAACGAGCGTTCGGAGTGGTACGAGTCACTGCCCTCGAAGAGTTCCGAGGGTGACATGGGTTCGCGATCCTGTGGGTCTTCGTAGATGGCGAATGAGGTAAGGCCCGGCTGCGGTGAGGGGTGGTGCATAGTAGTAGTCATGTCGGACCTTCTTGTCGCTCTGTGCAACAATTCTTACAAACAGGTGTAACTCAAGGTCGTGAATGAACAATGGTGGACTGGGTAGAAATCAAGTTCAGGGATCCCATCATCTGAAATTCATCGAGAGCCGAGGCGGCACCCGGTGGGGGGTTGGACGAGAGGTGGTTGGGATGGCTAGTGCGTGCGTTGTCGACGTGTCAAAAGCGTGCTGGCGTTTGTTTACCACACCGACACTTTAGCGCGGCACGGTTGTTGGGAGTAGCCGCAAAAGGTACAATAACGGTGGCTAGTCCTCTCCAGCCCCATACTTTCTGCACACCGCGAACGCTTCAATTGTTAAAGCGCACGGAAAATCGTTGACGCGCTGGATTTCTATCGGTGCAGCCCCCGGCAGTGTTCCCGCTTGTATGTCTCCGTTAGTATTCTTCGCCTTTGATAGGATCTGGGTCCTTCTTCATGCAAGTGCAGCCTCATTCTGCAACATGTAACATGACTACTCAAAGATAACCAAACCCCCACCAGACGAGAAACCATCGCAGGCGCGCATAGCGACAAGCGAAAGTGAGCAGCAGTCAAACCTCGAGCTATTGAACCGACTACTTCATCCACCAAGTAGAAAACAAATGTAGCTCCAAAGTCAAACTTAGCGTACCATGGTCTACAACAAACCTCACGATGCACAGCAATTTTGTCCAAGTTTCGCCAGACGCTTCTTGTCCACGTATCGCTCTGTGGGGCACTACCCCTCTCGTTCGACTCATTCATCACACGCACACGAACAAAGACGTGAATATTCCACCACCACAGTAGCCAGCACACCCTGCATCGGCTCACACTTCCGTACAAGGCATACTCCGCACCTTACATGATGAGATCCATCGTGAAGCCCTTGTTCGGTGAATCTTGAAACAAATTGCAGCATCATATGTTTTCTTCTGGACTAGACATATGCGGGAGAAGACTAGGCTCGATGCCAGCTCCATATGCATCACGAGTCGATTTGACTTGCATAACAGATGTTTGCAAGTGCTCAGCTCGTAGAGTACTATGACAAGCAGACTGAAGATCAATCAGAAAAAGAAGGTGAACCTCTAGCACTGAATACGTTTGCATCATTTACATTGTCATCCAAGTGAATCTAACAACCTCGATCTAACGCTAGACTTTCCTCATCATTGGTCTGCTTCTCGTCTACAACTCATCCGGTCCACCCTCTCTCCCCTCCTTCTTCTCCGCATTCTCAGCGTAGATGCCCGCCTTCCTCAATGCTTCCTCAATCTCCTGCTGACTGGGCGCTTCACCCCCATGCGCCTGATGTTTGATGTCTCCATTCTCCATGTCCTCGACCTGCTGTTGAGAGTCCGGGTGAGGATGTTCTGCCGCAGCAGGCTTCTCGGTTTCCTTGGTTGCCTTCTTAGTCTTGGTGGCCGATTTCTTGGCCTTGGACTTTGTCGCCTTGGCCTTCGTAGTCTTCGACTTGGAAGATTGCGTCGGAGGCTTGAAGTGCTTCATTTTCTTCATCATCATGTCCATGACGACGTCATCTAGCTTCTTCTTCTCAGCAAGAATGTCCTTGACGGTAAAAGCCGGATCGTCGGTGGGTGTGAGTTTGCTCTGCTTAGCCTCATTCTCGTCAAGCCATGCTTGTGCTTTTGAGGCGTAGTCCTGGACAGTCTTTAGGTCGTCTTCCGTGTAAACAGTAGGAACTTCAGTGATTTCAGGTGCGGCGGGTGCATCTGCTTCGTCGTCAAGCTCGTCCATAGGGTCGGTAGATGGCGAGGCGGCAGCGTCAGCAGAAGCCTTAGATACTGCTTCACTGCTCTTGGAGCTCTCGGCTGATTGCGTCTTGATCTGGCCATCCACTAGCTGCTCGACTTCCTTGATGTGAGCGATGGTATCCTTGAGTTCTTTGATGGCGTCAGGACGCTTGGAAGCTTCGTCTTTGCGCTTGAGAACGGGGTTGACAATGTCCTCAAGCTCCTTTAACTTGCTTCTGAGAGTCTTCTCATCTGCATCTGCTCCGCCAGAGTACATCCACTCTGAAGCGGCTTCGAGCGTCGTCTCGAGTGTCGAGCGGACAGCAGAGGTGGAAGCACCGATGAACGACTCATCCTCAATGTAATCACGGGCACGGTAAGTGAAGGCTTCAAGCGAGTTCAAGACCTCTTCGCGAACGCGGCGAGACTTGTCTGACGAATCGAAAGCAGCGAGCCTATTCAAAATTAGCATGTGAAGAAGTCGAGCACCGTCCACGGACTCACCTGTCTTGCATCCTCTTCAGCTCCTTACGAGGGAACTTCTTGTATCCTAGCTGCTCAACATCGTATGTAATTGCCGATCGAATGGTCTTAATCTTCTTCTCGCCAGCCTTCGCAGCATCAGTGCTCTCGGTACCCGCCGAAGACGAAGACGAAGAAGATTTCGAAGACGACTTGGAAGCGGACGAAGAAGACGAGCTCTCACTCTCCTTTAACGGCTCCTGGTCCTTCTTGCCACCCATTCCAAACAGGTTCTTGACGCCATCAACAATCCCGCCCTTGACCTCCTCGCTCTCAGTCTCGCAGGTAACCCACGCGGACAAGACTTCAGGAGTACCGGTAACAGGGCTAAGCCTGACTTGTACGTAGTTGTTAAAGGAATCACGGTCGCACTTGTCGTCGTTGATCATGTTTGTAACAACCTGAGTCAGGTTGCCGCTCTGGAAGTGAAGAGTGGGCTCCTTTGACACCTCGCCGTTAGCACCAGGGATGGCCTGGTACATGGTGAACTCAAACTCGCCCATCATCTGGAATGGCAGATCCTTGGTCGCTCCAAGCTTGGTGCTGGGGGTGAAGATCTTCTGGTCGCGGTCCTTCATGTTAAACATGTACTGGTAACCGTGGTTGTAGCCCTGGGTATCCGAGTCACGAATCTCCTTGACGCGGAAAGACGGGCTGAGACCAGCGGCCTTGAAAGCAGCACCGAATACGGCGGCCTCGTCGGCGTTGACATTCGCCCTGATCTTACTCTTGCCTGCGACAGCCTCGAGACGAGCCTGGACGAAAGGTGTACGGCTTGCGCCACCGTGAACGATAACGGAGTCGATGTCAGCGAATGTGAGTCCAGCAGCTTCTAGAGCCTTGTTGATGGGTCCATCGATGCGTTGGGCATAGGTAGCGGCAAGCTCCTCGAACCTAGCGCGAGGGAGTTTGTATCGGAAGTCAACATCCTCGTAGAAGCTCTCGAAAAAGGATGTGGTCTCCTTGTTGGCGCTGAGCATCTGACGAACCCTCTCAGCCTCCTTGAAGAGCTTCGCAGCGGTACGTCCATGGGTCTTGACCTTGTCGGCGGTGAAAGAAGCGCTCTTGGCAGCAGGCAGCTCAACGAAAGTAGCCACCATATCGTCGACAATGAGCGAATTGAGCGCATCACCTCCAAGAGTCCTGTCCCATCCAGTGCCCATAACCTGAACCTCCTGGATAGTCTTGTTGCGCCTTCCAACGTCCTTGACAGTCCTGCCTTGGAACTTGAGAATAGTAGCAGACAAAGATCCAGCACCCATATCGAAGACCAGGTTGATCTCCGGCTTGCCATCCTTTGTGACATCAGGGAATGTCCTGCCTGTAGCGTAGTTGAGACCAACAGCCAGACCATCCGACACGACGCTAAGCACTTTGAGACCAGCCAATCTTGCGGCAATCTCAAGTGCACGCCTCTCATCTACCGTGTAAAAGGCCGGGACGGTAAAGACAACGTCCTGGATATCGTATCCCTTGCCTGCGAGCGCCTTTGCGTTCTCTCTGACGTTCTTTAACTCCATCGCCAATAGTTCCTCGACTGTGTATGATTTATCCTCTGAGAAAACGCCGCTCTGGAAGCTGACCGTCTTGCGACCCTCTGTGCCTGTAACCTCCAACGCGGGGTATCTCTCCTTGTACGTGCCCACAATGTCGCTCTCACTCGATACACCAAGAAGGTGTTTCAGGTTAGGGTATACATCGCCTGGGAATCGTCCTTGCAACGCAATCGCGTCGCCGCCGTAGAAGCGTTCGGGGAAGGAGCCAGCGGGAAGCGCACCGCCTTTCGATGGCTTGAAGGCAACGGCCGATGTTTCTTTCCGTTTCGAGTCTTTGGTGAGGACGATTTCGAGGGGAATGCCAGGCTTTACTAGTGCGGCTTTGATGTATTCGGTGCCCAGATCGACACCCAGCACTGCTGAGGCGGCGGATGCGGTGGACGAGAAGAGGAAAAAGAGACCGAGGAGGATTGTTCCGGGCGAGAGGTTACCTCTCCGGCGTCCGGGTGGCGCCATGATGTGTGGTGGTGTGGGAGAGTGCAATGTGTCGTTAACGTGCAGGCGCGGGAGGGTTGTAGTGGGATGTGCGTCGCGGGGAAGGAGCAGGGTATGTATTCGAGTAGCAAGCCTCGATAGAAGAAAAGAGAAGGATTGGGAATCTATCCCAAGAAAAAGCGGTGTGAATGAAGTGTCGGTCGAAACCGTGTTTCCTCTTGTCGTGTAATCGGCGGGCGGTTTCGTAGTAAATGTACTTGGGGTCGAGCTACCCTGTTCCGAACTTATTTGACACCTGGTCTTTGTCAAAAGGCCAGTTTGACGTTATATCGACCAACGCACGTCACGAGTTAAGATTGCTGTTTTATCTAAAGCTTAATTCACTGCTGCCTAGAGCTGCTTTTGGAATGAGGACATTTGGTCTTATGTAGTTCTTTTGTCGAGTACTATGCACGACTTTCGAGATCCTTTGGGTGCTCTAGCCAATCACATCGTCAGGACACCCGTCTTCGCCGCAATGCAGCAGCGCGACCATGTCCTCTACTTGCAACTTGCAGCCACGCTTCATGCTCTGCAGAATCATGCATGTGTCTTTTGAGGCTCACACTATATCCCAGTTGCCGCTGTCCCTATACACTAGCACCGTCAATGTTACCTATAATACCGGTCCATCATATCCCACGGTTAAACTCCACCATTCCATCCTTGCCACCGCGCTCATGAAACTCGGGCTCAAGTGTCTTCGCACTAATAGCTTGACGTTGTGGGAACGCAGCGAGCGCAAGCGGTAGTGCGAAGATGGACGTCGTGAAAATAAGTCCTGATACGTGTGTTAGCCAGCCCTACCACCATCTCACAGATACTTGCACATTGACTCACCCAGGTTAACAGGAGTCACCATCCTAGGCCTCTGCTTAAGCCACTCGGTCTTCTGCAGCCTAACAAGAATCAGAGGAGGCAGCACCATGATCGGCGTTGCATTGAGCACACGACTCAGCGCTGTTTCTCCCACTGCCAGTGTGGCCGCTTTCTTGCTCTTGCCCAATGGCTTGATCTCGAGATCGCCTGTATCTACTCGCTGTCGCTCAGCTTCTGATAGCGCGGGGTACACGTCGATGCCCTGCCTGATCTCCTCGCCGCGCATCAAGAACACATTGAGCGCACCCGCTGTTGCGACAGCCGCGAAAGGCACTAACCGACCCGCGATGACTTTTGCATTGGGCGAGAGGCTCTTAAGGCGGGGCACCAGCGCGTTGAGACCGAGTGCGACACCGCAGGATGCGCTGACGGCCGTGAGGTATGACTGGACGATGGTTGAGGTAGAGAGCGGGACCGACTTATTCGCGTTGGAGAAGTTGATTCCGACGTTGACCGACTGGTTGGTGACTTGCCATCCTAGTGTTCCCGCCGTCTGTACACGATCAGTATTGTCGTCCCGTCTTAGCATAGAGCTTCTCCTACGTACCCCAAGACCTGGTGTGAGCATCCCAGCCGTGACGACCAGGTTGGTCAGAACAAAGCTCGACATGCGGAAAGGCAGAAAGACTGGCTGTCCCGTGTCTTGCACTTTTGTCAGCGTCCTTGCCCTTCATCGTGCCATTGCGCTGGTTGTAGTACCTGGATGTATGGTAGAGTCGATGATCTTCTTTGCGTTCCACAGCTCCGGTGTCATATCTGGGATCTTGCCCGTCTTGTACGCGGTGACGAGCTTCTTTGCATTTTCGAGGCTGGCTGACGAGGTGAGGAGGGTTCTGTTCGCGCGTTTGTCAGTTGTGATCTGGACTGACAATTGAGACGGAGAGAAGTAATTGAAAAGCCATGAGTCGTGGTACTCACCACACACCCAGCATCCGCAAGGAAACATCATATCCAGCGCGCAGTGTCTCACCTCGGATCCGATATATTTGCTGAGTGCTGCACGCGACCCCAGTATGTGCCCAGATCGTACTGCGAGACGGGCAAGTCGCGGTTTCCAGGTAACGAGGACGTCATCTTGACGAAGAGCAGGATGCGAAAACCGCGGTCGAAGCAAATAAAGCCTCAACAGCCCGCAGAGTCGCAACGAGTTGTGGATGAGTCCTAGTGTGGGTAAATGCAAACAACGATATCGGCGATAATGCGGAGCGGGAACTAACGACAAGCGCGGTAGCGACAAGTTTAATAATATATCTGCCTTTCTAACTTCTATCAAGCTTCCAACCTCAGCCTTACTACAAAGCTGGTGCATCTCATGCTATCAAAAATAAATGAATACTGTGCGCGTGCATGCAAATAACGCTCTAAGATGACTGGAAAGCCCCGCCAATGGCTGTCTCCAGCATATACCAAACATTAACGCGGTATGAACATTGTGAAAACAAGCGCTTTTATGCAACAAAATCAATTCCGTATCCCGTCGTCCATCCTCTATGGCTCATTTCTTCGACTTCTTCTTCGATTTGCCATTGTCAGGCGTCGTTCCAAGTATGTCGTCAAATGTCTTGTTGGGATCGTGATTCGACGCGGGTCTCAGCGAGGGCGAGCCCATGGGCATTGGCGGGGCTACACCAGGAGGCAAAGGCAACGCTTCCAACCCGAGGTTCATGACACTCTCGCGCCGCCGGTCGGGGCTCTGAGATCGTCCACGGGCAGCGTTTGAAGGGTCCAGGAGGCCAGGTGGTGGGGGTAATGGCGAAGCTTCTGCATTCAGCTCCTGCATCGCGGCGTTGAGAAGCGTATCGTTCGCTGCCCATTCTTGTGCCTTCTTCCAACAGTGAGATCGTCGGAAGGTGCCTTCAACTCCGTGTTCGACAACATCCGTTGGTAAGCTGACGACCTGTGCTCCTCCTGCTACACCAAACCATGTTCGAGATCGTGTTGTGTCCTCCCGAGCCCACGGTACACCGCTTCGAGGTACCTCGCACAGGAAGTATTCCACGCCCTCGGTAAACCGGACGCCGGGTGCATCAACGATCAACATGGGTAATGACTGGATGACGGCGTACAGGAATAGCCACTGTCCCGATCGCATATCCCACATGTCGTCCATATTCGAGCCCGTGGCTTGCTTGAACTCAAACTGGCGGAAAGCCTCCAAGAACGGTGTCTGCTGTTCGGCGTCTGCATTATGCGATTGCTTTAGCAGTTTTGCTACTTCGTCTTTGTGTAGCTTTTTCCCACGAGCTTTCGCATCCTTCTTCGCGTCGCCTGTCTTTGCGTTTTGCGAAATGGGATATAGTGGCAGGTCAAAAGGAATTGGTGGCGCGACTGGCGGCGTGCTACGGTCGTATTCGCTCAAAACCTTTCTCAGCGCACGTGCGACAATCGATTCGATATCGGTTCCCTCGTCTTCTGCGATAAAGCCGTCCGCAGTGCGATTTGTCAAGTTCTTCCTGTCCACAAGGAGGTCATACAAGTTGGACATGTCGTGGTAAATTTCCAATAGGACCAATCGGTTAAGGCCACTTGTGGTTAAGTTGTTCTTCTTCGACTTGGCCTTTGGCAGCCATGAACCGTACTTGTGCCGGTAGTAGTCCATAACAAAAGATTTGATCGTCATGAAGGCAGCCCTCCATTTTTTGAAGCTAATGACCTTGCCTTCGCTTGCCATGGCGCTGTTCATAATACCAGAGAAAATGTGCGGGAACTCAAAGTCCTTGAGCTTTCCATTGATGGTGGCTTCGCGATTATCCAGATCCATAGCAGCACGGGCTAGTCGCGTAGCACTCTTGGGGCTAATCATGGCAAATTTGGGCGAGTCCAGCTCTTTGATGCTGTCGTACTTTCCAGCAGCGTGGACAAAGCCTTCCGTGTATAGCGACATGGACCGCAATTTTTCTCCTAATACAATGGCTTCTATCGTCTTCTCGCGGCTGTGACGGACGTCTGCCAGAGTCAATTCATCGACATAGCAGTCGAAGCTGGAAGCAGCAACTTCGCCAAAGGTAGATCCATCAACGTTGGAGAAGGCATAGTGTGACAAAATGTCTCCTATCCGCAGGAATATGTCGAAGATGTCTGAATGACGCTCCGTAGCGACCAGAGACTGGCCAATGAGAAAGGCGAAAAAGTTGCGGTAGGTGACCAATGTGTCCGTGTCGCTTGCGTTTAGTCGCGGCTCGTGAGGCGTGATGTTTGAGTCTGAGCTCAGCGAGATCGGCATGTATAGATGCTTTTCCGTGTACTCATCATCGAGGGCGTCGCTTAGCGCTCTGGACCCCTTGGATATCGACTCATCCGAGCTTCCTATCTGGCTTTGGTCGGGGGATGCGGTCCGTGATTGTTCGCCAAAGGGTTCGCGAGACACGCGTCGCGACGTTCTTTCTGCCAGATCTAGCGGGGGCACGTTCCCATCGCTGTAGAGGCTGCCGTGTACGAGGCGGGTGAGCAGCTGTGATGCTGCGTATACGGAGGAGTCGATACGGAAGGAAGGGCCCTTGTCAGATGTGCGGGGAAAGAGGTAGACAAACGTGTCACCTGCATCGTCCCATAGTTCAGGTACCTTTCATCTCGTCAGCACACTCGGCACCATATTGTCAAGATCAAAGAGGACTACCTTTTCGCCGTTCAACAAGAAGGTCAGGTTGTATGGGACCTTGCCCTTGTGTCCGACTATCCACGCAAGCGGGCTGGCATTGCCGGACGATGTTCTGCTGTGCGAGCCATTGAGCCCCTCAATGCCACCTGGCGGGCCTCCAAAAAGACCGCTCTTCCTGCGCAGTTTCTTGAGTTTGCCTTCAGAACTTGGTTCTAAGCTCGGCGTTCCTGGTCGGCTGCTAGCGGGGGAGGATGCGCGCGAAGGGACCTCGAGCGGCGGCGGCGGCTCCAGCGGCTCAAGATCGGCAGGGTCGACTGGCTGGATGGTGGGATTGGAAAGAGACACTTGACGTGGAGATGCGGGTGCAGCTGGTGGAGGGTATTCGGGCGTGAGGTGTGACGCCGAGGAGAGGCGGTTGCGCACTTTGGTCAGGCGGCTGCTGGACTCTGACGAAGCAGGTGTTGGGCTCAACTTCGTATTCGTAGACCCTGATGACGGTTCCGACGACCCAGACGATCCGAACAAACTCGACAGCCGACGGCTCGACTTCTTCTTGTCTCCCAACATGGCGAAACGGTCTACTCTTGGTCTACGCGGCTCAAGAGGAGCGAGAGTTGGGGTATCGTAAAGCGCAAGAAAACACTATGCGCTCATTAACATAGGGTCGACAAAACACAGCGGATAGCAAACACGAGCACCACACATGCAGGGCCCCGGGCCGGTCAAGGTAGTATATAGTCAAAGGGAAACAGAAAAGCTTAGTGAAAGAACTAAGTGATCTATATTTGAGCTGTTGCAGATCCGGCAGTGTCGCAACCATGCTAGTGCACGAGTAACGTCAAAGGTTGGGTGGCCACAACGTGGGTCGATCAGTGTCAGCTGTGATTGGTTTTTCCCTTCAGTCTGGAGGCTGTATTTCCAGCTGGGTACGCCCGACCGGCCACTCAGCGGCCTCTTGGATGTACAAAAGGACCCTTTGCCAGTGTTGGCTCACACCTGCGAGCACCTGCGCCTCGTACTGCGGGCAAGGCCCACCTCATCCACCGAATCGGACCCATGCTCAGCCGCGTCGTGTCAACTATTAGTTGTTTCGAGTCCTTCCCAGCCTTCAAGCATGCAGCCATCAATACAGATTCGTGTGACACTTTGAACGGTGTGTATGTGTCTATAGAGCCGCAGCTGACATGTCGTGTTTTTTGTGACTATTTGCAACATCGGTGTTGACTATTGAAAGGCGCGGCGGCTTCAATCTTAAGCGAAGGGATGACGTACCATCCCTAATCGATAGCGTGCACCCGAGGCCTCGTGGCTGTCAAACACACGTGCAACGAGCCGCGCCTTACGTGTGAGTAGGCGTGGGAATGACATACCGCATGCGTACTTCAAATTCCATCCAGATGCTACCGACGCTCATCTCCGAACTTCGCATCTGATATAATCTCACGACCACCACGATATTGCTCGCCTGAGTCCACTCTGGTCCATACTTGCGCACCAGCCACTTCGGTTACGTAGCCGTGTTCCGAAGCCGCGTTATCCTCAATGCTGAACACGGCTTCATCAGCACTCGATACAGAATTCAATATGGGCGGCGGAGAAACTATCGCGGACCAAATACTTAAGACGTTCGCCCTACCGGACGTCGTCGGCTCAAAGACTAGCTCTAAGAAGCTGATCAATCTTCTAAGAGGGCACGTGCTCCTGCTTTTCATGCAAACTCGCATACCCTTTTGGGACATTACGCGGCCCAATTAGACGCATCGCAGCCCCGAGTGATCGCTGACAAGCAACAGATGGCCAAACGTGTCTTTATTGCCTACGCAATTGCTCGACAAAGCTGCCCATAATGTACTCCAGAAGAAGCCTATGGCGTATCCTGCCATGTGCTATGGACCCGATTCAGGTGATCCCAGGCTACGCAGCAACATTGCGCAATGGCTCACAAAGTTCTACAAGCCTGCGGACCCAGTATCTGAAGAGCGCGTATGCATTTCCGGCGGGGCTTCTCAGAACCTGGCCTGCCTACTCCAAGACTTCACAGACCCTGTATATACAAGGAATGTTTGGATAGTGGCTCCGGCATATATGCTTGCGTTCCGTATATTCGAGGATGCTGGGTTCCACAAAAAACTCCGGGCCGTGCCCGAGGACGAAGAGGGTATTGACATGTCGTATCTGAGAAGTCAGATTAGGCAGAGTGAAGAGAGAGCAAAATCCGAAAACAACAATGAGCCGGTGAGTCGTTGCTGAAATGACGTCGAAGATTTATGCCGGAGTTGGAGTTTGTTGTAACCTTGCCTCAGGATTATGCTCCCTCAACAATGCGTTTATTTGTGCATAGCCTTACTGACAGCATGACCAGCAATTTAAACCTCCGAGGCCTTCGAACAAAATTTACAAACATGTCATCTATGCGGTGCCGGGGTTTTCCAATCCTAGTTCCAAGACCATGAGCCTAAGGAGAAGAGAGGAGTTGGTACGTCTGGCGCGAGAGTATGACGCTCTTATCATTACAGACGATGTATATGACTTTCTGCAATGGCCATCAAGTCTCAGCCCAAGTACACTTTCAATCGAGAAAGCTGGTTTGCCCCGTATCGTCGATATCGACCGGTATCTGGACGGCGGCGCCGAAAGACATGGCGCTGATGGGTTCGGCAATGCAGTTTCGAATGGATCATTTTCCAAGATCTTTGGCCCCGGGTTACGGACAGGCTGGTGCGAAGGAACGCCTAAGATGGCATACGGGGTATCGCAAACGTAAGCATGCCCTCTGACAAGCTCTTCGATTCTCACTCTTGCTGCGCGCCATCGCTCGTGCTAGATCTGAGGTACCCGAGATCGGTACCATGACGGCTAGATCGATGTCGACGGCCGACTCCACAGCCATGTCTCGCTCAAATAGGCAGTGACAACTAACGTGTTCCAGAGGATCGAGCCGTTCAGGTGGAGCACCCAGCCAGCTGACAGCCTGCTTTGTGGCCGAGACACTGGAGACTGGAGAGCTCCAACGCTACGTGTACGACAGACTCCAGCCAGTATATGGTAATCGGTACCGCCGTATGGTGGAAGGAATTAACAAGCACCTCATTCCACTAGGCGTCAGCATTCCCCAAACCGATCGCGAGATTGTTGGTGGATATTTCATTTGGCTCACGTTGCCTTCTCCGCTGAAAGGTGCTGTGGTAGCACAACGCGCAAAGGAAGAGGAGAATTTGGTGGTCGCACAGGTGAGTACAAACCACGATTTACGTTCCAAAACCAGATGATGAGCACGGCTAAGGACGACGCTTGTACAGGGCGAAATGTTTGAGGTGAGTATACTTCTCCGCTATCGTGTGCTCACAGCTGACAGATGTAGGTACCCGGCGACACCGAACGTGAGGGCACGTCTTTCAGCAATGATATTAGAGTTTGTTTTGCGGTATGTACTACTATGTTGGACCTCCGAGCCGTCACTAACATGCTGCTAGTGGGAAGAGGAAGACATGCTTGCTGAAGGCATCGAACGACTCGCCACGATTATTAGCCGCATGCTAAATGAAGAGGCCAATGGAGGTCAGTCAACCCATCATATGGCTGCCCAAAAAGAAGACGCGAAGAACTTGTGGTGATTGAGAGGGGAGCAAGAAAGGCGAATGAAATGGACGATCGGGGAATCTAGGTGAATCGCAACCCATCAGCCACAATCTAGATCATGCGCAAACTCTCGTAGCAGCGCAAGGCAGTTGTTACATAGCACGGTCTACACAATATCATTCGTCGAAGGTGCTATAATAGAGCCTTAGAGAGGTTGCGTTAAGCACAAGGGATCTGCAAGGCCAGCCTTCGGGTTTCATTAAAACATCCCCCATGCCCCACACCAGCACCCTGAACGAAATGAAAAGCAGTATACCCGGGGCCGGCGCGAAACACGGTGACCGTTGGACATGCAACCTAAGGCGGCGACTGGCACAGTAAAGCGTAGTTTCTGATGCTTGTGTACCTGCATAAGGAAGTTTCGGAGCGCGTCACGTCGAAGGAAGCGATCAAGTTGGTGTTCGGCACGAGCTTGTTCTGTCCGCAAGGCTCGTGCAACGTTGCGCACAACGCTCAGCGAAGACGTGAAATGTTTCTCTTCTAAAAACACAGTGGAGGCAAGACGTGTGTCTACGATGCGGAAGACACATGCCGAGGCTGCATTGTACTCGACCACAACTTCGCCTGCATCGGCCCATGACTCTCAAGCGCCCTCTTGGATGGAGACCGGCGCATCGCAGTGTATCCACGATCTCCTGCCGGCCCGTCGCGTCGAATTGCACAGAGGTGCGCGTGGCGTTGAAGCGCTGGCAAATGCTTTTATCAACGCGTCGGGCGAGCGAGGGCCTGTCGATGCCCTGGCGTTTCAAAGCCGTCTCACTTCCGGCCGCCGGTTGTGGCGCGCCAGTCAGATCCTTGTTTCCCTTCCAGGAACAAACGCTCGCCTCGCAGCCTTTGGACTTCCTCAACCACTTACTGGCCATCGTCTCCCGCTTGTTTCACGCGGAGAAAGGGATTCAACGGGGACAGTCTTGTGGGCCTTCTTAGTGGAGACCCTAGGTAATTTTGGACGTACGCGACGGCGACAGGGTCACATTCACGCAACCACTCCTCGGCACTTGTCTGCAGGCGTGAAATGCGGCTTGCGAACATGGCCGCAGGTGCTCGTCATGAGGCGAAAGAGAAGGATGAGCTTCGGAGTGAAGCGGGAAGTGCAGGTGTACACGATGAAGAGGCGGCAGAAGAGCGATGGTATCACAGCGAAGACGAGGATATAAAATGTCTACTCGATACCGGGGAACATGAATCGAGCACAGCACAGCGAACATCACACCCCGGCTACCCGAAACTTGAAACAAGGAGTTTCCAGAACTTTGATTGGCGCCACGAAACTATTGTAAGTTCCTTCCCGAATGAACTGCTATACTTATACAATGCGTGGCCCCCCCTCTTCACTTTTTCCCTTCACGCAGGTTTCCTGTCATCTACTAGCACTCCATTGTGTGTCTTCAGTTCTTATTGTTCTCTGTCATTCATTTCTATTGTGCAGAAGTTTTCTTCTCACAACAATATTCCTACTTTCTACCACTTTCGTTGCCAGGCAACCTTACTGCTTTATCCACCACTTCGCAATCCTGCAAACTTTCCAACACAACGATCCAACAACACTATCAACGTCTCTTGCAGGTCAACTGACGACGATACTTCCAGCCTTTGAGGTCAATTTTTCGACGTTTAACAACTCCGAACTTCAACGCACGCACTGCTATCATGGTTGCCTTTAGCGCTGGAGCGCTTCTATTGACGCTGCGCGTCCTCCTTTCCGCCACTCCCTCCACTGCTGTGCCTGTTGCGCAAGCACCAGCTCCATCATCAGCACCGGCAGCACCAGCACCAGCAGCTGGTGCTTCCAGCTACTGGCTTGAGAAAATCGAGCGCCAGGGCCAGGCTCCTTTCAACCCCAACCCAGCATCTTACAAGGTCTTCCGTAACGTCAAGGAGCTCGGAGCCAAGGGTGACGGTTCTACCGATGACACTGAAATCATCAACAAGATCATCGCTGACGGCGATCGTTGCGGCGAGGGATGCGACTCTACCACCACAACACCCGCGCTCATCTACTTCCCTGCCGGCACTTACATGATCAGCAAGCCCATCATTCAATACTACTACACCCAGTTCGTCGGTGACCCATTGAACATGCCTATCCTCAAGGCCACTCCGGACTTCGAGGGTATGGGCTTGATCGATGCCGATCCCTATATCCCAGGTGGTGACGGTGCCAACTGGTACACGAACCAGAACAACTTCTACCGCCAAGTTCGCAACTTCGTCATTGACATCTCTGCCACCAAGGCTGCTGCAGGTATTCACTGGCAGGTGTCCCAAGCAACAAGTCTCCAGAACATCGTTTTCGAGATGGCCAAGGGTGACGCTGGCAAGGACCAGAAGGGTATCTTCCAGGACAACGGCTCCGGTGGCTTCATGACCGACTTGACCTTCAACGGTGGTGCGATTGGTGCCTTTATGGGTTCTCAGCAGTTTACCATCCGCAACATGACCTTCAATGACTGTGGCACCGCTATCTTCCAGAACTGGAACTGGCTTTTCACATACAAGAGCATTTTCATCAACAACTGTCAAGTCGGTCTTGACATGGCCAACAGCCCCGCCAACCAGACTGTCGGCTCTGTTCTGCTACTGGACAGCAAGTTCACCAACACCCCCATCGGTATCAACTCGTCTTTCACCGAGAACAGCATTCCCACTACTGGTGGTACCCTCATCCTCGACAACTGCGACTTCACCGGCTCTGAGAAGGCCATTGTCGGTGCTGCTGGTAACACTATCCTCGAGGGTGGCAAGAAGGTCGAGACCTGGGCTCAGGGTAACGCTCTCGCTGCTGGAGCTACCCTAGGTCGTGTTCAAGGTGACGTCAACGGTGCACCCGCGAAGCCCCAGAGCCTCCAAGGCAACAATGGTTGGTTCGAGCGCAGCAAGCCCCAGTACGAGAATGTCGATGTCTCCAAGTTTGTCAGCCTGAAGTCCAAGGGCGCAGTGGGTGACGGTAAGACCGATGACACGGCTGCTATCCAAGCTGCTATCGATGGTCTTCAGGAGGGTCAGGTTCTCCACGTCGACCACGGTGCCTACCTTATCACTAAGACTGTTGTTATCCCCGCTGAGAAAAACGTCAAGATGGTTGGTGAAGTCTACAGCACTTTCTTCATCACAGGCGAGTTCTTCTCCAACATGGACGACCCCAAGCCTGGATTCCAAGTTGGTGCTAAGAGCGGTGACAAGGGTTCCTTTGAAGCCTCCGACCTCATCATCGGTACTCAAGGTCCTGCTCCCGGTGGTATCTTGATGGAATGGAACATCAACGCAGAGAGCGGTGCAGCCGGTCTTTGGGACGTCCACTTCCGTGTTGGCGGTTACGCCGGAACCAAGCTCCAGTCCTCCAACTGCAAGAAGAACCCCGATGCCACCCACGAGCCCAACCCAGAGTGCATTGGCTCCTTTATGCAGCTCCACATCACCAAGAACTCCAACGGTTACTTCGAGAACGTTTGGCTTTGGACCGCGGATCACGAGCTCGACCAGGACGACCACTCTCAAATTGACATCTACAACGGTCGCGGTATGCTTGTAGAATCCCAAGGTCCTGTCTGGATGTACGGCACTGCATCCGAGCACTCGCAAATGTCGCAGTACCAGTTCTCTGGCGCCAAGGACATCTTCTACGGGGCCATTCAAACCGAGACGCCTTACTACCAGCCCAACCCCACTGCTGCCGTTCCCTTCACCAAGAACGACAAGTTCTTCGACCCGGACATGAGCCAAGCCAAGGCTGCCTGGGCTGTGCGTGTCACCGATGGTAGCGAGAGCATCTGGAGCTACGGCGCGGGTACCTACTCCTTCTTCCAGAACTACGACCAGGACTGTGTCGTTGGCCAGAACTGCCAGCAAGACATGAACGAGGTTGCCAATTCGACAAACATCAACTGGTTTGGTCTATCGACCAAGGCTTCGGTCAATATGATCACTATGGGTGGACAGGGTGTTGCCAAGGATGAGGACAACCGTTCCAACTTCTGTGCTACCCTTGCTATCTTCGCTCAGGCGTAGGTGCTGTACAGTCCTTTCCGACACGCAGCGCGGACTCCTTGATGGAAGTTCCTCGCTATAGACCTCTTCACTTCTTTCCCCTTCTTTACGGGGCCTGTTTTACGAACATGTATACCCATTTGTTTTTCTTGTTCTGTCTTTGTCCCACAAAAAAGGCGGAATGCCACACTCGCTTAGCAATTACGTTGCGATGAAGTCGAGAGCATAAATATACCCCTGGGCAGGATTGAGGAGTTTGGGCCGGATCCTTTTTTTCTTCTTAAGCAGATAGATGACATGAATTTGATATCTCATGATTCCACAAAACTCCTTTCTGCTTGCTTGTGACGGGTGTCCTAGAGGTCTCTGCAATAAATCTTAATGAGGTACACATAGCTAGATGTTGATGGTCGTAACGAGGGCATCGAGGCTCTCGCCAAAACTCACCTCCCCGCGTGCACGTCCTCGGGAAAAACTTCCCCGCGCAGAATCTCGTAGCTCGAGTGTCTGCGAAACTTGACTTCCTCACACAACCTCATCACCACAATTTTCTCTTGCGCAGACATGTCTGAACGATTGGACGAGTCTACGCGACCCGCGAAACGCGCGCGACTCGACGAAAATACCAACATATCCCTCCCCACAACCTCTCCTGCACCAGCTCAGACAGCTGCAATACTTTCAGCGCCGGCGTCGGTTGACACGGATCTGGAGCGCGAAGTACGCGCCGGTATAACCGAGTATGTCTGCCCGAACAACTTGGGTTTCACGGGTATCTTGAAGCAGAGATATACGGATTTCTTAGTCAATGAGATCGCGCTCGATGGGCAGGTGCTGCATTTGAAGAGCACCGAGGTGGAAGAGAAGAAGAAGCCTGTGAAAGAGAATGTCCCGGCGGTCGAAGGTGCAGGCGAACACAAGTCAGAGAGCACAACAGCGACCGACGACAAGGTCGATGCTGTTATGCAGGATGTGGGAGTCGCTGGTGAGACAACCCTCGCAGTACCGGAACCAGCAAAGGTTGAGGATGCGCCGAAAGAATCTGAGAACGATGGGGAGCAGATCATTGGTAAACCAGCGGCAGCCAAGGAAGAGCCAGAAGAAGAGGTGTGTGACTTGTAGGCGTATGCACTGCGCAGATGCTAATACCGTCTAGTTACCGGAAGACGATCGCAACATTCTACATTCGATATTCGGCGAACAGACTACCGACGACATCGTCAAACTTGTCCGACAAGTACGGAAACGCGAATCGAAAAAAGCAAAGGACTTTAAAGCAGTCATATCATCGCCCATAACGGACAAGGACAAGCGCACACAGGCTCACCAGAGCTTGCGTCGCATTTTCCCCAACTTGCTCGAGAGTGCTATGGAGGAGAACCAATGCATACGCATCAAGGCAACTCCCCCAGCGGAGCGCAAAAAGAAGAAGGGCAAGGGTGGTGGTGGGGATCGACAAGACCAGGGACGGCGACGAGGAGGTCAGGATTGGGAGGAGCTTGGTGGTGAATACCTGCACTTCAACCTGTACAAGGAAAACAAGGACACAATGGAGGTTGTTGGCTTCCTAGGAAGTAAGCTCAACTGTGGTGCCAAGGGTTTCGGCTTTGCAGGCACAAAAGATAGACGAGCATGCACTGTTCAGAGGGTCTGTGTCAGGCGCCAAACAGCGCAGCGCATGCAAGCCTTCAACAAGACACTGTTCAATGCTGCTGTAGGAGACTTTGAGTACCGCCACAACGACTTGAAGCTTGGAGACCTGATGGGCAATGAGTTCACCATCACGCTCCGAGACTGCCACTTCCAGAGCGAAGAAGGATTAGACTTTGTTCAAAGACGGCAACTCGCCAACGACGTGGTCAGCAAGGCAATTAGTGACTTTTCCGAGAAAGGTTTCATTAACTACTACGGTCTCCAACGCTTCGGTTCCTTCGCCGCAAGCACCGATGCCATTGGCCGCAAGATGCTGCAAGACGATCTAAAAGGCGCCGTCGAAGACCTTCTTGCGTATAGCGAAACCGCTCTCGCTGCCGCAAATAACGAAGCCACTGCTGTCCAGGTTTCCCAAGACGATCGCAACCGTGCGCAAGCCCTCCACATCTGGAAAACGAAAGGCAGCGGTGCCGAAGCCCTCGAATTCTTGCCCCGCAAGTTTACAGCAGAGCGAAATATAATCCAACATCTCGGGTCCCGAAACAGCAAATCCGGTCGCTATGACCGCAAAACAGACTGGCAAGGCGCGCTCATGACAATTCCTCGTACACTGCGTCTCATGTACGTTCACGCGTACCAGTCTCTCGTTTGGAACACCGTTGCGGGAAAACGTTGGGCTGAACACGGCGACAAGGTTGTTGAGGGAGACCTTGTTCTTGTAAACGAACACCGCGATAAAGAAGAAAACGCCCCATCCAAGACGACGACATCAACACACGACCAGGACGGCGAACCCATCATAAACCCCTCCGGCACCGACTCCTCTCTCGCTCCCGAAGCAGATTTCGAGCGCGCCCGTCCCCTCTCCGCATCAGAAGCCGCGTCCGGAAAATACAGTATCTGGGACATTGTCCTCCCACAACCGGGTTTCGATGTCGAGTACCCGAGAAATTCAATTGGAGAGTTTTACAAGGAGTTCATGGGTAGTGAGAAGGGTGGAGGACTTGATCCCATGGATATGCGGAGGACTTGGAGGGAGGTTAGTTTGAGTGGGGGTTACAGGAAGTTTTTGGCTAGGCCGCTGCAGCCTCTCACTTTTGAGGTGCATGAGTATAAGAAGGTGGATGAGCAGTTTGTTGAGACAGACATGCAGAGGCTGGGTCGGGAGAGGGACGTAGGCCACAAGGCTCAAGAGAAAGAGGACGAGAAGAAGGGAGAGAATGCTGATGCGCAAATGGAAGAAGGGGAGGAGAAAGAAGAGACCAAAGAAGAAGAGGATAAGATTGCGGTTGTACTGAAGCTGCAGTTGGCGAGCAGTCAGTACGCTACTATGGCGCTGAGGGAACTGATGAAGGCTGGCGGTGTCAAGGCATACCAGCCTGCCTTTATGGGTGGCAGATGATAAATGCTCCAAGTATTTGATAAGGAGGCATGGCGGACGAAAGAACATCACATTCAGGAAATTCGTGGCATTTATGTCAGATGTATTGGAAGGATGTCTGTATGACTATGTGTGACAGTGTCACCGCGCACTTCGTCGACGGATGACATTCTGACTGTTTGTCGGCTATGGTTTCACTGAATAACATGGCCTCTTTATATCGACCCCAGGAGTCTTCTCTCTTTGCTCTTCTTCACTCCAACTCCGATCCCAATAGTCTCGCAAGCCTTGAAGGACCTTGGCGTCCTCATACTGTTCGGACCCAATAGACAGGTGTCATTCGGGCAAAGGTTATGTAGGCATGGTCAGTGACCATAGGTAGGCGTCGCCTTCTTTGACCAGGATGGTGCTCTATTTGAGCCACATTCCGATAACGACACGGTCTGGCTCCGACGTTTGCACATTGCTTGTTGGTCGTTGTGTTGGTCGAGGCGATGCGCGCGTGAGTTGTACTACTTATGTAGAGTGTATGTGTGTTCAGTCCCGTTCAGAACTTATCGTTCATACAACATCGTCCGCTTCTTTGAATCGAACAGGAAGAACAGGTGTCGACTTAGGTCTACCAGGTACACTCTCTTCACTTGTGTCCCTCTGGTGCAGTGTCAAGCTGACACGCGCCGGTTGTCGCAACCCCTGCTCCTTCTCTTTCTCCCATAGAGGCATGTCGGTAGCGTCGGATTCGGTGCGGCTCAGGATAGGGTCGGTGCTCATCCGGCCTCTGATTCCCATTTCGGATGCGAAAGGGGTGATTGCGCTGTCCGGTCGTGCGATGGACTCGGTGTATGAAGGCTTGGTAACCAAATGTGGTAATGAGGCTTTGCGCTCGTTACTGAAAAAGCTCTGGTCAATCTCGGAAAGCGCAACATCTCGTCGCGACAATCGTGACACAGAATGTGCTTTTGAATGCTCGTTGTTCGATCGGTGGGCCGATCGCAAACTTCTTGATATGTGATGTGCAGCACTGGACACAGCGCTCGATTCGCGTGCTTGACGTAGCGCGCCTTTCATGAGTGGACGAAGTGTGGCGAGACAACCGGCGATTATACATGCACCTGCTTCGATAGTGCTCCAGATGGAGATGTTGACGACGCTCCAAAAAAAGTCGTCGGTCTGAATTAGGCCTTCTATATAACGGAAGCGTATTCCAGAACAGATGCAGCCGCTGCTGTGTGTTAGGGGGGTCAATCGATGGGGACCTTGGAAGGAGACTTACGTAGCTGCTAGGCAGAGAACAAAACCGACAGAGATCTTGGATCTCTTGTCCATGTTGGCATGCCAGAGAATGGGGATGGGCAGCAACAGAAAGACAAAGTCGGTGAAAGTACTGAAAGCGGCTGTGATGCGTACTGTGAGCGAATGTATAGACAAGCGGTTCACAATACTACATACCTTGCTGATAGGCCATGAACAAGTCAAGCTCCCGCGACGCACAATTGTTCATAAGCTGGTTCATTACGTACTGGTCCAGACTGGGTCCACATCTAAAAAAGCAATAGAAGAAGGCAGATGCCGATGAGATGATGTTGACGCCGACTGTAACGTAGACAAAGATAAGGTGGCAGCGCTTGACGATGATGCGGATGAAGAATATGGCAAGAGATATCTTGACTATCATGATGGTGATGATGTAGCAAGCCTCGCTAGCAACCACCCACTATGATGGTGAGCATGATGATACAAGATGATGGCCAGAATGAGTACCTTTGTCAACACCTGCAACCGGTCCACGCTTGTGACATGGGTGCCTCCACCATTGCACGCAATGTACAAAGTCGATCCACAGTATACGGTGAATGTCATCTACCAGTGTTAGCTGAAGGTTTTTCTTGGTGAAACTGACCAGTAGCTTACGCCAGCAAGGATCATAACGCTATCGTCCCAGCCAAAGTTCGAGATAACATAGGTGCGAGTCCATATCCTGAGTAAGATGAAGAACCAAGCCAAGGCTAGAAAAGCGATGGTAATTCGTAGTTGCTGCTCGGTAGATTGCGCCAGATCAGTCGCACTGTGCATCATGATCAAGGAAGCTAGGATGGACCTGGTCTCGCACGATGTGACAGCGGCCTTGGAAAGAAAGACACAGTCGAAATGGTACGGATTCCCTCAAGACGAATGAGTGAGGAATGATTGTGGCGGCAAGATAAGTGGCTTGAGGACTACATATCCTCTGTAGCTGACTAGGGTATTTGATGTGATACCACGTCTTGCTGCAAGCCACGTTCGAAGCAATGGTACGGAGATGTATGAGACCGATCTAGAATGACGTTTTGCTCAAAGATAGCACTGTGGGTGTGTAATCCTTCAAGAGAAAAAGAAACAACCAAGAAGACCTGGGACCTGCATTTGTGGGAACGAACCGGCTTAACATACAGCATCATTATGTTGAGCGACTTTGGTTGACTATCATTGTAGTACATGCAGGGCGGCCCATCCAGGTCGTCGTCTCCTGTTAGACTGTCAATGGCGGCCTTCTCCGCCCTTAAGCATGCTTTGGAGATGTATCGAAAACTCTAATTCGCCGGCTGGGGCGAATCCGATGCTCACTGGTGTTGTCACTTATAGGGCCGCGCTGCGGGGGACGTTTGCTAGCGTGCCGCGGATGTTGGGCTCCGCTCCGGGGCCTTCTCCGATGATCTTACGTCCATCTCATCTTGCATGGCAATGTATGCATGTCAATGAATATGCGCGGATGCGAAACGATTGATAGCGGGGAGTGTGGGTGGTGGGGGAGGGTTACAGATAGCGCCAGGTACACAACGCGCGTAGACAAAAGGGGAAGTGAAGCAATTTCCCCGACGCTTGGGCCTCTAGGTTCCGAACTTCATCGCAAACACGACCCTGGCACAAAGTAGCAAGCACAAACGGCGACCGAAAAAGGAACCACACCTTCATCGTAGGAGCTGGGTCTCGACGTTGCTGTCTTGTGCGACGCACACCAACAGTTTCGTCATCGCGACGCGCATTCGTATCCGGGTACCTGATCAACACCCATCCGCACAGTGTACCACATTCGGACAATCAGCTAGTGGCGCCACGATCCCTTAAACACCAGAGCTGGCTTAGACAAACCATAATCGATCTCCTTGGGTAAAAGATTGCCTATTGCGTCTTACGCCCGACTCAGCCACTCTATCGTACCTGCTTACAGGGCCACGGTTACCACGGGCCCTAGCCATCTCGAATCTTGCATCTCCGGGTCTCGTGACATCGACTTGCGATCAAGTCACAAAAAGCAATTATGCCACCCTCACTTCGTCGCCGAGGTGGCCGGGTCCAGCAGCAACATCACATGCCCCCACCTTCACCCCCAGAAGCAGATGACACGGATAGCGATGTGGAACTGGACGGCCACCGCCAAGAAGAAGAAGACCAAGATCTCGATGGTAACGATGATGACGAAACACTCGGCGACGACCTAGCAGGGCTCGCAGGCGAAGAGGAAGACGAAGAGGAGGAAGGCGACGAAGAACTAGATGACGAAGAGGGTGATGGTTTTGGTTCGCCAAACCACGCCGGCGACACTCCATTACCCAATCTCGATCCTCCACCACCATACCTCCGGGAAATATCTACCTTGGCTTCCTGGACCGTTTCGTCTTCTAAACCGGGTTGTTCGATACCTCAGCTTCGGCATCCAAATACGAATCTATTTTGGCAATCCGATGGTCCGCAGCCACACTACCTCAATATACACTTCTTCAAGCTCGTTCGTATAGTTGGTCTTAGACTGTACCTAGACTTTGAACAAGATGAGAGCTATACGCCGACTAAGATCATTTTCTTAGCAGGCAGCGGTTTGAACGATCTCCAGGAGTGGGGCGAAATGAGATTGGAGAGCCCGAGAGGATGGATATGGGCGGACTTTTCCGGTGTAGGAGATCCGGATAGCGACGATGATGGAGATGACGACGAAGAAAATAATGAAGGAGGCACTACTACAGGTCACCGACCACAACGTCTCCTGACGGAAGCCTACACTCTAAACGGAACGAGAAGGAGTGGAAACGACGCTGCATCTTCTGATTCTGAAAACGCGGCGCCGACTCAAGAGGCTGATGTCACGGACCTGGATCTGGAGACGCCGATTCATCAACAACAGCAGCAGCATACACCATTTCCTCCTTATCCCGCCACTACACACGGCCATCCACAAATAACACCCCAAACTGTTCCACCATCTCACAACCACAACCTCCGTCATTACAATCACACCGTCACACCAATTCAACATCAACCATCAACACCTTCGCTCCCCCAAACCATATCGCGTCCCCACCCCAGAGCGCCTTTCGCATCTCTCTCCCCTAACCCCCAACCTCGCCCCATCCCGTCTTCCACCCAATCAACCCCTAAGTTGCCAGTTTTGCGCGCTCATCTCGTGCAGATCAAGATATTAGAGAATCATCAGAACGGTAAGGATACGCATTTAAGGGGCTTGCAGATATTCGCTAGGAACGACGAGGATGGGTATAAAGCAGGAGGACATGGTGCGAGCAGTAATGTCACGAAGGGAGTCACGAGTGGAGCACAAGGAATGGAGCTGTTGAAGAGGGAAAAGAAAGAAAAGAAAAGGAGAGAGGAAGTGTTGGAGTTGGGTGGTGGCATCATGGGTATGGGTTTGGGGAGTGAGGGGGTTCTTCGTTAATATTGAGTCGTCCAATCAGCTACTCTGGAACAAAATGGAAGAAAAACACAGGGTCAACATGGCGGTATGCATGTAAGCGGCACCATCAATCATGATACTCACAATGGAGGATGTGAAAATCTTGAAATATCGTGATAAATAAATTAAACATCCTAGCTGCGCCATCCACCCAAGCCTTCCTTCCTTCCTTTCCATTCGTCATCCTTTACCTCATGGGATATATCCTTCTGACTTTTAGTGTGTCCTGATACATTTTCCTCCAAGCAGACTCGCGCCCGGATATCTCGAGATTCTATACAGAGCGCCTAAGGAAATATGTTCGAACCCTAAATTGGAGAGGTGCGGCCGAAAACGGCGCACCACTGATCATCTGTTGCTTATTTGCTGATTACCGCCCCAGAGAAACTTCTTTATCTAGAAAAGACCCTTGCCATCCTTCTTGTCAAGGGTGTTCTTGAGGTCCTTTGGCTCAGGCTCCTGCTCAGGCTTAGCCACCTGTTCGTCGGTCTGACCGTTCTTGCCGTTCTTCTTGTTCTGCTTGCGAGGCAGCTTGCTAGGGCTGCGATTCCGGTCGGCGTTCTCCTTGGCCTTCTCTGCCTCCTTAACGTCCTCCTCGTTATCTTCGTAAGCCTGCTCGACCTTTTCACCTGCAGCCTCGGCCTTGCCAACCAGCTCCTTGGCAATCTGCCTAGCCTTCTTGCTTGTAGCATCGGCACCCTCGTCGAGTTCCTGGAGCTTTTGGCTGACGCGGCGGTTGATGTTCTCGAGGAACTTTTGGTTGGCCGGGCTCATGCTACCCTTTCGCTCGTCCTTGATGTGGCCGTTGGTGGGCTTCCTTCCGCGAACAGCGTCCCTAGCCCTGTTCACACCTGAGGAGATGGCGTCTTCAGCGGACTTGTCAAGGGAGTCGAGCTCGCGCTCCACGCTGCGGCTGGCGTCACCAGCTGCGTCGGAGATTGTGCGAGGCTTGAAGTCCTTCTTGGCGTTAGGCGAGGAGCGGCGCAGGTAGGATTTGAAGAAGAAGCGCATGAAGAGGATGGTGAGCGGTGCGAGGTAGATCAGATTGACGTAGATGGCGAAAGCTTGGCCGGAGGTGTCGACGCAAGGAACGGTCTGGTACTCAGTGCGGTAGAAGGTCTTCTCGACTGTCTCGTGAGGGTGGAAGAAGTCATGGACCGCGTTGTGGGTAGGAACAGGCTCTCCAGCAATGACTTGCTGCTGCTGGCGAACCGGAATAGGCTGACCAGGGACGGGGATGTTCTCAGCGAGACCTTCGTCACCAGCTGCGCGGTAAATTAGCTTCCTGAGGAAGGCTACAGCAACACCGGTCGCGGTGGGGAGGGCTTCAGCAACCGATTCAGTAGCAGAGGCAACTGCGGATGAGACGGAGGACGAGACGACCTTGGGAGCAACCTTCTCAGCGACCTTGTATGCGACCGAAACGGGGACGGTGTAGGAGACGAAGAGGTGGATGGCGGCGAAAGCGGATCCAACAAGGAATTGGGTGATTTGAAGCGTGGTAAGGGTTCGCTTGACGACGTTGGGGACGCGGTAGCCGAGGGCTGAGACGGTGTAGTAGGTGTACTGAATTCGTTAGTTAAAATCAGGTAGATTGGAGAAAGACTGCTTACCATCATGGCGTGGATGCCAGAGTTGACCAGGGCGAACATCCAAATGGGAGGTGACATGAAGCGCATACCAGCCCACATGGACAACATAGCACCGGCGTGGTGGTACTTCTGGAGAGTGGTGCTGCGCTTGCCCTTGGCCAGAATGATAGCCGTGTCAAGGACCTCGTAGAACTTGGAGAGGTAGAACCACCAGCCCCAGAAAGCAAGACCCTCGTTCCAGATTCTGCCAACATCCGTCTGGTCTGGCAGGCCACTAGGGCCTACAAGAACATTAGAGTTCAGGCTGCTCCAGACATCGTTGGTGTTGTTGTAGGTGACAGCGTCGCCGAGTCCGCGGGGACCGTGGATCTTGCAAAGTGCGTCAATGGTACCGACAACGGCGTTGGGCTCGCTGTAGTGGGGGAAAGAGTGCTTGAGGCAGCGGATCATGGCGACGCAAGTAATGGCCGAGTAGACAGCCAGGAAGACATTGTGGAAGATGACAAAGGCGTAGAATGGGCGGGTTTTGGCGATCCTCCACGGCTTGTTACCGTGTTGGCGGTTGTACCAGTTGACATAGGTGACGGTGACGAAGTAGACGGAGGCAATGGTCAGGGGCACCTTGTACGACAACGCGCCCTGGTAGATGTCTTCGGGGATCGGGAAAGGGTTCGCAAACGTCGACTCGCCAGTCCATGGGGGAGGAATGGGCAAGGGAGCGGCATCGGGAGGGAACTGCAGAACAGCCCTCGACGGCCAGTCGCCGGGGTGGAGAGAGGGGCCTGCACCAGACATGGTAGATGTTCAGGTGGTCGCGAAGATGCGCGGTTGTTGGCAGCACTCGGTCGAGGGTGGGTGCTGTTCGCGAGGCAGGCGCAATCGAGGTGCGGCGGAGTGAAAGGGTCCGGGGACCGCTGGGCTTTTTTCTGTGGTTCCGTGAGGTCAATGTCCAGCCGTTATGCCGCACTCGATAGCAAAAATCGGCCCTCGGATTTCTGGGCGTCCCTGTCGTCGGCGCAAATCTTGGACAGCTGTGTTGTTGTCGCTGGCCAGGCACGCGATGCACAGTCTGACTACACAAATTTGTCGGCGCACGAACCCAGGGCAAGGCGGACAAGTTATATTTGCAGAACAAGAGCACAGATATGCTCGGAGCGAGGACAAATTCAGCAGAGGTGCGTCGGACAAGGAGCTAGAAGCAGCAGGCAAAGGCTCTAGACAGTCCTTCTTGGTTATGATGAGGATTGCTAGCGTTGTGATGCAACCCGGTGGACTTTTTGGACGAATGACATCGCAACCAGCTGCCGAGGCGAATTGCTACAAACTCCCACTGGACAACGAGATCCTCGTGGATATCATCTAAAGAATACAGATTCTCGCAAGTCTAACGCCATCGAGTATCGCAGTAGACACGTCCCGTCTTTTCTACAAAAGACCCGTCTTTGCGCAGTGTTGGCGAGGTAGTCGAAAGCAAGCATGCAAAATTTTGCAGGGATAAGTGAACCTGTTGGGGGTCCGTTCCCGCATTTGGCAAGGTGACGTGGGTGCCCGAGCAGCCACATCTGGGGAACAGGTTTAGCAGGCTAGAAATACGACGACGCTGTTGCTGGTAATAATAGTGGTTGCTGGGTTTGAATTATATACAGGACTACAATGCAGAGAGCTACTCAAAACTTGGGCTTGCTACTCAGAGGAATTGGCGGAGGCTCAGCCGAACCTTCACTTAGTTCCTTCCTCTTTGGTGGAGGTGGAGGTGGTGCTTTCTTCCCAAGGCCTCCCGTCTGCGATGGGCCTTGCGATGGGGCTGGCGACGCGCTTGACGACGCCAGGCCGTTCACTCTACCAGCAATCCCATACTTTTGGTTGAGTGAGTTGGCGGACTTCCACCCAGACGCGACTTGATCCCCGTGCCGCTGCTGGAAATTGCTGGCAGTCGATGCCGCTCCTTTCAAGTCTGAAGCCGACACTTTTGAAGGGTCGTCACGCAGGTTGCTGGCAGTCTTAAGCGCTGCCTGCTTGTCTGCCCACGATGTGCCCGTGGTTGGCGGGGGTGCTGGTGACTTTGGCCCAGACATTCTTGCGAATCTACTCTGTAACTCGTTCATCTGTGAGCCATGCCCGGCTGCAGCTGGAGGTTGTGTGGCAGTGTCCGAGCTTGGGGCTCGTCGAGGAGGAACAGGTGGAGATGGGTTCGCGCGAAGTGGTACTGGAGGAGAAGCCGTTCGACCAATGCCGAAGCCTGAGACAGATACGCCTGCCTGCCCCAGACGACCCAGAGCGCCTTGGTTCAGGACTCCCTGCTCAGGTGCCGCTTCTCGTGTTGCCTCATTGTAGGTCGGTGGAGGAGCGGGCGCGAATTCATTAGGGTTCGAGTTTTGACGTGGCGGTAGTGGAGGACGAGGAGGTAGGCTGGGCTTGGGTTTTGTAGGAGCGCCGGTAGCTGTTGGCGAAGCGGCGCCTGGTCGGAAAGCTGGAGGCTTGGGTAGATGTGCCGTGCTCAACCCCGTCGTGTCAGGTCTGTAGGGCCCTGGAGGCGGCCTGTTCGCTTCCTCTTCTGCTTTCCTCCTTGCTTCTTCCTTCTCCTGCAGCCTTTGCTTTGCCGATGCAGCAGGTGCAGAGGACGGTCCTGTCGAAGCGGATGCTGCCGAACCGCCGTTGTAGTCTAGTCGCTTGGGCGGCGGAGCAAATTGTGAGGGGTCTTTCAAGGACGATAGTGGCGTTGACTGGTGTTCGCGGGCCGCCTCTGCATGGGGGTCTTTACCTTGGGCTTTTCCAACCCATCCTTTCTATCCCTAGTTAATCGACGGGTTCATGCAGGCAAGGACAAGCTTACATACAACTTGCCCGAGCTTCGAGTCGCTCTGTCCACCTCCACTGCTCCCGCTGTTAGTGCGATTCTTTTCGGGATGCCAGCCTCCTTTGGTGATGCCCTTGAATTTGTCCATGTCCGTGTTAGCGGAAGAGTCTGGGGTTAGGCGTCGTGAATGTGCCAGCAGACAGTGGAGCCAACGCGTGCGGGCCGATGAGATCATCAGCCAAGCGCGTCTCTAGCACATGTCAGGTCCAGTCGGCACTTCGGGCGGACTAATGCGTCTGGCTGACATCCTGGAGAAGAGCTCATGCTGAACGTTGAATAGGTATCTTGGCCATTGTGGACGATGAGTCCGAGATGTGAGGTTTAACGTCTGTGCAATTCATGTTGAGTTGTAGAGAGGTTCAAGGCCGCCAGTCAGCAGCCGCCATACCTCTCTTGCGATACTCCAAGAGACACATACATACACCCGGACTTGGAGAATCTCCCGCACTGCAGCTGCAATGCATGTCTCAGTTCCATGTTTCAGCTCTCGTTAGCTGCATTTTGAGGGAGTTTTTGTGATAATACCATTCCCAAACGGTACATACTTGCAACTTCCAAGGCGAACAACTGCAGCTATAGCCTGTCACAGTCAGCCGTATTGATCCGGGCCTACTCCCCCGCCCAATCACTCCCCACAACAAAGACTTTCTCAAGAGATCTACATATCCAGCAAGTCGGATGTGCCGGCTGTTGTTTGTGAACATGTTTTGTTTGTTGACGACATTCCATCGTAGAGAACACGAGAGTCACCAGGTCACGATATCAGCATTCCGCACAACGACAGACAAACGCTGTAAGAGTGAGCTCAGCACGCAGACACGGTTCCCCCATACTAAGCTTTGTTAGATCGACGGCTAGGACAGCTAGCCAAGCCTAAAAATACTATCAACCCGAGCAGGTGGGGTTTGTTCGTCTTATAGGCGTCGAGGCTGAGTCCGTCTCTCCAATGCCATCCCAGTATGTAACCAACCGCGCCGATTATTCCCAGCCGGCACTTCGGACTTACATTCTGTTGGCCTGAAAGCTTGCAGCACACATGTTGCTAGACAACGGGTAGCACGTCTGCGCCACCCCAGCCCTCGGCCAGCTCAAAGGACTACCCTCCCACTCCGTGTCCCTTTGCATTCTCCGCATTGCCTTTGAAGTGGTCAACTGCGTGCCACTTCATCGATTCCCAGGAATCTACCCAGCAGAAGGAACGATTGTTGCCTAAGGGTACATAGTGTGCTTTCCCGCGTCATCGATTGGAGTACCAAGGTCACGCCTAAACCCCGTCTCGGCCCCGCATCTCCTGCTACTGGCTAAGCAAGTGGAGGATCACCACCACAATTCAGCTCCCGCATCGGTCATATCTAGGTGTCAGGCATCTCCGTCAGATTGCTGTTTCCTTACTGGTTTCGAGCCTACCACACCACTGCGGTCTGTCCATACGTAGCTAGGAGCTGCTCTCGTCAGCGCATTGTCCAAGCCGCAATGGCTCCTCTAGAAGACGAGTGGGAAACGGATGGAGACGAGGGCGAGACGCCACCTTGGGTCACTGAAATTGAAGACATCGATTCTTCTACCACTGCTCTTCCGGAAATCGTGTTGAGTATTGTCATCGAACCACTACCGTACACTGTGACGGGGTCGACTACGCCGACGAGTAGTGCATTTGAATCTGGCTTCACTGGCATCATGCCCCCCTCAGGCAGACCTCCCATGCCCAGTGTACGGCCTTTGGGATATCCGTCAGATCGTCCATGGCCGCCGTATCAACAGCCCTCTTCAACCACAGAAAGCTGGCAGACTTCCACATCAGCAACGACTGCATATGCCGACCACATGGGCAGTTCGTCACTGTGGGCGACATCGACCTCAACATCGAATTTGAACTCCGAAGCATCGCAATCACTAACCAATCCATATGGAGGAAGGCCTTCAGACTGGAACTTTTCACAAAAACATGTCAACAATGCACCAATGTATGCCGCTGCCGCGGTAATCCCAATTGTCGTCCTCGCGATCATAGGCGGGGTAGCCCTAGTCTGTTTGCGCAAGCGCAAGAGACGGAAAGCCGAAGCAATAGCAGCGCAGACTGTCGCTCAAGAAATGAAGATGCAACCACAACCGAATGTGCGACCTTACATGGCACCACCACCAGGCTCACCACCGCCGCCAGCAATCTCTGTATCACGTAGCCCGCCCAACCACCTACTACCCCCAACGTCAACATCCAGCGCATTCCAACCCATCATCCTTGGGCCTATCGGCTCAGACTCTTCAAATGGCGCTTACCTCACTGGCATCGACACATCAGATATGGTGTCCATTACCTCCAACACTCACAGGCCTGTGGACAATCCGTTCTCAGACAACAATAGTCTTACTGAGCCGCCGCCGCCGTATAGACCGCATAGTGCTGCGCCGCCTAGCTTCACAACGAACTCGAGGCATAGCAGTTTGAGAGTAGGAGATTCGCAAACGAGGCTTATTGAAGGCGATCCGTTTGGTGATCCGGATGACGATTATATTTCGGACTTGTCAGGACCGACACAAGGCAGGGATGGGACAAGTGTTGTGTCGGACCTTTCTTATCAACGGTTCACATAATCGTCGCCATGTATCATTTGCTACTTTCTTTCTCGATGTATATAATACTTGCGAGATGTATGTCTAGTATCACTTCTCGGATCGTTTCCCTTTCCTCTTTCGTCAGGCGTTTGTCACAATATCGTATCAGGACTTCGTAATAGCATCATAGTGGTCATGGAATATATGAGCGACTTTATGAAAATCTGGGAACCTGATGCGAAACACTTTGACACCACTACCTCCATCTATGACGTAACCGGCACGTAGCCCAGAGTCGCTCATCTCGGCTACGCTGGGCCTAGAGCACAAGAGGTCTCGCGAGCAGTTCCTGAGACGGCCAAACTGCTCAACAATCCCACCCAGAATCCGATCCAATAAACTTACATGCTTGATCACCGGTAGATAGCGCAAAGCCACTTCCCCATCGTTCATGGCGCTGCGCTTACTTTACGCAGCAGGTGGTAAGGCAGTTTCTTGGAGCGCTTCCCGTTAGTCTGGGTAGTTTGGGTACAATGTTACCAATGACGGGCTCAGAATCCAGGCAGACGAAGAGTTGAGTGAAGTAAAGGGCGAACGGTACCTTGCATGGAGGGTGGGCGGCACTGCGCTAGGGGTGAACGGCTATCGAGATTCAGCTCAGATGTAGAGGGGTTTACTATCTTAAATCCGGAAAGTGCTGCTATCTATGGGCTTTTTTTCTCCGCAGGTTAAATCAAGCCAGTCTAGCCATGATCCGGGCCATGATTCGCCGGGAGCGGGCTACTTTTCCAGGTTCATGGGATTTGCATGATGACGGCTAGATTAATTATTCGGCGTCGCTTGCCAGCTGGCACTGGCGAGCAGTTTTGCCTTTGTTGCTTATTCTGCGGAGGTTGCTGCCCGATTCGTGAAGGAGGAGCAAGGAGTGCAGGATGCGATGCTTGGAACATCGTGGGTAGTTGCACGCTTGTCGAGGAGGTTGCAGAGGATAGTCGCGTGGTTGGACGAGCGCTGGGCCTCTGACTGGGTCGACGGGACAAGAAAGTCGGTTTAGCGTCGGCTTCTAGGCAAGACCTCAGCGTGGACCTGTCATTTCTACCCATCTCATCCTTACGGCACGCAGCACCCCAAGCCATGGTGCAGTTCGTTCCGTGTCCGTTCGCGACTTAGCTCATCGTTATGTACTCCTGGCGGAGCCTATCACCTTATTCGCTACTAGGTGCATCGGGTGGGTGAAGCTTCGCCTGGCTGGCTGGCCTGGCTGGCTGCGGCGACGACAAAGAGCCTCTCCCATGCTTCCTCCCTGCCCTTACCACCCAATTATGACAGCCTCGCTATATCGCCCTTCACGGCCCATGCGGGCTCGGTACCTGAGCTAGACGCTGCCGACGGCTCAGGAGAGTCTGGCTAAGCAACGTCGCTCGTGCCGCAACTGCGTGTTGCTCGTGCTGCTGCGGGTCACGATCGGTACTATCAATTATTCATCTTTGCCGAACTACAACCTTTGCAACTGCAGCTTCAGTTTCCCCGGCCCCACTGCCCTGCCTAGTACGTGAAGAAACCTTTCACCGTCCTTGCTCACTGCAAAGCGTTACAGCGTGAGCAGACCGAAGCCTGCAGGACCCTCTTCACGACTGCGCTGTGCCTACACCCCCTCGTCCGGTACCTGCGTCTTCAACGTCTCACCACGCTGCCATAACCCCTGCTACTACTACTACTACTACTGCCACTACTGGATTGTACTACCCAACAGGTATCACAGCTACATCGTCTATCTGGCAGCCTTTGCCCTCTGCCGCCCGCCAACAAAGAAGTCCAAAGACGTCCCAGCCAGGGCGCCTTTGTCTTTCGATCCAACCCCCGCCGAACGCCTCCCTCGAACCCGTCGACGACGTCTTATATTACACGCTACATGGTCTGTAGGGCAGGGCATTGTGTCAGGACTTTGCGTCATTGGGTTTGCTATGAGTTTGGATCAGCACATTTATGGGTACGACTTTCTTCCACGTTCCCATGTTCGGAACATGTACACTGTCTCCGCTGGTGCAACGAGCTTCATGGTGCACTATTCCCGTCGTCGGTGGCTTCTCTGCCAGGCTATGTCGGACCAGACATGACTATCAGACAGACTATGTCCAATGAAGGTCTAGGGTTAGGCAGAGGGCAGGCAACACCGCACGGTTGTCATCTGGAGCTCGTTGCATCATCCCTTGCCATGCTTCCCATCCTGTGCCAAAGATACTTTTCTTTAGACTCCCTTCCAATCCGTTCATAGATTGCACTTTTGGTTTTCCTCATGTCTCGGCTCGCAGCTGCAAGTGCCCCAGGCTAACGTGGGTCGCGTGCTAGATCGACGGACTGGCATCTACCAAGTCCATCCTCCACACCCAAATCGGTGACGTTCCCTGACGGAAGTCTCAAAACACCCAAGACTGAGACGTTTCCTCACTCGCACTTCCTCGACGCCTGGGCCACTCCACTACCTAATGGGCAGCACACCCCTGTGCAAACGCCCTCCTTCACACTGTCGACGCCTCTAGGTCGGCCGTCGAGCTCGTATAGCCAGCCCGTCCGCACACCCGAAGACCCAGAGTTCCATGTCAACCACTTCGCTCCTCAAAATTTACCTCTTCCGCCGGTCGACGCTTCCCGAAGACTGTCGTCGTCGCCCGACCCTAATCGGCTGAGGAAGGTTGGTTCACAAGGACAGTTTGGATCACGCCCTGTCAGTATGGACTTTTCACACATGCAAACGCCACCTCCAACGAGGGACGCTTCGTCTAGGAGGAGCGTACAACAAAGTGGCGGAACTGAGGTAGCCACTCCAGCTACTGTGGTGCATAGAACGCCCAGCCAATTGCCGGAATCATCAGGCGGACTTTTCAACCAGACTCCGTATGGTTTCGCCGACTTGCAGTACACTCCGCACATGATGCAGTTTCCCAGCCATGGGCCAATGTCTGCGCCGCCTATGCCTCAATCAAAGCTGTTCTGGGATCCAGCTAACGATGGCATGCAAATGGATCTAGATGTACCGCTAGGCGTTGATCCCTTTGGTCCTACCCCACATAGGCCACAGCACGATATGAACTGGCAGGCGATGAATCAAGCTAACATGATGCAAACGCCGGCATTCCAAAGCTTTCAAGCGTCTCCCATGCCAGCGTCTTTTGCAAACACACCGTCACAGAGACAAGGTTCAAGACCTGGCTCGTTCGTGTATACGTCTGCTGGTGTTGACCCCAACATGCTGCTCAGCTTCTCGAATCCCGACATGACTTCTTCTTTTGGGAACATGCCAGATCATCCCTTTCTGGACATGTCACGGCAACCGTACGAGACACAATTGCGCGATGCACAAAACGAGAGGGAGATGGCGAAGAAGTCAAGGAGCCAGCATTCGCGCAGCAACACAGCTTCTTCAACCGGATCGGCAGAGAACGCCAAACCTGTACTGCAGCGAAGCAATACAGACGGTGGAATAATGGCAACCAAATCACTTGCGATGGATCCTCGGACATCAATTCCAGCCAATGCATCAACGATACCCCGTCGTTCATCACCGCTGAAGCGTCAAGGCGGCGGAGCGCTCAAATCGATACCGGAGCTGAGAAGACCTCGGACAAGACTCATCATCGACGAGACAGGTCGAGCTCGGACAGAGACTGTGCATGCTGGAGATGACGAAGAGACTCCCAAGAATAAGCGGCAGACATCTCAGCAAGATCTTAGACGCCAATATCCTGGGCTTTATGAGGATGATGAAAGCGAATCTGAAGACGACGAGCCGGCTCCGGTCATCAGTCGGAACTCTTCTTTCGCCATACCACAACCTGAACGCCGAGCTGCGAAACACGCTCGTGCAGATAGCGGCGGACTCGAAAGACCCGCTTCCTTCAAGATGGCACGATCCGTCTCTGCCTCAAGGGTTGCACCTGACGCTCTCTCCAAGGCCTCATTTGAGCCTCTTAGATCCACGCGGAGGTCCGCCACCGACAATAACACCACCCGTCGATTCAGCGCAATGGAACGTCCTATGTCTTCCGCTCACCCCGAGGACCACCACATGCCCGACTCCCCCGGCGACGCCCTAGGTGCCCTGAAAAAGGTCGTAGGCGCTCGCCAACAACGCATTGGTAGGATAGCCACGCGCTGATTCTACACTCTTGTTACTGACAAGTTCAGAACGTGCGTCTCAAAATACACTTCTTGCTCACAACCAGCGTTGGGCTCAAGCCTCAGCCGATATATCCAACCTGTCAACTACAAATCTACCTCATAATCACAACTACGACCCTTACTCTAACTCCTTCAACCACTCCCCATCTACCACCAACACGCCATCAACCGAGTGTAGTGCTCGGTCAAACGATAGCACACGTTGTGTTTGTGAGGGTATGGTGGAAGATGAGGGAATGCCGATGGTGCAGTGTGAGGCTTGCAACAAGTGGTTGCATCTTGGTTGTGTAGGAATGAGGGAGGAGTGGTTACCCAAGGTTTTTGTGTGTGTATTCTGCACAGGGACAGATGGGTTGGGCAGGGTAATGAGACGAGGAGGAGCTGGAGATTCGCCGTTAAAGAACAAGAGGGGTTTTAGGTGAGGTCGGTGCGTTGGAATGGAGTGTTACGCTTATGGTGGTGATGGACGGGTCGTTGTGGCTCGGATAGCTTTTCGTAATGCATTGATGTGAGGCTAGATCGAAGTGCTTGCTGTGCAAGCTTTTCGAGGGGCTGGAGTATGAGAATAATGACATGTATGATGTTGAGATGACATACTTTTCTGGTATCTGACATGACGGGAGTTTGTTGAATTGTACACTATACGCCTTTACTACATCATGTATGCCAGGTGCACAGCATTCATATAGGCTTTGAGGACCTCGGGTAGCGTACGGGTGGTGAGCTTTTCCGACCACTTCAGCTTCTGCAACTTACGGTCCTAGATAGGCCTCATTATCTGCTGGTACTTAAAGTAGTAGAAACATCTTGAATCGTTGTAGTTGAAAGTTCCTGTATCATCCCATCACGGAACTAGTGGTTGATGAAGACACGTCTCGGAAGCATGTAACGTGTACAGTTTCTTCCCTTTGGAAGTCTTCACGCCATGTGACAAAATAGTGGTCTCCAATAATAGACATTCTTGATACCTCTTGCTCCCTTACAGTGCCATCACCAAGAGTAGCGGTAAAGCTCATCATGACAATCACTTTGTGAGCTTAGAGGTTAATTGAGCATGACGACTACTTTAATAGAACCGCAATGTTGCCTATGTCCATGTCAACGAGATCGGATATACATATATGACCATCATGGGCATTTTACTGTTTCGTTAACACAAAATTGGACTACGGATATGCGCAACTTCAGATTTATTTCTGTCGGGATGTGACTACCTAGGCATCTCCAGCGTCATACAAGCTATCTATAGGATCATCTTGTTGTCTTTTGGACCTCTCGTTTAGTTCGCGAAACGTGAGCGCTTTCTCCTGGTGCTCTCATGATCCGCCATTTTCGGACCTGTCGGTGTGACGTTCCTTTTGTCACTTCGCTGTGAATTTGAATGTATAGGCCAGGTTAGAACCTACAATACTACGAAGTCAGAGCAGAAGTTATATCAATAGCTCGCATGCATTGATCACTGCTACAGATAGGGGGCAAGTGATAGAAGTCGCCGACACATGTAAGGCTGATGATCCTTCGCGATAGGCGTAAACTGGGGTGAGGATTGACACGGTAGCCCCACTCTTGGCTTAACCTTCGTACTTCATACACCCAGTCTCATCCCTTCCATTCTCGGTCCGTCTCGTCTTCATTTCGGCAATTAAGCAATTACCAGATGCTTCAACTCTCAAAGGTCACACCGCGCTTGCCGTTCCGCAATTGCTTAATCCATTATGTCGATTACCTATGGTACTTGGGTAAAGTGGGAGGCTGCAAAAACACTAACAGGTTCATGCTTTATCTGCAGCAGCTGTTGCTGCATACTGATTTAGCTCCGATAGGCAGGTGTCTCTTTTTGTAGAAGCACAAGCACATGATTGGCTTGATGCGTCCTCTCTGCCATCTCGGCGTACGACGCGTCTCTTTGATCACTTCGGCGGTACCTGATCGTCCGCATCTACGTTGCACTTCTGGAATGTACAAATACCCCATCGACCCAACAATGCGCACCCGCCTCAAGGCCTGGCTTCTGCGGATCGACCTCAACAACAGTGCCAGTTGCCATGAAGACGATTCTCGTACTTGCGGCATACCTGCTTGCCCGTGGAACGTGCGCGTGCGTTCCCGACTTTGCGGACAAGATACTGTCTGATCCGCTTATACTCCAACATCCGGCAGTGATTGCTGCATTCAAACAAGTGCAGCAGAATCTCTCGTCGCTATACATTGACACTACCCGTGATGGACTCAGCTTCGCCGTCGTATGTACTAGGTTAGCTATACCAAAAGATAGGTTGCTCACATACGAAAGGTTCATGCGTCAAGCCCAGAGCCAGCCTACACGTTCAACAACGGAACGCTGAAGTTCAATGAGACTGATCTCGCCCCCGCTGGAGCGAATGAAGTGACCAGCGATTCTATCTTCCGCTTGATTTCCGTTTCGAAAAACGTCGCAATGGCATCCGCTCTAGTTATCGAGAACCAACTGAGACGAAATTCATCTTCGTCCTCATCGCTCCTTACCATTGACACGCCCATTCGTCAACTACTTCCCTCGTTCGCTCTGCCAGAGAATGACTGGAACAATGGCGGCAGTGAGATAACACTCCGTATGCTTGCAAGTCATACAGCAGGAATCCCGAGAGAAAGCTATAGTACTGGCTTCAACATGATTCTCAGTACCGGTAAAGCGGATGCGCCTACTATTGGATCGGCCTGGGCAGGCGAAAGCGCGCAGAATGTTATCGACGGAATCGCGACAAGGAATTTGATGTTCGCACCAGGACAGAGAGCTGCTTACTCCAATGCTGGACTGGGACTTCTGGGTGCCGCTGTCGCCGCTTACTACAATAATGTGACTTCTTCCTCTCTGACCTGGTCCGAGCTTGCGACTCAAGAACTGCTGTTGAGCCTGAATATGACGCATAGCTTTTTTGGAACCATTCCACAAGATCACCACCCAGATGTGGGTATCCCAGGCGGTGACAACTGGGCCGATCTGATCATAGGCGAGGGCTATGATCCAGCAGCCGGCATGTGGAGCTCCGCAAACGACCTCGCCAGTTATCTATATAATCTATGGCTTACTCCCGAACCCACGCTTATTACGCTGTTCCAGCGTCGCCAAGTCATGAAACCAAGTGTCATCCTTCCAGACGGCAAACAGCAAAGCGGCCCAGGATGGGAGATCGAGATCTTGTCGTTGCCGACGAGTGAAAATGCCAGTCTGGCAGAAGAAAGTAAAAAGACATACAGCATCTTCGGAAAGTCTGGTGACGGTGGAGGCTGGCATAGCTGGATTGACAATATACCAAACCTTGGATATGGTATTATCGTGTTAGCGCAGCAATCTGGCCTGGCGGAATATACAGGAATATCGACGAGCATGATCAGGGCAGCTATGCATGACATCCTTGCGCCTGCGTTTGCGGAAGCGTTGAGCGAGAGAACAAAGGAGCGATACGCAGGGTTCTATAATGCTGGCGAAGACACTGGACTAATCACTGATCAAGTTGGCGCTGCTCTCTCAAACTCCTCCTCAACGTATGCAGATCTCGTGGTTCAAGACCAGATCCTATACCTCCGCTCCTTGATTGTGAACGGTTCATCGGCGCTTGAGGCTATAGACCGTCTGTCCTGGACTGCCGATGCACAGCCACGCTACTTCTCCACCCCCCAGGGTGTTGTTTTAGAGCCGGCTGAAGGCGTAGGCGAGGCAAATGAATTTGGACCTGGAGCGCAGGTTTGGAGGATGATCTTTCCAGGACTAGAGACTTGCGATTGGTTTGACTTCGACGGCTATCAAGACAACAATGGATGGCCTGTGAGCAAGGTCGTCCTACTTGAGACAAATGCGGGAGTTGAGTTGCATTACCCGCCATTCGACATTGTGGTGAGTCGGATGAGGATACACAAGTAGAAGGCCTCGCCGACATGTCCTGCGGGTACCTGGCTGCGAGTCGGTGCAAGGATGAGGCCCTGTCATTAAGTTAGTTATCCGCTTTCGGCATAGTGCTTGTTGTCACGCGAGGATCCGATCCGTCTTATCGTCTAATGTCTCCCTCGAACACCACTCAACGTCTAGATCAACAACTTCCACTGTTAGCATACAACACCAATCACCGCCTCATGAGTTTTTTCAATGCAAGAATTCAAAATCAACCCCATACATTTGACTGCCCTCTACACACAACCCAGCTCCACAAACTGACAGGCCTATCGACATGGATACTCATACCGCCCACGCTCGTGCTATTATCGACAATTTCCACAGAAATGTAGCTGAAGCAGAAAGACAACAGCGCCAGCTCCAGACTAGAGAGAGTGAGCAGGAATTCTACGACATGTACAGTCCATGTAACCCTTCGTCGACTTTTCACGATCTTCAGTGTGGCCATCGGATTCAGACTGAGTACACTGCAAGCTGTGGCGTGACCTGTGTGCATCCCATGCAAGGCCAGCCGTTCGCATGCCCGAGTTGTCTGATTGATGTAGTACGTGCGGAAGTAGCCCTAGACAGTCTTACTCTTGGATCCAGTAATGACACTCCCATGGAGGGTATCGAGTCGATTGAGGACAGAATACAGCACTTCGCCAACAAGTACGTCGCGGCAATGTTGAGGAAGGATTACCGGGGATGTAAAGCAGCTTCCAAAATCGACGAACCTCGCATGCAGTTCTTCGACCAATTCATGCGACAAGATGGCTTTGGAGGAGTGGAAGATGCGCCTTCTGATGAAAAGATAACGAAGCCTCGAAAACGTCCCGGTACGGCGGTCCATAAGAACCTAGCCAAGGTGAATAAGCCATATCGAAAGCAACCCGGCAGATGGGATTATCGTGATCCGACATCAAACGATGGAGTCTCTAAAGCCGTGTTACGCAAGATTCCGGGTGACGATGAGGCAGAGGACACAGATATAAGCCAAGGAATAGTAGGCGACGCTATAGGAGTAGGGCGTTCAGAACAGTCCGCTGACGCTGGTGTCGATCTTGTTCCGCAGAAAGAAGCAACCGAGGCTGTACGAAAGGCCATGGAGGCGTTCGCCTTACTTTCGACCTAGTGAACAACCAGCACACATATGTCGTTCATAATATAGCCACAAGAGAACCACGACCATGCTGTGAGCCATGCCGCATACCAGCGAACTATCATCTTAAGGTAGTCATTACTGTGTGATGTCGCGCGTTGTTGCCGGAAGTGCATCAGCTAGAGAACGCATCAACGCTGGGGAAAACTCAGAAGCCTCCATAGATGCTATGTCGAAAAGGGGCGCGAGCAAGATATGGCAAGCCGAAGTAAAATCTGCGTCCTTGTCTGGGCGTACAGGCCTATGCGCCGTGATGATGTCAGTTTTGGTCAATACCTAGGTAGATTCAATCCATTCCCACAATCTTCAATACATCGCTCAATCATAACCAACACGCACGTCCATCCATCTTTCCGAACCTTACAGCAGATACCGACTCTTTACTATGATCTGTCGCCGAGTTTGCGCGGGTCACTTCTCGTCACGAGCACATACCAGTCGCGTAGCTGCAGATCCCTAAAAATTGAGTTTTGACATGGTAAGTCCCACAGGAAGCGCAACCTTATAGATAAGGTGCAAAACTTCCCGGGTTAAGACGACATAGCAGCAGCCGTTCGTTGGTCTCTGTAGGGCCTTTTGTGGGGCCTAGTAGGTTTGAAGTGTTGCTATCGAGACATCAAGTAGCCTTGGCCTGGGTCTACCACGAGTAAGTGGTAGTAGCCCTCATAGGGCGACTGAGTCTTTTGGTGCCTATGCCAATTGGAAATATTGCGATCTCAGATTTTTCGTCTATTGCGAAAATCTCGCCTGATGTGGTTGTGCATCATACTGTCTATTCGATGGAGCTTCCCATGGTTGCAAATCCCCTTCATGATCGCCAGGGTCTTGCCTCAATACTGGGGTGTCAATCCACTTCAGCCCACGTGCACTCGACACGCCAACACTGAACATGAATACGTTCAAATCCAAACGTGCAGTGTGGGTCATTGATGATTCGATGCAGCATTTGAAACACAGTCGCGTTGAATGCCCTTTGCCATCAACGCGAAACCGAAGTCAGGGTCATCCGCGACGAACGACTACCAGCCGTTATTCAGTGGAGTCGTTGCAGATCGGCAGACACGGGAAGTATTGAAAGCTTCTAGCTCGACTAGGTGGCATCGGCAATCCTACCCCAAGAGTCGCTTCTCAAGCCCCCCATACGCTCGCGTGGATCATTTACCGTTATAGCGGGTCGTGTACATTCCCAAACACCTGCGACAGCGACACTAACAAGCTTTCATGTTACACATGCCACGTGTGCGATCGATGCTTTCCGCACTCATGAAGATCGATGGTTAGCGCCGAGCAGTGCACGACGCTCCGCGGTCGAACGTAGGCATCAAGTACATTCCTTGATGTGCACCTTCGGGATTCTACAGCACAATTGCGCGGTCTACACACAGGAGTGTTACGACGTGGTGAGCACTTCGAAGCTGACCGTACATGGCTCAACCCTTCAGCGCACCCGATGTTCACCGCAACTGCTGTGGATGCCTCAACAGACGAAACCTAATTATGGCTGCAATCGGCGAAATCGTCAATGTACGCCATACATGCTTAGGTGCAGCGGCAGCGTGGCGTGAGTTTCTCCCCTGGTGTTTGGACTAGAGGTGTGCGGGAAGACCTGGTCCCCACTTACCACTAGCACGATCAGGTCTTGGGCCTCTCTCTGACTGGCGTATACATGTGCCTCATATCCCGGTGGCTCTCTCTGTTTGCGGTGGCCGTTCCTTACCTCACTCATCCTGACAGCCGTACCTGACAGCCGTATCTGGCACCATGGCGGTATACCCTAATATGGACGTGAACGTTTTGGGATCACATGCCAGCCGGCTTGTTGCTCGAGCTGGTGGTCTACACCCTCCACCAGAAGTTCTCCTCAGTTGGCCCAAACCAAATTATGTCGACCCAGAAGAAAGAGGTTGGGGGACACCGATCGTGCTCATGGTGTTCTTGGGTATATCCTTCCTCGTATACTGCGCGCGGATGTGGGCAAGACTGGCTATATCAAAGAACACTGGACTAGACGATATACTGGTGAGCATAGCAATCCTGCCGCTATTTGGTTTGACTATTTCCACTGTACTCGGTAAGCATTACCTCACCTCCACATTAATATTACTGACTGGCAAAGGCATTCGCATCTATGGCTTTCAATGGCACGTCTGGGACCAGACAAGGGAGACCTTAGTCACGACACGAGAAGTAGGCTTGTATGTTCTGCTGTATCTGAAGGTATGCTGACGTATCAGATCGCCATGGCAATCGAACTCAACTACATGTTATCGACAACGTTGGTCAAGGTATCAATCCTCTGCTTTTACCGCCGTATCGGCGATCGTCTCACAAACCAGTTCATCTACTGTAAGTGAACACAAGCAACCGACATGGTATACTCAAGTACTGACATGTCACCACAGGGGTCTATGGTACCATCGTTTTCTGCATCGTCTACGGAATCGTCTTTACCTTCGCCATCGTCTTCACATGTACACCAGTAGTGGGATTCTTCCGCCTCTTCGACATCGCCTGGAGACTGCAGAACGAATTGACATGCCGCAACGAGGGTGCCCTGATTGTCGCATGCGCAGCTATCTCGTCCGTACAAGATTTCATCATCTGCATGCTACCAATACTTTTGATTTGGAACCTGAAGATTGGCAAGCGTCAGAAAATGGGGTTGTGCGCCATCTTTGGCTTGGGAATGATAACATGTATCTGTGGTATTCTGCGCACGTTCTACGCCACAAAGCTTTACTACTGTAAGATCGTCACTCCATCCCAAGATAAAACAAGAAAAACTAATTGATCAACCAGTCACCTACGATATCACCTGGACAGCATACTCTGGTTGGGTTTGGACAACACTCGAAGCCCAACTAGCTGTCATCTGCGCCTCAGTTCCCTCACTCAAGGTCTTCTTCATCCGCTACTTTGGCACAGATACCACAAGGGCTGGATACTCTCAGACCGGCACACCAAGCAAGTCCTTTGGCCCGTCGTCAAAAACAAGGTCCGTTGGATTTGACGCGAAAATATCCCAGCACTCAGCGCAGCGTTCGCAATGCACTGCTGGTTCGATTCGCGACGACGTCCCGCTGGAGGGCATTCATATCAATCATAAGTTGGATGTCAAGGTAGAAGAAAGGGATGATTGTAGTCAAGTCAGCTTCGCCAGTACGAAGGCCCTCACCGCTTTACCAATGCCGACGCAGCCAGGGTGGCGAGGAAGGGCAGATTGGGTCGATGGCTGCAGGACAGTCTGCGCGGCGCTCCGTCCTGGTAGCAGAGGCACGTCAGGGAGTCGCAGCCGGACTCGTGAGGGTGACGTCGAGGCTGGCAGCGCATTCTGAACATGACCTAGACGCCCAGCAATCACACACCCGCTACGATAAATAATACAGGGGCCCATAGCCAGAGGCTTGTATGTTTGTTGTGCCTCGTTCTGGATTTTTGCATTTACGCGGTTTAGATTTCCACATCTCCTCTTTTCTTTAACATGGATCGCACAGGATATATACCCATTCTTTTTTATACGGCGCTGGCGGCATCATTGAACGACTAGAAGCACTTTGGTATATAGATATCGAATTATGTTCGAGCATTTTTGTCTAAAGACACTATTTACAATCACTACACTCTTGGCTATCTTCTCATACGATCATTCCACATGAGTAATGCTGGTATTCTACTCCAACAACGCCTTCCTTACAGCCTCAACCTCGTCCTTGTTCCCACAAATCAAGCCACCCCTCTCATCCGTGTCCTCAACTGGCGTCTCCAACACCCTCTTCCCCGTTGCAGAATCCAAAGCCGCACCGCCGGCACACTCCATGATTAGCGCAATGGGTGCCAACTCGTAAAGTCGCCTTAGCTTAGCTTTACTCTGTGCTGTCACCGGAGATACATAAACACCATGGCCTTTAACCAACGCATGCACAACATCCGGAACAAGCCCACCACTATACCGCAAAGTGTATTTTTGGGTAATATAACGGTTGATGAGATTGAGGTACCGTTGGTCTTCGGCCGCTGCGCGCATATTTGCAGGAGCAAAATACCGGGTTTTCACTTCAGAGGCTTGCGCCAATTTGACTTCTGGACGAATGACTTGCATAGTTCCGTCGTCTGCGTATCCGACTTCAAAACACGATCCCTCAGTACCTGGTAGACGGATGGCGACAACAGCGGTTGTACGTGGGCCCAGCACACCCAGTATAGAAGCGATTTGTTTATCATTAGGGGACTGGTGAAGAGCTGAGGCACCTTCCCAGACTCCAATGATGGTGCCTACACTCCAGTTTGGCGCGATGATTGAGGAGCCGTCCAAGGGGTCGAAACCTAGTGTATAGACTTCTGTTCCTTGATTTTCGCTTCTGCTAGTGGACTCTGAAGATTTCTCGACGGGATCTTCCTCGCTAGATGCTGTGACTATGGAAGGACAGGAGGAGATGGTTTTGCGGATTGCTTCTTCAGCTAGGACGTCCACATTGAGTTGGTCGTCGCCGAAGGCGTTGGCGGTACCGACTTGAGTTACCGAGGGGGAAGTACGAAGGTGGCCTGCTATGGTGTGGATTGAAGCGAGGAGCTGAGGTAAGACGGAGTCGCGAAGTTGGGGATAAGATGATGGGACGAGGGAGTTGAGATGCGTTCGAAGATCTGTTGATTGCGCCATGTTGGACGGGTGTTCGGCTATCGTGTTTTGGGAGATGTGTATTTTTCAGATGATGGGAAGGATGATTTATTGTCGCACGTGAAGTTCTATCAGGAGAAAAGAAATCCTCGTCTGCTAGTGCTTCTCTGACTGTGACGTCGTGGTGTGGAGTTGCGGAAGCTCCGTCCCTGCAGAGCTCCACAAGCATCCACATAAACACTGATTGTCTTCTCGGCCCTACCCGCGTCTTCCCTCAATCTACGACACTGGATACATCAGCCACATTACACGTGATACCTGGTAGGAATGACTCCACAGATGTTGAAGATGCCGTTTGGCTATTCAAGGTTATTCAAGGTGGGGGTCAGAGCGGGGTAGCTTTGGGAGCTTAGCTCCCTGGTGTGTAGTCATCACGACAAGCTTCAAACACTCATACATCGTGTCTTTTTTCCCTTCTTTTTTCCTTGGAGTTTACTTGATCTTCGATCGCGCACTGATCTACGCGTCATTTCCATTCTCACAATGCCACAAACGCTCAAGATCGCGTCCGCGCAAGCACGCACCCTCTCCACAACCGCCGAGACCCTCGTCGCCCTCGAAGCCACCACAAAGCGGGCCGCCTCCCAAGGCATCGATGTCCTCCTGTTTCCCGAAGCATACTTGGGCGGATATCCTCGTACTTGCTCTTTTGGCGCTGCGGTTGGTGCTCGCGCACCCGAAGGTCGCGAGCAGTTCCTTCACTATTTCCACGATGCTGTCGATATGGGCGACACACCGAGCGGCGCTGGGCAAGATTGGCTAGACCGGAAGCTCGAACTGCCAAAAGGGAAGGAATACAGGGGTGACGGGACAAGAGAGGAGTTAGAAAGGATAGCGAAAGAGACCGGTGTCTTTGTTGTCACTGGAATAGTGGAAAAGTCGGGTGGCACACTTTACTGTGGGGTTGTGTTTGTAGACCCAAAGATGGGGATATTGGGGAAGAGAAGGAAGGTCATGCCCACCGGTAGCGAGCGGCTGATCTGGGGCTTTGGAAGTGCGAGTACGCTGAGGGCAGTGACAACAGAGATCAAAGGTGTCAAGCTGTGCATGGGATCAGCGATATGTTGGGAGAACTACATGCCGCTGCTGAGACAAAGCTTGTATAGCCAAAACGTGAATCTGTGGTTTGCACCGACAGCGGATGCGCGCGACGCCTGGGCGTCGCTGATGCGGACCGTAGGCTGCGAAGGCCGATGCTTCGTCGTAAGTGCAAACCAATGCGTCAAGAAGAAACATCTCCCGGAGTGGATTTCAGGCCAGGCGCAGTCGCAGAGCAATGGGGACGGAACTGGAGTTGGCAGGAGGATATCACAACAGGGCAGTGGGGCCGCTGGTAGACGGCGAAGTACCATCACAAAGACACAAGAGGGCCACGAGATTTATCTGCCAATCCCGGAAGGCCAAGCGTCAGCCACGAACGGTGACTCTTCAGCGATCGACTCTTCATCGGTTACAGATGATCCACTTAGTCCCAAGCAGCAGCCCTTTGCGCAACCCCAAGCATCGTCCACAGACGGAGAAGAGTTTGTTTCTCGCGGCGGCTCTATGATTGTATCACCGCTAGGCGACGTGCTTGCTGGACCGTTGTGGGAGGAAGAAGATGAGCTGCTCGTTGCAGAAGTCGACTTCGAAGATTGTGAGCGTGGCAGACTCGACATGGACGTTGCAGGAAGCTACTCGCGCATGGACAGCTTCAAGCTTAGCGTCGAGGGTCTTGATTTGAACCCGCCTCCGATGTAGGCATTGTGAAACTCGACAATGAATCTTTCGCAGAGCTGGACTATTGGTTTATGTTTGCATCGTCGCTTTGTATGTACGCTTTGACCGCGACTTGCGCAAAACTCACTGTGCAATTGATCAGCCAGTACCTGCGAGGATTTAACCAATCCAATGCTCCTCAACGATCTGTCACCGCACATAATCTATCGCACGATAAAGCAATTAGTCTGACTACCTGCGGCCAACGTCAACGACATAATGGCTCCTCATTTCATCACGAAACACATCATGCCATGTTCTGGGACTCCAGTCCACAAACTAACCTGCACTCACACCATCCACGCTTCCTTTCTGCAACCAAACTCCTCCTCAAAATGTGCCCCTAACTGCGCTGCTGTTGATCTTTCCACCACCGCCGAACCCTCGTTTCTCTGTCCCACATGCTACGAGTCCACCCTCCGCGACGAATATCAAGAGTTTGTGAAGCGCTGCAAGAAAAAGGCCAAGGAAGGTGGGTGCAACATAGAGATCTTTGTGTGTGAGCTTAAGGAAGATTGCGATCATGGAAATTTGGTAGGGAAGGAGTGGATGAAGGAGGTTCATACCTGGTGTACTGTTTTCCTGGGTCACAAGAGTTTCGAGAAATTGGTGAAGGAGAGTTACAGACGGAAGGTGGAGATGGAGAAAATGAGGGATTGCAAGGCTGTAGATGGGGGGTTTGAGTAAGAAGTAGAGGTATCTGCTGCATGCTGATGAAGGGAGTGCTTAATCAGGGTTTGTTGATGTCGGGACGGGGTGTCTGGGATGATCTTCAAAGTCGTACGAGACACCATTGCCTTCACCATACTGAGTGAGGATAAGGTGCTTCAACACATCGAAAAAGTGATAGTACAGTGCGCCCGTAGCCTGCAAGCTACTATATTGCGTGAGTGCCTGATGCGCAGCCAACTGCTAGATACCTCCTCGCGCTGCAATGTCAGGAGACCCATAGCTTCGGAGACAGTTGAAGCAATATGACCACACCATGAACATTTCCATACACCTAAAATAGACGGGAGACTTCTGTGATATCTGAGTGATAGTTGAGCTCGCATTTTAAGGTGCGGAGCGGATAAGAAGGCCGTGATCGCAATGAGTGAGTGCTACGTAATCAACCAAAAATTTGACATGGGACAAGCCCACAAGACATCCCAACAGTGAGGATAGCTGTAGTGACAGAAACAAAGGCAAAAAAGAAAGAAGACTTGTCAAAGGAAGTATGCCGAAGCCCAAGGGGCTCGAACCCTCAACCTTTGGTGAACAGGCACAAGCCGAAAACCAACGCGCTACCATTGCGCCAAGGCTCCAGGTAGGAGGATTGATGAAAATTTTTGAAGTTGGATAATTTATGTCCCAATAGCCCACAAACTACGATGTCTCTGTTCCCTATGTGCGGAGGTTACCTGGTCGTCAAAGTATGGCGCACCAAGGTCTGCAGTCTTCGGTGCTTTGACACATCAGCATGCCCCACATGCAACCACAAACTTCAAGCTATTGTCAATCAGGTGCGCAGCGAGGGGCCGTTCACAATCCGGGCCGGGAGACATGACCGTTATGTATTACAATGTTGCGGCTCCAGTCGTGGAAGAAGATCATGCGTGAATTGTTGGTACACAGAAGTCTTAGATCAACGCTTCCGCACAAGCAAAGTTACCATACGCCAGATTTATGCAATCGCTAATAAACAAGACATAGTGCATGCGCCCAACTAACGCTCAAGTAACAAGCACTGACAGCCTTAATTCCGCGGCTTCCTCCATAGCTCCTCCGGGTCCAGTTGCCGTCCTGGCGACACGCCATTATTCGGCTGCGATCCGGAGTATTCGATACCACAAGCGCCTCGGTCTAAAGCAAGCGTGTTCAGGTCCCAATGAAGTTGTTCCTCAGGGTCTGTCGCTAAGCTCGTACGCGTACGTCCTTGTGGCTGGTACGACGCTTGCTCGACATTCGAGTTATTGGACGCCATCAGCGAAAGTGACAGAGAGTCGAGCTCAGTTGCAAATTCCATCTCTTCTTTGCTAGCTTCTAGTGCAGAGCAAATATTACTCGGCCGAGTCTTGGATTTGAGCTCCAGCTCATATACGCGCTGGTCACGCGAGAATTCTGCTTCGAGCTGTCGGTGCTCAGCATACCACTGCTCATACTGCTCCTTACTCATCTGCTCCATAGGTGGATAAGTCGCGTTGTGTTGCGTCTGTCGCTCTTCCCAGATCTTTGCTGCTTCTGCTTGAATGCATTCGTTGCAAACGAAGGGTGCATCCACTGTATTACCATACGGTTCGATGCAGTTTGCGCCACAATCCTCGACTAGGTCTGTACGAATGCGATGTGAACAGAGAAGCTGATGGTACAGACGACCTTGACATGGCGCGAATCGCTTGGAACGAATGTTGTTAAATGAGGAAACAGGTATTTGCTGCGATGTCGACGAAGATGCGAAAGCTGAGTTGGTACCTTCGTCGGGAGTGCTAGTCCAGCCCCATCTACACGCCATGACGAGGTTTGCGTGAGACATGGTATCGTCGGAGACTGTGGACGTTGGCATAGTCCGAAACGCACTGTTCGAGAAATCCATGACGAGGTTGTGGATCAAGTTCGCAGTGGGAATTGCGGGTGATGTGCGGGTGGCGTCAGCTGACTACGCGTGGTTGCCTTGAGTGGTGGCGGCTATGAATACTGTCGATGTGTCCAAAGAATGGAATAGTCGATGGTATGGACGGTGCAACGCGACAATGATCAAGGACCGAGTTGAGTAATCGGCGTTGTTCGTTCGACGGCGTGAAGGTGCATCGTATGTGCACAGGGCGCTCCAGTGGTGTGACGCTAGCTATCGCAAGGCGCTCAATCTACAGTCAGTCGACAGTGAGAGTATATTTAGTGACTTCAGTGAAGCGGGCCGATAGTAATGGGTCGCACGAGTGTGCACTTGAATCCTTGATAGATGATGTGCTGCCGGGGCCTGATGTGCAGGCGGATAAAAGTTGGTGAGTCGCGACGCGCTGGCCCAAGTTCGCGATGGGAGCTAAGCCTTGTACGGGCCGATGACGCTGTAGAACCTTGGAAGCTTCTAGTCTCGCCAAGTCAGCATCCAGCCACTCCTCGAGCTTCACAAAAGTAACACGAGTAGTTCTGATTAAGATAAATAAAAACAGAAACGCGAAGAGGCAGCTTGTCGTCTCCGCATTTTGTATGTGTCGTCATATAGGGAGATGCCCAGAGAAGGGGGTGGCAAAGAAGTAAAACAGGGGGGGTCAATTGATTGTACCACTGCTCATCGCCTCTTTCAATTTGTCTACCATACGACCTACAAATTCCCAAGTCTCTAGACCAAGAACCTGAAACCTCGCTCCGCACCAACTCCTGGGACAGCGTTGATCGCGCCTTCAACGTGTTCTCCCCTTGCAAGTTTCTTGTTCAGCCTTCCTAGGATGATCCGCATGATGACCGTCATGATGATGGCCAGTGCTGCAGTTGCGCAATCCACACTGAGTGGTACCGTCAAGTCCGGTTGTCCACTCTTCGGCTGCGGGTACATATAACTTGCATAAATCGAACTAGTATTACTGATCGCGTTGATGAAAGCTAGTGCAGCCGCTCTCTTTGCTGGCGGACGGGGTAAAGAATTGGAAATCCAGGCCAAAGCGACAACGTAGCCAGTATAGACACCAGGGACCATCAGCATCATGGCGACGTAGCGGGGTGCGGTAGCTGTTGTAGCTGCAGCCAGGATAAAGGCTGCTACACCCACGCAGAGTGGGAGAACAATATGGAAGAATCGTTCGCCAGTGCGGTCGGCATGCCAGGCGTTGAGGTAGGTCGTGATAACTGCCAGGACATAAGGTGGCGCTGTCAACAACAGCGTCTCGATGTTTGGGTATCCAAGGGTTTTGACCACTGTTGGGAAGAAGTTGGTAACACTCGCTGAAGACACAATCGCGAGAAGGAGAATGGTGAGCACCCAAGTCTTGATATCGAGCAATGCGAGCTTTAGGCCGTGGAAGAAGGTCTGTGACTCTGCGGACACCCAATCATCTTCTCCAACATCTTCCTGAAGTCGGTACACGGCAAGTTGGCGCTCTTCTTCCGTGAGCCAGGAAGTAGTTCGAGGGAAGTTAGGCAGAATCCAAAAGGCTCCAAAAGCGATCGCAACGGTGATGACACCCTACAGAGTCAGCACTTGGCATATGTACTCACATCGCTTATGACACTTACTTCAATTATAAACACCCAGCGCCAAGCTCTAAGACCTTGCGTACCGTCCATATTACTCGTGATCCCCGCAGTGATTAGACCACCAAACGCTCCCGATATCAGACTCCCAGAGTATAGCACCGCCGTCCTCAGACCCAATTCTTTCCTTGTATACCAAGCGCTAAGGTAAAACAAGCACCCTGGGAAATATGCGGCTTCGATGAACCCGAGGAAGAAACGGCACACCACAAGTCCAGCGAAGTTCTGGCATGCGCCGGTAGCACCAGATATGATACCCCAGACGATCATGCATGTAGGCAGGTATATGGCCGGTTTGCCAGTCTTATTAAGGAATAAATTCGAAGGAATTTGCCTGAATGTAGATGTACCCAGTCAGTGTTTGTCTTGTATGCAATTTGTAACGGGGGATTCCCTACATGAGAATATAGCCGACGAAGAGGATGGAAACGGTAGTCTATCGGAATCAGTGGAGTGCTATCTTTATGTGATTCATCAATACGCACTTGGTACTGCACACTCGTGAGCTCCAGCTCATCTTGAAGACCTGCTAGGCGAACGGCAGCGATGTTATTCCTGTCGAGGTAATCTAAGTTCTATCAGCACTGTATTCACATAGTCTCAGCTGTCAAGGCATACTCATAATATACATCAGGATAATCATCGGCAACAACCTCGTATCGATCTTCCTCCTCATCTTCTTTTCCGCCTCAAATCTTTCCTCGGCGCTCATAGCGGCGACTAGCGGCGGCGCAACAAGCTTGCGATGTCCATCCACGGGCCCATTTCCAGCTTCAAGTGTCGTGGGCGCGATCTTGTCATCGGAGATTTGCTCAATCGAAGGTTTTTGGTCGTCAGTAATTCTCGCCATGATCGCTGTATCAGCGCGTGACGGGCGACTTGGTGAGCCTGTCCTTGTAATATACAATGTGCGACGGCGTTAGGCGCAAGCAAAGTGAATGCGAAGGCGCAACGATAAGAGACACCAAGCAACAACGCGGGGCCCCAAGCTTCCACTTATACGAAGCTTGCCGTACTTCCAAGCATCTACAGGGGTAGCTCGCGCCATTTACGTCGTCCAACCTCAAAAGACACATCGACGCACACCCATATCACGTAGCCGAGGGACGGTAGCCGACAACCGTACAGGAATGTCGGCCCGCCGCAGAGATCAGCATCTCACGGCAACGGAACATAACATGCGATTCGTCAATCGGGGTATCAGTTAGTCGTAGTAATATGCTGATGCAACGGTGTGCATGCGACACGGGCTGGGTGTGGTTTAGTACCCGTTGGTGTTGGAGGATAAATGGACATGCGGGGTGAAGATCGACCGAAGCGTCATAGGCTAGCGTCACGAAGAATCCGGGGTTGCTGCACGGCTTATGGAACGGCGGTACCTCCGATATCGACGCGATTACACAACCGTTCGTATCATGTATCCTCTACGTCCGTTCCATATAGTTTCGACTACATCCCAATACTTTATCGACTAGCCGTGTACGCAGTAGTTCAAAAGGGATAGAAGAATTTCTCGACAAGTACCTGGGGAGTGACTATCTTTCGTATAGGCCAACACAGCCGATGACGCCTGGAGAGCTCGCATCGAAAGCTGTTATAGTTACAACATTCGACAACACTCGTCAAGAGTTTGCACGATACGAGAACGTCGCATCCGGACAAGGCAAGAATGTGGTAGGTTTCAATGTTCGACTACTTGGTTGGTCTTGTGGCATGATAGACATGCAATAAAACGTATATTGGATATGAATTAGCAGAACCGAGAAGATAATGACAACGTATATAGCTTTCCCGCAGCCGGCGATAGGTAACCAGCTATCACTCCATTAACGTAAAAAGAACGTATCTCTCATCAACGCATCACGCTCGAAACGCCTTTGGTGATCACCCTCCTCATATCGCCCCAGCTGATATCTAGCAATGTCATGATCTTCGATATTAGTTGACCTTCTGTTGGTAAGACCTCTTCTCCCTACGAGTAGAGACTGTGCGCTGTGTTGCTGCCATGGATTATGCGAAGCCAAAACTGGCATAGATGGTCTTGAAGCAAGAAACCGGTCTGGAAGTGCAGCTTGGTCTTGCTGCTGCCTTTTCACCCGAGCACCTTCCTCTAGACAATGGAGCCTTAATTGTAAAGATTCCAACTTCTGTCGTGTGGCCTCCGCTTCTAGAGGTTCTGCAGACGGGAGGGTCTTGGGTAGCCTTTTGGAATCACAGCCTTTGGCCGACGTGGGGAGTGTGGTAGCTGTGAGAGTTTGTTGGCGCCACGAGTTAGGGTTGGCATTGTTCGCTGACTGTTCGCGTTGAGTATGTGGTCGCGGAACATGGCCGCTCGGCACCTGAGGTTGAACTGTACATGAGAGAGGAGCGGTGCCACAACGTCGAATCCGGTGGGCTTCTCTTGTCTCGCTGGGTCTGACCGGCATAGATCGAGGTGGAGGCAGTGTAATCCTTTGTCGCTTATCGAGGTTGATAATGCAAGCCGATGCACCGACGGACAACTCGTCAATCTGTGGTGCCGCTGATGGGACTTCATCATACGATAGTGTGGTATTCTTTGTTCCCAGATCAGGTTTTACAATATGCTTCGCCTCAGGCTCTGGAAAGCGGTGAGTAGAGTTTGTAAGATTTTGACGCAACCGATCTAGCGTTTGGACGAGTATTGCACAGTTCTTGCACATAGGTGTGCTTTCGAACTCCCGAGTCGGTCGCGATGAGGAAGCTAGGCTAGAGGCGTTGCCCATGTAAACATGCTGGACATTCGAGCTTGTCTCGCCGCAAACCGGCTGTAGTTTCTTCGTGTTCGTTGAAGGGCATGGCACCGTCTCTCCTGAGTTGCGTTTGCGCTGCCATTGCTGGACTTTCTCTTCCGTACTCATCGAGTGTGAGAAATTCGCAAGGATCGAAGGGCCTGCAAAAGACTCAACGTGCATATCGTGCTGCTGCGTAAAGTCTGCAGGTAGAGTCGTGGCTCTAGCAAGCGGCTTCTGCAGGTGTTGCGATGGCGTCTTCTTCGAGATCCCGGGAGCGCGGCGCATAGGTTGCTCTACGTGGCCACTCATCCTTCGTTGCGGAGTGAGGTTTGGAGCTGGTAGATCTATAGTACCACTCTTCCCGTGTCGGATGATTTCAAGCATCGCGTCGCCCTTTGGGGCCGTTGTCAGGTTTTCGTACCCACAAGAGGTAATGAGGATGTCGTCTTCGATGCGAACACCGCCCACGGGCATATACCGCTCCAATACTTCCACGTTAATAAAGTTGCGGTGGACAGGTGATGGAAGGTAGAAATGTTGCAAAGCGTAGACAGAGAAATAAATGCCAGGCTCGACTGTAACAACCATGCCCTCTTCGAGGTGGCTGCTTTGCGGATCAGACGGCGCGCGGCAGGTCTCGGGGTCATATACTGGTATATGGAAATTTTGCGGGTAAAGAGACGGTGCCTAACATTGTGTTAGCTGTTTATCAACACGATTATCGCTTGCGCTTACCTGCTGGTACACTGGCTTTCCTCTCCTTACACTCATCAGCTGTGCCTGACCCACGTCATGCACCTCGAGGCCAATGTGATGTCCCAGCCCGTGCGGGAAGAATGCTCTACTTGTACCAGCCTTGTAGATCTCTTCCTTCGTTCCGTTATAGAGAATGCCCAGCTGCAATAGGCCATCGATAGCGATCTGGTGTGCCATGATGTGCAGATCCAGATACCTCACACCAGGTTCTAACCGTTTGATACATGTCTCTTGCATACGTTGGACCAGCTTATAGATGTTCTCTGCCTCTTTGCTCGGCCAAGAAGCGGACAACGGGAAACTGCGTGTAATGTCACTTGCATATAGTTCGTACTCGCATCCTGCGTCTAAACACATGAGTTGTCGACCTGCGAGATCTTCATTGTTCGCGTCATAATGGAGAGTTCCAGCGTTTGGCCCAGAAGCAGCGATGGGATCATAAGCCTGTTGCTTTGCTTGATGCGATATGCACACATCCATGAACAGACCCTCAACTTGTGCTTCGTTCTTGAATTTTGCGATGTTAGCGAGCACTTCTCGGTGCGCTTGCGAGCTGATATCATTCGCCTTCCGAATGAGCTTGATCTCGTGATCATCCTTGATCATACGACATATGTTCATGGCTGGCTGAAGGGCTGTCGAGTCGATGCGAGGCTTCAGGTTCTCGCAACCTGGGAATTGCGATGACTGGTGCATAGTGTAGATACTAGCCTGTCGATTACCGATCGCCCATCCTTGGACGGCGTATTCAAGCTCATCTGCGTAAAATACTTGATCAACATCGTACTTCACAAGCGCCTCGGCAAGCGTAGAGCCACGGCCATTCCAGATAACGCGCTCAGGCTTGATGCGTGGGACGAATAAAGAGAGTTCGTCGCGTCGCGTGTCGTACGTCAGATGGCAGTCAGGCTCATTACATCTTCATACCATCAGCACGATCCTCACATTACTCCCAGATCAACGCACCCGCTCAAGTAGTAAAAGTATCGGCGTTGTCGGAAGGGTGCTGGCATGTCGCTATCCTCATTATTCCTCGCTGGCTGACCTGGGAGGTATATCAAGCCTTCTTCAACACCCAGTTTCTCTTGCACTCTCCGCGCATGTTGTTTTGCTGCGCGATGTTAGCTCGATGCCTGCTCCACTTTCATCTCCCAATACTAACCGGGATATTTCTCGAACGGAGTCTCCGCCTCGAGGTGCAACCAATACTCGTTGTCCTCCCATCTCAAGCGCTCAGAGAGACCTTTCGCATCGAGAACTTCCATCTTGATACCTCGTACTACCTGGGCGAAGGACTGCGAATGCGAAAGGTTGCAGCACCGATGGAGATGCGACCGGCGTTTTAGTGTTGTCGAGGAGCTCACCGGTAAAGCCACCGCATAGCGCACGTGCCCTCGACTCCGGTCAATCAACCGGGAACGATGCGATCGTGGACAAGATTGACGCATTTGGCCCCTTCATACTTACAGATGGATTGGTACTGATCGAAAGCGTTCCCTCAAAGCGAGAGGCCAAGATAGTAGCATCGCGACTGCCAATGCATAGGTTCGACCAAGTCGCTCAGGTTGCCTCACCACCCCGCGCCCTGCTTTTCATGCCCAACTACTGTGCAACATCGTGTTCATGCGGCATTCGTGCCCATGTGCACTTCTGCATACTCTCACCGCGTCTAATAGGTGACACGAAAAGATGTACACCGATTCCGGGTCAAGCCAACAAAGGAATATGAAAATTGCAAGGTGTTCGGTCTGAGGAGGCGCTGATTGGTCGTCGATCTTGACCGGTCACCGGTCAAGATGTCGAGCTACGAGAGGCACGAACGGACTTGTCAGACTGAGTAATGTCGCACAAACAACGAGCCGATCCTGACATATTATTCGACCATTCTATATGTGTATTAGATTTTGGCTATGAATACGAACAAGACCGACGCCGGATATCTCTGAGCATCAATGCCGACGCCCATACAATCACAGTCTTCCTTAGAGGGTTTGAAGGCCGCGAAGATAAAGAATAGAACATTCATCAGCTACCTAGGAAGTCGCCAACCTTAAAATCATCGGACGTCTTATTCGTGATGATCAAAATAGGGAGGGACCAACGTCGAGACCAAGCCACAAAGCATACCCGATGACCAACGCTGAAGGTACTCAGTGTAATGAACCCAGGCTTGAAACTTCCACTCAGCCTTCACGCTGGAGAGTAGAAGGAGGCAGGTCCGAGCTCAACACCCCCTTGAGTAGAAATGGAAGTTGTTGTAGCTTCCAAAGTTAAGCGCAAGCTGGGTTGCTTCACGGTGACATGTGTTGCCGTATTGGGGGCCCTTGATTTCTCTGCCGGACGCGTCAGGCAGGGCCAGGCTAGTTTTGATTTTGTTCATATTGGAGACATTGTGAAGGAAGTCGAACATGGTGTTGTCGCCACGCGAAGTTACCTGACTTCGCATTCAATCTGGTAAGAAATGTTTCTATGTGACTTGTATTTGATATGTGCACTAGTTTTGTAGGTGCAAATTTTAGGACACAGACAGTCGTTCTGAACCGGTGCTTGTCGCTTGTAAAACATGACGTTTGAGGGGTTGAGCATTAGGCACAAAACAATGTGCGGTTCGTTCTCCTATTCAACCAACGCGTTCTGTTTACAGGTTGTGTATACCGTATTGATGCGTGTCCGTCAACGGTATCTTGTCATCTTTTTCATTAGGTTTTGGGCCTGATGTCGGAATTTGGAGAAGAACAGTTGCTTAATCAGAGCAGAAAACATATTCAGGGCGTGGGAAACTAATACACGAAGGCAGTTGAGAGGAAACAAAAGGTGCGGCCAAATACGTATGTCATAAAGGTTGCAATTGAAACGCGGTGCATTGTCAGCATTGCTCCGGAAAGCAGCCACGGAATATCTAAGGTGGTAAGCATGCACTATGCAAGAAGTCATGGTACTACTCGTCGTCGTCATCGTCATCATCCTCGTCGGTAAAGTCGTTGTCATCGTCATCTCCCATTTCCTCATCTTCATCTTCGTCCGAGGCGTTAACCAGGTGTCTCTCTTCTGGCCACTTCACAGTCACTTCCTCTTCTAGCTCCTTCCAGAACTTGCCCATATCCGCCCCCGTATGCTCCTTCACCGTTTTGGTCGCTGTCGTTGACTCATCGTCAGCATCCTCTCGCTTGAATCCCACGTGCATGTGATCTTGCTGCAAGATACCGACTTTCAAATGGTTGAGGGCAAGCTTCTTATCTGTGGATAGCCTGTGAAAGAATTCCTTCCAGAAATTGGGCTTGTGTCCGAACGGCGCAGCGGTAACAGCGGGAAGGTTCATCCTCCAAAGACTTAAATCTTCTAGAGTCGCTGCGAACTTCTTGATCAGAGCGACAAGAATGTCAGCACGAGCGCTCAATTGGCCGAGTTCGAGCTTCTTCAAGAGTGGTAAAGCGATTGTAGCGGGATCAAGGAAGGTCGCGCTACTTGCACCGGCAGCAAGCTCTGGAGTACCCAACCACTGCAGATAGTCCTCATTGTTGGCTACCAGATGTTTCTCGAAGTTCAAGCGGAGGTGTACCAGATTTGGGGTAAAGTGGAGAAAGCGTCGAAGTGATCGTCCCGCGTTCGGGTCGGCAGACGTTCCGTTGCTGTGGGTATGCAGGTAGCGAGGCTTAAGATCCACATTCAACAGCAATGTAGTTGTATTCTGAAGTATAGGCCCAACGGTTGGCCGAATGTAATCTGGGAGGAAGAACGCTGTGTCTGGAAGGCCACGCTGGCGGAGTAGGACCTCGAATTCAGTTGGCCTACGGTTCGCCTTGCCCAGAGCGTACAACACACTGGAAAAGACGCGAGATGCGAAACGTGTACCGAGTTCATGCGCGAAAGAGTCGCGATCGGAGAAGCGAAGTTCAATCCCGGTCTCGCGGTGAACGGTTGTAGCACCCCAGGAGCTCCAGCTCTTGCCATCGCGAACCCGATTACTAGCGTTGAAGTCGCGGATCCCGATCGTGGAGAGATTGTCGAGACGCTCAAATGCTTCTGTGAGCATTTCGCGATCGATTCCTGTACTCAACAACGTCTTTTGATCCTCGTAGCCTTGTATATAGCATGTAGCGGCATCTTCATCCTTGAACCGCAGTGGTATCTCACCATAAACATTGGTGGCAATGATGATATGTGATAGTTTCTTGGAGAGGCTCACGTGTTTGGATATGTCGATGAGTGCTTGCAAACTCTTGTGCGTAAGCATGAACTGTTTCTTGAAAAAGAACTCTTTCGAAAACCATTCGTAAAGCGACTTCTCGGTCTGTTTGCACGCCAGGCGGAGTGATCCTAGATCTTCGGTAGGAAGGTACTCTGAGACGGTGACCAGTAGTTCCAAGGGTATCGTGAGAAGCGATGCCATCTTGACAAGTAGTGAGGTTGGCGGAGTTTAAGATTTTAGGTACAATGACGGCGATGCTTGTGGTACGATGCCGTCTTATCATGTGTGAACGCGTCGATCTCGCGAAGGCAGAAACGGACGCTGTTCCGCTTTGGGGGCTGATGCCTAAGGGCGCTCCTTCCGGACCCAGGCCAGCGTCTCACCGGACGCCTGATCCCGTCTCAACCAACTGTTCAAATAGCCATCTTTCACCTCCAATAGAGTCGCATCACATCTTCTCCAACTTCAATTGAACCAATGGCTCGCAAAGCTGCGCAGAAAGCCCCTGCGGCCTCTCCCCTTGATGGATGTACCGTCGCCGCGTCTGGCCGCTTCCCCAGTGGAGTAACTCAATCGGCACTACAGGCGCGTCTAACGTCACTCGGCGCCGCATTCGCGTCAAGCGTATCAGCAGACACGACCCATCTCATCGCAACTGAGAAGGATTTTGAGAGCAACTCTACAAAAGTCAAGGCTGCAGCCGCACACAACGTGCCAGTTGTCACGCTTCATTGGCTCGATGAATGCGAAACGACAGGTAAGTTCTGGATAATTTGTTTTTTTCTTCGAATCGTCATATACGCCTCGGGATGCTACAAGGATGTCCAAATTGACATTGGGTACAGATTCCAAGGTCGATGAGTCGCAATATCTGCTGTCTTCTGCTGCTGTGGCACCAGCTCCAGTCCCTGCTCAGAATGGGTCAAAGAAGCGCGCAGCGTCATCTGCCTCACCACCTGCAACTGCGCAGGCCGAGACTAAGAAGCCCAAAATCAAGGAAGACGCGAAAGTCGGCGACGGCCAAAATGCTAAATCCAAGCAAATTGCCATTTCTGTAGACGAGTTCTGCCCTCTAGCCAACTACCAAGTCTATATCGACAACAGCGATGGCACCATCTACGACGCGTCACTCAATCAAACAAACTCAGGCGCGAACAACAGTAAGTGATACGAGTTCATCCGATCTTTCCAAATACTAACGATACCAGACAAGTTTTACATAGCCCAGGTTCGTATGATCTTGCAAACGTCTTGGTTCTCTACTGACTTTCCAAGATTCTCACTAATGGCACCAAATACCAAACCTGGACACGATGGGGACGTGTCGGTGATCGTGGTCAAATGAAAATGCTCGGAAACGGAAGTTTCGACGACGCCATGAGGGAGTTTGAGAAGAAGTTCAAGGACAAATCTGGTCTCAGATGGGCAGACCGCGGCGACGAGCCAAGAGCTGGCAAATATGCTTATGTGGAGCGATCCTACAACCCTGACTCGGACGACGACGACGAAGATGATGCTAACGCTGGCACTGCTTCCGGAGACATGGACACCAAGGATAGCGCTCCACCTGCTGAGAGCACCTTGTCTCGTCCTGTCCAGGATCTCATGAAGCTTATTTTCAATCAAGTAAGGCTACAACATCCTTCCTACTTTTGGTAATAGGCTGTTCACAAAGACGTCAAGCTAACAGTGGCAAGGACTACTTTAACGCAACCATGAGTGCACTCAACTACGATGCCAACAAGCTCCCACTAGGCAAGCTGAGCAAAGGTACTATCGCTCGTGGTTTCCAAGCACTGAAGGACCTTTCGGTGTTGATTGACAACAACGATGCCACGTCTAGAGACGAGGTGGAACGCCTGTCAAACCAATACTTCTCCATCATTCCCCACGCGTTCGGTCGTAATCGTCCACCAGTCATTCGAGACATCAATCTGCTTAAGAAGGAGATTGAGCTACTCGAGAGTCTTTCGGACATGAAGGAGACGGCTGCTATGCTCAAGGATCAATTGAAGGACAAGAGCGACGTCAACAAGCTTGACAAGCAATTCCAGGGATTGGGCATGAACGAGATGTCGCCTCTGGATCACAAGAGCCGCGAGTTTGTCGAGATCGACGAGTATCTCAACAACTCAAAGGGCAAGACGCACAATGTCAGCTACAAGGTCCAAGAAATCTTCCGCATTGAACGTCAAGGAGAATTCGAACGCTTCGACAAGAGCAAGTACTCAAAGATCGCCAGCAATCGTCGTCTACTCTGGCACGGATCCCGTGTTACCAACTATGGTGGTATTCTGGGTCAAGGTCTCAGGATTGCCCCACCTGAAGCTCCTGCCACCGGATATATGTTTGGTAAGGGTATCTACCTTGCGGATATGTCTTCCAAATCCGCCAACTATTGTGCTTCGTACAATTCCGGAGGTACTGCTTTGCTTCTCCTCTGTGAAGCTGAACTTGGTAACCCTATGCACGAGCTTACCGATGCATCGTACACTGCCGGAGAGGATGCTATCAAGAAGGGCATGTACAGCACGTTCGGTATGGGACAGACAGGTCCGAGCAAGTGGAAGGATGCAAGTTGCATGAACCCAGCCTTGAAGGGTTGCATGATGGTAAGTACACTCTTGTCCTGGAATCTGGATTCACAGCTGACCATCATACTAGCCTGACGTATCAACACCGCCTGGTCCTACCAACGTACCCAACGCGTACCTGCAGTATAACGAGTACATCACCTATGATGTCGCGCAGGTCAAGCTTCGCTACTTGCTCCGTGTTCAGATGTAGACTCGCATTTCGTGCAAGTCTGGTGTTTTTCCAGGTTTATTGTCATGTCGCTGTTATCTTCCGTCTCGGCGTTCAGTCTTTTAGGGGGGGGCGTTATCGGAGCATGGAGCCAGACAAAAGCGGCATCGTGTTATTACCTCTCAGTCATGCAATTCAATCTTTCTCACTCGCATGGTCTCGATTTTGCGCGTTATTGTGTGATGCTACTCCCACGGCCGTCGAATGTGTCGAATCATTGAAAAAACAAGCATGGTATATTCGTCGTTAATCAAATACAAGCATTGCATAAGGCTGCTATACACATAGAGGCAGATCATCAAACACCAGGTCAAGACAAAACGACGGACTCTACTCGCGTCCACCGACCCTCCTCTCATAGTCGTCTTCGAGCCTGGAAGCATCGACAACTTCGACACCCTTGCCGAGACCGATCATATCACTGCGAACCTGCCACCACCTGACGGTATGCTCACTTTCCTTGCCCTTTTGCATAGGGCCCTCGTCGTCAGTGTCTACAAGCCCGCCGAGACCAGTACCATCAGCGCCAACAACGACGATGGTCTGTGCGACCCACTTGCGCAGGTCCTCGATGTTCTGACCGTTCACGCCGCTCAATGCGTCGACTACGTAAACAAGTTCAGGTCCGAGGTGTCTAAGCATATGCACGAATCCTGTGGTGGTGTTGAAAGGCATGACCATGGCAGGGTCCTCGACTAGACGGAGCGCTTGCGAGTGGAGGGTGTTCCAGAGTGTATTGTCAGACCCCCGAGTGCTTGGTGCTGGCGTGTAGACAACTGGCTCAATGGAAGATAGTTCCTCGCCCGGTGTGCGTGCAGGTGTGCTGATGGCAGAGTATGAGTCGCCAAGCGAAGACGATCCAGTGCGAGAGTTGGATCGGGATTGTGGGCGCGAGCGCAGGGATGGGGAGTAGATAAGTACGAAGAGCTTGGTCCTGGAGAAGTCGGTGTCGGGGAGGTGGGATAGGATGGTCTGCAAGCTGTCAGTTTTTGAAGTGCGACAAGGGATACGGTATGGGGAGCTTACAGCGTTCTCTTCGCGGTACGAGCCCTCATCATCATCAACTCTGTCCATCAGGCTCTCTGCGCTGACGACCAGTACCACCGTCTTCCTCTTTCCGCTGTATTCGCCCCTCCCTTCAGCTTTGCGCACACTGGCCGCAAAGCTCCGTGCCTGCGCATCCACCGCAGCATTGCTATCTCGACTCTGGGCCTCGACATTCCTCCTGATAGTGGCCTCCTCGCTCCATCGCGAGTGATCGCCAAAAGCCTCGTCTTTGTCTTCTTCGCGAATCGAAGCAAGCGCCGCACCAGCAGCTGCACCTGCGGCTGCCCAACCCGCCGCCGTCTTCTTACTCACAGTATCGAACAGTTGCTGTGGCGATGGTGTGCGTCTGATGACGCCTTGTGCGCGACCAAGCAGTGTGCTGTCGCCGCCCCCGTATCCATAGCCTTCACCGCCTCCCTCCCCTACGGGAAATCCAGATGCATCGCGTGCTGCAGGTGCCCTGCCTTGTCGCTTCTCAGTCGAGTCTTCGCCATAGGACAAGTCGTCGTCGGATGAGTAATCCCGACTATCCTCGCGCGCACTCCATACCCAGGCTGCAAGACCTGCGGTCGCGACTGTCACGGTGAGGATCAGAGGAACGTAGAAGCCGAGGGCGCTGCGGTTGCGCGAGTTGTTCTGGCGACGGTCGTAGCGGTCGTAGTTGAAAGAAGACATTGTGGCGTTTAGGTCATGATAATTCGTCGATGTTTCGTGGCGGGTCAAACGCTGTCAGGAGTATGAGATTATTGTTTTGGTTGTCAGCCGCTGCCGCTCGGCTCCAGGGCAGCTTCCCTGTTGTTGACGCCCGCCGGTGGCTGGGGGAGCTGATGCGCCTGCTTGACACGTGCGTGCCTGCCGAGGCGAGGGTGTGCGAGTCAGTCTGTGAACTTTTGGCGGCGGGGTGACTCTTACACCCCACACCCACGTCTTTGTACCTGCAGCTACGCTCGGCGGACGCCAATACCATCACACAAAAGACGAAGCAAGGCATCCGCTTCACACCACCAGGCCCGAACCGGCAGTCTATACATCCCAGACCCGCGTATACGTCGCGGCAACCACCTTCCATTCTCACAATGCCTCACGCGACGAGTCTTCCCGCGCCAGGCTTCCAGGCTCTCATCCTGTGCGGGCCTGGAGCCTCCTTCAGCACTTTCACATCTACGCCAAAGGAGATACCAAAGGCCTTGTTGCCCATTGCGAACAGGCCCATGGTCTGGTACCCCCTAGAATGGTGCTACCGCATGGGAGTCACAGGTAGAACATGGCGCATGTCCTCTTTCTGTAATTTCTGCTCTAACAGGCTGCAGACATCACGGTCGTGACACCGCCAGAGTCATTAGAAGCCATCGAGGCTGCCATGTCGCAGAACCCACACCTCACAACCCTCCCTTCACCAAAGCCAGACATCCTTGCGCCAAAAGATCTTTCACACCAGACCAGTACTGGCGACCTCTTCAGGCTACCAGAACTACAGAGCGCGATCAAAGGCGACTTCATCGTACTGCCGTGCGATCTCGTATGCGAGTTGGACGGCACAGCGCTTGCAGACGCATGGATGGTCGAGCAGGGTGGCTTTGCTGGAGCCAGTGGTGGACTAGATCACAACGGCGGCAAGATCGCATTCGGTGCTGGTGGTGAGAAGCTTGGACGAAGAGGCGGCATGGGTGTATGGTATCAGACCAAGGGAGAGGGAAGCAGGAAGAAGGAAGAAACAGACTTCATTGCAACAACACCACTACCCACACCCATCGTCCCAGTTCCAACAGACTCGCTACGCCGCAATATCTCGAAGCTCGTGTACTCAGTACCCACCGATACACTGAACGACATAACCGAAGAGAACAAAACATTTCCTCTGCGGCATTCGCTCATTCGCAAGCACGCGCGGATAAGGATGCTTACGACACACCGCGATGCACATATATACATCTTCCCATACTGGGTCATGGAGATGATCAAGAAGAACGAGAAATTCGAGAGCATCAGCGAAGAAGTATTGGGATGGTGGGCAAAAGCAGGCTGGCAAGAAGGGCTCGGAGATAAATTAGGTCTGCGGCAAATACTGCAGGGCGAGGACGAAGAGTCGGATCACGGCTCGCAAGTCGTCGAAGAAGAGATCGATGTTTCCAGGTTCAGCACCACATACTCGGACAGCAACACAGAGACAGAAACATCGGCACTCACCACACTCGCATCACGAGTCACAAAATCCTCCAGCATACCCAACTCGGCCAAATCACTCACCTCGAATTCTAAACTCACAGTACCACCAATCCTAGCCTATGTTCAACCCTCAGGCCCGAACGAACCGCTTATCCGCCGCGTAGACGACTCGCATCTGCTCCTAACTGTCTCCCTCCGCCTCGCCAAGCTCCCCTCAATCGAAGAAGTCTCCAAGGAACTCGCATCGCCATTCGCGCATCAGTCTAAGATTGTCCACAAAGAATCCATACCCCGGAAATGCCGCGTAGAAGCCGAGAACTCGTTACTTGCAGACAACGTTATTGTAGAAGAGAAGACCAACATCAAGGAAAGCGTTATTGGACCGAACTGCAAGATCAGTGAAGGCGCGAGACTGTTACGCTGTCTATTGATGGATGGTGTGGAGGTTGGGCCTAATGTACAGCTTACGGATTGTATCTTGGGAAGGAGGTGTAGGATGGAAGGTGGAGATGCAAAGGATGGCGACAAGACTGTTCTCAAGGACTGTGAAGTTCAGGATGGGCAGGTTGTGGAGTGGGGTAGTAAGTTTCACTTGACCTTTTATGTGGAGAGAGCGGTGCTAACGATTATGCAGCTGAAGCGAAGAACGAGAAGTTTATGCGCTTTGACGTGGGTGACGATGTAGGCAGTGAGGGGTTCGGCGGAGACGAAATGGATGTCATGGATGGTGAAGATGGCGAGGGTATCCCGCTGCGGTAAAATCGCTGCCGAAACAAACATGAGTAGCGTACATGACGATTACGAGCACACGATCTCAAGACGAGCTTATCTGAATAGAATAGATGTGACTTTGGCTGAACGCAAGACATGCAAACTGTTCCTTCTCGTATCAATTTCAATTTTCTGGCTGGCCAAGTACGCCCTAATATCTTCTATCCGTCATTTCGCCATATATTCTGCTAACGTTCTAGTCTCGAGGAAGACATATGCAGAGTTCACTGGACGCTCTCACACTGTTGCGAGGGCGTATCGGGAGGATTTCCACTGCAGTCAATCATATTGGCGGTGACGGTCAAGACGCGTTTGCTATGTTGGTGACACAGCAGCTTGGCATCACAGATGACCGCGTCTTCCAAGCTTATCATTTCCCGTCCTTGTCTCGTCCTCTTCAATGTATCGCTTGCTTCAACTCCATTTTGTTCTGTTACTCTTCGTCTTTCTCGGGCTCACTCATCATATCCAAATCCTGGCTCTCATTCATCATGCCTCAGATCAAGCGCGGACACGATAAAGCTGCTCTACTACAGCACCTATGTAGCGACTGTAAGGGTAATACCTCTTCCAGAATGGATTGCAAGAACCTTGAGAAGCTCATGTGCTTCTCCTGCTCAAGGCAAGACCATTACAGCGGCGAATGCAATGATACGATGCGCAATGGCACCCCGTCACTGAACAAGACGCCCGTACCACGCAAGGAAGTCCAAACACAAATTGATGAGTTGAAAACTCACTGCAATCACAGTCTACGTCTGTTGAGATCCTGCGGCTTCGTGGAGCACGCCGATACCCTTGAAACACACAAGCCTGACCCACACGGGCTGAGAGAACCCTGGGAAGGAAGCATGATGGACTTGCAACCCACATATTACGATTCATCTCGTAAACTAACAAGACTGAAGCAGCAGCTCGATGCATGGAGAAGGTATTGCCTCGAATTTTTTGAAAAAATCGAACAAGATGGTCTTGCAGAAGCAGGTATGACAGTCTATCCAAGTCTTCTCATATTTCTCACGTCGCCATATACCGACCTCCAGCCATAGCAATGGATCCTTCTCTTCGCTGGCATATCGATCCAAATTCCCGAGCCATCGAGAAATTCGGCAAGAAAGTTCTGTCCAAAATTTCTACGACCGTCCGTGCCACATCTTCATCAGTGAAGGTCTTCCTAGAGCGCATGCACCATGACATCAAAACCATGGGTACAATGCAAGGCGAAACGCTCTACTGGAGATACACCATAGCAATAAAGCTTATCCACAATGCCGTCCGATGGAGAGTGGCCAATCCCAATGATGAGCAACAAATCTCACTAGTTGGATATGAAGATATAGAGAAGGATACGCTAGACCATTTCAGGTTGCTTGACAAGCAATTTCAGAAAATACTTGAGACGGGGTTGATTAAGAGGGGGACTTTGCCGTATGATCGGACCCTGTGTATGTTGGAGACGCATCAAGTGACGGATTTGTATGCTGTTTCTTGGAAATGGCTCAGGGAGTTATTTTACGAAGAGTGTGAGGATGTTGTGCTTCGAGGTGTAAATAATACAGCATTTGCACAGAAGAAGGGAGAAAAGAATGGTGAAGCCAAAGGACGGACTGTGAAGAGAAGGAAACTCATTAGATAACCGATCATTAAGAAAATCAGTGGAAGCGAAGCACTGGGTGAGCTACAACAAGAGGAGCTTATTACGCGGTTGAGTGAATGAGATGACGACGATGGCTCAAATCCTGCGCTAGCGCCACTTTGTTTCTGACTACCTGCACCACAGAACTTACCTAACTGCACCCTATGCGTGCTAGCTTTCTTCCGGGTCTCCGGTCGGCTTTTACTTCGAGATAGAAATTAAGCTATGTCTTACGAATACAAGGTCAAGTTGTCTCCGCTAGGCTGCCCGGCACGACTTACCCAATGCGGACAAATATCACGGCGAGGAGAAGAAGGGGTAGACAGCAATCAGTACTCAACAGAGCCATAGTAATCGCCGGTCGGTGCTTTCCTCGTATTGTTGCACATAGTTCAATGATCTTTAAATATCCAACGGTCCGTTCCTAAGTTTTCCGATCACAGCATCTAATCGAATATCTCACATCACCAACCAGTAAGTCTATGCATTGTTTCGGAATTTGGAGCTTGATTTGAGAGACACTTACTTACCAACTGCATAGTGTCTCAGAAATACGTACCTCTTACCATCATCAAAGGCGCAGGCCAGGAGTACATCCCCATCCCAGATGGCGAGAGCGCAATGGTCGCAGACTTCCACTCGTACGTCGACCGCATCATATTCACCTCTACATCTCTCCACCCTCGAGTTCCTACCATGACGTTTTCTCACCTCCACTAGCATCCGAACTCAAACCACCGACTCTCCCACCTACATAACGTCTGGCTTCTACCGCGTTCAAGCGGGCCCCGTACGCGACATCCCTCAATTTGAATCTGAAGAGTCCAAATACGTTCTCAACGGCCAGATCGACGTCTTGGACGAGGCAACAGGTATCATGCATCACCTTGTTGCAGGCGACTTTGCTTTCTTCCACAAAGGGTCAAAGGCGCAATTTTCAACAAAGTCTGGGGGCACAGCATTTTTCGTTGTGACTAGACCGATCGTCGCTCAACACCCTGGGCTGAAGGGCAGGGAGGAGAAGGTGCAGTCGAAGCTATAGGCTGGTCGACATCTGTTTTGTCTGAGAGCAATAGAGAGTAAGCGGGAGGCATAATTGTTCATCGTGGGCAAAGGGAACCCGACGGAACGTTATTGATGTATTTAATGGCCTACACATGAAGTCTTGATGAAAAATAGACTAAGATTCCTAAAATCATCCTGGCGCTGCTTCGTGAGATGGGTGAACCCAGGAGTGAGATGTTCGGCGCATATCTTAAGTTGGTAGATAGAGAGCGACAATCCCGAGATATCTCCAGAAGACCATCGTCGCGGGGCTGGCGTGCCGCTAACGTCATCTGGATGGACCCTTCGATCTCGACATTTACATGTGGGCGCCACCATCTCAACCCATGCATCGTTTATTCTCAACACCACGAGGATGGCGCAGTCGCCTCTAACCGGCGTCATGATGCCGCCACGCTTCAATATCGAGCTGGACCGGACAGATCCGGATGTGCCGTTCCGCGCATCTCAATCGCACATTCACCACACATGGGCGCGGACGTTCCATTCGCGGCCAGAGCTCTATGTCCGACCGCAGAGTCTCCAGGAGGTGCAGAAGGTTGTGAATCTCGCGAGACGCATGCGAAGACGCGTCGTCACTGTGGGATGTGGACATTCACCCTCGGACATAACGTGCACGTCGGCATGGATGATCAACCTCGACGACTACAAGCAGGTGTTGAGCGTGGACAAGGAGCGCAAGACCATGACCGTGCAGGCTGGAATACGCCTTCATAATCTCAACTTGCAGGCAAAGAGCCACGGTCTGACAATGCCCAACCTCGGTTCCATCGACGACCAGTCGCTCGCCGGAGCGATTGCGACAGCGACACACGGCAGTTCATACAGCCACGGCCTTCTCTCCGACCGCGTTCAGAGTCTCCGTATTGTGCTGGCCAACGGTCAGGCGGTACGATGCTCACCCCAGCAATCCCCAGACCTCTTCCGAGCGGCCCTGGTATCGCTAGGCGCACTGGGCATCATTGTCGAAATCGAGTTTCAGATGATCGAAGCGAACAACGTCGAATGGGTTCAGACTATACGGCCGATTGAAGACGTTTTGGCAGACTGGAACAACGGGCTTTGGACATCGAATGAGTTTACAAGGGTGTGGTGGCTGCCGTACATGAAGCGCGCAGTCGTATGGCGGGCAGACAAGACAGACAAGGAGCACCGCCAGCCAGAATATAACTGGTATGGCGGCAGCGTCGGTTTCCACACATATCACATTCTTCTCTGGATATCGCAGTATGTCCCGCGCTTCCTGCCTTGGGTAGAGTGGTTCGTCTTCGGCATGCAATACGGCTTCAAAGATGGTGCTGTCATCTCTGCAGTTGGCGAGCAGCGTACTGAACTCCTGATGAATTGCCTTTACTCCCAGTTTGTCAACGAATGGAGCATCCCTCTTGACAAGGGCCCCGAGGCTCTGACACGACTGACAAACTGGCTTCACGGCGACGAACAATCTTCTGGCATCCCCTTCAGTACAAAAGGCCTCTACGTCCACTCTCCCATCGAGGTCCGTATCGCAAACACCGTCAATCGTGAACCACGTCCGTTCCTCGATACCTCATATCCTGATCAACCCGCCCTGTACCTCAACGCTACCCTGTACCGCCCCTACGGTCAAGATCCACCCTGTCGCGAACGCTACTACCAGGCCTTCGAACACCTGATGAAGGAGTACAACGGCCGACCCCACTGGGCTAAGAACTTCCAATCCGTTGACAACGCTTACCTCTCTTCTGTTTACGGTAACGACTTGGACGAATACATGCGCGTACGCAATGAAGTAGACCCCGAAGGCATGTTCCTTGGTGCCTGGCACCGCCGCACCATCCTCCCATCCAAGACCGATCTTCCCCTTTTACCCCTCGAGGAAAAGGAAGTCATACGCCGCGACAGACGCACTGGTGGTGTGGACTGGATCGGAGAGCAAGGCCGGTTTGATGGCGGTCTTGATGTGTTTGAGAAGGCGGGTAGTGAAAGTGAGTCTGGAGAGAGTTTTGATTACATGGCAGGCGCAGAGGCGGAGAGTAGTGTGCTTTTGGAGGGGTTAAGTGATGAGCTTGTTGTTACCGAGGAAAGTTATGAGAGCCATACCGAGTCGAGGCGAAGAGAGGGAACTGAGGAGTACATTACGGGGACGAACGTCTTCAACAAGATGTAAATGTATATAAGAAGAGGGAAATCATGCGACATGAATGATGGGGAGAAACGCTGCTCAATGAAGATATGATCGTGCTGTGTCATTGTTGCAATATTTGCAAATGTTTAGTGTTCTGTGTTACATTGACTACCAATGTTGCGCAATGTGCTGTAGGGTAACACTCTTGGGAATATGCAGGGAGGCTTTCGACCCAAACGTGGCCAATCGGGTAAAGTGTACACACACGTCAACATTCCGAATTGCGACTTCCCCTCCACCGGTTTCCACTCGTCTTCTCTCCCTCACTCCGCGAGAACGGAAAACATGCCATTGTGTCTTCTGGAGGCCCAATTTGTATGGCAATGGTCTTTGGTTCACTTGCGCGTCACCGCAGGGCGGATATGGGGTAAATCCTCGTCGACAAACCGCGTACGCGTACTAGTGAGAACGAAGAGGCGGAAGTGGCAGATGTGTGCAAAGTCATCCTGATTCCATCAACTCACGATGATGGGTGTCTTTGTCCTCCAGGAACACCGGAGTCATGCATACCCGCCTATGCTATCTCATTGCGACGATCCAGACAAAAGACGCGACTGACGGAAGCCTCGATCTCTTTCACCATCACAGCAATCAACGACAGTATCACAAGCGAATGTTGAATATATCCCAATGGCAACGTCGTTATCCATGGAGCATAATCGGAACTACGTCGATGAAAAGTTTCATGCCACATCTGAGCCGCATCGTACTCCCTTTCGGCTAGCCGGTCATCCTTCCCTTCTTGAGATGGTGACCCGCAAGTAATATACCTCCTACCTTGGCACCCCCCGTACTCGTCTTGGCACACAGCCACCACGCGATGAAAGCTTGGCCGCTTCTAGAAGGACGTTGATCTGATTGCCTAAAATTGATTACATGCATATGGAAGACACAGCAAGGATAGCACCACATGGAAGATAAGCGACTTTCAAGCAAGCGATTGTATTGTCAGATTACGAGGCTAGGTTGAACGACTCGCATCGCCCCTATCTATCATCCGAAAAGCAACCAAAGCGTGGCTATTGTCTTGTACTGTGCAATGGCTGCTGATCCGACTACCTGAAACTCTGCGCACCTACGAGGTTTGCACATAGATCTCGGAGCTTCCAGAAGATTGGTACCCCTCGGTGGCGACGATCTGGTAGTAATGCTGACCCAAGTTCATGCCATAGCGAGACCAGGCGTTGAAGTGGTTCTGCATGTTCACGCTGCCACCAACGCGCTTCTGGGTGCGAACAGACCTGTGTGTTTGTTAGTACATGTTACATGTTCAGCCATATTGCATGCTTTCTTACCAGTACTGCTGAAAGGTCCTTGTTCCGTCGATGGAGGGCTGGTTGGTACGGGTGGAGGTGGAAATGTCGTAAGTACCACCGTCAGTCTGGAAACTACCCTTGCGCTGAGATCCGCTGCTAGGGTTGTAGGTGCCGTAAGACTCGATCACGTAGTACTCCACAAGCGGGTTGCGGGTCCAACCGTAGACAGCCAAGTAACCGTTACCCTGAGGGTTGAAGGAACCGCCGTAGTTGATGGTGCTAGGATAAGGATCAGCAAACGATCAATCTCAGATCTTCCGGGTGACTTACCGGCCGGTTCCAGGGTTCCATCCCTTGCCACCGACGAAGTTACCGGTGTTCCTCCAGGTCACGGAGTACTTGCTGCCCTCACCCATGGTGTACTGAGCAGAACCGCCACCATCAGTCCACCAGGAGTAGAAGTAACCGTTGTGGTAGCCCTCAGAGCTGGGCGTCGACTGACGCTTCTCAAGGAGAGCAGTCACATTGCCATCGTCGCGCTCAGCGAGGAAGTCGAAGGGAGCGGCGAGCACGCTTGTGGAAGCCACAGCGGCGAGAAGGAGAGACTTGAAGGATACCATGATGAACTGAGTAGGCTGATCTGTGCTGGATGCAGTGACGATACTAACTGCGAGAAGCAGCGACCTTATATGTCTTCTTCAAAGTGGATATGAGCCTGAATCGCTGGAAGAAGTCGCATTTGGTGGTCATGAGATATCATCTCGCCTGTGTCTACATCCGTCTTGGTGTCCATGACAGTCGTGCGTTCCAGTCCTCTCATTTTCAAAAGCACGTCCAAGTGCACTGACTAGAACGGCCTAGAGACCGCAAACGGAACCGTTCAGTATCCGCCTCGGTAATCATGGCAAAGATACAAAAGTACAAAGATCCATGTCCCCTGCACAGATTCTGCACGATACTGAGAGACAATATCGCTGATCCGGGATTTACGCGCTTTCTCAACCCGGTTCACAGGACGTTAATATAAAAGTACGCCACTAAGAAAGGCAGGGAGGCCTTACCCCACACTCTTCGGATGCACACCAAGGCCTGAGAGAAACATCCGTCGAGCTAAAGTCATGTAGGTGTTGGTATTTTAGGGGTAGTGGCGCACGTGATGAAACATTTGGGCGCTGAAGGCGGGAAGCCTCGGCAAGTTCAAGATAACCACCGGATGAAAAGGAGATGCCAAGAATCATAGCAGCCGGCATATCTACTAATCCCGGTGATGCACGCCAAGTCCTCGGCGGAGATGAGGTGTGGAGTGCAGAAATGGCTTTTGAAGTCGGTGAGCCTGCAGGAGAAGCTTTCGTAGCACCACAGGATAACATGACGATCGTGTGTCTTCTCGCAAATCTACTGAGGCAGTATGTTGAGAGTCTCGAGAAATTTCCAATGATAGGAGCACGCCTGTGTATCAATATACTATCATAAACTTTCACGAGTGTTTAGCAGCATGTCGTATGATCGCCATGCTGCTAGCTGAACTACCACGATACACTAAGAATCCGACTGTTGTAGTATGAAGCAACCTTACGAAGCTAGCAAAAAGCAGAAATGGATGCGCATATCATGTGGTGCCAGATGCTATACTAAGGATACACTTGTGGCGACTTCTCTAGGCTTCCAGATCTGAGACCTCCAGGAACATGATATCAGCTGGCAAGCCGGTGGCATCTGAATAACCTTCAGTTTACCCACTCCTATCTAAGACGGTACATGGCTCAGGCTCAGTTCATCCGATGGTAATCACGGCATCATCACGGGGAGAAGGAAACATGGAGCCATGGCCAGAGACATGGGTACTTTGCCTGTATCATACTACGGCGAAAAAGAGTGTTCACATTACGGCTTGTGAGAACTTCAGCCGCTTCTCAATGACCGGATAGATCCGTGATCTTCCAGTGATAAGTCCGACTACTGTTGCCCATGGAACTGGACTTCCAGCACGTCGCGTTATGCCAATCAGACTCAGCGTCTACCAAATTCTACCTCAAAGTAGCTTCCAGTGTCGTCTTATGGATCCGCACATTGATGAGAATTTGGCTGAGCTACAGGCCAGCAAGTCGACACCTACCCCTTTACATGTTCCTACTCAGTGTCTTACCCAGTGTACCTATGATGCCTATTGAGGCTATATGTTGTTGCCGCATTTCCTTCTCGTTCGATCGACCCCACGCGGGATAAATATCGACATGCTTATCCTCACCCTTTCTATCGAATCTCAGCTGAGCGGCAAAGGACGCAACAGTTGTGCTTTCTGGTACTATCGTGTGTGGAAAGATGGCAATCCTCAGTACACTGTATACCGTGCAGAGTAAGTCCTGCGCTTCATTTGCTGAAGATTGACAAGCCGTAGGAAAGCGGTGACCACGGCGTCTCGAGTGGCGCCGCCGTTGTCCCCGACTTCCGGTAGTTTGAGATGGGGTGACAGAGATTTGTTGCCTATATGTGTGTGACACAGCTGCATAGGTGGAGATAAGAAGTTAGTATAATTTCCTATGTAGCAGCCCGCATTGCTGACAGTAGAAATCCCAATTAGAGACAAAGAACGCGTTCTCAAGACATCTCTCGTCCACAAAAGCCCTTTACCAAACACTCAAGAGTCAAGCGCAAACTCTGCTCCTCCTTGCAACAAACCGAAATCCCAGCCGCCAACCGCACAGACTCAAATGGACGATGTGGAAGGTCCATTCCAAGGTTGCTTTGGACAATATACCGTCAGGCGGACTATCGGGTTATACAGACCGCTGGCCTCCTGGGGTTGCAACTCAAGTAACCCTTCTGTTCACCTTCGTTGGCAAGCACTTTTCGATAAACACAACTAGGTCATAGCGTATAATCACATGGACGAAATGGGAGGTTCATACATGGTTCAAAGTCCATTGCTTGAAAGCATATACCTCGAGCCTACGGGATGGCTTACGATCGCGGTCACCCACCTTGTATGGCACTCTACTGAGTATGGTATGCTCGAGGCTTACATCGACCCTGACACTTTGTTGGGCTCGGCTATGCTTGGGCTGGTTAGCGATCGCACAGCATAGTGTCCTTGGGCGACAGTCAAAGAATAGCGAGACTGGAAGATCATCCACAGCTACACTATCTGTGGCATTGGGGAGAGCAGTAACGCAGTTACATGCTCATCTAGAGGACCACCAAATGAGTACTCAGCGGTCTTTTGGCTCTCCAGGTTGCTACTTCTAAACCTCTCCTATTCTCAACATAGGCTCAGCTTCACAATCTGGTCAACGAAGGCAATTCTCCGGGTGCATATCGCGTGCCTTTTGAGCAAATTGATGAGACAAAACTGGCTTATGTCTCGAGGGTACTTTCCAGATACCTGGAACTGCTGCATGAAAATCGAGGTTGAATAGCTAGAAGGCCTACAAGAGGACCCAGGATGACTTACTGCAGTGATGGAAACATCTTCTTACTAGTGAAGTACACTGGGCCATGTAGAATGGCAAATCCAAAGCCCGATTATTTGGAGGAAGATTAGAGAAACTATACACATCCTTGGTTTTGGGCCTTGTTTGGTCGTACGTCACAAACCACGTACAGCCCCGTCTGGTTCCTTCAGGACATTCGACGTTCACGCCAATGCCCGCAACGGACCATACCTACCTTGGTAGTGTGGTCTCGCTACTGGCCCGCTAACGCTCCTACCCCGCTTTTCCGTGCGACACCAACGACTCCAAACGACATGGAAGATCTACGCATAAGTTCGAACAAGGCATCGAGTGATGTGCTTACTTGTTCGCCAGCCACCCAATCGCTAGGTGTGGCTCTGGGGTTCCGATCTGACCGGCCGATGATACTCCGGCTTCTACCACTATCGTTCGTCAAGTGAATGATCACGATGTCTGCGTCATCATTTACGCTCGACTGGTAGCTCATCTCATGAGCTTCCGAGTACTGAGGAGATCTAAAGCTACTCCAAGCGCAAAGGAATCGCCTAGAAGATCTTTAGGCCACATTCAACGACTTTGGCATTGATGTCCGGCTACGCACGTACGCCGTTGGACACAGTGCGGAGATATGATGGAGAGCCGGAAAAAGTTAACACGAAGCCATGGAAGCTCACACTCAACTTGCTTCATCGAATTCATTCCTCTTCTTGCCTTCGCTTTCGCCCCTTTCCGTATACGCTTCTGCAAACCGGTCTCGATCTACATTACTCACGTGACAGCAAACTTCACTGCGGATCCGCCTACCAAATCGGTACCCGAAACCCGACATCCTCCGCTATCCCGGACTGAGTCTACACTCACTGCATTTATACCTGCTATATTTGTTTCGCAATCCGCGTCGATATATTTCCTGTCGCATCACAACTATGCCTACTGCTACACGCTCTCTCGAAACAATGGTCCTACAGGCACACCGTGCGAAGGGTGTACGCTACCCAACAGCATCCCAGAAAGAATGTTTCAAGACTTGGTACTCGTACGCGCTTCGCCAAGGCGAGGTTACTAAGACTTCTCCGAAAGTCATCGAGGAGCACGCGAAGCACCTCAAAGAGATCAAGGAGGCCGCGCCAGGTGGGCGAACATATATTTAATGTATTATGCCTCCCAGCCAGTACTAGACCTTGACAGTAGCTGACTGGAACAAGAAGTTCGACTTACAGGCGTCTCACTCACGTTCGCGCAAAGTGCAACGAGCAGCCTTTCGTATTCCACAGCCTCAAACTGGCAGATCAAGAATCGCTCAATCATTAGTTCCTGATCTACATATCTCACTTTTTCTTCTTCGAACTCTTCCTCGTTACTCAAAGACGTCTTATAATTTTCATTTCTGGCAGTAGATACATATATATCATAATGATGCAATCGAGCTACTCCCCCAACCGCTGTAGTTCCTGATATTGCCTATTGTGCGTAGTAGTGCAGATTGCTTCTCATCGTGTGTTGCTGACCTTTGCGACTCCAATGTATTGTTGGTGGCAAATCGTTTCACAAGAGCAAAGATTACCACAGCGCCATTGCAGCAAATAAAGTTTCAAGAACTTGCATCACTAAAAATGTGTGGGTTTCTGGACGGTCTCTTAATCATTGTAGATACCCGAGTTCGAAGCCCTTATCCTAACTTGATGCAGGGCAAATGATTGCGCATCAAGAAAACCTAGCTGTCAGGATTTCATATCTCGTTCAGCTTATCATACAGAGCTTTTCGACTGCTATCTATTTACTAGGTAGTAATCAACATAGGAAGTGTAGAAAACCACGTGCCAGCTCTTTGCTTCACTGCTTTGTCAATCAGCGCTTTCCTCTTTCTCTCCGACTAACTATCTAAAGCTATATCTAAACATACGCATTCTCAGTCACTACACAATCTTTTGCTGATGATGTACGCTGTTCTCGTCCTTTATAGTCCCTTGACAAGATCTTGTCTTGTGGGACTAGGTATGCTAGGTAGGTATAGACCAGAAGCATTACGTTTCGCACTTACAGACAGGCGATCAAAATAGGGAATAAATGGACTATTCATGGATGATCCATTGGAATCAGCGTCTCTCGATTCTTTCAGTCGCCAGTCCTTTTGGGTGAGAGCGTATGAGCATTTTGTAACAGTAGCAAAACTTCCTTTGCCGGCAGCGAAGTGATCGTGCGTCGCAAGCACACCCTTCAACGGCGAAGTGTTTTCCACGGACCAAGAACGCGGACAGACCGAAACTGGAGGTGGTAAGAGCGAAGCATGAAGGCACCAATTTCTGGAGATGTGGTTCCCCACGCCACGAGCGGCTTGTTGCTATTGGGCCGAGGTTCTAACAGCGTCATGCAGGTACCCACTACAGGCGGGGTATAATTACACGCCTCATCCCAAAAGAGAGTCGTATCCCGAATAGCATGAACATCGTCTAGAATCAAGTCGACATTAATCATTGCTTACCATACCTACGCTACTACCGTACAATTGATGATCTTCGCTACTGTGGTTACTTAAGCCTCCTTTCTGCTCCCATTAAATCGAGTACCACAGCATTACTGCTACAACCCACTCACACTAAACACACGCATAACCACCATACCTCACAATTACAATGGCGCCACCATCTTTTCGTGATCTTCTCGGCATGCCCGCTTCTACGGCCTCGACTAGCGACTCTGCTCTTCTTGTCATCGACGCTCAAAACGAATATGTAAGTTCTATCTCATAGCTTTCTAAAATTTGATCTTTCATCCCAAGTATTTTGAAATTTCGATTCCACCATTGCATAGACAGATTTATTTGGGAAAGCATGCTATAATGCGTTGCAGGCCGTTCTATGCCTTTCTTGCTCACCCTCGCTTCTTGTCGACCTACAGCATCGCTAATCCCACTCACTAGGCATCAGGTGCTCTTACCGTAACGAATGCTGCGGCAAGCGGAAAAGTTATTGCCGACCTTCTCGACAAGTACCGTAAAGCCAACGGCAAGATTGTCCACATCCTACACCAAACACCGGAAGGTGCACCTGTCTTCACACCTGGCACCGACCTGGCAGAAGAATTCAAGGAGGTCAAGGCACAGGTATGTGAGCCAGCAGGACATTTCCCCTCATGTCTGCACAAGAAGAACTAAAAGCGTTCAAATTTTGACGTGTGTATTAGGACGGAGAAGAGAAGATATGGAAGAACTTCCCTGGATCATTCGAGCAAACCTCCCTCCACGAGACGCTTCAGAAGATGGGTGTCAAGAAGCTCGTACTGACTGGCTACATGGCACATGTCTGCGTGTCCACTACTGCCCGTGAGGCCTTCCAGAAGGGATACGAAGTCATTCTTGTCGAGGATGCTATTGGTGACCGCGATATTCCTGGCGTCAAGGGTGATGAGGTCACCAGAGTAGCGTTGGCGGAGCTGGCAGATGTATTTGGCACAGTGGTGAAGAGCTCTGACATCAAGTAATCGAATTGAAGTCAAGAAGTATAACCAATGAATCCTTCGGAACGACTGCCACAGAGCGCGTGTGAATGGTCACAGCCCACCTAAAGCACCAACACCCCTCAGCACTGTCACAGTATGCACATACCTAACCCTTCCCTCTTCAACCCTGATCTCGTGGCTGTCTGGCCAAGGCCCTAAGCTGTCAAACTGGCAACTGACCTGCACGCTTCCAATAGTCTCATCAATGACGTACCGTCTCATTCCATTCACTTTCTGACTTCCCCCGTGCGGTAGACTACCCCCGCAAGGATTCGTATACATGCTTCCTTCCACCCTTTCACACTGTGGACCCCAAGGAATAGTGTCGGCAGCAGTAGTGTTTGTCCACATGTCGAGATATGCATCACCGATAGATCTGAGAAGGGCACGAGAAGGCTGCGATGACGCGGGAAGGGTGGACCAGGTTTCGGCGCGGATGTAGGATAAGGTCTTTGCAGCATCAAAAAACAGGTCGCCTGTTGTGGCGGCCACCGTGTCGATGGAGCTAGTTGTTGATGTGTCGTTATCTGCATGGCGAATCTGTGTACCAACGACATGCGGTTGGCTTCCAGATGTGCTGATCCACATTGTGTAGCTGGCGCATGCTGCAGTGTCGGCGGTGGAGCGGTTGAAATTGATGACAAACGGCCTCGAAAGGAGACCGGTCGCAATGTCAGAAGCCCTGTTGTTTTGGAGGTATGTGAAGTTGGTGGATGTGAGGCTGAGAGTGCTAGGGTTACCCGCTACCTGAGCTGCTAGATACGAGTTTGCAGCCGAGAGGAGTCCTTCCCGCGTACATTCGGTTGATGATGTAGTCCCAGCGAAAACTACGACGGCTAGCAGCAGAAGGTAGGATCGATTGTGCATTTTGGCAGGTTTGCAAGCAAAACTCTCTCCAAGAGGCGCATTCAGGAAGTGCTGCGTTCCAGAGACGGAAACACATTGGCGTTAAATGGACCTTTCATGACATCAGACCTACAGTTACTGCGACTGCCGATGACCCCGAGATAATGGTAGTATTATGCCGGATATTGCTCCTTTTTCAAGGTTTCCATTCAACTGCATGCTTGTCAGTGGCACGCTCGAAGCGACCTAATATGCGGAACTTTGAATAACAGAGTAAATTGGCCCTGGAAGCAAGAAGCGGTAGTTTCGGTAGTATCCTGGCTAGACAGAACCACCATCAAGCCTGTTGTTCTTTAGGCAGATAGTGGTTATGATGTACCGCAGTAATTTGTGGGTTCCTCTGTGACGAGGTTCGTCCAGTGAGGGGGAAGAGGCGAGGAATGGAGAACTGTGCTGCGTGTCGCGAAATTGACGCGTCCGCGACCCCACCGAGCCCGTGTGAGCACGCTCCGTGGGTAGCCCTGTCGTCATCACTCGGAAGTCATGACGTGCCGGCAATTTGGACATTGAAGACTTGAGTACACTTGTACAGAGTGTTTAAGTATGTCTGAATTGGCTCAATTGACTTATCACTAACTCGTTACAGCATGTAGAGTTAAAGCCACCAAATGGCTCTGCTTGGCCCCACATTACGCAATGACATCAACGCGGGTTACCTCGTCCGCTGCCCCAGCCAGCGAGAGCCCATATGCCCTTTACGACCGCATCCTCACCGTCGCGACCTCGAAGGCTAATCTTGCCTTTTTCTAGTTGATACCTTCGCAGTTCGCCGTATACTCCAACCAAAACATCTTTGAGCTCATCGTCTGGCCTGCCTTTCCACGCAGCTCCACCACCGCCAATTTTCGCACAACAACGCTCAACCACTAGGTTCATGATCTCATGGCGTCTGGTCGGGTACGGCACTGGAGCCGGATAATGTGCGATACTCTGGCTAATGAGCACGGTATAGAGGTGCAGCAACGGAAAGTAAGACGACTCGGTTTGCCGAGAGGCTTCGATGATGTAGCGCCACGATATGTCTTCTTCGCCAATGGGTAAGCAGGCATTCGCGCGCCAAATCAGTCTGTTTGCACGCGGATTTGTAGTCAGCCATTTTGGTAGTACAGCACCTGCGCTGGCTATCAAACGCGCAAGTCGAACCAGCGGGATGGCAAGACCAGTCGCTATATCGGGGCGGCCCAATGAGTCCCAGGATGCAGCGACGAGATTGTAGCAATCTAGGACAGAATCTTGTCTCCGGTCATCTGGCGCATTGGTACCGAGTGCGGTGTTGATGAGGGCGGGGATGATGGCTTGGTCAAGGACGGAGGTTACTGTGAAGGCGCCGGTGGGTTCCCGCTGCCAGAGTACTTGCAAGCCAGACCATATCTTCATCATGAACGCATTCAGACGCTCAGGCGGTTGGTCGCATAATGCTTGCCAGCTAGAGGCCACGTCGAAGGATTTGCGTCGTTTCAGCTTGGGGACCACTACATAACGGCAAGTTGGACAGGCGTTCGTGTTTCCCCTACCACGCTTGAGCCATGTCTTGATGCATTCATGGCCGAATATGTGCTTGCAGGCAAGTGCCACAGGCTGATGGGTCGCGCTAAAGTGGTCGGTGCAAATGCTGCAAGTGTCTGCGGGATGCAGTTGTGTATTGAGGAAATTGTCCATGCCTACTTCATGAGCTTGTGTAAGTCGGTAGAGACTGAGTCGAGCGACTCCATGCTAAGGACTTGTAGCTGATAGAAACGTTGGCGGCGACGCATTAGGTGGGTGAATCTGTTTGCAATCAGCGAGCGATTGTGAAGGAACAATGACATGTAAGTTTGTGACTTCACTGCTCTCCGTTGAATTGACCCGGGGATCAATTGTAGACGCTAACTAGTAACGAGGAAACCTGAGTATTTTTCAATTTGCAACGAAGTTGCGCTATCAGGACGGAAGCTTTGTATCTGGACTGGTGATCGACTCGATCGCATGAGCTCTTGACTTTCTGGCTTTTCGATCATTACCTCTCACGACAGGAGGCTCAAATATCGAACACTGAACGCCCTCCACACTGTCAACGAGGCCTAGGATGATCACGGCTTCCATCGCCAGCCTGGATGCTTCCACTCGAGATTAGTCACATCGCTTTCTGAGCGCAACGTGAGCTCCAGCTGCGCTTCTGCTTCCTTTTTGTCCCTCTTCTCATTGTCATGTGTCATCCACAATTTGGTACAGATCGCAAGAATAGTCCTAAAGTTTCGTGTACGGTGTAAGTATGTCTCATATGCAATTTGTAGAAGAATGTTGCTTACCAAGTCATTGCACAACCTAAGTTGATGCCGTTGCCGATTGCATAACGGGGAGAATCGCCAGGCAGATACGTCCAAGTCGCGATCAGAGCACCAACGTATCCGAAAAAGACGTTTGTACCAATTGCAATGCTTCGTGCGGAGTCCGATAGCACGTTTGCGCTAACTTGAGCGTTCGTCATTGCGCCCAACGAGAAACAAGTTGATGCGCAAAAGAAAACAGCCGCGTAACGCACACTCGCATTCATAGTCGCAAGGAAGATTGCGTATCCAACAGCCACGAATAATCCCGCAAGCGCAATCAAAGTCTGACGAGAGTTCATCCGCCAGCTTACGGCTGTGATCAGGATAGTGCAAACCACCGCGACAATGTATGGTGGCACTGTCAAGAGCTGTTGCTGGATGACAGACCGGCCTGGGTAGATGGTCCGAATGATGGTCGGCAAGAAAAATGATATAGCTAAGACAGTGATACTGTCGAGCAGAAAGATGAACGATACCGCAAGTGTGACAGGATTGGAGAAGCCGCGTTTGAGCTTTGAGGCGTCGATTTTGTCGAGCAGCTCATCCTGATTGAGACGCTCAGACTTGATCCTGTCAATCACCATCCGCATTTCTTCCTCCGTCATCCAGCGCGCAGTCTGTGGACCGTCGGTCAGTGTGACGAATGCCACCAAAGCAACAACCATGGTGACGATGCCTTCAACTGCAAAAATCCTGTTGCTTGTTACTCGGCTATCTGCAGCATTGAAGCGGCTTGCTTACATCTGCCAACCATGAAGTGAACCGACAGAGTCCAATTTCAGGATCGCCGAAGCGATCAGGCCACCGAAGGCTCCAGAGAGAGGAGCCATGGTTATCCATAACCCAAGACGAAACGTCAGCTCTGATCTTTTGTACCATCGTGAGAGGTAATAAGCACATCCAGGCATTACGCCAGTTTCGAATATACCCAATAAGAATCGAACAGCACATGCTTGGGCGCGGGTTTGTACAAAGGCTGTCACTAAGGACATGGCACCAAAACCGAGCGAAGTGAGTGGCAAGAACCAACCAGGACCTGTTTTCGAATTAGAAGCGAGCTAAGGAGTGTTGACGTAAAGCATACCGATCAGTTTGCAGCAAAGCGCCGCTGGTATCTCAAAGACAACATAAGACACATAAAACACCGACAACAGTATGTTATAATCATAGCCTTCAAGCCCAAGATCCTTTTCTAACCCAGCGAGACGGGCGTTACCTGTTTCCATTAGTAGATTGGTAGACTCGATACACGCAAGAGGAAGTTACCAATATTCGTGCGGTCGATGAAACACATGAGGTACAGCAAGATGACAGTAGGCAGAACAAAGAGATCGATTTTTACAAGCAGCCTTCTCTCACGGCGGCGCGTCGGCTCATTCGGATTCGTGTCATCGTGTCCCACGTCAACTCTCCTGGTTACTTCTCCGGCATTCTTCCCGTCCATATCCGCGAAATCTAGAACAATTTCCAAGGGAGAAAGAGATTTGGAAGCGATAGGGAAGCGCTCGCTATCAAGGCGGGGTATCTGCTTTGAAGAAACCAATACTGGCTTGCATGTTATCTGCGGCGGCGACTGCAGATCATGGTGCTACAGACCAGGGCTAGCTGCTAGCTGCAACGGGACTAGTGACGAATGAGGTATCTAGAAGAACCGTCCAGCAAACCTCGCAACATCCTCATCACTGCTATCCACCTAAGCTAAAACAACTCGGCACAATCACAATATGTTTATTCCGCACTGTGTTCCTGCTAAAATCATAGAAGGGATATCGTCACAAGCTCCGGCTCAAGGCGCACACCTTTCATTCAGCCTGGTCGACGGGACACTCACTAAGCAGCATTTTGCGTCCTAGAACATCGTTCCACATCCTCGCAATCCTCTTCAGAATTTACAAAAAGGTCTTGATGCTGAGACTTCAAGTTTGCAAGCTTTGGTTTCACCACGAAGCGCGTCTGCACAGCATGCACAACGCTCACAATCATATAAGTCACATGCTCGCTACCGGCAGATAATTCTGGAGCTTATCTTCTTCTGCGAAAACCGACACTATCGGTTAGGAAAACCCCTTGCAGGATTAGCTCGAGTTCATTCGCGGACCGTTATCTAGCTACAACATGAAGGGCGGACAGAGACTCATGTGGTGGGCGTTGCTTGAGCGAAGACCCTTGTAGGTGTTTCTTCTACATCTAAGCTCGGTAGTCTGTAGCATCGTGACTACAAGGGTCATTCAAGCTAATTTTCGGACACCTGGAATGATCGACCAGAGTTCACTCGCACGAGTGTAAATGGCGGTATAGCATGTTAAATTGGTCAGAACGCACTCATCAAGCTTGTGAAACTTATTTCAGTCAGATTTCCACAAGTAGGCTGTTACTGTGGTACAAGTGAGTCACATTACTTATGTTGAAATCCGCTGTAGATGGAACAGGCGAGCGAGACTATTCCATTAGTATGAGCGAGCACCTTGGTAACGTACTGACAGTACATTGTGATTTGCCCAGACGGCGTATACTTATTGCGGTACATGCGATACGGGAACTCTCTGATAGGCCTGAATTCTTGTTAGGTGGGTGTACCATCGCAATCGTGATTTTTTGATTGGCAAATATCTTTTTGTTAGACTAAATTGGCATTAGACAAAATGTAAGTGGCTCACCGCTATGGGAAAGACTGGGACCATGGTTTTCGATACCAGTGAGATAATACATGGATTTCATTTTTAAAAAGAGACGCAGCATTAGCACTTCTCATTCATCACATCCCAAGAGTATTGTTCCAGAATTTATCATGAAAAAGGGCTGTGTCTACTCTACGACTACATCTAAGTTACATCCAAACCCTGTCCAAGCCTCATCCGTAACAGACACGAAATAGACCATGTCAAGCATTTTCAGCAAGATATTCGCCTTCTTCTCGTGGCAAAAGCCACCACCACCCACCTTCCGCATTACCGCACTCGTTGCACCCGCAACATCAGAACAGTACCGCTCCAACTCTAGCTTCTCACACGCTGACCTACTCGGTATCGAAGAAACAATCACATTCGATGTTGACTGCGACGTAATTCCGGAGCAGATCCGCTGTAGCTGCCTCACGTCCGGAAACGAATGCACCGCAAAATACCTAGAGGAACATTATGTGATGGAGTGGGCTGCTGGTAGTATCATGGAGTATGAGGAGGTGGAAATTAGAGGCGAAGTAGTGAGGAGAGAGAAAAGAGGACGACCTAGAATTTGGGAAGGATGGTGCAAAGATGGTGGGATGGTTTATTTGGGGCCAACGGAGAGAATGAGGTGTATTGAGGGTTACGACGAGCATCTCAGAGAGCAGGCGAAGATCGACGGAGCCAGGAGGACGAATAGTTGCGAATAATTCTGCAACTTGATATCATTGTGCTGTGCATAGGCAAGCCGGGATGTTCGCGGTACCTATGTATCGAGTGTCAGCGTATCGTCGTTATCACCGACCAAGCATTGACGATCGTCTTACACAACGGTTTCGTTTGTCTCCAACAACCCTTTTCACATCGCGCGTCACGCGCGAACACTGAATTCACAAAGTCTTTGTTCATCAAACACACACTCGATCTAAGCCACTTATTCTTTATACTCCTCGTACTGAGTTCCCCAATACTGCGCCACTTCATTTTGCGCAAAGCCTCAGGCATTCATCGGTTGCTTACATATATCGAAATCGGCTGAGCCAAGGCCACGGTGTGAAGTTGAATATGTCGGTACCTTACTTTGATCCTTTAGGCGAGACAGGTAAGAGTTCAGGGTCGGTGAGAGACTCGCATGTTGACTTCAGTTCAGAACCAAACAACACACGCTATACCCTGACAGTCGTGGTACCACCTAGACCACCGCCACACTGGCTGCCCAGCATATTCAAGAATAAGCCATCTACCCACTCAAGCAATGCTGGCGCGCACAAATTGCCTGTATCGAACAACAACCCCAACCTCGACCTTTTTGAATTCAAAGACATCGGTATTCTGGCCACCAAGACCATCACCATCAAGAGTGCATGGTTTCCAGCTGAGATGAGGTGTGCGCATGTTCAAAAGGGACTGTTGTGTGGAGAACGTTGCTACTTTCTTGAGAAAGGTGGAGACGTGACAAGGTGGTGGTGTAAAAGGGAAGATTGTGAAGGACATGTGTACTGCGGACGAGTCATGACAGATGACAAAGGAAGAAGTTGTTTTGGTAAGAAGGGAGGAAGAATGGTGTGCTTGGAAAGGTGATCAAAGGTTATGCCTTTGACAAATATCTTCGAACACGGATACAATGAGCAATAATGTGATAGGATGGTATTATAGTAGTGTGTACTAGGCGACGATGCGCAGGTATGTATAGGGTATTCGCTAAGTTAAAACTTGTTCGAGATGCACGGAAAGAACTAAAGAATTCGCTCCGAAATCTTTACAGGAAGAAGGCAGCAACAGCGGCACCAAGACCGGCCAATGCCGGGACTTGGATCATCTGAGCAGCACCGGTGGCTTGCTCGGCAGAGCTGGAAGTTGGGGAAGCTCCGGAGCTGGCAGCAGACTCTGAGTCGGAAGTGGTGGCCGTGGCGGATTTAGAAGCTACAGAGGTCATGGTAGAGCGAGATGCTGTTACAGAAGCGCTATCAGCGGACACTGACGCTGCTGCAGTCGCACTCGGAAGCGAATCGTCGCCTTCTGTGATGGTGAGGGGGATCATGTTGAAGTATCCATCGGGCAATACCGTAGAGGTTTGAAGGGCAGCGTCCGCACCATCGGGGCAGAGGTCGGAGTACTCGGCGTCGGCGCACACAGAGCTCATCGCCTCATCGAGGCCCTTGGTAGTCATGGTGCAAGATGCTGATGCCTCGTCGGTGTTCTTGCGTGAGCATTCGCCGGAGATTGTCACAGTTACGCCGTAGGCTGAAGCCGCTGCCTCGAAACCGTAGTAGGTATTGCCTCCAACAGTGATTGTCGCTGGAATATCGGCCTAATTGCAACGAATCAGTGAATGTCGTCGATAGCTTCAAGTCGTTACTAATTACCATTAGATCCTCCATAGTGGCAGCTGGGACATCCAAAGACAAGGTAGTGCGGTCATCGTTGACATTGATAACGGCACCTTCGTATGAGACATCGCCATCCGAAAGACCCGGCATCCACATGGAAGTGGTTGTTGTAGCCGCAGCAGACGAAGCAAAAAGCGCCAGAGACAAAAGCTTAGACATTGTGATGTAGAAGGATGAATATTAAGTCCAGGTGTTGGAAATGTTGTAAAGAACGAAAGACAGTAACGAGTGATGCTTGACAATGCAATGAAGACTCTTTGGCTGTGGGATATCCAGTCTACTTATTGGGGAGATTTGATGGCTGATCGCTTAACTGACAGCGCATGATGCGGGAGGCCTAACCCGTGCTGGCCCCCTGAAAACTATACGAGCCGCCTTTCTAGGCACACCGGTATCTGATGTGGTCTAGTTGCGGTCTATTTACGCGACTGTTGCCTGAAAGAAATTGCTCGTAAATTCTCCGCATCTGCTTGGGTGGAGCGAAGCATACTGTGGAGTGACGTTGATACCTAGGTGAGCCAAAAGCACGCACAGAGCCACGGTATGATGGTTTCAAATTCCCATAATCATTCTACAACACAGACTTATGGAGTAAGGCTTGGTTTGCCCATTTCTTATTTCTTATGTCTGCTGTCTTGATGTATCGGTGGTAAATGGCCTGTCAAAACTCCGCGCGCAAAAATTGACAAGCAACAAAGTTTGTGGCTTGGATCTTGTGGTCCATGCGTGTTTCGGAAGGCGCTCTCTGGGCCATTGGTAGCCATTTTAGCGAGACGGCAAGCAGGATCCTAACTGTCAGCCCTATGAAGTTGGGCGTTTGGGTAGGTCGCAACTTTCGAGGGCGTGCTGAGAGAAAAGTCTTGCAGATGTGGGTGAGCACTGGAGATTGGAAGAAAGCGCATGCACCAAGCGCTGCTGACATAATGAGAGTTTCCACCTTCGTGAGCATACAAGTTTTCGGCACGACAAGCACAGAGACCACGTTCGACAAAGCAACGTTCAAATTACAACACAACTAGGGTATCGCGCTCGAACAAACAATATAACGCAACACAAACGCCATCCCTGTGCCTCCCGGCCATGCCGTCCAGGTAGAACAAGCCTGTCAGCCTAACACACCAACACCTCTATCCGCCGTCGTTCTCACACCGTTCGCCGTTGCTTCCAAAGCTAAAGTTGCCGTAACTGCTCGGTGTGTGCGCATGGATATCGGGTCCAAAATCGTCAGGAAGACTTTCGTAGTAATATCGGTCTTTTCTCCATCAGGCGCGAACCATTTCATGAACGACCATCTTAGGAGTGTTCCTGGTGGTACTGGGCGCCACGGCGCATACCACTCGAGAAATTGTAGTCATCGTCGTCGTCGTCTCTTGCGCGAAGGAGCTCCTTTGACCAACCCTGGAAGGGCTTCTTGAGCGCCGCTCTCAAGGATGAGGAAGTCGCAATCGCATGGTGTTGGCTTAACGACGAGCTCTCGACTGGCGCTGTCACAGAAGAGCTGCGACTCGATGGCTTGGAGGTTTGTGCGACCATGTTGAAAGTTTAGATGAGGCTAAGATTCGATGATCCGACGTATTGGAAGGCTGTAAGTATGGTAGGAATATTGACAATTGCTAATGTTTGCTTGATCGATGAGCGACTTGCTTCAGGCTGCTGGTAACGGCCTACTATATACTCTTGTTGTCGCAAAGTCGAAACCCATCGGTCCCAACAATCGCACCGCCGAGTCATCGCCGAAGAGCCTCACTCGAAAAGACTACAATTCTTGATAAAGATGACCCACTGAATTCATACATATTCCAGCTCTGGTCATGGTGATTGGTCGAGAATTTGACTTTCTCGATTTAGTCGGAACAAATTACTGAGTCTGTGGCAATTCGGTTACAACTCGGATTTTCGGAGATGATCGGGGAAGCTGGAATCGGGATACTTCGGAATGCACCAGTCTTAGAAGTATTGCCAAGGACACCAGACAATCACAAGCTCGTCAAGACATGACCAATTGGGGATCAAGAACTCGTCTTCTCTACTCTACATAGGTTTGAGTTTTTTTTTTTTTTAGTTTTTTCAAAGTCGATAGATAGATCCGCGTTAACGACCTTTACCCACAGGCACACCTGTCGCAACGATCATTCGCGACCGCTTAAACAGATTCAGTCATCTGACGACAAACTCAAAATACAACTGTGAGAGACTATCTTTCTTGACCGCTCTCAGCCTCGCCGTTAGGTATGAGTACCAGATCTGCATACCCTAATCGCTCATTGCGATGATTGCCGCTATCCGTCTCATAGCACCCGAACATTGTGCTAGGTCTTGCTGTGCCAGATCGTTGGTAGTCGTAGCTGCACGCTGCGCGGTGGTCAGGGCCCTTCGTATATTCGACAGTTCGAGTTTCCTTATGTCATCAGTCGAGTCGTCTTCTTCCTGCTTTGCTTGCTTGATCTTATCCGCGATTCGATTCATTTGGAGTAACGACTCCTCGATCACGGTGTTGTATCTTTCAACGAGAGATTGTAATAACTCTGGGTATGTATGCAACTCTTTGGAATGTGCACTCAAGACAAACTTGGTACGACACATGGGGCAGGTTGCGTCTTCATCTTTGTGAAGCTTTGTGTGCAGCCAAACATATAGGCAGAGTTTGTAGAAGATATGAGGCGATGGACATGTCTTGGTCTGGACTACGGCCTTAGAGGAAATAGAGGACGCTTGGTTGACAATATCCGACGGATCGGCCTTCTCGTCGCAGCCGCAAATGTCGCATTCTTTACCGTGCACGACGTAATAATCTTCCTGGAGATCATCTACACTTTCGTCAAAGAACGTGCTCAGACTCAGGCCGGTTGCAGTATCGTCGGGCATGTCGAGTATGATCGAGGATTCGTCGAGCTGTAGGGTCGCAGGCTTGGGGTGTACGTTGAGAAGAAAGGGGTAGCAATGTTGATAACTGAACTTCATAACGTGTGTGAAAAATGTAAGTCACGGCTGTGAACATTCTCTAGGCTGCCATTTCACCTCTGCCAGACCCTCCAAGATACAGTGTTCATACAAATAAGCCCCTATCCTTTGACCCATATCTACCGGAGCTTGGGACATCCAACAAGACTCAAGTAAATTCACAAGTAGTCTTCGACATCACTTTCCATATTTGATGTCTCCTGTAGTCTCAGGACAGGATCGACCTTTGGGAAAAGCCATAGAGCTTTACTAGAACGACGACCTACAAACGACAGCTGGATTCGGATTTCAACTCACCGGCATATCTACTGCTTGTAGAAGTCTTTCTTCTGGGCCAACTAAACCATAACTTGTAGACGCAAAGAAATAATAGGTTTACACCAATACTTCTACAAAGGAACGTAGCGAGAAGTTAACACGCTAGATCGATAAGAACCATGCAAGGGACTCTGGTTTGGGACATCGAAGTGGACTGAATGTGATGCGCATCTTTCTGCACTGAGCAAAGTTTGAATGAACAAATGCCATAACAACCGAAAATTGTTCTCGTGAGAAAGTAACTAGCGAGAGGTCAAATTGCATGACATTATGCCTGCGCTGTGTAGTTCCACCGCTCATACGTCACCTCTGTACATCTTGTCCGACTCCTTAAACGTCCCATGAAATCCGAAGCTCATCGGACCCGCCATCTCTGCTCTTCCCATCTCCGTCAAATCCTTCGCCTTCAGTACGAGCAAGTAACTTTTTTCCGCATACCCATCCAAAACCACACTCAGCAACACACCGTCATCTTCCTCCATGCCTTCCGGATCAGCAATGAAGATGGCCTCACCAGGCGTGTGACCCTCTTCTTCCCAATATTTGACTTCTTGAGTCTTATTGTCGAACTTGACGAGGCCGTCGAAAAAGGAAGATTTGAGACGGTCAGCGCAACCGTATGTGTAGCGGTGGCGTCGTGTTAGATATGCAGGGTTCAGCGTGGGCAGCTCCATCGACTTGAACTTCTCAGCCTGGAACAAGAGCTCCGCGGGCATGGGAGTAGGGACACCAGCGTCAACGCTGGGAAGACGGAATTGTGCCTGCATAGGTAAAGCTGTCATACGCTCCTCACCTTCGTACTCGCGCGTGTCGATGGAAGAGATGAGATTATCGTAGTAAAAGCGCTTGACAACATCAAGATTCTCGAACATGCTGAGCTCGGTGATGATGTCTGTTTTGGTGGGATCAGAAGCCGACGGTTCTTCCCAAGCGTTGATACTGTGGAAGCAGAAAAATGGTTTGCTTTCGTACGTTGCTATGACTCCTTTACCCTGGCGCCGATCGACGACGTACCACGTAGCTTTGGTATCTGGGTCGAAGGGTGCCATGGCATCGATGACGTTCTTGTGGTACATGAGCGAAATGCCACCCCATGTGATATGGCTGTTCCAGACACAGAGAATGACGTAATTTTCTGTTAGGAACAATGAGTGGATGTATGCAGGCGTTCCATGGAAGGTGGCGAGGATGTCTGTCTCGCCAGACGATGCTGAAACGCGAAAGATGCGGTAGGTGCTCTTGTAACCAAATTCTAGGTTGAAGTTGAACATGTCACCAGTCTTGGGGTCGGACTTGGCATGAGCAGCGGAAAAGGGCCCTTTCAGTTCTGGATGGAGAGACTTCTGGCGAGCGTAGCCCCTTGGTTCCAAAGTCTCAGGGTCGATCTGCTTGACCTCGTGAGAATCTGTTTTAACATGTAAAGTGTCGATGCCGTTGGTGTGATTGTTTGTTGTAGGTCTCGTAGCTCCAGGCAGTTTGTCGCCTCCTGGCATATTAATCGACAAGGTAACGCCGACATTATGTTCGCTTGGTATTGATACGAACATGCTCATGACTTTGCTGAAGAAGCTTTCGCATAGATCTGAACGCTTTGGGCCGAACGTGGTACTGTCAAGTCTGCCGTTCTTACGGACCATCTCAAGGTATTCATCTACTGTGCGTCGAGAGCGGTATGTAACCTTCGGTGGACTGTCCGCATGGGGAGTGGCGTCTATCTGGAAGCGATGAACACACGAGAACCCATCGAACCAATGCTTTGCCGCCCAGACCTTTCCATCGTCTGTCTTCGCCTTGTAGCCGAGCGGTCCTGTTCGGTAAAGTACACCTGCAGCGTATTTGGGGATGGTGCCTTTGACAGTGAGTGACATGGGTTCGTTCTCTTCATAGTTCGTGTCGAAGCCTGCCGTGTTAGGCCAGACATCTGTTGTGGCGACGACCATGCTGATGTTCAGTTTCCCTACCGTACTGCGCGTGCGTGCGTGGTAACACAGAGATGAGATGTCTTACGGTACCCTGAGGGAGGTTGGGGAGGGTCGTAGAGAGTACTGAAGCTTAGCTCGATTGTAGGGCCAGAGAGGTGGCAACGACGCGAGTAAAGCAAGTGCAAAGAGAGAGCAATAAATCGGCAGGTACAGCTTGAAGCTTTTCCAGACTGGGAGATCTAGTTACAAAGAGTCGATTAACCTTATTGAGTAGCTTGGCTAGAGATACAGAGGAGATTATAGGTTTTAGCTTCCTCGAACGCGGTGGATAGCCTTATATGCGGGGCGGCCCCGGCTCAACCCTTCCGTACGTATCGTGAACGCGGTGAAATCACAGTCGCAATACATTCCTCAAAACGACGTTGCTGGTGGCTTGAAAGGCTAAGGGAATTCGTTTCTTAGTCAGGAAATATCGATTGGTCACACTTCTTCGCTACTGCATAGAACAGAATGAATAAACACCCCATTTTCTTCGCGACCGGGAGCAAATCTCTAAGAAGATTGGATTTAGCCGGATCCCATGTCCTTCTTTCACGTGCAAATCTATACAATGTGGTTGTTACACTATTTGAAGTCCTATCTTTCACACCCATGCGGGGTTTCATGGATCTAGGCCCCAGGTCTGGTCGGTGATGAGATCAGATCGACCACATAGAAACCGTGAGGAGACGACAGGCGTAGAGAATCAGGTTATCATTGCGCGGACTTCTCCAGGCGTCGTTTCATGCTGACCTAGAAGCCCCGTATGGCTTGATAGTTGACCCACACCTTACGTGCGTAGGTTAAATAATGCGCATTTCGCAAGATACTCCCTATGGAGATGCCTACGCTTAGCAGCTATGCTTGGTCATTGCGTTGTTGACTTTCCCTGCTGGAAGATCAGAAAGGTTGTATGAATATTATGGAAAAGAGAATAAGCAGGATATGCAAAATAGTCATGAAGACATTCCAAGCGACACTTCAGGCGGAGAGATGCCTGATCGCCGAAGATGTAAGCTAGCACCAACGCAGCACTAGCTCTCAGCCCTATGGCGGGCTTTGGCAGTTGCATCATCAATTTGGACTCAAGATTGTCTTTCGCACGAATCACATCTTCGACGCCACAACCACCATTATCGTTGCACAACCCGCGGCCAGTCCAAAGATTTCAGAAGTCACTCCGCCTTTACATGGACCGTTAGCGGCTGTCAACTACTGCCGAACGGCCACCGCGCGCGGAAAACCCCACTCCGATCTCTCAACCAAACACTTGCTCGACTCACAAACCTCGTCTAAACAAGCACAACCGTCCGCCAATATGGGAGCCATAATATCTCTTCCTTTCACAATTCTTAACCTCCTCCTACCATTCACGCGATCTGGCACACCTCTGTCGCAAGATCTCTTACATACAGCAATCCTCTGCGGCACATTATATTTTGCCCCACAAATAGGCGAATGGTACAATGCGCAACGGCAAGCAGCAGAGGCAGGGTCAGGCCAAAGGGAAGACAATGAAGATGCGAATCGCGCTGTTGAGCCAGCGATTAGAAATCAAGAAGATGCACAAGAACAAGAACAGGGCGAGCAACTCCCCCTAGACGAACGTCTGGTCCTGCAAGACGACGGCACAGAAGCCGCGCGACCACCTCGAGCACCCACACCACCGCCTCACCAGGCCCACGTTGCAGACCTTCCTGAACTACACCATCCTCAACGACACAACCACGAAGAACGAGAAGTCCAACTACCCGACGATGCTTTCGCCCCGGGCCTCGCAAACCCCCCACCACAACAGAACGCGAACCGCCCACCCCCAACCCAACGAGTAGTCGGCACCAAGAAAGCCAAATCGCTTGCCCGGAAAGACCAACAGCGCGCTTATAATGAGTGGCTCCGCTCCGAAGCTGAAATGCGGCGTCTCCAAGAAGCCGAAGGCCGCGAGGAACGCGAAGCAGCTTCTGCAGCAGAAAAGGCTCGGCGAGCAGCTGTAGAAGAAGAAATTCGGGAAAGAGCGAGACAAGAAAGGGAGGAACGAAAAGCAGAGGAGAAGAGGGAGGCCGAGCTGGAGGCTGCGAGAAGGGAACGGGTAGTTGCATTTGTGAGAGAGAAGATGAGGCAGAAGGGCGCTGTGGATCTCGTGGACGCGGCGTGGAATGAGGGTAAAGACAGACTCTGGGTTGAAAGATTGGTCAAAGCAAGCGGGCTTATGCAGCAACTGCAGAAGGAAGGGGGGCATGTTATGATCACAGGGCAGGATTGGCTTGTCAGGATCGATAGCGATATTATGGAGAAAGCTTATGCGGAGGCTGAGCAAATTGGGGAGAGAAGTGGCGGTAAAGTCAGCTTCGAAGAGTTTGGGGGGATAGTAGAGAGGGCGGTCTTGGGCAGGGCGGCCGCTTAGACATGTACCTAACGTTGAGCACGACATACACGTAGTAAGTGTAGACATAAGATACCCATAGATGATTTTGAATAATACACTCGAGTCTATCAACATGGCATGCACGGCGGGCGCCATGACGCTGCCAATGGAGTGAATCTTCACTGCTGTCGAGTTGCCTTCCAACAGCGAATCTGGTCTCTTCCAGCCAGTCTGTGACCATCAACATCACCTCGCACGCAACAACGGCTCATCTGAACGTGGTATCGTATTGTCCATTTTTGTCATGCAACCATGAAAGAGGTCTTATTCGCCTAGGAAAGCCATGCCATGCATAAGATCCCTCATCCCGTCCGATCAAAATACGACCAGAACAGCCATTCGAAAGAACTCCTCCCAGAGACACCATGCACACCCATACAAAGAACGCACGCCTTTATCGGTTGGACTTGGCGACACGCTCGAGCTCATCCTTCTTCTTGATGGCGTACGAGTTGCTGCTTCCCTTGGCAGCGTTGATCAGCTCCTCAGCAAGGCACTCGGCAATGCTCTTAACGTTGCGGAAAGAGGCCTCACGGGCACCGATGGTGAGGAGGGAGATACCCTGGTTGACACGGCGGAGGGGAGAAACATCGACGGCCTGGCGACGGACGGTACCGGCGGAACCGATACGGGTGGAGTCTTCACGGGGACCGCAGTTGACGATGGCATCGACGGCGACCTGGATGGGGTTCTGGTCGGTCATGATGTGGATCTACGATTGTCAGCCATCTCCTTGGGGGCATTGCGTGCCACTTTCGCGATTCGAAAATCTGGCGGGTCATAGACGTACGATCTCGAAAGCGTGAGCAACGATACGGACAGCCATGAGCTTCTTTCCGTTGTTGCGGCCGTTCATCATGAGCGAGTTGGTGAGACGCTCAATGATGGGGCACTGGGCCTTCCTGAACCGCTTGACGGCATATCGGCCGGCGGAGTGTGAGATGTAGACAGGTGAGCGGATCTGGATGTAGTCGCTGCGGCTTCAGTTAGCCGAAGGTCTCGCAGCGCAATACAAAGTATCCAATGCCACCATTGTCCCTTTATATAGGTATGCGGCGCGATATCGTGGGGGAAACGTACGTCAATGAGATGTCGCGGACCTCGACCTCCTCGTAGGACCACTGCGAGCTGTTAGTTTTGTGCGTGTGAGCGGAAATCGCAATGCGCCTGCCTTGTTGAACAGCTTAACGCTGCCCTGCTCGTCGGTGACATCCTTGGGAAGGATGTTGATACCGGTGGGGTTCTCGACCTCGATTTCTCCGTTGTCAGACATGATTGCGGTTGTCGGTGTGGGAGGGAGAGAGAGGGATGGGCGTCAAAGTTCGTAGTCGCTGTCGATGAATACTGAAGTCAGTCCTTGGACTGGTGGGCATCGAATTTCGAGCTCGCTTGGTCCGCCAATGGTGCGCTAGTGGGGCTTGGCAGCGTTGCACGCGTGCCGACCATCTCCTCCTCCACGGCTCCTCGTGCAAGGAACATCACTCTTTTGATTTATTGTCACATTCAGGCCATGCAGGCACATGCTCATAATCAAGTTAATAGTTCTTGCTGCCACAACGTTTGCATACTTTCCACAACCAGTACATTATAAAACCTTAAATGCTAAGAGCGGAAGATGACAATACTCAATTACAATATCATAAGAACTAGCAAAAAGCACAACTGTGGTATATAACGCAGTCACTGCCCGTCCGAAGCCAACCGTGCATGCATGCAACCCAGACGCCAGGTAAAATTCAAAATGCAGCAAGAGCCTCCAACGCCATGCAATGCCGCTAAGCGCAAGGTAAAGTCGCAACAGGGAAAATCAATGGTATCACGACTCTCGCGGCGCTCTCGTCAGCACAGCAACCACCAGTCACTCTCTGAAACCTCCACTCTGGATTGCTCATCTCAGCTTCCGCGATACACTGCGGACGCGGGTCACGGGTGCACTGATGTCTCTACGATCCTTCGCGCCCTCGACCATCTGCTTCATTGGCGTTCCGTGACCAGCGGCCATGCTTCTAGCACGTCCCCTGCGTTCACGAATGGCTGCGAGGGCGGCTTCGCGGTCGATGCCTAGCTTGTTGAGTGACAGTTCACCCAAGACAGGTGTCTGTGTATTAGCCGCAGCATGTGCGACGGTCGACGGAGTCATAGGCCCTCGGCCCGGCTTGAATGCTGGAGTGGCAGGAGAGAAGTGAAGAGGGATGGTAGTGGTGGTGGTGATTGTGCGAGTAAGATAGGGTGTTGCTGGACCGGTAGGCTCCCGGTCTGGCGTCGGCGGTGACATGTCCTCATCTTCACTGTCATCCACGGCGTCTTCATGGATACTGATGTCTACAGCCTTGCTCTCCCTACGAGTAGGAAGGACAAAGTCTACCCTAGACGCTGGACGAGACTGTGGTAGAGACACTTCAGTAGGAATGACTGAGTTGCGCATGTGTGCTACCTCCATCGGTGCATCAATCATCTCCACCGCAGGCGATGGTTCTGAAGGTGTTGCCAAGTCTGTTGATGGGCGCGACTTCATCGGGGAGGGGACAGAGCGGAAGGTTCCTGTGTCAGGAGAGAAGGCGACAACGGTCTCTGGTTCCTCGGTCTCTGTCTTGACTGCGACGTCCTCTGGCGGTGTGATGGGTCGCTCATTTTCAACAGACTCTTGCTTGATCGCTACGTCTTCCATGACTTCGTCTCCGTGGTTGCTAGGGGGAGGTGTGGAGATGGGTAGCGAGACCTTGATGCGCTGCATCTCATCTTCCAGAGAATTGTCGTGGATGTATTGCTTTCCACTGTTCTCAGCAATGCGGCAAGAACAGCATTGGAACTGGCATTCCATCTTCATGAAGTCGATCTGTTCCTCAGCGCGCTCTCGGGCACGCCTCTCTGCTGCCAGCTCCTGCTGAACAAAGCGCAGATCAATCGCGTTCTTCTTTGGAGACACGTTTTCCTTATCGTCATCTTCACGCGAGAGGCTACGTGGCTTGCGTGGTGATCGAACAGGTGACGCGAATTCGTCGGTCTCTTCTGCGTCGGCGGACGGGAGTGGGATTTGGCCTTCGGCAGCGATGCGCAAGACTTCCTCCTCTTTTAAGCTTGTCTTAAGAGCATCGCGCTCTCCTTCTACCAAGCCTAGCTTTTCTTTGAGTGTCTGCACTTCTTCGTTCAGTCGGTTGGAGACAGTCTCGATCTCAAGTTGCAGGTTGTACACGTCGTTCTTGTACTTGGCAGCTTCGTCGGTCTTGAACTTGACATCCGACTCGGCCCGCTGCAAGCTACGCTGAAGCCCCTGCATCTTAGACTGGAGCTGTGGTATCATGGCAGAAGTCCGTAGCTTCTCGTTGTTGGCTTCCATGAAGTCCTTCTTGGCGTGACGATATTTGCCCTCATAAACTTGGCTACGGCGCTCTGCTTCCACCTGAAACCCATTAGTAGCTGACATGGAGATGCAAAGGCATGATGAACTTACCGCCCTAGCTCGATCACCCCTCCACTTCTCTTCATTTTCCTTAAAAATCTTCTCCCACTTCTTGATGGCAGCCTTACTCGCCTCTCGCTCCTTCTCGTATCGTTCCTTGGTGATAGCCTCGCCGAGAGATCCACTCGCGTGTTCGAGTTCGTTCTTCAGCTCGTCGATGCGGATGTCGCGTCGGCTCAGAGCCATTTCCTGTTCTCGTTCCTTCTTGGCATGTTCTTTTTCAATCTTGTTCAACTTCTCGGCATGTCGTATTCTCTCCTTGTCGAGGAGTTCTTTGAACCGCTTGCATGCTTCTCTTGGGTCCTTAACCTCGAGGTTCTCGAACATGCCGGTAAGTGCTGTAACGGAGACATCGGAGTCGGTCCGGCGGTGTGTGTGTCGTAGCGGCGAGTGAGGACGGAGGTTTGGCGTAGATGGCGCCAGGACCGGGGACGATCCTCTGGAGTCGCCAAAGGGAGATCTTGAGCCTGCACCTCGGTCGGGGCTGGCGGGAAAGATGGGCATCCCAGGCGAGAAGGGAGCCTTGTTGGGCGAGAGGGGAGGAGGGGGATCCATTGGGACCGGGGATTCTTTGAGGCGCGCCAACTTGACGGTTGGGGAGGGTTATGTATGTTGTCGAGGGGTAGCACTTGCTATGAGTCTGGTTTGGACTTTGGTAGTCTAAGGAAGTTGTGCAGCACGTCTATGTAATGTGCGATGGTGCGAGCTCAGACGATAAATGTAAATAGCGCTAGCCAACAACGCGACGCCACTTCCCTGCACCATGGCAACCCGCACGGACCCATCTGATCCGCGAACCCCACGTCATATTGTTTGACCGTTTCGACAAGCTGGGGGTGGCCCCTGTGATGTAAAAACGGTCAAATGCTACATGTGAGGAGGCGCGTTTTACTGGCAACGCGAGACGTTATTTCGGAGGCAGTCACTTTGCTATATCCCACAACACGTGCATCTCACCTACGATGTACACAAACAGACCGTCTTCGTGAAACATAATCGGGAAAGCGAGTGTGAGTGTATTGAGTAGGCTTCCTTAAGACCATGACAAACCCCGTCAACCATAACGTTACTTCGATAGCAATATGGAAAACAAATGAAACACCGCGAGCGCTCTTCTCTCACACCTATCGTAGCTCCTGCCGTCGCTCCCCGTCTTCGCGTCAGGCACTCATGTAAGCAACTCCGTTTGGCGCTATGCCATATTCTCCAGTCGATTGAGCAGGCGTAGCAACCACATCCGGGGTTGTGGGTAATGGCACGGCGCTAGTGATCATGGTACCAGGCGTAGTTGAAGGACCTGAAGTGAAGTTAGCATACAGGCTATTCTGGACGAAAGCAACCAGATCACACACTAGATAGCACAGCGCTAATTGGAGATGGTGTCGGTGCAGCGTTGGATGAAGTGTACTGGATATTCATGGTTCCTGGTACCGACGGAAGAGGCGGGCTGGGATCATAGACTTCTACTGTAGAGCTTCCCGCCGGAGTAGAGGTTGCAGGGTAAACGGTAGAGTCTGTGTGATGTCAGATGTGCTGAGTCATATCTATACCTGGTGGGTGGGTAGACGAACCTAATGTATTGGAGATGTAGATACTGCTTTCCATTGCATAAGTAGTGGCGTTGCTATGCGGCATGTACTCTGTTCCATGAGCTGGTGATCTAGTATATCCTGTCGAGATTGGTATGTAGGCTGTTGGTGTCGTGCCTGTTGCATACGTATTGTGCGATACTTGTGCTCCTTGGAGAGTGAGCGAAGCGGTAGGATAGGGCGCTACGGATACAGTCGCGTAGTTGGAGGGATACGGTATAGGGGTGTCTGCAAAGACGTCAGTCATCCATATACAAAGGAAGCTTGTCACGAAGATCGAGAAGAGCAATGAACGAGACGACAGTCATACTGAAAGTGCTTGAAACCACAGGGCCATGTCCCCCAACATGGGATACACTGATGCTTGTAATAGGTGTTATAGAAGAATACCCTGATATAGCCGGGATCTCTGGAGGTGGTACAGTCGGTTCAGTGGGGCGAATCATGGTACTGCTCAACACGATCGGGCTCGGCGAAGGGTTTGTAGGATAGCCTGTCATCATGTTAGCTATTGGAAGTTGACGTTATCATGGTTCCCTTGACCATATATCGTGCTACCATCGCTTATAGGATAACGACCAGTTTGCAAGGCGAGTGACGCGATGCTCGAGCCAACGACTGTCACTGTCGCAGTCGAAGAAGTGGCACACGGCGTACTCGAAGTCTGAAGACCTATATCAGATGACCTGGCCATGGTTGTCGGATAAGAATATCCAGAACCATGGCTCTCTGAAGGGTAGTGGTTTTGGTCACCACCTTTGTAGACATCTGACGCAGGGACTGAATCATGATGGCCTCTGGGAATGACGAGAGCGGATGTGAAAGCGCTGGTGAGCACAACTCCAAGGAGTGACGTCTTAGAGAACCAAAGTTCCATGGCGTAGATCGTGCTGCGGTGACTATGGATCTGGGCTGAGTGATGGAAATGTGTTTTGATCAGAGAATGAAGGACATGCAGGAGTTGCTCGAGATTAGACTCGGACATTGAGTGCCATACATATACCTCTGTAGACTGGAGGGCGTCAAGACGCCTCATTGTACAGTCGCGCCGGAATCTGCAAACTTGTAACATTAGACCCATTCGTCCCTACACCATCCCCCTGTATGATTGGCTAGCGGAAGGATCGTTCTGTGGCAACGTTCACTCCCATAGCATCGTGAAGGAGGCGTACTTATAACCGCCCCAAATCGGGTCCGGTTGGTCACACGGGGACTGAGGCACAGGTTTGAAATTGTACTGGTGGCCCCAAACAAAGACCATGAATGCGACCATGATGGTGGCGTGTAGGAACATACTCGTTTTCGACGTAAGGGGTGATTCTGAAGTACCTTAGGTATCTGATTGGGGTTTTGGATTGAGTCAAAAGTTGTCAGGCGCCACGATTGTGCATGTAACAACTAATCTGGTCTGATGGAGCAAGATGGATTGATGCACATGAGCCTGCTCGATTGCACTTGGTTATTGCCCTTTCTGGGGTTTGAGGGGCTTTTTTGTGTCAAGCCAGGCCTTTCCGGTATCTCAGCTTCCTTCGGAACCAAGAGCGTTTCTCGAATGTGTCTTGAGTCCTTCTGGGGGCAGAACATGCCATGACCAGAGGAGTCTCGCTGGAGCCAGACCTACTTACTACATGCAAGCCTCTTCTAGACGTTAGCGATATTCAATAAAACAAGGGGAAATGTAATCTTGCTTCGATGTCAAGTCTTTTTCAAATTGCTCTTCTTTCAGCGAAGTGGTATACGTGTAGATTGCGGCGTCCCTGTGTACCTTGCTACTCATGAACCCATGCCTGGCACTCACCGCAGCACGTCATGAGGCAAGGCAACTTGACCCATCTAGAGCAAATGATTACGCGTACTTTCTGGAGCCTGCGAACAGCCATGATAGCTTCGATGTCATTGCTGACAGTGGTAGGAGAACGTCGGATGATCTGGAAGGTGGTCGGTCACCGAAAGCTGTAGAAGAGTGGGGCCGCAGAGCCCCACACTGGCGCAAAGACGGATGGATGTATTCTGAGCGGCTCTGCCTTGAGAAGATGCAATATTCAGCTTCATACCTAATTCCTCATATTCTGAGCATCAAACTTGATTTGACAATTATTTCCTCAATTTGAACTAGATACAGTCTTGTGATAGAAATGACCACAGAAAACAGAAATATCTCGCAACTTCTACAGATTGCAATCTAGTCTGCATGGTTTCGCAGTCCGTCGCTGAACAAACAACAAGATACATGATAATCCGAAAACTCCATGCGCGCAACGCTCGCTCGAGGGTGACTATTAGTGATAATGACAATCTGCTGACGATGGGTTGGGACATGCTGTGATAACTTGAGAATAGCCGCTTGCAAGACATTGATAACTTTTGAAAATAGCGTGAATGAGAAAAGACGGAAGCGTCATCCGATGATGGCCGTGCCTGGATCGTACTCGTAACAAGGGTATCGAAGTAGTCTAATCGTTTTCGACCAAGGAAACTGGAGAAAATAAGGGGGCTGTGTCGCGTCATGGTTGTCAGACCTCCCATGGCTGTCGCTGACGGTTGACTGTGCCGTAGGACCTTGGCTCGTCTTCCTCAAGAAGACTCTCCATGATGGATCCGACATCAGTGTTGGTAACTGTGATTGCATCTTCCTCGTCCAGCCTCTTCCGCATACGGTAAACCTGTACCGTAACATAAGTGACAAGCGACGTGCCGATGACAAACGCCGCACCAGCCAGAAAGATGTTTACTGGAATGGGATTACCATGGAAAGTGCCTTTCGTCAAGGCGTCAATTGCAGTCTGCGACAGATTGACCAACCCAGACGTGCAGATGATAGTTCCGTATACACGTCCAAAAGTAGCGAAACCAAAGACCTTGGTCGCGTAGTCCGACATGGCTGAGTAGTAGAGCGGACGCAGGAAGACGAACAGGATGACGTTGACATATCCGGCCCAAAGTGCACAAATGGAACCGATGATTCCGATAGCGGAGGTCATGAAGACAATGATAAGGAGGACGCCGGGCGTGCTGACGTTGTCGAGTAGAGCACCAAGGAATGGGGTAGCGATAACTCCAGCGAGGGGCAAAGCAACGTCGAAGAAATCGTTGACCTTTTCGGCTAACTTTACAGACCCAAGCATGTAGGTGTACTGTTCACGGATAGCTTTTCATGGTGTCAGCATCTGTTCTCCATCGTAGTCCAAGGAGTCTACTTACTTGCGATTTGATAATTCATACGCACCATCTGAATGACAGTCAACAGGGTGAGCAGTATGAACCAGGGCGTCAGCATCTGATCTTTGGCAGACTTGTTGTGCAAGGCACCCCAGACACCGGAGTTTTCGAGCCTTTGCTCCGCCTTCTCCTCGCGAATCTTACGTGCTGCTTCGTTGCCGACCAGCTCGTCGAGTTTGCTCAATCGCTCCTTACGACGCGTACTACGGGCTTTTCTTCGCTTCCACATCTCGTTGTCAGGAAGCTCGTCGTCGGAAGAATGGACATCTCGCATGGCATCTTCAGCCCTCTGGATCTTCATTTCAAGCTGCGCCTCAGTTTTGTAGTTCTCGGTCGGTAAGAAGGTCAGTTGCGCGATGACAATTGCTGCCGGGACGACGAGATAGACTAGAAAGAAGGTCTGAGGCTTGAAGTTCCTGTCGCTAGCATCGTAGATAAGCCTGTAGAAGAGGAAAACTGCTGCCGATGCATCGAATGCGCCGGTGACAAGCGCGACGATGCTACCCGCATACTTGGGGAAGGCGTTAGCAATCTGGAAAGAAGGCAGGAAGACAAATGTGCCTCCGAGGGCGAGGAAGAAGTTTCCAATTGTATATCCGTCAAAATGCTCGATCTGAAAAGCGAGACTCATTAGGATACTTCCAACCGCCAGACAGAAAGAACCGAGAAGGAAGCAAAGCTTGGGCCCATAGCGATCAAGCAAGGTGCCGACTGGTAAAGCAGAAACATTTGCCGTCGTTGACGCGAGCGAAAAGAAGAAGTTCAATCGGAGATCTTGCTCGAAGCAAACTTCAACATCGGCATCCACCTCCTCGGGTGTGCACAAATTTCTGAAAACGCCTTCCTTGATAAGAATCGGCTTCAAAGCTGCAAATCCGAAGACGATACCGCTAGCGAACCAACACGCGAGAACCGTTGCGATGACCTGTGCTGCAACCGAGCGTTAGTGATTGGGAACCGATTGTGGTAGAATGCTGCCAAACTTACCAATACGTTTGCCTGTCGGCACCTTGTACGGCGTCAAGCCTCCAGGTTCCTCACCCGCCACGGGCTCATCAGGGTGCGGTATTACATCGTAACTAATAACCCTCCTCACACTCTTTCCCGGGGCGCTCAAGAAGCCAGCTCCCGATATCGCGCTCTCAAGAGAAAGCCGACGTTCCGCAGCATCCTGTCGGCTAAGCTGGCGGTCGACAGGCGGTAAGAACAAATCTACCAACGCCTCCTCGCGATCAGTGCCCTCTTGCTGTGTAACATGCTGAATCAGCGACATGGGAGGTCTGCAATTGGGCGCTCGTTGTTCAAACGCAGAGCAGAATAGGTGTCTTAGAAAGAGAATCAAAGGGGTCGTGAAGGGTTCGGCTCGTCGAGGGCGACAGAAGCTAGAAAAGCGGGAGGGCGGAGTTAAATTGATGCGCGCCCTGACACGAGACCCACGATCTAGACATAGCGATCGCGGGGGTCACATGGTCACATGCGACACGCTCCCGGCTTCATGGAGCCGTTGAACATGTTGTATAAACGTCAGTAAACGCTCTGCAACCACGACAGTCGAGTACACTGCAGAGCGGGTACGCTGCATATTCGCTTACTAGAGAAACGCCGCGAAACGTCTAAAATGGTCGGTGTTGTTGCGATTGATTGGTCGTGCCGCGGTACTAAGTCGGCAACGAAATCGCCGATCTCCCCATCCACTTTCCTGCAGGTTCCATGAGTTGCAACCTTGGAACCCGGCGCACAGGGTCTCGATAAGGAAAAAGCAAGTAATTCGACCTCTGAGATGTTACACCGCAACTTCGACAGATAACTTTTTCATCACTGGCATGTCAACTCCCCAGGTTTTGCCTAACAATCGAGGCTTACCCTGAGGGCACCTAGGTATACAATACAATTCGTCTCATTGCCAACTGAAGGAAAAAGACAATGTAAATTCTCCGGGCGCATTATCGCAAGCCTTAATCTGTCGTCTATATCTATTCTTTGTGGTATACATTCGCATCGAAGTTTGTGGGAAACCGGTCCCGTCCTTCAGCATCGCTCCGTACCCAAACCGCAACGCTGGTGCCGGGACACTTGAACAGCCCGTACCCCTCGCTGTCGATCTCGACCTCGCCTTCCTCCCACCCAAGAATATCATTCCACTTCTCACCAGCATGCATCTCGCCAACAGCCATCTTAATCTCCCCAGGACCTGCGTTGCTCATCACACACGCTAGACCCGCTTTCTTGTCCCATGTTCCACGGCGCACAAATCCGATGCAGTTGGCTTCGTTGAAATAATCTTCTTGAGTTCCGTACGCGAAGAGCTTTCGTGCGAGGATAAGATCGGCGAGCTTTCCGCCGCATGAAGCGGGGGTCTCATGTGGTTCAGAGAGTCCGTAGAGGTCGCCATAGAAAGGACACGGGTAACCCTCCTGCCTCAGCAGAATGAGAGCATAGGCGAGAGGCTTGAAGAAACCCTCGATCTTGGTCTCCATGACTTGACCTGGCTGTGTATCGTGGTTTGTTACGACTGTAACAGCATCTATGGGTCGCATTTGAACGAGTGTGTTATCATAGACCTTTCTAAGGTCTCCCGACTCGGTGGTGGAGATTGACCCAAAGTTGTTCAAGAGAGGCGAGTCGTAAAGAGCGAACTCGTGGTTCATGCCTTCAAGCCAGTCGCTCATCTCTTTGACATCGCCTGACCAGAATTCACCGACCACAAAGATATCGTCTCCGCACTGTTCACGCAAGTTCTTGATCCACTCGTTGGTAAACCTCGAGCTGAAATGCTGGACAGCGTCCAACCGGAAGCCCTTCAAGCCGAGTTCTTTTGTGATCCACACTCCCCAGTTCTTTACATCTTCTTGAACCTCGGGGTGTGAGTAATCGACGTCGGCGAACATCATATAATCAGCATTGCCTTGCTCGTCGTCGACAGATTGAGACCAGCCTTTGTTATCGCCAAGAATCTTGTAGATGGCTTTCTTCTCATTGGCTTGATCCCAGTCTGTGCCTGAGAAATGCTCCCAGTGATATTTCATCTTGGAATACTGTTCGCCGCGGCCTGGGAAATCGAAGCCTAGCCAACCCTCAATCTCGTAAGCGTCAGAGGTCTCCTTGGTCCTGTCATTTTGATCAACTTCAACAACGCGACACTTCTCCGTCCTATCGGCACCAGCTTTATGGTTCAGTACAGCATCCCAGTACAAGCCTACGCCGTGCTCTTTGGCGACCTTGGTGAGTTCGAGCAGTTCGTCCTTGGTACCCCATTTGGTGCCTTTGGCGCCTTTCTGATCAAACTCGCCGAGGTCGTATAGATCATAGATGTCGTAGCCAACGCCCTTGGGGTTGGCAGCTTTGCAGCCAGGGGGTAGCCAGATGTTGTCGATACCGATGGCTTTCAGCTTGGGAAGCTGCTCGGCCAACCGTTTCCAGTGTTTGTGGTCGTCTGGGACATTCCATTCGAATCCTTGAAAAAGAGTACCATTCTCTGGTGTCGGCTTTTGTTCTGCAAAGCTGTTAGACTCGGGAGGCTAAGAACAAAGAAGAAGTGGGCAAGACTAACCTTCGGAGCCCATGATGGATTGCCAAGAAATGTGTTCCAAGTTCTTGAATTTGCCCTCTAAAGACTGCGGAGGATATGGGAGGCAAGTTTATTCTTCACAGGTGGTTGAGCGAGCAAAGTCTTCACTGGTACCATGGCCAAATATAAAGATAGCATTACCGCTGATAGCGCGTAACGAATCCTGCGTTGGTCGGAACTTAACAGGTTTGTCTATCATGTTCCCTGCGTTTGCGTTGGCAAGCGAGCTACGAAGTAAGGGCGCACGGGTGGTGAAAGGGTCTGGAAGCGGGTGGGGGCGACGCGGGGCGGCGCTGTTCCAGTTCAACAAAGTGCGCCGGTGACGTCAACTGGGGCTCAGCAATCACTCCGCGGCCTTGATACTGCGAAGGTCCGTCGTTGAGATAGTAAACAGAAAAAGACAGACAATCGAATCATATCACGTGCACTCGAAAAAATCCCGAAGTCTACAATTGACGGCGTTAGTGGGATGCGAGATTCTGCAGGAAGATCGTCGCTGTTGTGACAGCCGGGTGAATGGCGCTAAGCTCATCAAGGTAAGGCGCTCTTCGAATAGCGTATCCCAACTGCGTGATGCATCTTGATGATTGGTACACTACACACAATTCTACATCGTGAAAGCAGGTCTCATACTGAGGCACGGCAATTTCACAAGTGTGTTCTCACCATTCTTTCCATGCCAAGCCGAAACGCTGTGTTGCTGCCTAATCGCGTACTTGTTACGACCTTCTCAGTAATTAACTCACGCTATACTGCCTCGCTGACTTCTCCCATGGACAGAGCGCTTGGCAGTCAAGAAAAAGGGAAAGCGCGCACCGCACGCGCTGACTTCCACAACACCCTCAAGCGCAAGATTTCGACTTCACCACCCGCATCAACATCAACAGACTCAACCTCCTCATCTTCAAGGACGGAGCCGCGAGGAACTCGGCGAAACTACGAGCAATACAATACTCGCCCCACCCCTGATTCAGTAAATAAACGTTTGCAAATGGATTTTAGCAGAGCTCTAAAGGGCGAACAGGCGTCCGCTCAAGACAAGAGCCAGCTGATCGTTCGCTTCTACGACCCTGATATATACGCCAAGGATGCACTTGGCCGCCAGCTCCACCAGATACTAGCGTGGCCAGACCAACGGCTAGAATCTTCTCACAACTACATTCAGATGCTCTTTCCGCTGCCAGAAGGCTCTCCGTTCAATATGGAAGTAAGTTGCCCTCCGTGCAGGAAAAGACACTATGCAAACATACACTTGTTATATTCTGCAATCATCGTAAGGAAAAGTATAGTGAATCGGTTCTGGGGCACAGTTTCCAGTCCGAGGGTATACGGCGAGAGAAAGAGCCCCTTTCGTATGTCCATTTGACTTGGGCAGCATGCTGACCATGATACAGGCCCCAATCATCAATCTTGAAGTAATGCAGGCGTTTCGTTCCCGGAGTGAGCTACGACAGGAACTAAGACGAAGCTTTGAGCGTATGCTTAGCTTCTATGGTTTCAAGGAGTCTAGCAAGTCCGAAGAAGAGTTGCAGAGAGAGAAAGATTCAGCCCCTGGGGCAGATAAATCGGTTGCCTCCACGTCTTCGTTCCCACCAGGCGCCCATACGAATATCTCCGCGTCCAAGCTGCTCCCATACCACATCGTTCGCACACCTGGTTTCCGGAAGAAGTTTGCCAACTGGGCCGTTCAATTCGATCACAACCATCTTCGTATCACGCGTATCCTCCGCTCGCTACGTGTCTTGAGTCTACAGAAAGAGTACAAGGCCTTTTTTGCTGCACTCGAACGCGCATACAATGACCCCATGATTAGCATTAGTGCCAAGAGCATGGGTTTCTGGAGGCTAGCTGTTGAAAGTCCCTTGCACTTGGCGCCTGACGGCAAGAAGTGCAAGTGGCTAAATGACTGGGAGAAGGAGCAAGAGAGGTGAGTCATGGATGCACAAAATGCATATGAGACATATACTGACTTCATACCTTCACTCTCATAGCATGAAACTGGTGGATGAAAAGAGACTGAGAGATGAGCAGCACGGTGCGCAGGAGACAGAGTCGATCAAGATCGACAACGACCTGAAAAAGTCTGATGATGACGTATAAGGCTCGCGTATAGTTTAAACGCTACTTTGGCTGAGATGATTATAGACTGTTTGGGTGTATCACTCTGTACATCTCTAGCAGCCATTAGGCGTCCTCGAGCTACCTACTATGATAGACTCCGTAGTAGTTCTACTATAGACTAAGCACGTTAGGTTCACTTTTCTGTAAAAGTCGCAGCTAACATGTGCAATAGACACATGTTTGAGTTAGGTGTTTTTTGGAGTTATTTTTTGTTCTAAATTACATTAACAGGGACGCCGAAGTTGAGACGACAGTTTAGCAGCAAAATTGTGTTCCGTTTGAGGAAGCGGATCTTGTTGAGTACGCGCTTGATGAAACTGTTCCGTAGGAAAAGGCGAACAAGCACTTTGTGGAGTAGGCGGGAAGGGCTACTGCGTCGGAGTCGAAGAGTGAAGACAAGATCGAGGATGAATCGACGGATGAAAAGGATATTGATCGGAAACGGGAGTACTTGTCTTGGGTATACATGTCTTCAGGTTAATTGCTCATCTACAACTTTGCGTCACTGAATGGAACGAACTTCTCTCCACTAGCCTCTTCGACCCTCTTCGCAGCACTCTTGTATGCATCCCTCTTCTGTAACCTCCTCATGTACTCATACAACTTGGGGTAACTCGTCTCACTCAACGGCATTCTCTGCGTCGCACCCTCAAGCCCGAAATGAATCATGATATCCGCAGCGGTGAGCTTGTCGCTGCAAAAGAACTCGCCCTTGCTAGGTGACTTGATGAGGTAGTCCTCAAGGAAGTCAAAATGCGTCTTCAGCTCTGGGTCGACGAAGCCAGAGTCGACCTTGGAGGCGACACCGTTGGTAATGGGCTTGAGGAAGAAGGGCACAGGGGCGTTTTTGATGCCTGGGATTGTTGATTAGTGAAATGGCGTTGAGATCAGAGCAGGGGTGGCTTACTTCCGGTGACTAGTGCCAATATCAGGATGGTAAAGAGACTACCCTCAGTGTAGTCCATCAGGAACTGTATTAGCGTCAGTTTCTTAGTCTCTCCACGGTTGGTTTCGATTAGAAGAAATCCGTGCCACACAAGCTGATTGGCTAGCTTTCGCGCTTATTTCCTTGAACATGTATATCTTCCTTCTTACGCCAAAAGTGACAAGAGCATGTCTTACCTTGTATCTCATCCACTCCTCGGTCTCGGCACCTAATACACCCTCCTGTCCCTCAGGGTAACGCGCTGGCATCAACTGCTTCCCAAAGTGGTCACAAATGTACTCCATGATCGTCGCGCTTTCAACAATGACGATATCCTTGTCGGAGTTTGCTGGCCTGATGGTAATGGCGGGCGATTTGCCCAGAGGGTGGACGGCCTTCAGGTCGGGGCCCGCGCGCTTGTTCTCATCGCGCTTGTAGACGGCGATGTCGTACTCCAGACCAAGCTCTTCGAGCAGCCATACAACGCGTTGGCCACGGGATTTGTTCAGCCTATGCGGTGGATGATTAGTCGTGATTACTGGGATGACGATGGCGCAATGCGGTGGAGTCAAGCGGCTGTCACACGGCCACTTACCAATGAACGGTGATCTTTGCTCCCTGCTGGTTCGACATGCTTACAACGGTTTTCGACAACGTTATAGATGATATATACAGTAAAGAAGAACGTTTTTGTCAACTGAAAATGAAGGGTCAAATACGACCGAGGCTCTTTGACGAATTTATCGAAGGCCGTCACAAGCTTCGGCGTCCAGCCAGTCGGTGGTTGGCTGGTTGCGCTGCCCGCTCCGGCGTATCGTGGCTTAGTGTCGGCTGGCCGACGCTCCGAAGTATCAATGAGAAGCAGGAATTCGACCTCCCGTTTAGCATATGCAGTACCTATACGATTCTTGATGGTGTGTAAGACGCGAGGAACCGGGTAGTAATGTGGATAGATATCTGGCGCATGATGAGAGAGTTGGCCGTCTCAGTAGCTTGGGCGTCAGGTACGACCTCATCGGAGGGTGCATGAAGACATTTATTATCATAGGGATTCAGAATTTCAGTAGCAATCTTAGAATATCTACTCATGTGTTTTACGGTACCTATGATAGTTGTACGTGATGCTACAGTGAAGCGCCAAGACCTAGCGGCACTTGCCGCAGCTCCGACGACCTCATTGCGCGCACCTCGTCAACCTTACGATCACCAACTGCGCAACCCTACCACACGCGCAAAAGTCCGCAAACATGCAGCCAACTTTCCGCAGAATGGCGGGCCACAACCACGGCAGTACGTATCGCCACTCTACAAAGCATTGGGGCGCAATGGCTAACAGCACGCAGTGATCCACGCGGATCCCGCCATTATCAAATGGGCCAGTACGTTCACCACCGACCCCGCCGCACACAGCCCTCCATGATACCGCAGACAGTGGTGCAATTGTTGGAAGATCATATCCCACAGCGCAAGGGAGACGATACAGCAGGCAGAGGAGAGAACAGGCAATATAGGGTACTGACGAGGAATAGACATGACCACCAACCGCCACAAGTACTTCCGCTGGACGAAGCGAACAGCTTGGCTCTCGTTCGCCTACGTTATGCTGGTGCCGGCTATGCTGGGTACGGCTGGATACATGACCGAGGTGAGTTTGGATGAACATGGATGAGAGGGGAGTGACGTACAAGAGGCGCGGTACACGGAGAGCAGATAAGAATATCGCTGACAAGTTGATTCAGGGCAAGTGGGAGATGCGCGGCAAGCGGAGGGGCGACCTCATCTCCGAGTTCTAGATATGGAAAGCGGAGGACGAAGGAGCGGAGCGAATGAGGCCGTGTACATATGGAAATACCATTGCATCACCAACGTCACTTAGCATCTCCCTACTGATCTAGCGCGAGTGAACTAAGATGCAGTTCCCCTGCGCTCTTCTTTACATATGTCTCATTATCACCGCCATCTGCAACCTTGGTGTCCCACCACGGGACTATCAACTCTCAGGTCTTTCGAGTCCAAGATAGCTAAGTGTTATGCATAAATGCGATGCAGTGACCGAGATGGAAACTCGAAGACGCAAGCTCCCTAAATATTGTAACCTGCACGCGAACCTATCGTGAAGGTATGCCGCCATTTATCCTTTTTCAGCAGAATGATTGAGAGTACAACTGGTAATTCTGCGTTACACCGTTGTTGTAGGTACAGCTCTGAGGAAGTTCTTGTGTTCTGAATTGTTGCAGGTACCACTGTCTCTAATTTGAATGCTATGTTAAAGTTCGTCTAACGAGTGTCTATATACAAAGGAAAGCGCAGTCTAAATCCCGAACTCCACCGCCCACTCCGAAACGAACGGCCTCGTCATCCTAACCGTCTACAGCATCTGGTGCACATTCAATCTCTCAACCGACACTAGGTGCACCAAGTTCTTCAACCTTAATACCCACTCGTGGAGGACGGGTAAGCACTTGAAGAGGCCGACGGAGACACCCCACCAGCCTCATAAGGGATCCCACACCTCTTCGCGCAGCTCTCCACAATTGCCGTAAAGTCACTGGTAAGCTCAGGCCTCAAACCAGCAACCTGCTCCGGCGTCAAAAACTCACTATAGCCCGCACTCGCTTCAAGAACCTCGTCTGGGGTACCCGAAAAGAAACCTCGAGCTGCTTCAACGCGTCCAGGGTCATTGATATCGAAGCCAGCAACGAATACAGCTGGCTCGCACTCTGGATTGAACTGCCAATGAATGAGGCCCTTGGGGAAAAGCATGCCTGTGTAGTTGGACAACGTGGTTTCAATCTGTTGGTATGGACCACGCACCGGTGGTGCGCCACCCACTACGTTGCCAAATCCGCTGTCGTTTTCAAGAAGGAGGGCACCGACCAGTGTACCTTGGACTACTGTCAAGAACTCATTGGCGCGTGGGTGCCAGTGTGGCGTGTTTAGACCACATGCGTTAACGAAGCCCACGGCTGCTGCTAGGCCTGTGGAACCAAGCGCAGGGAAATTATTGATAGTGGACAGGTAGATTGAACCGGCTGTTGGCGGAAGGACGGTGTTGTTGAGAAACTGAAAGGTGTCGTTACTGGCGTTGGGAGGGTTGGGGAAGAGAATTGCTTCGCGAGCGGATTCGGACTGAGCAAGAAGGAGCTCGTTGCGTTGGGTCGTTAGTTGGGCAGCGGTGAGGATGTTGACTGTGCTTGGGTTGATCTCGCGTTTGGTAATGGAGACGGGGTTGGCTGTCGCGAGGGTTACCAGCAGGGCCTTGAGGAGGAGAAGGGGGTGCATGGTTGCTGGTAAGTGGCTGGGTAAATCAATTGATCTATTGCTAGAGAAGATGAGGAGCGTGGTGAGAAGTTCATAGCAGGGTGTTCATGTGCCTTATATGCTTCTGCATGAGTTGACGGCAACAAAACTGAGTATCCCGCTCACGCCCATTCTTTCTCTAGTCGTTGTACTCGCCCACTCCACTCAAGCCACATTTGATCACAAGATTCATCAACATGGTGAGTTTTTATTCATGTGGCGTTGAAAAGAATGCTTGACACGGCAACTTTCCAGACTCTTTAGAGGTGCTCATGCTCACGATCATGGCAGAGACATCATCAGGACAACTATATATGCCTAGTTCTGTGCAAAATAGACGAATGGTGTTGGTAGTCGAGATGGTGGTGTGGGGAGTATGGACGCCTACATGACAGTGAGAATCAATAAGCGCTGAATGCCTTGATGAGCTTAAGGGCAGCTGTTGGGATTTACGTTAATGGGATTTTGACTCGTGAACATGATGAAGCGATTGGATGGACTCATGGATGTGAATGCAGGTTCAACCACGAATTACCAGTACGTTGTGCAAGATCTTCAACAGCAACGATGCCAGCAGTAAGCCTTTGGCTTTCGTTACCTAAAGTCATAAGGCTCTCGCAAGGGAACGTGTCCTTCCCTAACCTCGTAAAGATCACTCCCTCTAGTCCCTTATAGCGAGTGCACGTTGAATCAAGCCTAAAAGATGGCGTTATACATGACGTTTCTCCAGCGGTGAGCTCAGTCCCATCTGCTCTGACGGCAAGAACTTTGGTTTAGAATACCGATGCTCTAAAGGCTACATTCCGTATCAACATTTGGAAAACCAGAGCTCTAGTCGTAAGCCGATTTTCATACTCCATGTGACCCACAATCCAGAAGGGTGTCGTTGAGTAACCAAAAGCCATCAAAGTCCTCGGCGCCTTCCGATCAAGTACACCTACATGAGGTCGTCTTTCGTATGTAACATGTCTACGTACGCGAATTAGGTCCTATGCTCATGATCCAGCCTGACTTCTTGACGCGCAAATCACGCAAATCATTGTAAGCAAGCCGTATGTCTTGGCCATGTCCTCAGGCTTACGCGCCACACCGCCCTAGCCTGTGTATTAGCGTATCAAAGCCACTATTACGGGCTTCCCTCATGGTCTGCATGCCATTCGCGTATGTTGTTTCTTGTGGCGGTGTTGGTTTTATGGTTTGCAACGACTGTGCGCAGTCATGATCTGGATCACGCGAACTATGCTCGATTATTAACCCAGTAATAACTGCAATACGTAGGCTTCTCGGCCGAATTTTTTATTCAAGTGCGTCACTGAGCACCTCGCACGGACTTGTAGTGGTGTCGTACGTGAGCTGTCCACAGGCACATGGGTAGAGACTGAGATGCTAATTAGCCATACAATATTTTGCAAGCGAAAGCATCAGGTTTGGTAACATTAGCAAAAATGCCAATCGATCCATATTGGGCAGGAACAAAAATCAAAAACATACAACAGCGGGGATTCGCCAGTGGTCACCCACCTGACTACTAATCCGCCGGTATCTTGCTTAACTAGGGCTGAGCGAACGGGAAGCCGTGATCTCAAGATCCTATGGTCGTATGTGAAAGAATTGGAAGCGTGATACAATCATATTCGTCAGTCAAGTGTTGGTGCGCAAGCTTTTCGACCGCCATACTATACGATCCTGTACCTAGCCACTTCCCAAAAAGCCTCTCGACGAATTTCGTATCCGTTGGGATGTGAACGCCTCGATCTTTGCTGCGCATAGCACGACTTGCATCCTCTTCCCTTCGGCATCGCTCTCAATGGGTTCGACGCGAATGCGCCAGTGCGCGCGTTTGATCGTCCACTCTTCCTCATCACCCTCGTTAGCGCTGTTAGAATGACCAGCCCATATCCAGTCGTCTCCCTTGCCCGTGTGGCGGATGCCAATATGGTCAGTACCACCAAAGGAAAGCTCTGCTGGTGATCCATCGACTTCTAGAGCACAATCTTTATCAAATCGTACGCGGACACGCCGTTCGCTGACGCCCGAATTGGCGGGACTGACGGGTTGCGCTGCCACTCCACCACCAGATTGCACATACATTAGGCCAAGGGGCTGTGTAGCCGGCAAGCCCATCTTGGAAGCTATGACAGAGAAAAGTGAGGTCACTCGTGCCAGGGTTGAGTTATGGAAAGTTGCTCGGAGTTCGGCTTTGAGCGGAGGCCATGTTGGTGGCGCCTTTGGAAGGTAGAGCTTTGTTGACTCAGATGATGCGATTTCCACGACGAGGATGTTGCTGTTCGCATGGTCATCTGTATATGGTCGTGCATAAGATACATATCCTGGCCTGGAAATTGCACTGCTGCTTGCTGTTGATGGGGCGGGACTTGCAACCTTGCTTATGGATAGAGGATCCGGTGAGACGCCTGCTGATTGTGCTCCCGATATCGACCCCGAGTCTGAGTCGCCGACTTCTCTATCGGGACTGAACGAGATACCAGACTGTCGAATATCTTCAAGACGAATTAGGATCTCCGACTCTTGCCGTTTAAGGTTATACGAGATCTTGCAAGGTATGAGCTTCTGCTCCAAACCTTTGAGATGAAAGTATCGCGCATCCCGCAGAAGACGAGAGCGATGCGCCTCACTTCGTATCTCGACGTTGTAGCCTTGCAGTAGTTGTATCAACTCGCCAAACACCTCTCCGTTTCTACTCGGCACGGACGGAGGCTTGATAGACGGTGGTCGAAGCAGCGCATCGCGGTCCAGTCCCGGGAATGCCTCAGACGGCGTCGAGAAGAAATGTGCAAAGCCAAGCGAAAAGTAGTTGGGGCTATCTCCAGGAGCAGAGAAAAGATCGCGTTGTATCTGAAAAGGCTTTCCTCCGATGTTCACGAAGATGTCAGTGCTGAACAGCTGTTTGGTGAGACGCGGCACTGCTATCATCAGCATTGAATTATGTGACACGCATGGCTGAGCTTACGAGAATAGAACTGCGCATCCGCATATAGCTTTACAAAGTGCTCGCCATCTCGAGGGGTAACATGATAGCCCTGAAGGTGCAGCGCAATGTCGCGAAAGGTATCAGGATCGCGATCGATGTACAGCGTCCTCACGTCGCCAGCTCGACCGCCATTGTCATGCAGTTGCTGGCTGAAGAAATGCGAAAAGTGCGAGGGTGCTCTAGTAGTCTCAGTTGCTAGCCTCTCTTCATGCATTCACCACATGCTTACCATCTGACGCTATAGAGGCTCCCGATAGCCTGAATAGCTCTGATCCTATTTGTATGGGAAACACCTTGCCAGCAGGAAGTATGTCCAGCCCTCCAGGCGACTCAGGCACTCTGCGCGGTGTAGAGACATCGATGACCCTTCCCTGTGGTCCAGTCCCCTTGCTCTGCTCCTTCCGCCTCTCTGGTGCTGTATTCTCTCGCGACGCTGGTTGGGGTAGAGCTTCAGTCGTGGGCGCATGGGTTGCAGTTCGCGTGGTGGACGGTGTACGAGCATCAGCCGGGGCTGGTAGGACTGGCGAGGTTGCTGAGGCGTCGGATGAATGCCGCGACACGTTCTGGCGCTTCGGTGGATTCTCCGTTGTAACGCCACCACTTTGCGGTACAGTCGTACTGAGCTCGGAATTGACCTTCCTTTTCATGCCTGCTTGAATGGATGGTCTCTGCGGCTGCTGTGGTTGGGCTGGCGGAGGCGGAGGAGACAATTGGTTCTGACCTTGCGCAGCGTTCGGCGTCGTAGTAGCGCTCTGGCTTTGGGGGAACGCTTGATACGTCGGTTCTCCCGCAGCGACAGAATGTGGAATACTAAAGTCGTTGATAGGGTTTACTTGGCTTTGGTATTCTTGAACAAGTTCACCCTGGGGCTCGTACTGGTTCGTGAAGTCTGAGAAGTCAATCGCATCCCAGCCTGCAGGCGCAGATGAATTAAAGCCAAAGCCGTTGAAGTGCCCTGGCATCACTTGGTGCTGTTGCGAGTCACCAGCATAGTCACGAAACTCCGTGGGAAAGTCATGACTATGTGTCTGGCTCCTGGCCTCGGCCGTGTTCGCGTTCGCGTTGTGTTCGGCATGGTAGCCGCCGTAGAACTGCTGTGGGTGCTGTTGCGACGCTCCACTTGCTTGGTCAGATGTTCGAAATGCAAAATCGCGAGATGTTGCGCCCGAACGGTCGGACATTGGCTAGCTACAACGAGGATCACTTCGCATTGAGCGATAAGACGCCTCGGTGGAAGCAGGTTTTGATCCGCTCAGAGGAAGGAATTCGTGGGTTGCTGATGAGAAGCTGAGTAAGAGCTCTGGCATGGGTAGCTTTCGGAATCGATACTCGATGCGGTTTGGCACCAACGGCGACTGAGCTGGGACGGCGTGAAAGAGAGTGAGGGGCAGCTAAGCTTCAACTCCAAGCAACGTCGCTGTTTTATGAAGACGTTGTACAAGCTAGTCCACGTGTTTGGGAAATTATACGGGCTGTGAGGCTGAGACTAAGGCTGACATAGCTGGCAGTTGGTAATCGGCGAGCCGACGCGGGATGACCGATGGAAAACTGAAGCTGACGTGAGGTGCTCTGGTTCCAGCAATCAGATCGTCGCGCAGCGCGCTCTGATTGAGCGGCATGCTGCCTTAAACTTCACTTCATCGAGGTAATATCCTGGACGAAGCTGTTGGTTGTTAGAACATGAGACGATCGATGCGATAGCGATTGTTTGTTATTGCGTGCAGTTGACAATTCTGACGTTGCGGCTACGTCCTGGCTGCTACTTTATGAATAGCTCCGGATCCCTAGATCACAAACACTACTTTAAGATCTGAATCATGTAAAGGACATCAATCCTTATCAATTCATTACTATTCCCTCAATTGGATTGGATTTCACAAGTAAAGTGCAGTTCTTGGACATTATGAGTTGGGTCTATTGCAGCATATTTCCTACTCGATCGTACTGTTACATAAAATCGCCGTCTAAGCGAAGCAAGATCTAACTCGAATGACTGCAGATAAACGCAAAACACACAGAAGAAGAAATGTGATATCGTACCAAACCCATACCAGCCATTATGCAAGAAAAGACAGACTTTTATGTGACAAGTCCACCTCGAGAGACCTGCTATCCTGGCTGTCTTGGTATCATCTCCTCCGTCACTCTCTCCCCATCGCACGAGACCAGCGCTTAGTTGGTCTTGGCGATTTCGACACCACCGGTAGCACCAAGAGCCTTCTTGATGTCACCGTAGATGGCGAACTGACCAGCAGTCAGGGTACCAACCATGAAAAGACGAGCACCGATACCACCGAATGAACCACGGAGACCAAGCTCCTTGGCGATCTTGATCAAACGGGAGGTGGTTCCCTCTCCGGGAAGACCCTTGGTCTTGTTAATCCTGGAAAGCATGGTGTCGGCAGGCTGGGAGATGATGGCGGCGGCGAAACCGGCAATGATACCAGAGCCCAAGTTGTAGACGGTCTGCATTCCGTTGGAAGTCTTGCTCTTGTCGACGACGGAGTAGACGGCCTCGTTGACCTTCTCGAAGACGGCGAACTTGGCCATGGTGTAGGGAACCCTATGTGTTGTTAGTCCATGTTGCGTGTTCACCCAGAGAAAATTGCGACGTACTGCTTGAACAGGATAGGTCCGAAACCAGAGTAGAAGGCACCGACACCCTCGTTCTTCAGGATCTTGGAGAATCCACCAACGAGACCGTTGGCGAAGGTTGGGTCACCGACGAGACGGATACGGGTAGCCTCAAGAGGGCAGAGGGCGACATCGGCGAAGAACTCGGCGACGGCAGCAGAGGCGAGGTAGACGGCAGTACGGTTGTTGGCAGCGGTCTCGTAACCGACGAGGTTGATGGACTGCTGCTTGAAGAACTCGTAACCTCCGAACTTGAAGGCACCCTGGAGGAAGTAACCGGCAGCGGTGGGACCGAAACCGGTCCAGACGGCGCCCATACCCTCATTGGCGATGGTCTTCCTGAAGCCACCGATCAGACCGGTGTTGTAGGTGACGGGGTCAAGCTGAATCCTGGTCTTGACGCTGTTGCATGTGTTAGCTTGGCATTCTGTCGTCATTTTGGACATCTGTCAACTGTCGCAAAACTTGTGCGATACAGCCATTGAGGCCTCTCAGGGCCATCGCAGAACGGGACAACGTACACATCGACGGGTGTGAGGGCTCCGTGGGTGACGGAGCAGCAGACGGCACCGGCGAAAGCGAATCGCGAGTACAGGTCAAGGCCAGTGGGAGCGGTAGGGTCAGCGGCCGCGAGCTTAGCCTTCGCGGCATCGACCTTGCTGGAGCCGGTGGCGGTGGGAGGGGGGTTGGTGGCCATTTCGCTGGTATGGATGAGAAGCGAAGGAAGTGGAGTGGAGAGGTTTGGTGGTTGAAGCTGGACAGACGGAGATTACGAGCCCGCGATAGTTGATGAGAAGTTTTGTGCTTGGCGCTGGACCCGTTCTTTCCCGACTCCAATCCGGATACCCGCCCTGTCGCAAATCCTCCATTCACGTCACCGCGATTTGTGCGTGCCCATCGGCTTTCGTAAATCCCGCACCCGAATTCCTTTACCCATATTCTTTTTGGGAGCCCACGAAGTGGCACGTTATTCTAACATCACCCGGGCGAGGCGGCTGACGCTCAGGGGCTCATAGAAAGACAGGACTTCGCATTTTCGAATCCATCGGGATCACATGTCGCTAATCCTCAACAACCGGATTTAACATCCCTATCTCCGACAGACCATCAATCTTCTTTGTCTTCACTTCTCTCTGCAGAAACACCTTCAACTTCCGTCACGCTGCTAGCACTCAACTCATGATCACGATTGATCAAGCAGGCTAGTTCCGTCAAGTCGTCGTGTTTCGTTGTCGCAGCTGCCAACAATTCACTCATTGGTTCCTCCATCCGCTCCAAGTTCACGAGCGTTTGCGTCGCGACCAGATGCGTGTTCAACATACCTTCCAACGTCTCCTCCATTATCCTCGCGGTAACTGGGTCGTTCAGCCGCGCCGTTATTATGCGTTTTCTCTCAGCCTCATCGCGACCTTGGAGGTCAGCGCCGGCGAACTTTACCGTTCGAGATAGAACCAGATTGTGAGTCGTCTTCATATCTTGAACCTTATCTGCAGTTGCTTCCAGAGTAGCCTCCATATCCGGGAAGTGCTTTTCGAGTTTGTCTTTCAGGGTATCATAGTCGTCTGCCTGAGTACATTTGCCAAAGATGTCCTTCCAGGGCGGAGTATCTGGATCGTTCTCCCTTTCAGCGTGTGGCTGCGCCGATTGGAGCACAGCTAACTTCAACAACTCGTCAAGTCCGACCTTTCTTAATTCATTCCGTGCGCGTTGGATCCTAGTCATCAATTTCTGCCTTGTTCTTTCTGCCAATCTCTTGTTGGACACTCTCCATTTAGTCGTGCATCGTCTTACTTCATCCTGATTGTTATCTCGCTCTGCGTCCTCTCTCTGGCTTTTATACGAACGTCTCTGCTTCTCACGATTGAAGCGATTCTTCAGTTGCTCCTGTCCATTCAATGCCTTGAAGATAAGGTACATGCAATCGTCTTTGTTCGCAACCTCAAACTCTTGCTGTTCAACGTGGGCCAACATGATGACAAGCATGTCAAATGGGTTCTGGTTCCTGAAGTTTCTGGTCTCCGGTCGGTATTCATGGATGGCTTTCAGTAAACGCCGTCGAGAAGGTTCCAGAATTCCATTCTGGCCAGTCTTGTCATCGTGGTTGCTATTCTTATCGTCGCTCACAATCGCCAGGACCCTGTCAACAACATTAATCCTCTCCACTAAAGCAGCGGTGAACGCCTGGCGTGTCGTGAGATCGTCATTGTGGCTGTCAGCAATGCGCTTGTTCCAGGCGAGCAGTACTTTCAACACGTCGGCTTCTGACTCTTCAGCTTTTGGTGCTAGTGGTTCCGAACGTAATGGGGCAAGCAGATCTTCGAAGAATTTGTCACGTGGGCCGTTCCCAGTCTTGATCCGCTCGAGGATTGTGGTATCCATGCGTAGCTCATCAGCATGTAGTTCCGCTGTTATTTCTCGGTACCAGTCCCAATTCGAATCTTCGTCAGCATTCAAAAACGGCCCACGTTCTTCCAGACATAGCTCATCAAGTCTAGCTAGGACATCTTCGAGCTCGATTTCTTGCACCAGGCGTTCCTCATCAAATCGATCTGGCAAGAGTTCTGTTCCGTCCCTTTCCCAAGTAAAGTCCTCATCCAAGTGTCTATCTTCGGAGTCATCAGTGTTTGGATTAGCCTGATGCGACCGTTCGCGCAAGCGCAACTGCGCTAAAGCTTTTGACCCACGCAAAGTTCTTGCACTTATGATTGGTGTTTTGGTACCACTGATGACTTCATCATACGCTTCCTGGCGGTTTAACATTTCGATCAAGATAATACTGTCGGAGGTTTCGCTTGCCCAATACCGTGGTTATGGACTAGATACTGAGGCTTTGAACATCACATTTGCCATATTCAATGCAATAGGTATGTGGAATGCCAGAGTCGTGAAATATTGTGCTTTCATGTCAATAGCACAGCAGTCATTGGTTAGGTCGCGACTGCCTACCAAAATACTGCATCACCAAGATACGTCGGATTGGCGAGCTCCAGTAATTTTGGTTTTCTACACCGACCATAGAGCGCAATTCTACCAAGGCATGACTTAGTCGCATCCACGGTTCAGCATAGAGGTAATGTATATTAGCGGACGTCACCATGTTCATTTCTTCATCCCATACAAAGCGCTTCACACTTCAATCCAGACAGCGTCTTCGCGGCACTATACTTGTCACAAAGCCTTTCACGCTACCTTTCACACACCTGTTCACATCACCTTTTACAAACTACCACCCAAAGACGCTGCAGCTGATACTACAATGGCACTCTCCCTAATAGTCCACGCACCCTTCGATATCATACGGCCAAGACAGCCAAGACAGCTACCCAACGAGTTTGAGCTCTCTATCCTGCCATCGGAATTGCATGTAGTCCCCATACCGTTCCCAGCTGCTCACCCTTCAAGAGCAACCTCACCAATGTCGTCCTCAGCCGCCTCGATCGCCTCCACAAACAAGACCCCAGCACACTCGGTATTATCTTACCGTACGTCAGACGCTTCCACTTCGACAAGCTCCAGACCCACGTCATCGGCTTCAACGGACTCCATCTCGTCCCTTTCGACTACACCTGCGCAAAGTGTAGTCTTCAAACCAAATCCAAAGGTCAAAAGTATGGACGCAGGACGGAAAAATACCAATCTCGAAGTACACAACGTTTTCTTACCACGTGCACCCGTTTTGCGACCTCTGGAATCTCCTATGTTGGGTTTGACGAACATGATCCCCGAATTAAGGTTGGATCTGATTGTCTCCACGCCCATGTCATTGCCTGAGACGCCGGTGCTGCGACCGTGGAGTGATGGGGATGGGTTGAAGGCGATTCCGAAATTGAACTTGGATCTTTAGGAACCTCTTCTTCGAGCAGTCGGTCTGGACCGGATTGGAGTTGGGTTGGAATTTTTGTTACACGCTATATGTTGGCACACCGACGCATATTTTCCATAGAATAAAGTAGAACGAACATGAAACCTCACTCGACACTTATCTATCGATGCCTGTGTCAAGCATCTGTATGAGTGCGGCTTCTAGTTTGTGGGTGAATTTAAACCCTTTGCAGTCTTTCAGGTATGCGTTTGATGCTTGTAGAAGATGTGATAGTAGCCTTGCAGATGCCTGACATCTCCATAACTGTCAATATTTAGAGGCTTTCAATCCCTAAGAAGCATGGCCAGTCACTCGAGTCGCAATCTAATAAATAATGCTTGTTATAGGTGATATAGTCGGTCAGCGTTCGGCTACTATAGCCCAAGAATATGATATTTTTGATACAAGTTCCATTCGAAGACGACCAACTGTTCGTCCTCGGCCGATGGATAGTTTTACCCCAGCCCTTGGGGATATGATGCAAGTAAGGTATCGCACAAATTCTGATCCTCATCAGCCCCACAGGCCTCCCGTTAAACGCCAACGCTGATAATGCAAATAATACAAAGCCTAAGCTCTTACTCCAGAAGGAGGTAAAGATTTGTTGACCTCGGGCTTTGTGTCTTTTTCCGTGTTTTTAAGACGCGCCAAGATGACCGTGAGCGTCTTCTTCTCTTTTCCATCATTATCTAGCACGTGAATCAAATCACGGAGCTGGATCCCAGCCCCCGTCTCATTTTGCTCGATTGCGTCGCCGAACTTGCGCTTCCTGCCCAGGAGAGCCTTTTCAGGCGCTTGGACTGCAGGTGTAGCGGTGCCGCTACCACCTGTCGTAACTGCCGGTCGTGGTGTCGAAGCACCTGACGCTGGACCACCGCCTCCACCAGTCATCCAGGAGTACTTCTTCTTCTTGCCGCCAAGCGCCATACTGGCAGTTTCATTGGCTTTGCCGAACACAACAACATCTGACTGGCTTTGCTTCTTGGCGAATGCTAGGGCCTTCTTTGTGACAGGTTCTGGCAGGGGTATGGGAGCAGCTGGTGTATCTGCGGAGGAAGCTGAGGCACCTGCTTGACGCTTTGCACGCTTGCGAAGCCGCTCCTGCTCCCACTTGTAATCATCCTGAACGCGCTTTGTGAGCGCCTGAGCAACATGGTTGACGTTTTGGTACGTTCGCTGAGGAGTTGGCGGTGCTTCGCTGGGAGGGGTTGGCAGCCGTCCTGCATTGGGAACACCTAAACCAGTTAGCAATTATATGGGGAAAGACCACTTAAGACATACCCTTGCTTGCTGTCGCTGTAGGGCTGACAGCGCTGTCCGGTGCCTCCCACGGCGTCTTCAGGACGTTGACTGGCGGAACCATCTTCTCCTGTGCATTCTCTCCTACAATGGCAAGGTCAAGCATCTGGGGTGGAATAATGCCATGAGAAGTGTTCTGACGGCCTTGACACAAAGCGAAAGAGTCTTCGACCACGGTACGTATGCGCTCCTCGGCAGCCAGGGAAATTAATGTTAGAATTTCAACAAGCGGAGCGTTCTGGTTTAGTAGACTGGCAGCCTCCAGACCTACAATTTGCTCGCCATTAGCACCAGCTTGAGTAGTACGTGTGATCTCTTGCTGGCCTTTGTCTGGAATTTTATCAAACAGACCATCTACATTTATCTGAATACCGTGCTCGTACCCACGCTTTGCGATGCGATGCCTGAGAACGCTCGCTTGTAGAAACGGGTCGTTGAGTGGCTGTTGGGCAGACTCGTTCAGAATTCTAGCGGCTTGTTCGTGTTTCCTGATGAATTCGGCTTCGTGCTGCTCCTTGGTCATTTCCTGACTGAGCGCACCAGTCCCCTGGAACGCGCCATGGCTTGACTGCTGGCTCCAGTTGTTGAAGCTAGTGTGCGGTGATGCTGTAGAGCCTGATGCCTGCGAGTTGAAGCTCCTGTAATTGTGCAACAAGTTGTCCTCTTCGGCGCGCAGGTCGATACCAGATCCGGTAAGAACATCGCTGATGTTGTTGACATCCAGATCGCGCGCATTCGCCTTCTCCAGCTCTGAATTATCCGCAGTCTTGCTATACGGGACCTTGGGTGGCGGCATAGAGCCCTGGAGCGCTGGCTGTTGTCCATTCGGATGCTGGTACGGCTGGGGCTGGTGGAATGGCGGAGGCTGCATCGCGGCAGGCGATGTGGGCAGTGAATGGTAGCCGGGCGTCTGCGGGGATGCGGTATACGGCGAGGGCGGAAACGAGGGAGCACCAGGCATACCAAAAGGTGACTGGTATGGTGCGGGTGATGGCGGATTCGGGGACAGGCGCTGACGCTTATTGGGAGGGATGCCACTTCCCATGGTCGGGGACAAGGCGGTCGGGGACTGCTGGTAGTGTTGCGGTGAAAAGGCGCGCTGCTGTTGGTGGTGATTCAGGTTCTGCGTTTGCACGGGCGGCGGAGGCTGCTGGCCCGGCGGAGGGTACTGGTTGTAGTTGGGGTAGGCCATGACGGGCAGCTCGTCCCCTGCGGGGAGTTGCGCAGGTGAAGGTGATTTATCGGCGCGTCATCCGGCGGCGGTGAGTTTCGGGTCGATAGCGCTTGCTTCCGCACGTGTTTTTCGGCAGTCGCGATGGGTCGAGTCGGTGGGCGCGTGGGTAATGTTCTTGTCGCGGTCGATGAAGCGGAAGTTGAATCTGGAATGACGAGCACGGACGGGGTCTTGGCAGTCGCGCGCCAGACAAAGAGAGCCGCAATGGTCGTCCAACGTGCACTCCACTCTCACTCGGCGCTGCTGCACTTTGTCTCGCACCCTCGCATTGTCCAATCGAGGCGTTGAATACTCTTGCGATACTAATCCGCGACTAACGAGATAGGTCCGGTCGCTGCTCGTGGCTACTTTACGCGTTCTTCGCCGGCTACAATTCACGCACCCGATAGCTTCACCTCCGTCACCCGTATAACGCGTATCGGTCCGTCATACCTCAACCTGCACAATCATGGCGTCGAAGAGAAAGGCAACTGCCATGGCGCCCGAAGATGAAGACCCAATAGATCCGTCCGACGAGCTCATGTTCCTCTGCTTAGGAGGCGGTAATGAGGTCGGTCGGTCGTGTCATATCATTCAGTACAAGGGCAAGACGGTCATGGTGCGCATACAGGACTCGAATCTTCTCTGGCGACCATGCTAATGCCGAACAGCTTGATGCCGGTATGCATCCCGCACACGAAGGCTTGTCGGCAATGCCATTCTACGATGACTTCGATCTTAGCACTGTAGACGTGCTACTAATTTCACAGTATGTATACGCACGTCTTGCTTGCCATGGTAGTTGGGGTTCGGCGCATCACTGGAGTCGGACCATGAGCGCGCAAAGGGCACTCGCAGTTCAGCGACTTGTATATCACTATGAATGGAATATTATTTGCTTCCTCTCCGCTCGACTTCGATGATGTGCCCCTCCCTGGTTCCCACCAATGTATCTACCACCTTGGGCGCCTCTTCCTGACTCCTTCCTGGGTCTCCTGACCGTCCAGTATGCTGACATCCGGCTAGTTTTCACGTCGACCATGCTGCTTCCTTGCCCTACGTGCTTGCGAAGACGAATTTCAAGGGCCGCGTATTCATGACACATCCGACCAAAGCCATCTACAAGTGGCTTATCCAAGACTCCGTTCGTGTCGGAAACATGTCGAGCAATTCTGAGACCAAGATCCAAATGTACACTGAGGCGGACCATCTCAATACCTATCCCATGATCGAATCGATCGACTTCTACACTACACATACCGTCGCTGGTGTACGAATCACACCATATCCTGCCGGCCACGTACTCGGAGCAGCCATGTTTCTTATGGAGATTGCAGGCTTGAAGATATTGTTCACTGGTGACTACTCGCGAGAGGACGACCGGCATTTAGTATCAGCGTCGGTACCACCGGGCGTAAAGATCGATGTCCTTATCACCGAGTCGACGTTTGGTATCTCGATGCACACGCCACGTGTCGAGCGAGAAGCACAACTCATGAAAGCTATCACCGATGTCCTCAACCGCGGCGGCCGAGCTCTTCTTCCAGTATTCGCTCTGGGGCGAGCCCAGGAACTTCTTCTCATTCTGGACGAATACTGGAGTAAGCATCCAGAGGTCCAGAAAATACCCATCTACTACAACTCCAGCTTAGCACGGAAGTGTATGCAGGTCTACCAAACCTACGTGTCGGCCATGAACGACAACATCAAACGCCTCTTCGCCGAGCGCATGGCCGAGGCGGAAGCTGCTGGAGATACTGGACGACGTGGAGCCTGGGACTTCAAGTTTGTCCGCTCACTCAAGAGTCTCGAGCGTTTCGACGACCTGGGTGGATGTGTCATGCTTGCTTCGCCAGGTATGATGCAGTCCGGAACATCGCGTGAGCTGCTTGAGCGATGGGCACCTGACCCAAGGAACGGTGTCATCATCACCGGTTACTCTGTTGAGGGCACAATGGCGAAGCAGATTGTCCACGAGCCAGATCAAATTCCTGCCATCATGACCCGAGCGAGTAACTCAGCACGACGACCAGGTCAAAGAGAGAATGAGCAGACCATGATTCCCCGGCGATGCACAGTCCAGGAGTACAGTTTCGCGGCGCATGTCGATGGAAAAGAGAACATGGAGTTTGTGCAGGAAGTTGCTGCTCCTGTTGTTGTAAGTTCAGCTCACCTTGCATATTCACGGTGAAGAAGCTTGTACTCACCAAAGGCTAGATTCTTGTTCACGGCGAGAAGGGTAACATGACTCGTCTAAAGTCTAAACTCCTTTCCTTCAACGCTCAGAAAGCCGTCCCCACGAAAATTTACTCCCCAGCCAACTGTGAGGAACTCCGCATTCCTTTCAAAACCGATAAGATCGCCAAGGTAGTGGGAAAGTTGGCCTCTATCGCTCCACCTCTGCCTCGCTCCCTGACTCCGAACGGCGACGAAAGTATAAGTGCTGCAGAAGACCAAGAAGGCGAGAAGGTGGATATGATTAGTGGAGTTCTCGTCCAAAACGACTTCAAGATTTCGCTCATGGCACCCGAAGATCTGAAGGAATACGCAGGTCTAACCACAACGACCATTTTATGTCGTCAGCATCTCACTCTGTCGGCTGCTGGAGTCGATCTAATACGATGGGCGCTCGAAGGAACCTTTGGTGCTATCAAAGAGAGCAGTCTCACCGACGCTGCCGTTGACGGTAAGATGAACGGCAACGGCACGACTCACGATGAGGAGGCAGATGAAGAAGTCAGCCGAACAGAAACAAAGTTCACGGTAATGGACTGCGTGAATGTCCTCATCAAGAACGGAGGAAGAGTAGAAGTAGAATGGGAAGGCAACGTAATCAACGACGGTATCGCCGACGCCGTTCTTGCAGTTCTCTTCACCGTCGAGTCTTCTCCAGCAGCTGTTCGACGTAAGTCACATCCCCCAATCCAGCCTAGCACTCCGATCAGACCTCATACTAACACACATCATCTAGAATCTTCAAAACAACACTCTCATACCCATGCATCCCCACCCAAAGAAGAAGAGGAAGACGAAATACTCACCACAAAACTGACCCACCGCTTCAAGAAGCCTCATCCTCACCGCACAACAGACCCTTCCACCCGTCTGGCCCGCCTCTTCCTCTTCCTAGAAGCTCAGTTCGGCGAAGAAGCAGTCCGGCCCATTACTCTCCCTCGCAACAGCACTACAACCGCTACTGCGAACGGCACTCCGGCAGCCAACCCTGATTCAATGGATACCTCAACTCCAGATGATGCCAAGTCACAAGAGCCCTTTAGTGTTGCTGCTCTCCCGCCTCCCATTGCACCAGACGACCAGTTGTCCGCAGAAGACAAAGCAGAGCTCAAACGTCTACACAACCTAGGTATACCTGTTCCTGGTGTCGAGATTAAGTTTGACAAGTGGGTGGCGAAGGTTTGGTTGGAGGATTTGGATGTGGAGTGCGCGAATAATGCGCTTAGGGCGAGGGTCAAGGCTGTGGTTGAGAGGGGGGTTGAGACGGTTAGTGGATTGTGGCGGTAGACGGAGTCGGACGAGGAAAAAGAAGCAGGCTCAGAAAGTATACAGGAGAAGGGAATGATGACTGAGTGAACTTTGCTTCGAGATCTAATCTAGGGCGACGATCTTCTTCTATTTTCTACATCGAGTTGAACAAGTTATGTGGTGTTTCTACCTGCAATGAACGAGGTCGATGATAATATGAGAATTTTCACTTTCAAAGCTCATGTTCCTATATCTACACTGTGGCGCTTGAGAAGCAAGCCTAGCACTGGGAGTAACAATATGCTTGCGTATCCTATCTTTCTCACATATGTGTGGTACCATTGACTCTTCATTTACATCTAAACGATTCGCTGTCACTCTAGCGTGTTAATCGCAAAAGGTAGTTTAGAACGACTACAGGGACGAAGCGTACGCTGAAGTGTCCGGGCGGGTTCCTGTCTGTAGAGAGAAGGGCACTTCACCGAGAGAAGACCTGGATGCACTGTTCGAGGGAATGTGGAGATCCGAAAGTGCTTAAAGTGCCCAAGCTCGAGAAGTTGAGGAAGTTAAATACCATACCGGAGAAGTCACATTGCAGGAACGGCACTCGACTCGATATCAGAACACGGTGTCAAAAAGCATTCATCATTTTCTCGTTGAGTCACGGACTATGTTGCATGGATGCTGTGTACGGTTCGCTCCCTGTGATGGTTGCCTCGAAGGCTCAACGAAAGCGAACTGGTGCCTATCCCTGTAGGACAATTACCGCTGCCGACACTACCGGTAGATGTGGGCAAAGAAATTCTTTCGTTAGGTCGAATGAACCCCTTCGGTACTTGGTACACAGAGCGCTTGCAAGTCTATCCGCTATTTTAGGCCTGAAACGCGTTCCTGAATTTCCAGGCATTGTCGCGTCGCGGGTCCAAGTTTCGGAACTGTGGCGGTGCGATGGCCCTTCCTCCCTAGAAGCACTGATCTTGCTGGCGAACCTTGTTGCGTTGAAGGAAAGCTCAGGCAAGTCCGCTATCCAGAAAACTTTTTGGATGTGTAAGATTGCTGCCGACAGGTATTTTGCGATAATTGACCAAGGTGAGCCGCATGCCGCGATGTCTGCCTTGCCGGCTCGGCGGCTTTCTTGAGGGTCAAGCCTCAGCGCTAAACCCACATGCCCCCCTCGCTCCAGCCACAATCGTCACGACGCATTGGTCTCTCAACTACGCGGATCCATGCCATGGCAGATAGCTACCCCCCAGCCATCTGATGGGGGGCCGCGATAGACTACTGCGCACTTGCTGCGGAAGGCCTTGGGCGCCTGTTGCAGTTGCCTTGTACACTTTCTCTATCCTGTTCTGTGACTGTGACTGCTCCGACTGCTAATCTTCTTTGTACTGTGCTGTGTGATACGTGTCGCAGCCAGCCTCTTACTGATAAGGGCAAACAGGTTCTTGATGATATAGGTTACGGTAGCTTCTTAGGTTGTGCTTTGAGGAAATCGGACGCTCTTTTGGCAGCACTGAAGGGATATTTGAGAAAAAGACGGTATCGTGACTTTGGAGGTTCGTCATGGAGGTATGCAGGCAGCTTAACCTTCCCACCTGATGTCGAATCAACTAACCTTCCTGCAGGACACTATTAGATTACATGGCGACTCTCCAGCACTCACGCGAAGCACATCGCCCACACAACATGCATCACCAAGCTCCTCAGACTCGTCAGCGACGATAAAACCACTACCCACGATACCACACATGCCCCCTCCCTACGCAGACCAAGAGCCGTACCGTGATGATCCCCCAACACCCACAGAAGGCATATCCTCGACGCGTCATCAACTCATTTCACCCACATATGACCCGCACTCTCAGCACAGTCTGGTGTACCAACCATACACAGACACCTCACCACCTCACACACCAATCGCCGACGACGTACCTCTTGCACATCTCCTCTCCACGCACACGTACGCGCAATCAACGGAGTTCTCGATCCAATCTGACGATGCCTTGTACCCAGCTGATGCACCACCGTCATACGCAATCGCAGTCCGACAATCATATCGCGACACACTCATCCAATACATACCTAGCAGCCAGCACGACTCCCGAATTGCAGAAGACGAGGAAAGCCAACTGGGTATAGACGCGACAAGACCAGATGATGTGCGGTATTCGGTCGAGAGAATCGTCGCCATGTTCGTTGTTGCGCTGCTCTTGTTGGTAGTGTCAGGGGTGCTTGCTTGGCTTGCACTGGGGAACATGGGATGACAGTAGAAGTGAGGGACGTTGTCTGCGATTGAGGAAACGGAAGGAGTTGGACATGAATATGATACACACGCGAACTGTTTTCGCGACTACTTTGGATATGATGGTAGTACAAATTCGGGCATGGGAGTTTTGCATTGGAAATAAGGATTTTGGATAATTCGAAGCAATGTTTGGCATAGCATCTAAGATGACATCATGTAAAGACCCTTTGGCTTCACTCTTGTGAAGACGTGCAGTGAAGTATAAAGAGATGGCTGGTAACACATGCCTCACAACCAATTGCACGCTAGGATGGCAATTGCAGAAAGCGAAAGCGACGTCTTCGGAACACAGACTTGCATCAGATCGTCATACAGAATTCCCTGACAGCGTTATGCTGCCCTGCCTTAATATTAAGACTCAGTCCACCGTAATGAACGCTAACATACCACAGCCAAACAAATCGTGTTCCAATATTAGACACCAGCCTTATGGACCCTGGAGTGGAGCTCCCCAGTTTGGTGGGTCCGTATGGGCATCGGGACAAAGAAACGCGAAGATGGGAAAGCGAAGATACAGACCGCTTGGAGAGATGAAGCTTTGTGTTCTTGTACAACTTGCAGCCCATTGCTCGCATAGGGAAACGTAGGCGAACGTGCAACCTGAGGCATCGAGAGTGCTGATGTGAGCAGTATGCAGCAGAGACCCACCCAGGCTCGGGCTCGTAAGACGGTAGGATTGTTGACGGGACCGTCAGGCCGCCAGAGGGAAATGGCATCCTTCGTAATGGAAAACTCCCCTTGTCGTCCTATCCAGCACGTGGTGACTCCCATAAAGCATGCTCCCGGGATACAGTACGGCAGGAACCGGGGTACCGCTGAGGACGCTGAACAGGCGGGATGTTGTGTTTGACAGCTCGACGTGGCTGGTTCTGAGCGATTCAATTAGTGTGTGGCGTCGCCGTAGCGGTCCAGGATGTTGACCGGCGGAGGATGACCCGCTATTGTGTACAATTCACCCCGCCGCGTCAATTTCGCCAGCAAGCGCCGTGGTCAGGAACGAGCAACTCAGTGATCGCGCGCTTTGTATCTGCCGTGTCAAGCTTCGAGGATACAAAGCCCGTCACTAAGCACTCTCAGCCAATTCCTCGGGGACTGCGCCGCACCCCCAGCCGGCGGGCTTTCCCTCACACAGCCTTGCAGCTTGCTCCGTTTGGACAGTGCCCAGCTTGCTGTCAGCCGCAGCAGCACCTCTCCCAAATATCCTTGATCGCACCCCACCCGCTGATTCTCAGCCCTCTCCCTCTCTCAGTCTCATGAATTCCATGAACACCCGTTTCAAGAACCTAGTGGGTTCGAAACGAAAGAGTTCCTCACACAACCCCTCGCCCACTCCCCAGAGCAATCCCGCCCCCACAGGCACCCAACGACCAACCTCGCTGTCCCCCCAGGCCTCGTCGAGCAGCTCGTCGCTCCCCATGAATCCTCAAAACCCGCTGGGCCGCCCGCCCTCGTACACATACGCCCCTCCTGGCGGACTCGGTGCGCCGCAACAACAGCACGGCCGACCCGCGAGCCCTCTACCGCCCATCAACACGGGCGCGCCTGGCTACCCTCCCCAGCAGACGCCCATGGGCTACCCGCCGCAGGGTGGTCCGCCTGGCTACCCTCCCCAAGGGCCGCCTGGACAATACGGCCAGGGCTACGGTGCACCTCCGCCTGGAGCTCCTGCCCCTCATGGTGCGCCCACATCATACAACAGGCCCTCGGGCATGGCAGAAGTAGCCGGCGAAGGTCGTTCCAAGGCTCAGCTCATTGTTGGCATCGACTTTGTGAGTAGCCTCAGGCATCACGAGGCGCAGCAACTAACCACCCCAAACAGGGCACTACCTTCTCAGGCGTCGCATTCGCCTTTGCTACCAACACCGAGGCCAAGGAAGACATCATCACCGAATGGCCTGGCGCCGGTAACCAGACAAAGCAGAAGGTGCGACCCACATGACCACATCGACGTGACAGGACTAATGCGCCGCAGATTCCCACCGTCCTCTACTACGACCAGTACCAGAAAGTAGTAGGATGGGGCCCTGACATCGCCGATGCTTTGGCCCCCACGGGCTACCCCAAGCCTGGTGTGCAAAAGGTCGAGTGGTTCAAGCTGCAGCTTATGCTGTCCGGAAACACATACATCGACCCCATCAACCTTCCACCGCTACCTCCTGGCAAGTCCGAGATCGATGTGGCCGCCGACTACCTCTTCCACCTGCGCCAGGCAATGCGCAACCAGCTGCAAAAGACGCTTGGTGAGGTTTTCAACCGAGAGGAGCGCAACATCAGATACTACCTCACGGTACCTGCCATCTGGAACGATGCTGGAAAGGCTGCAACGCGCGCGGCTGCCATTCAGGCTGGTTTCTTGCGGGACGAAAACGACAACAGATTGACACTCATCACCGAACCCGAAGCCGCCGCCATGTTCTGTTCAAAGACTGGTCTGCTCAACCTCAAGATACACGACGCCGTTCTCATCGTCGATTGTGGTGGTGGAACCGTCGATTTGATTGCCTACGAAGTCGAAGAAGAGCAGCCCTTCTCCGTCGCCGAGTGCACAGCTGGATCCGGAGACTCGTGCGGTTCCACTGCGCTCAATCGCAACTTCAGCAACATTCTCCGAGCCAAGATCAGGAAGATGAAACTCCCAGATGGTTCCAAAACCGCCGGCAAGGTGTATGCCAAGTGTATCATGGATTTTGAGAATAGGATAAAAGCCGATTTCCGAAACAATGGTCAGAAATGGGCCGTCGACGTTGGTATCGAGGCAGAGTTCCCCGAGGCTGGCATCGAAGAAGGGTATATGACTTTTACGAACGAGGAGATTCTGCAGTGCTTTGAGCCGGTCGTGAACCGTATCCTTGAGCTTGTCAGGAATCAGATCATCGCCATTCAGGCACAGAACCGGTCATTGCAGGTGAGCAACACGAGATTGAAGCTTTTTACATCCAGTACTAATCAGCACAGAACGTCTTGGTTGTCGGTGGTTTTGGAGCCTCTGAATACCTCTTCCAACAAATCAAACTCCACGTCCCACCTCAGTTTCAATCAAAGGTCGTCCGTCCCATGGACTCTGTCGCCGCCATCGTCAAGGGAGCCGTCACAGCAGGTATCACCGAGCGTATCGTCACACACCGTGTTGCACGTAGGCATTACCTCATGGCAACTCTCCAACCCTTCAAAGAGGGCCACCACCCCGAACAATACCGAGTCCCATCTCTTGACGGCAAGGATCGCTGCAAGTACACACGCCAAATCTTTGTGCAAAAGGGACAAAGAGTCAAGATCGGCGAGCCGGTTAAAGTCTCGTTCTTCAGACAAGTTGCACCCGGCGCTACACTTATGTACGAGGATATACTCTATGCGTGTGATGACGATGTTTGCCCGGAATACACCAAAGACCCTCGTAAGTTGAGAGAGATTATCCAACGAAGAAAACATCTTGCTAACGGCCAAGTAGGTATCAAGGAAGTTGTCACACTCACTTCTGATCTCTCACGAAAGAATCTCGAAAAGGATTTTGAACGCATGGACACGCCCCAAGGTACTTTTTACCGTGTCTACTTTGACATTTACCTTACTCTCGATGGCTCGGAGTTCAATGCCGAGCTGGTTTGCCAGGGCGAGGTCATGGGCAGGTGTACTGCGCGATTCAGGTAGAGTGTGGGTTGGTAATGCGTGGAACGCCCGTAAAAGTTTACCCGACTGGTTTGCTAATCTGATGGAGAGACCATATTTTTGGACATCTTATCTAAATATCGGCAGGATGTATGGGCTAGATGGGGACACGATTGCGACTCTTTGTTCTGCGCGGATCCTCATCTTCTTGTTGACTTTCTTTTACGATCTGGTTGAGAGCGTCGACGATGTTATCTATACAAGCATACCCCTCAAACGTTTCAATGGCAAAATTCTTCTAATTGTTACACACTAATCTATCCAATATGAGTTCGAGCGCAGTATATCAAAGGTCCTCGCCCGATTGAACTGCGAAGCCTTTCCTAAACTCTGCCGAAATGAGTGTCGCGCACCCCTCTAGAGAGCTTTGGCGGTAGCCATTGTCCGACCTAGTTGTATAAGAATTTGACGGTAGGGTCTCGGTGTCGCTGGTCAGCGAGGGAGTGCTGGTGCCAAAGTGATCCCCATCAAAGTCTGCAAAGAGGGATTGGTCAATGGAAGAGTCGGAGTCACTTTCTGAATGAGTATCAACCGAAGACATGACATCGGGTACTGACGGTACCGCGTACTCGTAGTATCCAAGGCTTGGACGGTTTTCTTCTGAGAAAGAACGTACAGGTGAACTACAGACCGACGCTCCACGGATTACCGGTGGTTCCAGATCTAAAGCATCTGAATATGCGTAATGGTCGTCTCCATCGGTTCTTTCTCCAGCATTGGTGTGGTTTTCGTAGGCATAGTCACCTTCATGCGTAGATGAACCTACCGAGAACCTTGAATCGATTGACAATCGACGCTCAACTTTAACAGTCTCGGAACCACTATCTGATATGGAAAAGCGGTAGCTTGCTGGAACTACCTCTGTGATGATGTAGTCATCCAACGAGAATCGTCGAGATGCTGGAATGGCTTCTGGGATGCCATCGGAAACGTCATCTGGTACGCTGGCTTCAGTTGCTGGGTAGCCTGAAGATTGCGAAACCGAACTAGCACTTTCCAGAGAGAATCTCCGAGATGCAGAAACAGCTTCTGGAATGTCCTTTGAAACGTGGTCTGACATACCAAAATCAGTTGCTGCGTAGTTTCGGCGACTTGTCGATAGCGAAGTCAAAGCTGGGCCTGAAGTGGTCTTCAAAACACCGAGATCTTGCCACAGAAGGTACTCATTACGCTGAATGAGGGGCGGCAAACCTGGCTTATCAGCCATGGAAAGCACATCCTTTGTACCACGCAGAGGTGGAGGACGAGGTTCGTTTGCGGCCTCGTTAGTGTGCGTATGCCTTTGAGGACGATTCACCGAGGCAGCATCGTGACGCTGATACTTACAGACCTTCTTTATTGATGTCACTGGTAGCTTTGTTCGTTGCTGTGGTCCTGGAAAGGGAGAGTCTGGACGCTTTGGATGGTACAGGGATTGTTTAGGAGGGGCTTCAAAGATAGTAGTACCTTTAGTACTCTGCCTCCGCGATTGCTTGGTTAGTGGTCGTTTCTTTGTTATCGGAGCATGACCAGTCTGTTGCACTGCAACTGGTGCTGACAGATCGTACTCATCGGCTTCACTACCAGGGCAATATCCAAGATTTGTATACTTCTGAGCGCGTGACTTTAGTCTTGGTCGACGATTGGTTCGGTACCGCACAGCGTTACAACGCTGAAGTTTTACTGTAACCTGAGGAGAAAGCTGCGATGTAGAAACATCCCCTAGCGTTTCATCACCACATGGCTTAGGCAGTCGGTTCTTTGCAGCTGGTACGTCATCAATAGGTGTCGGCAGCAGCGCTGGTCTGAATCGTACCGCTCTACGAGCTTGTGCAAAGAAGGTAGAGACAGCGTTGGCCACTTTTGGTATGCAAAACTGCTCGTTCTGTTTCTTGTCAGGCTCTACACCACGACTTCCAGTATACTCTTCAGCTGTCATGGGAGCCATAATCATACTATCGAGCGAAGGCCGGGGTTGCTGGGCAGAGTCCTGACGAGGCACTGTCATCTCCATGTCCAGTCCCTCACGAAACATGGAGACGCCGGTAGGGTACTGAGCATACCTTGGCTGAGGGCGAGGATACACACGCACAAACTGGCTTTGTTGATTTTCGGGGACTAGAGCAAGGATAGTCTCGATGTCGTGACAAGCGCAACGGGGGTTCTCTGTATGCTTGTGCGCGCGCATTTCCGCGTATGTCAACATAGCCATGCCCGTGACACTGGGTTTCGGCTCATTCGTCGCGCTATCGAGATTACCCTGAGGCTTCGATTTGTGTGTCTTCGCGAAATCCAGATGTTCCATCACCATGTTTAGTGTTTTGAACTTGTAAAAGCTGGGTGTTGAACGTTTGACGGAACCGTGAGTCGCTAGTTGATAGCTCAGTATCTTTCTGTTATGTATTGGCCAAAGAGCGTACTGAGCTGTAAGACTACACGGTTGTCTCTGCTTTGACGGGTATGGATGTGTTCCCTAGGAATATATGGGTGATCTTCCTCTTATCATCCGGGATGATTCCAGCAATGTCTGCGAACATATCCAGTATATTCATGTGAATAGACGTGGCGGTGAAATTGACTTACAATGTCTGACATAGTGAACTGATTGATAAATAACTAGAAACAGTCAGACGAATCCACTCGAGTTGCGTTAGTATATATAGCAGCTGGTATCACACGTAAGCTGGATATATAGTGATAGCATGCAGACATCCTCACTAACTACAGCGTCACACCACGAAGGTAAAAGACTATACAAGTCTGTTAGTGGTTGACGGCCCGATATGTAGAAGCTGAGAGAAGCGTCCGAGATTTTAATAAGAGCAGTTTATATCATATTTGTTGTGGGAGTCTAACAATCAGAGATTGGACATTCTCATGTGGACTCTAGTAATGATATGTGACAATATATACGTAAAACTTTGTACTGTGTCGACACTCTGTGCTGGGAGTGAAACTCATCATTCATCATTCTGCTGTCTCTTGGTCGTCTCATAGCGGTGAGACAAAAGAAAAATCCAGCTCATACATATCGCGATATGTCTTGGACTTGAACAAAGTAGCGACCTCATGAAGAGTGTTACAGGACGAGTGGTATATGGCGAAGAAGGAGACATCTGCATTGCTTCCGAAAGTATCATACAAAAAGCAGGGGTATCATGAACTCTTTCACCGGAACTTAGGCCGGTAGGTTGTCAGCCTTACTGAGCCGTCTGACGCCCTCCGCCTTCCTGTCTTCCGCAAGGATAGAGGCGAATTTACTAGCCTTCCTGATCTGCGGGCCCTTCCAATAGAAAACGTAGATCGGCACCACGACCAGACACGACAAGCATGCCAAAAGAGTGGTGGCATACTCAGACTTCTGGGGACTCGTAGATGCGAGATTGTTGTACAGAGGTGTGGCGTACATAGCCGAGATACCGGCGAGGAAATCACGAGCAAACGCGTTTCCGCCAGTGGCTGAAGCCGAGTATGGACCGTACGCAGCGATCATGTAATCGACGGAAGAGTAGTAGATTGCGAAGTTTGCAAGGCCGACGAGGAACGAAAAGATCATTGGTGCTATCCAATGCGTTTGAGGTGGTCCCATACCTGTACACTATTAGTCGAAGTTCAGGTGACTACATTGGAGGCCAACTTACAGGTCCAAGCAAAGCCAAACAGCCCGATGGGCTCAAACAACGCAAGCAACAGAAGTGGTTTCAAACGCCGCTCTGGCGACATCCAGTCAGGGCCATTCTTCTTGCGTAGGTGATCATCGCGCCAGAACCAAGGCCAGTACAGGAAGTATGTGAAGAAGTAGGAGGCGTTGATTGGAATGAACGCCCAAGCTACCTGCAGCGTACCGAAACCAAAGTTGTTCGGGAAAGTGACGTTGAAAGCCTCCAGGAACGTGAAGATCAGAGCGTCAGAGAAACCGGAGAGGAGCGATAGGAGCAACACGATAGGCTCACGGACGAACATCTCAAATGGTCGGAGCCAGATCTTTCCAGCTTCCTTGAGCGAGATTCGCGGCTTCTTGAGTTCGTTTGGTCCATAAACGTTGGGATCTTCGCCAGTCTCACGACGTCTCTTCGCTTCGCGGTCGATAAGAATGGTAGCTCGGCTCTCCGGCATGAAGAAATGCACTGCTTGGACAGCAACACCAAAGATCAATTGGATCCAGAAGTTCCACTGCCATGTAAGGTATTTTTCGATGGGTCCGCCGATTACACCGCCGATAGACGTTCCGATCGTAGAAGACAATACGATAAAGCATAGAGGCCAGTGCTGAGTCTCTGGTTCGTACATGTCGGCAATAAGACCAAGAGTAACACTACCTCCAGCTGTAGAGAGACCACCCTAAAAACAAACATTAGCGCTGGATGTATTCAAAAGGTGGTAAACTTACAAGAGCTCTGCAGACCACGATGGTGCCGAAGTTCGGGGCAACAGAACAGGGGATTTCCCAGATGTTGATGAGCAGCATACTGAGCTGTAGAATGGGCCATCGACCAAATTCCTCGCTCCATGGCGCCCACAGTTCGCACCCAAAGGAGTAGAAGACCAGATAGATCATCTGTCCAACGCGCGCTGCCTGTGCGCTGATTCCGAAATGTTCAGAGATGGGGTTGACAGCGCTAGGATATACCGACGTGTTGAAGTTCATGGAGATTTGAATTCCAGCAATGGAAGCCAAATACATGGCCTTCTTCCACTTTGGCCAGGAGTATGCGAGCTTATCCCAACACTCCCATTCCCTCAACTCGCGCTTTCCGTCTGGACCGGGTACCATGGAGGGGTGGTGGACTCCTTGAGGATCGACGGGGACGTTGACATCCCATTTCTCCTCGTCGCTGGCCTCAGCTGGTACGCTGGGTCGGCGCTCAGAATCATCTTTCTCGGAAACTGGTCCTGTGCCAGCTCGGGCGGGCGAAGGTTGCCTGGACTCGCGTTCCGTCATCGTAAGGTGGAATGAGGAGAGAAAGCTGGAGATGAGACTTGGGGTGCGGGATAGGGTATTAAGGCCCTCTTGAACCCAATAAAAGTCCACATTTGGCATCCACCTCCAGAATGACGTCTGAGTAGAAAGCTCGCAATGAAGAACGACTCTCCACTCAGAGAGGGTCCTGTCAGGGTGGGATCCATTGTTGTCAACCCTTGGCATAAAATGTCGGCCTAAAATTTATCGTTGGGATCGGGGTGATAGATGCCATCGACGATAGGAATGATACAGTGTGTCTCAGGGTGGGCCTAGCTTGTCAACGTCGCGGTGCTCTTTGGCGGTTGTATCTTGTGGACCCAACTATGTGACGACAAGCTTCGTCCATGCAGCGAAAAACTGTTAGTTACTTTCTTAATCCACTTCTTGCCGACGTGCGCGCACCTCCCGACAGGCGAAACGTCCGTAGATCTGCATGCGGCTGAAGATAAGAATGGGTCGAGTGGGTCCCAAACCCGCAAGTTCTCAGGCAGCTAGTGAGGTCGCCCGGTATTGCTTGAATAGTTTGGCTTTTTTGTGTTCGTATGAAATTGAGCATACTTGCTGAAAAGCTGCTCCGCTTTGCCTGTAAAGGAACACATGGAAAGGTCTTTCAGAAGACGACATACGAGTGCCTAACGGAGTCCCAGTGAGGTAGAGCAAAAAGCTCTTTATCGCCTCCAGGTATGACATGTCAGGATGCGGTCTGTCAATTGATCAACATGCCGTAGTCGTCCGATTGGGGTAAAGACGGAAGAGGCTCTGCGGGCAAGCGGGTGAAAACTTTTAGCTCAACTGCATGACATCACAACGCATGAACGCGAGATCCGCCGCGGTTCGCAACACCAACAGCATTCTTCACGATGCGATCGAGAGGGTCTCGACCTACGCTACATATACTATTTGGCGTAAGTTACCCGAAATTTTCAAACTCACAACATTGCCTCGGGTAAGCTCCAATTTTTCATGCCAACGTGCTGCAGGGTTCACTCCCTGAAATTTGAGACGTATTTTACGCACACAGCTCCCACGTGCACGTCGATTGACATGACATCGCGCACTAGCCTTTCCGAGTATCCCTTACTCGTATCCCCACTAAGTTCGACAGACCGTCTAGACTGTGGAGACAACAGGCAGGACGTCATTGAGCACGAGAATGCTGCCACAACACTACGCCCTCTAGATCGACACGACTACTCAGAAATAACAATTGTTGGACGGAACTGGTCAACAGAATAACTCAAACTCAGAATTAGAGTCGAAATCACTGAAAGAGCGTCGTTCCAACATCAAGGACACAACTGTGACTTATTCACAGCGTATATATGGCTTGAACTAACGTAAGCAGAGAGGCACGGATATATTGCCAAGCAGCGGTGCGTTGAGTTTGTGGTTACTCTCCAGAAGTTCAATAACCTGCGGCTGCTGATAAGAAAAGCATCCTACCTAGGTACTAGAGTTCTATTGGAAATTGGCCTCGCGAAGTAGAGCATGAGGACTAGAAGATGAAGTGAAGAGAATCGCCAACCACATATGAACTCAAAGCGGTCCCTTTCGTCTAAATATCATTGTTTCTAATTGAAAGCAGGGAACATCAAAATTGAACTATAAGCGAGGCCAATAGCTATCTCATTAATTTCCGTGAACTATAAAACAACACGCCCAAATCTGAGTGCAGAACCAGCTCAGTATCATCATCCTAGAATTGGTATCACAGCAAAAAAGCATACATTTCTTCCCTCCATAAATTCACCAACGGCTCCCTTACAAAACACCAACGACAGCAGCAACGACCGCAGCAGCAGCTCCAACGTAGCTCTGCGGGCTGAAACCACCAGCAGCAACGTTAGCAGTGGCCTGAGCAGGAGCACCACTGGCAGAACTACTAGCACCACCTGCAGCACCACCAGAGGTACTATCAGTACCAGAGTTCGCGCCACCACCAGCTGAAGGCGAGGTGGGTGTGTTGCCTGTGGCGCCGCCTGAGCCGGCTGCTTGGCCAGGGGACAGGTTCTCCGTAGCTTGAGCGGCGAGAGCGACAAAGGCAGACATTGTTTTATTGCCGGACGTAGGACTGTACGTATATAGTTAGTGGATGTGTTTGGGAATGCGAGAATAATGACTTACGCGTTGATAGCACCGACCATACCAGCTTGGCAATGCTTGCCCTGAGAGCAGTAGAACCAGACTGGCTTCGCATCTGCGACACGGATGGTGTATGTGAGGACTTGACTTGTAGCAGTAACGGAAGCGTTCGTAGGCATGAAGCCAGAGAAGAAGGCATCGGTTTTGTTGGACATGATGTTTTGGATGGGTGTGCATGGGTTGTCGAAGGTAGATTGAACGACTGAGTGGTTCTGTTTAGGAAATGTTAATTAGGTTCCACTCGAAGAAGAGGAAGTGATGGATCAAGATATGACGTACCTTGGGGTGAAATTGGAACTGAACAAGATCTCCTGGCTGTGCGACAACGTTGGAGGGAGAGAAGGTCAGGCTTCCATTTGGACCTCCGACTTGGACGACGTGTGTCATGACCATGCCTGCCATTGCAGATGGCTGAGATGTCGATACGCTGCCCAACACAGCTGAGGAGAGGGTCGGCTGAGTGGCGGAGGCCATGGATACTGAAGCGGACATGGAAGATTCTTGGGCGCACGCGAGGCCGAAGACGGCGGAGAGGATGGTTGCTCTTGAGAAATACATGTTGACTATTGTATGTGATATTCGTTCGTATGGAAAGCGATTTCGATATTAGGTATGCGATTCGTGTTCTGATGCTCAATGTCTCGTCAAGAGAGTGGATGTGCGACTAGCGCTCGGTTTGGATAGGTGAAAGAATATGAAGCTGGACTAGCCAGTCGTTTATTAAAGATTGTGAAGAGGTAAGTAAAGAAAGATAGATGCAAGGAAAATGCAACACAAAGTGATGAGAGACGTGAGAGATGCGGAGGATAAGAAAAAGAGAAGCCTGAGGTGACGGCTATAGGGCCATCTTAAGGCATGACAGATGTGCATGCGTGGCCAGGGCGGTTAGTAGGTGTTCCGATACATGGGGTTGGTGTTGCGACAAGTTGGAGGCGTGGGGTGCTTCAGCCTCCCGGTTCGGCTGAGAACCCTGTAAGTAAGGCTTAAAACGGGTATATTTGAGCGCAGCTTGAAGTTTAGACATCGGCGCTGGACATTTTTAATATTGTGAACAAATCGCTTAAAGGACAATTGAACGTAGTATGTTATAACACCAAGTACACAGATAGAATTGATGTAAAGTAGCGTTGATCATGTCACGATGTTGGTGTTCGTCGTGATGTAGCTGGGTGTTCATGATGCGACGCGCTTCGCGTTACGGCTGTGTTTGAGCCCAACCCCATTGTGCTTCAAGCCGTACGTGGCAACGGCAACCACAAAACCGAATGAGCCAGGCAGCCGGAACATTCGTTTGCGAGATTGTGCATTACATGACTTTCAGGCTGCGCGCGTAAACCTCTTCGACAAGATCTTGGACGCCAGGCAACATTGCAAGATGTTTCAAACGTGTCAGGCGGTTGAGTCCTTCATTTGTCCATGGATCTTTCTGGCCTGATTCTGTATGGTAGTTCGTCCTGTAAACGATTGATGTACATGTCCATGTTTCGGTCTCTTGCCTTCTCTGCCTCTTAACTGCTGTTAGTCGCAAATTGCGCCGAATATCCGCCTTCGCTATGTTTGGCTTATGATGTTCCGAAAATAGCCTGACAACACTGGCGTCCGAAGACAGGCTGTACGAGGTGCATGTATGGTGCGGCACAACTGTCGAGCCACCGCCGTAGTCAGTGTAAAGGGCTGCTCATTGGAGTACAGCCGAATTGTAATCCCAATAGTATGTACAAGCAGGCTTGCATACATCCACATGGCAGCTGGTATCTCTTCTCCTTTCATTGCTGATCCGCGCTGAATTGTCACGTCTTCGTGTACATCCCGCCTTCAAAAGTCCAACACAAGTTGGGGCGCCAGCTTCTCAAGATCCTCTACTTGAAGAAAACCGTCAATGGCACCCCCATCTTTTGCAGACGCTTTCATCTCGTCTTGGCTTCTAAGAAAAGCTTCTGTGACGAAGATGTCAATGTACTTTCCGACCAGCTTCATCGCACCGGTTTGTATTTGTATGTTTGGATCCTCAAAGTTCTCGAGAAGCAGACGTGCGAGGAGAGGTCGTGGTACGACGGGTTCGGAAAGGGCGGGGTTGGCTGGTGGTGGTTTGGGAGCAGCGGGTGCGTCCTCCATTATGTCGTCAAAGTCTGAGAGGTTTAGATCTTCGGCAAGCTCTTCGTCTTGATCATCGTCAGATAGGTCGATTATCTCGGCCGCTGGCTGGAAGCCGTTCTTTGAGCCTGCCGCATTGCTCTTCTTGGCTGGGCCCCTCGCGCGGGAAGCTGCTGCTGGGGCGCGTTTCGTGGTTGTAGATGCCTGGGAAGCCGCGTTGACAGGCCGTGGTGGATTGAACGACGGGCCTTTTCTGCGCGAAGCATTCGCTGTCGCGTTTTTCGGTGGCATCTGAGACGTAATCGGGCCTGCGCTGCGTTGCGAGCGGTCACTTGGTGTGCGAAGTGAGGCGACTGCGGTTGGTGATGATGTCCGCGCCGATCCACACCTGGTCAACACGCCGCGCGCTCTCACGTGGATATTACCTTCACCAGCGCAATGCCATTACTCTGATACAGTAGCACTTTAAACCACACGCTCGCGATGCTCATGGCATTCAGATCGACAGCGCATTCATGGAGCGCGAACAGCAGGCTTGTATTTCCAGGGACAGGCACACTATGTGCATTAATGCTACATAGCCAGCATGATGCACGCCATATTGTGCCAGCTGTATCTCGCTGCACTGTACTGTCATGGATTTGCACGCTTTTTCAACCAAGGTGATAATAGGGGATTGCTTCTGATTGCCAAGCCAACCTCATCCAACCGACCGTTGAACAGGTATAAGAAAACACCGTTATACGGCTAAGGAGAAACACAGACCACGCTTCCTTCGTGTGCCGCCACAAACCCACCTTGAAAGCTTGACAACTTGATCGCGAGCCCAAAAGGCGGGCCGCACGGTTGCGCCATTCAGTTCGTATTGACAATCACGGTTACTTGCGTAGTCTCCGCATTTGATCGAGCCTTCACGATGGGGCTGCAAACTAAAGATACCCGCGAACTTGTGTAATCAAGACGCCATAGTGGCGCCAGAGGGCGGTTTCAACCAGACAAAGAAACGGACCAGCCGTTGAACTATTCTGCTGGTTGAGACGTGAGCCATATGTAGCGAAACGAGATAGAGGTAGTACTATGCGACCGGTAGGGTGTCTCGTTACACGGCGTTGGCAGCAGACATTTCGAAAGGGTCTTGACATGCAGAACGCCTGACACATAGTACATATAGGGGACTGTGCCACGAACAAAGAGGATTTCTTTGGACTGAGGGGGACCTCAGTACTTTTCATTCCGATTGGGTAATGATCGAGTGAGGATTGGAACAGTCATTTCGGAAGAAGTCGAGGCGCAGCGAACATGACAGGCGCAAACTTGGGCGGTTGGCTATCTGCTATGGTGCAACTCCTTACACAGATAGGGAGCCATGCTGTTTGCAACTGTTATCGATGTTCGATCCATTGAATATAAGTGGAGATTGTTAGATCCCGTCGCATTGGGGTCGAGACTCTGAGATGGAAAGGAACTAGTACCTGCATCAGCTGTTTATCTCCCGTCCTTTTGCACTGGGAATCATTTTGGCATTCACATCACGACTGAAGGGTGCATGCTGATGGCTGTTGCAGTGACGGGCTGGTGACTCGTGCGATATTGCGCCCGCCTCGATCTGGCTGGCATAGGCACTTCTGAGTAACATGTGGGCGACGAAGTGTGTTGTGGCTTCGCTCGGCTTCGCTCCGGACTGCGGAGGTAGTGCCTAGGTATCTAGACACAACATGTGCCAGTCACCACCCTCATGCTGTGCGAGCAGGGCGGCTCCAGGTAGAGTAGGGCGGGTGCTGCTTCTTCCCGCTCGCGTAACTCAGAAGAAATCTCGACCAAAAGCGCAGAGACACAGTATGGCACAAGAGGCCCGCCCGCCAAACAGAGGTCGAGACTCCGGAGCGTCCTCCCAAGAGCAGCGGGTCCAGGCTAGGCTGGGTTTGGCGGGGTAGGAGAATGGCCGGTGATGGGGTTAGTGGCAGGCTAGGAGGACAGCGTCAAACCTCGATTGAGTGGTGTTGCGTTGTCGCTGAGATTGATACCAACGTCTTAGACTAGGGTTGCGTAATGGCGGACTACGGGGTCGCCCTTTCCCCTGTAGGAGGTGCTATTTTGAACTGGCAGTCGCGCGTTGGATTAGGGAAGCGCAGTGGTTGCAGCTGGCAGGTGCGGGTGGTGGCGCATATGAGTGAGCAAACACGGCTTACTGATAGCTGAAGCTGTGCTGGAGCCATGATGGAGTGGCCGACGCTTGACACGCATAGCCAGATAAGGATGCAGCGCACAGCCGTCTTCAGCATGGCCAAATGTCAGATACCCAGTCCGATCGTGTGCATGCGCCCAAAACTGCATGGCGGGCGGCTGGCCCGCGCGCAGGTGACGCTGGATCTGAAGCCCTGACCCCTGTCGCTCTACCCGAGATGCTTAGTGCTTGGTGCTGGAGGTGCACTGTGGCATGCGGCGAGCCTCTGGGACCAGACGCCTGGCTATGGAACTGGAAATTATATCATATAGTGGTTCGCTGTCGTCTGCCCAGGGCCCAGCTCCTGCATCTTCATCGGCCAACGACTTCCTTTTGCCATTGCGGGGTGTTTGCTTCAGTCGTCATCCATTCTTAACCCCAGGACTGCCACCGCCCATCACTTTACTATCTTGCCGCACCATTGTCCACTCAACACTGTCAATCAATACACGGACTTCCCCCCAAGTTCCGTGTCCTGATAACCAAACGCCACCGCGTCTCAATTCGGATCTCGTCTCACATTGCAAGATAGAGAAGCGCGCCAGGATCTGCGCTCTTGCATGTTGCACCAACGTCTTTATCCATATCTAGGCGAATAATTCGTTCGCGGCTCCCCAAACAGATAGCCCTGGTCGTCGCTCTTATATCCTCAAGTCCTCCATCTTTTGCTCTTGTCCGTCATGCCCCATTCGGTCAACAATTCTACATCGACCCAAACCAAGATGTCCCGCCCATCGTCCACGTCGACGTACTCTGGCACCAATGCATTTCCCAAGCAGGCAGGCACCGCCCTCCTATCACCGGAAAATGCCGGAGAGCAGCTCTCGCCCTCACCCTCGCAGTTCTCCTTTGCATCGTCGCCACAGTCAGTCCAGAACATCGAGCTTGACTCCCGCGACCGCGCTCGTACTCCTGCCGCCGACGGTGTCGGTCCCCTGCGACCCGTGACTTCCCGCTCCCGTGCTGCCTTCTATGAAGATCAATTTTCATACAAGGACGGTATCGCGTCGTCGGCTCGCGAGCGTGTGACCAAGGATGCGCCTATTGTAGCCGAGCTGCGGACAAATGTTATCGTAAGTTGTTAATTTCCGCCGAGCTCCACTCTTTGGGCAAATCACTAACCCAGCGTAGATCAAAGACGAATACACCCTAGTCACCGACCTCTCGCACCACCTCTCGACGCGCTACCAAAGGCCAGAAGCCTCCATCATGATAACGGTTAACCACTCGGCGTGTATGCTCTTGGGTGGATCCTTTGAGCCCACGTACATGCTCACTATCAACGCTCTGCCAGTGCAATTGCAGCCTACGACCAACAAGCGCAATGCAGCCCTGATCCAAACATTCATGGCCGAGTCCATCGGCGTGTCGTCAGACCGTGGCGTAGTCAAGTTCGTGCCTATTCCCGAAGAGAGCCTCGCCATGAATGGTATGACCGTTTTGGGCGATATTGAGCGCCTCGAACGACAGCAAGCCGAGGAGACTGGCAGCAACATCAAACGTGCCATGACCAAGAGCTCGCGCAGATCCGCCCACAAGGCAAAGAGTAGCAATATGCTCTCTCGTGGTCTGTCCAAAGCTGACCATAGCGCAAGACCCGTCACCTCTGAGGTTTCTCACGATGCGTCCCGCGACTCCGGAATAGCTGTTAACGAGAAGATTGACGATAGCAGAATTGCTAGCAAGAAGTCTGAGCCATTACTCTCCAAGTTCAGCAGGAAGCCCTCTACCTCGCATCCGGCGCCACCACCTATTCCTGCCGACAGGCCTGTCACCCCAGCAGTCAACAAGCGCAAGAGCTTCATGAACGTCTTCCGCAGATAAACGTCTAGTATCATTTCATACATCGCTAGCACAATCGTTTCTTGTTCGGCACACGAAAACCTTCATCCAGCATTTCTCATTTCGACGGCGTTTTAAAAGGGACACATTTCGCTCTAGACCGAGAGTCGGCAACACAGACTCACCTGCTGTACACCCTTATCACGGCATCTGTCAAATTCTGCATATGGCGCAACACACGAGCATACTCCAAGTCGCATAGTGCGACAAAACAGCATTGCCAGGCGTTTGGGGTGCAACACATCTCATTCCTGTTCATACGAATATACCCTTCTGCATTTCCTTTATCACAAAGCTGTAATGGGCAGAAAGATTACATAGAATCATTAATGGCACAGCAACCATCATTACCGCTTCATCACCTTGCAATTGTGTTCGTGAAACTCCACAGTTGCCGCTGATCAGCATCTCGCCGAGCTGCGCTTCACTCACCGCAAACATGTCCTCTACCGTGCCGTGTCTGGATGCATGTTTGACCAAAACATTGTGATCTTCAAACGATCCAGATCTTTGCCCAAACTGGGTTTGCTTCTCGGGTACGCGTCCCCCAGCCCGATGAAGCTACAACTATATTCTGTTCGGTCGACAGTCGCTAACAAGAAGGGCCGTCGCCGTCTACTTGCCGCGTGGCTAGGCCGAAAACTACCAGACCGCCTGTCAATGCTTGACAGCAAAGTACGGCCGGTGAGTTCGCTTATACAGTATCCTTCCAAGCCACTCTGCAAAGTAGAGGTGTGAACACTTGAGACTGATAGGCTGTTATTCCAGTAGTTCCGCATTGGCATTTTATTTGTTGACCACTATGCAGTAGGGCTGAGACAGCTATGCGTTGATGTCCGTAACCGGATTATCGGGGTGCGCGGTGAGGCTGAATCGAGTGGTGAGAGTGTCACCGGGATGGGATTTGCTTGACCCGGACGCATTGGCAGATAGCCACACCGGCGCGGCTAACGTGAGCAGCGAGTAGAGCATTTTGTTTTTTCAGCTCTCCACGTTTTACTAGATAGTGGATCTAGACGCGCCACAAAAGCTGATCGGAGACATGTAGCGTGCACGCTAAGTGAACGGGAGAGCTACCATTAGCGTTGAGAAATGTCACCACTTTCTTTCAGCTCTGGCTCGTCGAACGGGGTTTTTGCATGCAGACATGGTATGTGGCTTGGTCCAGCCCTACGGTGTCGGCAAAGGTTTTTTTCTTTGTGCTAACGGCGGCAGTCGAGCTTTACGATGCTATTACAGACCACAGTGGTGGCGTTCTGCCACGTGGTTGCGGCTACTTTGCCTCTGGTGAAGATGCACGTGTAGACAGAAGGGCCTGGCGGATCACTGTAATACAAATTTTCCATAGTAAGAACAGGTATCAAAAAGCGACGGCGTTGGGTAAGGACATTAAGCTTGCCATCAGTTCGAACCGAGGTGATCGGAACAAGGTTCGCGGCGATCAACGCTACCTAGGCAGAATGATCAGCGTCGTGGTAGTTTGTGGCTCGCCATATGCGACATTCCGCACTGCTCGCCCAACATCAGGGTGATCACACTAGATGTAAATGGCTTATCGCTTCACGCCTCTGTTTGCAACACTCTCCATGTCAATAAAACATGGTGCTGATTTACCCGTAATCCTTCCACCCAAGAGGTGCTGGTCGCACAACCAATCAGATCCTAGCGAACACATTCCTTGCACTTTGGAAGTTTGCGCTTTCTGGGCTTGGCACATATATGCATGTTGCAAATCATCCAAGCGAGGCTGCAGTTTGGTGAAGAGCGAGTTTGGGTGATGCGCGGTACGATGAAGTAGACGAGATAAGGCAGAATTGGAGAGGGATCGCCATAAGTTGCGTAGGCCAAGAATATCTGATAGTTTGGGACTGTTGGAGGTTTGGAATGTTGGTAGAGTTTATCGGGAGTTATTGAATCGCGGGAGCTACGGGTCAAGGGGAGGGCGATTTTAAGTTTGCGATGAATGACGTCATGGGCTACAACGAATCTTGGGTCGGTCGGAAGTCTCCATGAGCTTATTCAGTATCCCTGATTTCACATCGAATTGGAGACCACGATCTGCTTACGGATTGGGTATTTCAAGTCGACGAATCATGATTATTGTAACGTATTTGAATGAGCTCTGGCTTGGAGGTTTGTCTAGTGTTGAACTTCCATAGATAATGGGACTTGGTTGATTTGTGCCGAAGGTCTAAATTGTCGCGTCATAATCAATCTGTTCATTCATATGCTGGCATGTTTATCTGAACTCACCCTACGTATTCCTGTTTTAGTCTACCCACAACCACCTTCCCGAGAAGCCGCTCACTATGTAGTAAGTGTACTCAGGTATCGTCTCGAGCAACAGACTGCGTAGGGTAATTGCTTACCTTTGTACCTTGCGATCGTGTCAACTTCTCCATCTCTGTTACAATAACATCCTCGCCCACTTGGAGATTCTCTGGAAAGGCAGCCGGTTTGAACCTCGAAGCGAGGCCCTCGGATGAGTGATGAGGTTGAATAGGACTGAAATCTCAAAGATTCCAAAAGCAGCTGAATGCACGTATTCTTCTAGACGCCGCGGCTGCTACTCCATCTTCTTCCGTATTTTAAGCCTCAAATGTAGCTGGATTGAAAGTCGGATTACAGCGCCCCATGTACTTGGGTGTTTGACGAGACAAAGCCCATCAGCCGCAACATTGTATAGAGGAAAAGTTGACTTCCCCGTCATAAACCTATCGCGCTTGGTATACTGACGCGATACGTGAAGAGTAGAGATGATCGCTTACGCGTACTGGACATGCGGCCTGTGGTGAGCTGGAGGCGACAGGCCACCATCCCCACATCCCCGCTTCCACCTCGCTGCTTCCTCCCACGCCCAACCCTCCACGTGCAAAAACTCAACGAACCACGACTATGTGCAACACACCGTTCAAGCTCTAGCCGAGTTAAAGCGGCTTATGACAGAACGTGACATATGATGCGGGACGGGATGGTGGGCACCGCCTTAAGCCTGCACGATGGCTTGAGCCCTTGGGCTTGTGTTGTTACCACGATCAGGATACATGATTGATGACTTCCCAAGGCTTTTGGAACAGGTTCGGGTTACTGCAGAAAGATAGAGAGATATGCGTAAGAGCCGTGCAGAATTACTATGGGGGATGTGAAGTGGAAGAGTTTGAGGAGCAGGGCTACTGCAGTTGTACGATTCTCGTCCCGCCATCGAGAAGCGTGTCTACAATCAACGACACTCTTCCTGTGGTTCCTGCAGACACGCGCGGCGAGGAACGACCTGCTTTCATCATCCAGCTTCGACCGGCACTGCACGCCCTTGACCTCAACATCGTACGTGCTGCTAGCATGACTTATCCAACGCTAGTTCCAACTATCGAACTTCTCGAATTAGCATTACCTGGAGGCATATGTGCCTATGAGATGGAAAAACTTGAAGGCGTACAGTTGCGTCGTTTGCAGGGGCGTGAACGTTCACTCGATGCTGGCTCAAGGGAACAACTACAACGTCTCGTCGCGAGTCTTGCGGACCTTATCGCGCAAAGTTGGCACTCACCACATAGGACCCAGTTCATTTCGAGAGCGACACGAGTGGACTCGCCTATTGATGAGAGTCCATCGGTGCTCTCGAAGTGCCGCGGCAAGGTCGGCTCAACCATTGTTTCTAGGCTCAAGAAGTTAGCTGCTGAGCTGCCGGACACACATCTCCGCAAAAGAGCAAGCGAAGTATTGCGCGCAGTGCAGCGGATAAGTGATTATCCAGTGACAATCAATCACGGAGATCTCATCCCATCTAATATTTTGGTTGACAAGAATACCTGGAAGATCACAGGCCTAGTGGATTGGGCGGAGGCAGAATACTTACCTTTCGGAACCTGTCTGTACGGACTCGAACATCTCCTTGGATATATCACTCCACCTGCCTCCGGTATTGCACTTATATGGACATACTTTGACGGTGCGGCACAGCTTCGTGAGTTGTTTTGGACGCGGTTAATCGACGCCGTGCCGGAACTGGGGGCCCGAATGGAAGATGTAAGGGTGATGAGAGATTTAGGCGTGCTACTCTGGTATGGTATCGCTTGGGATGAGGGTGCTATCGATCGCATTGTTAATGAGGTGGATGATGTGGAGGAGGTGACCGAACTTCGTGCTTTTCTAACTGTATGTTGAGACGAGATCGTGCGAGGCATATATGAAGAGCGCATCGGTTATGTCTCTACCTTTGTCATCTGAGTTCTTTCGATTCGTCTTCCTAATGTTCTACTCTGACTCTATCAAGCAACATGCTCGTCAATGTTATGGATCGCGCGCGCGTCGCACTTTCTCCTCCGATGGTGGGCGCCCCTTCCTATACACAGCGTACCTTCTGTATACACTTAGGCAACGTTTCAAACCTTACGATTCATGTTTACTCTCTTCTGATCTGTATTTCATCACTCTTGTCACTCTGCTTCACCTCATCATACTGATCAAAGCAAAAGCGTTGCCAAAAGTTTCGGCATCATTTTCATCGCACCGTATAGGCGCAGTAAGCACAAAAGTGGAGCAACTTGGGGAGCAAGGAGTAGTGAGCAAACTCCTCATTTCTTTCTGTGGTGAAGAACTGGCAAGCCAGGACATAGAAAAGGCAATAAGGTCCTCACTCTGCGAGGCGCTACGAACGCAGAGCTGGCAATGGCTGACATGGAATAGCCCAAAACTGTTCGAAAGGCGGGCGATACTACTCATGCCCTCATTTCCAGTACTGAGAAGGTAAAGAAAGCTTCACTGCAGCGAGAGGTGCCTAGCACTCATCCCAAAATGGCGATCTCCGGCACCAGCAGTGAGTACGATCTCAGTCTCACATCTCCAAGCGCTGGCGAAGTTCCAAAGCGACTCGCAACAAGCACTCCCAGGAAGAAACAAGGCTCGGTCGATCCTGGTGAACGCACCGTCTCCTCTGCTCTCCGAAGGCTTGCACCGAAGCCTTTTGCAAACGTGAGCGGTAGCTGTCAAAACCCAATCATCGTTGAGGAGACTGCATCACCGCCACGGCAAGCAGTACGAGCTCAGAAGCGCAAACCCAGACACAAGAAGCTGACAGAATCCCATCAATCAATCGGCGATGGGTATAGAGACCTATATAGCTATCACCCTTCTAGAACAGCATTGACAGCCATACCTCCGAGCGGCAGCACGTTCACTGGACATCAGAGCCATGACATATACCGCATGATGAACGCAAAGATAACTGCGGCCCCAAATGTCAGCCCGAACGCCGCGTGGGGCCGCCATACTCTGAACGTACCTTTTGAAGTGCAATACCCGCTCTCCTCGCAGGTTTTTATGCAGCAGCAGAACGCGTCAGAATATTGGTCCCCGTACTCCCAGAACCATCAGGCTCAAATTCCTCCTAATACTCATGGGTACCCAACGGTTCCATCTCAGAACGAAGACCTGCTCCGTAGGAGGGCCATTCATTATATCCAAGAGTACTCGCGACATTCACCGCTGAAGAGATGGCTGTCTGACGCCGACCCTGACAAGACTAGCGGCGATGAAGCCGAAGGACACGAGGAGCATATTAGACCGCAACCAAACTCCTCAACTGCTCAGTCGCATTCCATGCCACGATCCACGATACGTAATATTCGCTATTCTATCAATCACAAGCCAACGACCCATCAAGATCCAGATCCCAACCTCTTGGTCAAACATCTCATTGAGCATACTTCACTCATCACGTCGTTGCTACAGCTGTATTCTCACCCCACCGATCCTAAGGGCTTAAAGAACGACATATCGATGATGTTTCAAATACAGAATCAGTGTGTGACTGACTGGATGAAGGCTGAATCACTTGACTCGCACAAGCGACGCAAGATTGACGGTGACAGCACCGTCAGCCTGGATGATTGCCTACGGCCGATCATGACTTCTGCGACCAGAGCCCAGAACGAGAAAGACGACATGTTACGCCAGGTTCTTTCTGCTAATGCTGATATGTGGCAAGATGGTACAGGGCATGGCGTTGCGGACGTATTTGCGGTTGTACCTGCGTCGCCGCCACTCGTGAACAGTCTCAATGGACGAACAGTCAGCTCTACGCTTGTACCTTCGATTTCGACGGCACACGATCTCCTTGTTCAGGAACAGAGCAGAACTACTGGCAGCTCCATCACAACTCCAATAAATCAGATCTCGAATTCCACCACAGGAGCAGCGCACTGGAAAGGTTTGTCTGTCACCTCCAACATGGAGGAGATACAGATAAAATCCGGAAACCCATCAGTTAGCCCAAAGGATTACTCTAAGAGTTCGACCGACTTGAGTCACCTCTCAAGTGCTTCCAAAGACCCGGAAGCTCTTACTAGAGTAACACCTCACCCAGCTGATAGTCCCATCAATCCCTCTCCCAATCGCATGAATAGCCGTTCACCTCCTCACAACAAACACGCAACCATACAACATACAGCTCCAAGTTCCGATGACGAAGTCCACATTGCCAATAACAGCTATGCCTCAGGCAGCTCTCACAATGAAAGTTCAAACGATTTGCGGGTCCAGGAACCCAGTCTTTCGATTTGAACCGCGTGTGGGTGCTGCCAGTGGGCGAGCAAGAGCAACTTCGTTGTCAAAGGAGTAAGTGAGAGGAATAGTATGGCTGCGAGTGCTGTGCGAGGAGCGGAAGAGGATTGATGAGTTGAGGAGTACTTGGAAGAGAATGTGTGTCTTCCGTTACACGTTATGAGTAGGCTGAAGCCAAAAGTGTTGTAGGTGTTGCAATGCGATCATGTAAAGCACCCTGTCATACGGTAGAACCATGCAGAAAAGCGAAATCTCTCATGTATCATGATTCCATATTCTATTTGGGTATCAAGTGACTATTCCCTTTTCATCTCGAGTAAACTAAATCAGCGTCATCCCTAGCACCAGGACCACATCTATTAATTCACTAGTTGCCCTTGTTTCCTCTCTTGCCTCCTCTCTTCTTCCTCTCCACATGACCCATCAACGACTTTTTAACATCTCCCAAACTCCTCTTGTTTTTAATCTTGGCTTTGCCCAGCGTCATCAAGAAGTTCTTCTTCCTTGCCTTCTCCTGATTCGTCGTGCTCTTGCCCTCAGCTGCCTTTTGCTCCTTCTTCTTCTTAGCATGCGAACTGTGGTTCGTCTCGCGGTCTGCGCGTGCAAGAGCGATCTTCTCTTCTTTGGTGTTCTTTTTGCCAATCTTTGCGGCAAGCTCGATGGTATCGGCCGTGATGGCTTCGTCGGCGTGGCGGGCGGCGAGGAGTTGGGCGCGTTTGGAGGAGGCGAGGGAGGAGGTTATTGTTGACGAGGCACGGAGGGCTTGGAGTTGTTTAAGGTCGGCTGGGGTAAGGATAGTAGTGGTGAGGAGTTTAGAGATGGATTTGCTCTCTGGTTCGGCGCTCTTGGAGGGTTCTTTGCTGTCTGGTCCTGGTGTTGGTGTCGTGGTATCGAGCTTAGCCTTCTTTGCTGGCCTGTCTTTCTTTTCCTTTTCGTCTTCAGAGTCGCTAATTTGGATATCCTCGCCATCGCTCTCTACATTGATCCAGCCACCTGAATCGTCGCTATCACCGTCACTTTCCACATCCCACTTCTTCCAGTCATCTTCGTCATCAAGCTCAACGTCGCCGTTGTCCGCGTCAGGGTCCAGGCCAGCAGCTTCCAGCTTTTTCCTGCGCTCCTCTTCTTTCCACTTCTCGAGTAGCTCAATGCCTTCGATCTCTCCAATAGCTTCTTCACCGTATCGGCGTTCTTTGATAGTGCCAGCGCGGATACCCATTGTCGCGTCCTTGCCACGATCGCGTTTCTTGAGGAGGTCTGCACCGACTTCACGGTAAAGTGAAAGAAGTCCTTTGGCGGCCATCATCGTGCCCTTGTCCTTGGATTTGCGGTACTACCTTGTGTCAGTATACATCATGATATCAGGGCGAGGTGTCTGAGAGGATGTAGCAGAAACAAGGGTATCAGAGTTGCGACAAGCGCTTGGGTTTGTATTCAGATAGCGGGGTCTTAAGCCGCCTCATTAACACGGACCAAATGTTCTCATCATGAAAAACACAGAGTGCGACGCGATGCGGTGGGAGGATAGAAAATGTGAGTTGACTTACCATAACCAAGTCCTGGAGCAAGGTGTCCGTCATAGCTAATGGTTGACGTGCGCAAACCTCGCGAATGGCATTCAGACCTGCTGCCGCAACCTCAGAGGCTGATGCTTCTGACACAAACTCGTTCGCAATCTTCTGCACCAGCGGTTCGAGCACATCTGGCGGTACATACGAGTGTGTCGCTTGCGCTAAGCATGCCAAGTAACTTGTGACAGACGCTTGCCGAGGAGTGAGATGCTTCAAGAAGTATGAGTATAGCGGGAGGACTGTGAGCTGATGTAATCCAACAAGACGAGTAACAAGCTGCAACACCAGCAGTTTCGTTTCGAGGGCGAGTTTGTTCTTGGAGTTCTGGACGTGCTTCGAGAAGAGCGTTTCGGCGAAGCCTTGAGGATCGTGGAGGAGGTGGAGCGCACTGAAGTTGAGAGGATGAGGTGCATTCTTCTTCTTCTGCTTCTTCTTTATAGTGGCAGCTGCAGTCCTCAGTTCGCGGGCCTTCTTCTTGCTCTTCTTGTTGATGCCAGCTGAATGCTTCAATTTGGCCATGTCGACATCATTGTCGTCATCGCTGCTCTCCTCTGCAGCGGCCTCTCGTTCCTCGTCACCACCAAGGAAGAACTTGGTGCCGCCGAAAACGGTCTTTTCGTTGTCGCTTAGAGCGGCCAAGCGCATGACCTCGACTGCGCGCGCATCGGTCCATATTTGGCGCTTCCAAAGCTCTCTTGTGATCTTCACGGCCCATATGCCCTTGGGTGAGGAGGAGTCTGATTCTAGGAGGCTTTGACTAGTTAGTCAATGATCTTGGTACACTCGCAGGATATTGCATACTTGTAAAGCGCTGTCTGCATAGACTTGTTGAGCTTGTGGTTGACAGTCTTTGCGTTGGAAGACCGAAGGTCTGAGATGATCTTGGTGTAGAGTAGTTGTCGCAGACTCTTGCTGTTGGTCGTCACAAGAATGGGAAACAGGGTGTTGAGAAGTGTGATCGAGTCGATGACTTCTTTCCGCTTGAGCAGGCAGTATGCTCCGACGACCTTGTCTCTCAAGTCATACTCCAGCACCTCGTGGTGGGTGAGCAGCAGCTCTAGATCCCGGGGAAACTCTGATGCAATATCGGGGTAGAGGTCTGAGGTGTGCGACACGAATTCGATGAGGTCCTTGAGCGCGACCAGACCGCTATCTGAGGTGCTTGGGTCGGCCAGGAAGAGGTCGAGGAGGGTTCGGTACTGCTGCCATTGCTGCTCAAAGTCGTCTCTGTACGATTGAGGGTCTCGTTTCAGCTTGAAGCGGAGTGCTGCGTGGTCAGACTCCAGCTTCTCGAGGGCACCAACTTTGCGCTTCATGGTGTCGACTTGGGATCTGGGGGGTGAGGAAGTTGTCGTGGCTGTCGTCGAGTACGCGCCTGTGTAGACTTTGCGACATGAAATTTTAGTGGGGCCCATCCCACCAATTGGTCAGGGCGGACCGACACTAGGCCGAGAAGCTCTGGCCTCTTTGCGCGTAAATCTTTCATCCTCGACAACTTGCGCCAGCCACTTTTCAGACGCGCTGCCCTACAACGGCGCGCATCACATTCAACAAGCTCATACACCGCTCTTGATTGATCGTGGTCTGTTTCTCAACCTTACCCGCGTGTCTTCAGATATCGACGCGACTGTAATACCTGGGCCAGCGCCCGCCCATTGCCCACCATGACGAGCTTCTCTTCCATGTCCCTGTACGCCTTGACGGTGAAGCAGCCGACAGCGACACAGGACGCCATTTCCGGCGACTTTCTTGGAAACGGCAAGCAGCAGATTCTCACAGCGAGCGGCTCACGACTGGCTATCCTCGAGGTCTCGCGGCGACAGAAGGGCTTCCAAGAGCTGTACTCGCAGGATGTGTTTGGCATCATTCGTCGTATAGCCAAGTTCAGGATCGCAGGCGGCACCAAAGGTATGTTAGTCCATCTTCCCCGCTACAAGCAGTATAGTGATTTTCAAAGCACACGACACCCTCGAGCTCCCAGCTCCCTGAGCCCACGGTGGACTGGACTGCAAACACTAAGAACCTCTACTGACTCCGTCAGACCATATTGTCATAACCACCGACTCCGGACGGTTAGTCACATATGAGTACATGCCAGATGAGCATACCTTCAAGACCGTTCACTTCGAGACGTTCGGCAAGTCTGGAATACGACGCGTAGTGCCGGGCGAGTATCTAGCAGCCGACCCGAAAGGGCGCGCTATCATGATCGCCTCGACGGAGAAGAACAAGCTTGTCTACATTCTTACCCGAAGTGGCCAGACGGATATTGCCATCTCCTCACCGCTAGAGGCACACAAGCCACAGACGTTGGTGTACTGCCTTATTGGACTTGATGTTGGATATGACAATCCCATGTTCGCTACATTGGAGGTAGACTACTCCAACTCGGAGACTGACCCTACTGGTGAAGCCTACGAAGAGATCAAGAAGGAGTTGGTATACTACGAGCTGGACCTTGGTCTTAACCATATCGTCCGGAAGTGGTCGGAGCCAGTTGATCGTACCGCCAATACCCTCTTCCGGGTACCTGGAGGACCAAACGCTCCGAGCGGTGTTCTATGCTGTGGAGAGGATAGCATCACATACCGCCGCATCTTCAACAACAAGTCAAGTGTGCACCGACTGGCCATTCCACGCCGCGAAGGAGCCACTGAAGACCCAAATCGCAAGCGCATGATCGTTGCTGGTACTCTATACTCTCTCAAAGGCGGTGATTTCTTCTACCTCCTACAAACAGAGGACGGTGATGTCTTCAAGCTTACTGTAGAAGCCACCAGCGGTACCGTCGACAAGATCAAGATCAAATACTTTGATACCATCCCCGTCGCGACGAGCATTTGCATTCTGAGGGCAGGCTTCGTGTACGCTGCCTGCGAATCTGGAGACCGCATCTTGTATGAACTGGAGTCTTTGGGAGACGAGACGGAAGATCCTGTTTTCGAGAGCGATCAATTCCCTGTCGACCCTGAGACCTCTTTCGCACCTCCCTTCTTCAAGCCTCGGGCGCTTGTCAACCTCACTGCAGTTGAGACGATGCCCAGTCTCAATCCGATTATGGGCATGGAAGTTGCCAACCCTGCGCTGGAGGACGCGCCCCAAGTTTACACGATCAACGGTGCCGGTGGCCGGAGTTCATTCCGCACCACCAGGAACGCGCTGGAGGTTCTGGATCTTATTGAGTCGCCGTTGCCGCAGAACGCTTCCGACGTCTGGACTACGAAGCTGACCAGCGAAGACGAAACTGATACACTTATTGTCATGTGTCTTCACAGCAGAACGCTCGTTCTCAAAATTGGCGACGATGTCGAGGAAGCTGCGAATACCGGCTTTCTTCCAGACACCAACACGCTTGGTGTACAACAGTTCGGTGAAGACTGTATCATCCAGATCCATCCTAAGGGTATTCGTCACATCCAGGGCATCCAGTTCCCTAATGACGATGCAAGTGCGACGCACGCTAGTCTGACTGACTGGCAACCCCCAGCGCATCGCACTATCGTAGCTTGTGCCACGAACAACCGACAAGTTGCTATAGCGCTAAGTTCCGGCCAAATCCTGTACTTTGAATGCGACGCAGATGGATCGCTTGCCATGGCTGAGGAGGAGATTGCTTTAGACAGCACTATCAACTGTCTTGCAATGCCTGATGTACCTGAGGGTAGTGTGCGAGCTTTCTTCTTGGCTGTCGGGTGCAGCGACCAGACTGTCAGGATTTTCAACTTGAGTCCTGACATGGAAGGAAACATCCTGCGAAGTATCTCTGTCCAGGCCCTCACCTCACCGCCTAGTGACTTGACCATCAACCTCATGACGGACAAGTCTCCTCGTGGATACAGCCAGTTCTTGCACATCGGTCTACGAAGTGGTGTATACATCAGATCGGTACTAGATGAGATGACTGGCGACATTGGCGACACTCGGAGACGCTTCCTTGGGCCAGAGCCTATCAAGTTTGCGAAGGTGACTGTTGCCGGCGAACCTGCTATTATTGCAATGACCTCAAGGCCATGGCTAGGTTACACTCATCCTCGTACCGGAGTGTTGCAGCTGACACCGCTGAACTACATTCCATTCAAGTCCGCGTGGAACTTTGATGGTTCCCAATTCAAGGGAATCATCTGCGTCAGCGGCAACGAGCTACGGTAAGCACCTTCCATCTATTTCCCCCAACTGCAATGATGAAACTCTGTACTCCCTAAACACGATGAGGGCAATAACAAATTTCCAATTGTTCCTACTGAAAGCAGTTATCAATTCGTTCTTGTTACATACACAACATGCACGATTAGTTGCTGACCACAACAGAATCTTCACCTTCAATGACCTAACGGACAATACGACTTACGAGAACATACCACTCAAGTACACCCCAAGGAAGATGGTCGGATGGCACGACCAGGGTGTGTTCTACGTAATCGAGAGCGACAACAACACTATAAGTGCCGACAGACGCCAACAGCTTATCGCACACGCCGGTGTCAAGAAGGAGGATGATGGCACCAACGGCTCGATGGAAGTCGAGAACGCCAACGGTGGTGCAACGAATGGCACCGACGATAGCGACGAGCTTCCAGCAGTTGACTTTGGTTACCCAAGAGCTCAGGGCAGCTGGGCTTCTTGTATCCAAGTTGTCGATCCTGTGAGCGAAAAGACTGTCACCCACACCGTAGAGCTCAATGGCAACCAGTCACTTGTCAGCGCCGCCTTGGTGTTCTTCGAGAGCCGTGGTGAGGAAGCATTCTTGGTTGTTGGCACTGCCAAAGACTTGAGCTTCACTCCTTTCAAATACACATCTGCTTCTATCCAGGTGTACAAGATCAACCCCACCGGTCGTGAGCTGGAGTTCTTCCACGAGACTGAGGTCAGCGACCCGCCTCTAGCGCTACTTGCATTCAAAGGAAAGCTCATTGCTGGTGTCGGTCGCCATCTGTGTCTCTACGACTGCGGTATGAAGTCTGTCCTACGCAAGGCTCAGGCACCGAACTGTGTACCAACGCGCATCACCGACCTCAAGACGCAAGGCAGCCGACTGGTTGTTTCCGATCAGGCGCAGTCAGTAACGTATGTCGTACACAAAGATCAGGTCCACCCCAATCGCCTGATTCCCTTCGTCGATGACACTATTGCCCGCCACACCTCCGCATCAGAGATGCTGGACTACGACACCACAGTTGGTGGTGACAAGTTCGGCAACATCTGGCTTGTGCGCTGCCCACAGAAGGTCTCCGAGTCTTCTGACGAGTCGCCTGATGGTTCCGATCTCCTAGTAGATAAGGGCTACTTGGGTGGTACGCCGAACCGCCTCGACCTTATCGCACACTACTTTACGAACGACATTCCCGTCTCCATTCAGAAGACTGTCCTACTATCAGGTGGTGAACGCATCATCTTCTGGGCTGGTCTCCAGGGTACTCTTGGTGCACTTATCCCCTTCAACTCCCGCCGACAGCACAAGATGTTCCAACAACTGGAGCTACAACTTCGGTCAGACGACAAGCCACTGTCGGGTCGCGATCATCTCGCCTTCCGCAGCTACTTCGCGCCGGTCAAGAGCGTGATCGATGGTGATCTCATTGAGCGCTTCTTGGTACTGTCGCGCGACAAACGAGAGAGCATCGCTGGCCAGATGACAGGTGCAGAATGGACACCCAGTATGATTGATGAGGCGATTTGGAACATGAGAGGTCTTTATGCTTTTTAGATGAAGCGTAACCTGTACACACTACGGCGTTTGGATAGTTCGGGCCTTGAAGAGCAGTTGGCGCTTTTGTCCTGCCCTTGTAGCGTCTTTGATGAATAAGTAGCAGTAACTTGTATTTGTAAACAGGAATGTGGGTCATAATAGACTCAAATGATACCCAAGAATCGTCTTCAACTATCTTCAAGCATGGTTGTCTGCACGTGGTTAGCCTTGCTACCAAGACCTGGTTTGCGGTGTTCTATACCTTGCTTTTGTCACTAATAGCACCCGCACTTATATGAACAGCAATAACAACCGCGGCACCGGCTGAACTCTACGTCATCACGTCGACATACGAAAGTTAAACCTCGCCAACACAAGACGGAGAAATTATCTCCATGCAGATCTACAAGTTTGCGGGGAAGAAGTGGGGCAAGTCATATCGATCCTGGCTCGGAGAGCCGCCGTCGGGTAGATTTGCGAGTGCGAATACGAATTGACTTGCTCTTCTCAGAAATACCCCGAAGAGAACAGCTACGGAACGGCTGATAATATGCACGACCCATGTTACAACGAGAAGCTTGGAGACAGGGACAGTAGCATTCGGTTGAGGACCGGGAAGCTAACGGAGCTAGGGTAGGAGACTATGTAAAAGGACGACACCGCACATGTTCAAGTACTACTAGGCTTGGAGATATCTGCTACTGGTTTTTTCGCCCGATATGAAGCTGTATAGCTCGCTCGCTCTTGTTCCTTTGATTTATCAAGGCTATGCGCTCGATGTCGAAGCTATAGTGAACAAATACTACGGCAATGATGCAGCATGGTACCGCGACCGGATCCCTCTTTTCGACTCTAGCGATCCAGATATCACCGATGTCTACTACTACCGGTGGTCCATTTTCCGCGCACATCAACGCGACCTAGGCTCCAACGGTTACATTTCCACCGAGTTCCTTGACGATGTCGGGTGGCAGACTATGCCTTGGGCTAGTCTGAACGATGCAACTGGCTTCCATCTCCTAGAGGGACGGTGGTGTCGCGACCGACGGTTCAAAGAAGATTACGCGACATTCATGTATAGCAGCAACAGCAACAGTCGACAATTTTCTGAAAGCATGGCCGCAGCCGTTTGGCAAGGGTATCTTGTTGATGGTGTGGTAGAGGACGTGGTTAAGAGGCTCGACGATATGACGAGAGTGTATAATGCCTGGGATGATTCCTACGACAAGGACAAAGGGTTGTATTACGTTGAGCCCATCCGGGATGCGACGGAGTATACAATCTCCAGTATAGATTCTTCGGGTGGCTATGATGGCTTCTTCGGCGGCGACTCGTTCCGCCCTAGCATAAACAGCTACCAGTACGCCAACGCCCTCGCAATCGCCAACATGGCGTCCTTGAAAGGTGGTTTGGAAAGCACCGTCGACATCTACAATTCCCGCGCCACTGCCCTCAAAACGCGCGTACAGGACGCCCTCTGGAACTCAACCTTTGACCATTTCATCGACCGCTATCAAGTCAACAACACGAACGTCACATACTGGGATCCCATTCGCGGCCGCGAACTGGTCGGTATGGTCCCTTGGACCCACGACCTCCCCGACGATACCGCAACCTACGCACAAGCTTGGTCGCACATTCTTAACAGTAGCGAGCTAGCCGGAGAACACGGTTTGCGTACCGTGGAGCCTTCTTACGAGTACTACATGCGACAGTACCGTTACGAAGGCCCGAACCCGGAGTGTCAGTGGAATGGCCCTGTATGGCCTTTCCAGATGACTCAAGTTCTATCCGGACTCGCCAATTTCCTGGATCATTATGCTGAGGGAAGAAAGACGGATGTTATTAACACTGATGACTATACAAACTTGCTGAGGCAATATGCTCAGTTGCATCGGAACCCCGATACTGGCATTCTGGATCTAGAAGAAGACTACTACCCTGACACGGGATTACCGATCGTAGGACTCAAGCGGAGTCATCATTACTTCCACTCTGGCTTCAACGACCTCGTCCTATCGGGTCTTGTTGGAATCCGTCCCTCAGCCAACGATACGCTGGAAGTCTCTCCCCTGGCCTCTTCAGCGCAGATGAAATATTTCCGCGCAGAACGTATCATATACCACGGTCATGAAATTGCCGTTCAGTGGGATGCCGACGGCTCGCACTACGACGCCACAGGTCTGCAGGTTGAGGTCGATGGCAAGGTAGTCGCTTCATCCCCCACGCTTTCTCGTCTTTCAGTCGACCTGGAACGAAAAGCTCCACCAGCTATTACCCGCCGAATCGCACAGTCAATCCAACTCAACGCTACAACGGCGTATCCGCGCGGTACAACATCCGTCGGCAACACTACTCAAGCATCTACATATCCTGCTATTGACGGTCGGATATGGTTTTACCCCGAGCAAGATGCTAAGAATGGGTGGGATACACCAGTCGGCAATGGAAGTACAGTCTGGTTCCAAATTGATTTTGGCAAAACCGTCAGCATAAGTGCGGCTGAGCTTGCATTCTTCGCGAACGAGGAGCAAGGCTTTGCGGAGCCGACGGATTATAAGATCCAGGTGCCTGGTAATGGGGACAGTGGTGAATGGAGTGATGTCGAGGGCGCGACTTATGGCGATGTTGTCGCGAACGGCATTACGAGTGTAGAGTGGAAGGAAGTTCAGGGGGAGCAGGTGAGAGTTATCTTTACGCCGAAGGTGGGCAGTAAGGTTAGAATTGCGGAATTCAAGGTGTACTGAATAGGGTTATTTTGATGGAGGCAACTGCTAGGTTTATATGGCTGCTGAATGATATCACTTGATTCTAAATGGTGACACCGAGCAACATGAGATACATTAGAAATGCGTGTATGTGGATTTAGAGATCCGTAATGATAAGTTTGTTCCAAGGAACATGGGGTATGTACTATTAACGCCAATGAGGAGACCACACATCAATGTGTCTGTATTCAACTCCTCCCCGGGCCCAGTCCACCAGCCCACCAACCAGAGTCAACCCAATATCTATTCTCTGCATTCGCCGTCTCCACCGACCTTACAAGCTTCCTCCGATCAAGGTGCAAATCTGCATGCCCATTCGTCAATTCGCCCGGTGTACGCCTTCCGCTCTTCTCTTTCCGCGGACTAGCCTGCATATCTTCAGCAGCGATTTCAGTATCAGACGTAGATACTGGTGATGCAGATCGAGGAGTTGAAGAAGTAGGCGAGGGAGTACTGTCAGGAGAGTAAATAGTTGGTATGGCACCCAAAATTCGACCAGCAGCGAAGACGCAACCACCGATTGCGTGTCTGATGAGAGAATCACCAGTAAGACTACCAATTATGAAGACGTCTCTAGCTACTTCGAGGGACGTAGCTTCGGCTTTGGCGCGGAATGTTCGGCCTGAGATCAGATGCGCGGAAGATGGGCCGGAACTCATTTGGTCGGGCGAAGCTAGAATCTCAGCGCATAGTTCTTGGGACAGAAAATCCAAGGTTCCGCGTCGGCCAACAACATAAGCTAGACCGCCTACTTCGTGGGTGACGGTTTCTCCTGACGGCAGTTGTAGTACTATGGTTGCTACATTCCCGGACACAGATGCGCTGACAACCTCGGCATTGGGCAGGCCTTCGTAGAGCGTCCAGTCGCGTTGTTGAAATGGATTCGACTTGCGCCGTACAGAAGGAGATTTTGCATTCTTCTTCTTGGATGTAATCGCTGCAAGCTTCATTTGGCGGTAAACGGTCGCATACTCTGGGTAAGCGGTGTGGTGGCAGCCTCGTAATGGGGACGGCCTCTTTTCGGGGGCCCATTGAAAGACGTGTAGGATCCTACGAGTAGGCGGCGCAGATATGATAACATCGGCCGCAGAGAATCCGGATCCAATAACGAGTAGTGGCGCTTGTTGCGAATCCATCTGTGCGATGGGCGCAAGGTGAAGTGGAGGCGGGATGTTAACTGTAAAGATGCCAGACGCAAGCACGAGATGCTTGCACCGAATCCCAAGACTTCCGATGGAAAAGCCGCGCACCGTTCGATGCACATGCTCGACCTTCAGCCCCGTGTATATGCTATCGGCTATGCCCACCGCCTCCGGGTATGTCCTTAGGTAGTCGGCAACCTCGACCCTCGAAGGCCGCACGAACTCGGCTTCGTCTCCTCTTCCGCTCTTAGCCAAGTGGTCTGCGTACGAATAGCCAGGGAGGCTCAACTGTTCCGCATAGCTCAACGTGCCAATGTCTGCGCTTGCAGAGACGGGATTCTCTGCCCATTGCCCACCTGCATGGGCTGTTTCCCCAATCGCAACATGTGGAATAGCCTTCTCAGGCTCGTACCGCCACTCGATGCAGGACTTGGGGTTCAGCTCGGTATCAGCATTGGGTCGGACGAGAGTGTCGAGCAGCGTGTTGACCGGCAGCGCTTGGGTCGAGTAGCGTAGAGACGACAGGAAATGCGCGTAGAGATCCGGTGTTAGGTGGAGCAGATTGGGTGATTTCTGCAGTTTCGCGTCGAGAATCGCGTCATGATGGCCGCCGACGTAGTATGGGATATGGCCGTGTAGGATGTAGGAGAGGACGAGCGCTGATGGCCCGTTGCCTGTAATTTGTAATCAGCATCTTGCTTGCGCGCGCATGTTATCCCCGTCACGTACCAATGATCAACGTGTCGACGCATTTTGGAAGCGAGCGAGCCATGGACTTTTGCAGCAGAATGCCATGAGGAAGTCAAAGTCAGCATGGACGGGAGGAAGGGCGGAACGGGGCTGGTCAATAGTGTATGTCTTCAACATGACGGCCTCTTTTAATTCTTCGGCGCTAGAAGCGGTCCCTGTTCCGCCGCGGTGGGGGTCGGGTCTCGCCTTCCACATTCGAGGGGTTGATTGCGAAGATGGTCGGCTCGTCGCTGACCAAGCTAATCGACGTGCCGTGAAATGTTGACGATTCAGGCACCGTGTAGATTGCGTGATCGCTGCAGGTGAGAGACGCGTGAGATGCACGAGGTCATGACATGTCCGCGGGGGCTGCATGAGGTCACAGCCTTGCGCTCAAGTGCGGGGCATGGCAAGGTAGAAGAACATTAAACTATAAATCCAAATCATAGTCAACCATGGTATCTCTTCCTAAATATCGCGCTCCAAGCCGCCCTGTAAATTTCGAGCTCTCCGACTCTGCGCAACAAGAAAGAGCATGTACACTTTGTGATTTCAAAGCATCAGCGTTACCCGTTGGGTCCAAAGGGAGAAATCGGGCCTGTCAAACGTTACCCCACATCATCCTGTCCGGGTCTGGTCCGCCGCGCGATCCTCCATCGCAAGATTCCTAGTATCTATACGTGACGGTATTACGTTCAGCGACGGGCGAAACGTCGTGGGCCTGTTGCTGAGGCACGTTGAGATCAGGCGTCCGTGGGCGTTCAATGCGCGGTCGCATGTGTTCGTCTTCTTCCTGAATCGGTGGTTGCGCACCGTGCATGGTCAAGTTGTTTGCAGAGCTCTCTTGCCGACCCAGATACGACGGAGTTGATTGAAAGCCTGGATGGTAAGGATCTGGTGGGCCACCATAATCGTTGGCCGATGACGAGTTCTGGTGCGCTGGAGGTGTGTATGTAGTCGTATAGTGATCAGCGAACGGGTTCTCTTCTTGTGCGCTCGGTTGTGTACGATTCGGTGCGGCCTGCAGTGACGGAGGAAGATTGTTTTCGTCGCTTCCATAGTTGGTAGATGTTGTGCCAGCCGGTTGGGTGGGCTGCATCGTTCCAAAGTTCATGGAGGGTATCGAAGGCGCATCGCTGTGTGTAGGCACACCAGCTGGACTAGTGTTACCATTTGGCGGCGGCGGCGGCATGGCGTTTCCATTCTGCACTGGTGGAGACGGCGAGGCACCCATGAACCGACGGGCCTGGAGGATGGCGCGCTGATGCTTGGAAGCAGCGAGGGAGAGCTGCTCGTTGGTTTCGATCAACGTGAGCATAGTATCATCGTCGGGTGCCGGATTGTCGCATGCGATGTAGCCGTGTATGCTACGCTGGGCGGTCGTGCAGCGCTCAGCGAACTCCTTGACCAGTTCGTTACCAAGTAGTTCATTTGCTGGTGTGGACTGGACAAGCTGTAAGAGAAGCTTGGCCGATGTGCGCGCTTCCTCAATGCGACCTGCAAGCTCTGCTGGTGGCGGCAATGTCTTAGACGACGACCTGTGCCCTGAACTGAAGCCGCCCTGTACGTTCTGGGACCCTGACCAACCTGGCGCATTGAGCTTCCGGGGGCCGAACTGCTTTGCGGCAACAGCCATAAGGCCCTTCTCCTTCTTGTACATGGTGAACAGCGTGTTTAGGTTGGTGTCATATCCCTTTTCTCGCTCCATGGAATCCAGCGTCTCCTTGACAATCTGCGCTACACTTGGGTCTTGACCATTGCGGAGTAGGTACTTGACTGTATCGGCGAACTGCTTGTCGAGGTTCTTGGTAAAAGAAGGGCCCGGATTGTCGGCCAAGATTCTGATGAGCATAATGGCATTGTACTGGACATGAGGGCGGGCGTAGTTTTCTTTGGAGAGGAAGATGCGGATCTGTCTGGCGGCGGCTGATGCAGCGCTCGGGCTTGCGACGGCGGACTCGACGATGGTAGGCAGGTGGAGGACTTCTTCGCCCTGGAAAGGTCAGTAGGGCGGCATGATTCTGTGGGCAAATACCGTACCGAGTTGGCGGCACCAGACTCGCAGAAGAGCATCTGCTCGCTATTAGCTGCTGCGAAGATGCGACGAGGCGGTATAACCTACCACTCCCCTGGTGGCATTGGCCTCGGGCGTGTCAGCATTTGGATCGATATTGACATCCTGGGCTGTATGCGCTGGATGCGTTAGAGTGTACCAGACCAAAGTGCATGGCGGGACTCACAAGACCGTTTGCGCATCAAGCTGCCAAAGTTGAGGCGCTTCTTGAGCTCCATGTCTGCTGCTACGGGCGGAGCGGTTCCGCAATGTTAAACGGTCGCAGGAGCGTTTGAAGTGACTGCGCAAAAACAAAGCGCAGAACCGCACGAAACACGAGATGGCTCCGAGTCTGTGAGTCTTGGTGGAAAGGAGAGAGATGGTGGGATCGCGGTATAGATCGAGGCCTCCAGCGCTCCTTCCTCGCGCGGACGGTTACCTAGGTAGGGCTGCGCCTCTTGCTGCCAAGCCATGACAACTTCGCGAACACACGTACAGCCAACGTAAACAACCGCGTACAACGTGTGGCGACGCTGCATCCATCGCTGTACTGCACCACCATGTCCTTCCCCCACACGGCACCATCTACGCGTCCTGGATGGCGGAGGGTGTGCCAAGATAGGCCATCGGCCTTTTGCTGCAGACCCACGGCCCGGTAGTCTGCTTTTTAATCGGACCCTTTCCGTGCATCCACACTGATTCCACAGCTGCTGGAGACCAGTCTCCTACTAAGCATCCTAGGATACGTCAAGACAGTCGTAGCACATGACCGGGTACCTGCTTATGGTGCGCCCGCGTGATACCACGGTTCGTCTTCTCGACCGGTGGCGGCAAGATGCAGATGGCGGTTGACTATACACAACCATCAAAGCTAGTCTGGCAGTTGTTGTCGTCGTCGTCTTCTTTGTCGCCGAGAGGTGTGACGATGACATAGCCTGAGCACAGTACCGATCTATCCGTGCTAACACTACGTTGCGAGACACGTCAAACGTCACGACCCAGCCTAATTCTTCAGTAATGCCCCATCTTCCACCTCACCATCTCCAAAGTCTGGCACAGCCAAGTAAAGGCTTCCGTCAACAGACGGGGTCAGCGACATGTTATTCAGGTTCAAGAATACCATCAACCTGTCACGGGCACCTACAGATATCAGAGACTCACACTGTAGTCGCTTGGCTGTGGTTGCGTGCGTCACTCTGCTCTCATCGGCGCTAAGCAAGCTACCATTCGCTGCCACCACCTATGACTATGCCCGCAACCTGTTAGTGTTAGAGACTGCGATTATCGTCTCTGAGTTGTCCCTACCTATTCGAGGCGATGCGATGCGGCGACAAGGTTCAAGGATCGACGCTTCCTCGGCAAGCGATCATTCCTACAGGATGCCGCAGCTACGGCTTGGCTAGACGTCATTCTTCATGCGCACTTGGTCCATTCGTGAGACACCTCGACAGCCACTCACCTTGCCTTGGTCAAGTGCCAGGCACAAAGTATATGACCTCAAACCATGGTCCTCGCCTCCCACCGTCCCGTGCAATACACCCACCTCCTGACCTCACCACTTTCATAGGCACCAGCGTCTTTGTTCAACATCACCTACAAAATGGCGCCCGAACCCGCTTCCGCCATGGCTGGCCAGGCTCGTATGCGTGTCGAAGAAACTGAACAAGAGCACATTACCAGAGAGAACTCGGGTTTTGCCGCATTTGAAGCAGATATGCCTAAACTCGCCAACCGATTCAGCTTTTCCCTCAAGGACAACCTTTCCTCCTACCTTGGTCGCAAGAACCCTTTCTTCACCAACGTAAACCCAGACACCGACTATGTATGGATTCTGGATACGACTGCCTACCAGAATCGCTTAGGAAGGTGGAAGGCGGAACTTGTTGCTGCCTACTTTGTCAAGAATAGCGGCAAGGACATCTCCCAGCTCGTTGCATGGGTCAGCGAGAAAATCGGCCTTGCAGACGACGAACAGGCTAGAGCAACAGTCGCCCAGAGGCTCCAGCCCTTTGCGGACGCAATTCTTCCAGCGCACGCTGTTGAAATTGACCTCAATGGTCTCAAAACCAGATTAGGACCCAGCGGCCGCGACGGTATCAGCTCAGACGAGTTGGCCATTCCCGGAACCGATTATAAGGACGGCCAGGTCAACAAGTTCCAGGCCGTCAATGCTGAGGCGACGTCATTCAATATTACCTTCGCAAAACCCAAGGGATGGGCCGTCCTTTCCGATATCGACGATACAATCAAGAAGACCCTGACATCGTCACCTGTCGGTATCTTGACCACCACATTCGCAGAGCAGCCAGAGCCGATCAAGGGCATGCCGGAGTTGTATAGGCATATGGCGCAAAAGCTCGACAATCCGCCCTTCTGGTATCTCTCCGCATCCCCATACAACCTCTACCCGTTCTTGCGCAACTTCCGCGAGCAATACTACCCCAATGGTACCATGATCTTACGCGACGCTAGCTGGATGAACTTGGCTGGCTTCCTCGCAAACTTGACGCAAGGTACCCAAGCTTACAAGGTTGACCGCATTGAAAAGGTTCATGGCTGGTTTCCCAAGCGGAAGTTCATCCTTATCGGTGACTCGACCCAAACAGACCCTGAATCGTATGGCGAAGCGTACCGCAAGTTTGGCAAGAGCTGGATCGGTGCTATCTACATTCGTAAGGTAACGGGCGTTGCGGAAATGGACGAAGGCAAAAAGAATTGCCCAGAAAGATTCGAGAAGGCCTTCAAGGGTGTTCCCAAGGAGGTCTGGTACGTCTTTGAGGAAGCACAGGAACTGTACGCGAAGATCGATGCTTTGCCTAAGATCGAATAAGAGGCGAATGCTTCAGTGTATGACGAGCAAGTTTCAGTTTGAAGGATAATCGAGGAGCTTTTGGCGCATCTCGTTTTGCATGGTACCTGGCCAGCTGGCTATTTTGATACATGCAGGGACATACCACGGAGTACGGAGTACAATTTCATTTTTCCCTTTTTCCATAGTCAAACAACGCGATACCCAATATTTTCCCAATCTCATTTCTCTTGCCTCTTAATCCTGCTAGCCATTGTCTATAACATGTGCTATCATAAACATGTGCATGGCCGGTGATTTCACTGTTTTCTCCACTGCCCTCTTTCGTTTTGCATTGAAGTGCGGCATGTTTGGCAACATTCACATCTTCACATCTTTATCAAACATGAGCAACATTTCACAACACCAACATTGTACGCCACAGAGATACTCGGTCACGCGTGATCCCGACGTCAGAAATTGGAAGCGTACCTATACTGCAGTTCCTACCCTCCGCAATAGTCATACTCCCGCCTGCCTGATCGCCAAACATGGTAGCCGGTCAGCTACAAGAACCCGGACCAATGCCTCTGTACGTTCTTCTCGTTCTCGTTATTGGTATATGTTTCTACTTCTTCTTCATAGGTACCGCTGCAGTCAGGCTTTGGTTCTATAAGGGCGCTCTCGGTCCTGCGCCAGAGAAGTTCCTCGTCGTCAAGATCGAGCATGAGGATGCACAGCAACATGCTCCGATGGCCGACAACCACAGCGGAGCCGGCACACACAGCAACGCCATGAAGCACCGACGCATGACCGTCTTCACACATGCCTCATTATCAGCACTATCTGACGACACCGCTCATACTACCGCGCTCGAACCACATGGTTTCTCACAAGCAACGACGATGGTGAATCTCCAAGATATCGATGAGGAAGACCTATCCTCATTCACAAATCCTGGAACCCGCGCCTATATAGCAGAAGAATGCCGCCTGTCCCGCATGCCTGCCTTTGACGCAGATGACTGCGGAAACGGCGACTACTTCCCTGACCTCCCTTACACAAACAACCCTATCGAATCTACTTCTGCTTGCTCCGACTATCTCCAACCCTCACAACTAGGGCTTACCTCAACGGACTGGCGCGACTGGCTAGCCATTGATGAACATTACATTGAGTACCACGCCGCGCGCACTCACCTCCTATCGCGCAACCGATCATCTTGTATACACCTCACTCCCGACAGCGAATCCGCGTGTCGCGAGCTGCTGCAAGAAATTGCCTCCTACCTCGTCGAACAGCACCCTAACAAATTCAGCTTCAAGACTAAACATCGTAGGAAGCATATTCTGAATGAACTGACGAGAGAAGATTTCGAATTAGAGGGTGGGTTGGAGGCACATCCATTGGAGGTTGTAGCGAGACTGTGCGGAGAAGATTTTATGATCTGGGAGAGAAGTGAGAGTACTAGGATGTGGTACTTGCAAGCCAGTACAACGCTCTTCCCATCCGGGTACATCATAACGTCCTACATGGGAAAACCAGTCAATGTCATGGTTCGTGGTGATGAAAACGGGAGACTGCCAATGTTGCCTTGGTCCAGTAAGTTTCATATCTTTCCATCGCCCACATTAGACTGACGTTCTCAGCTTTGCCATCCATATTAACCCTCGACCTTCCTACATTGTCCCGATACTCCCACACCGGTCCTCTATCCCTCCACCAAATTTTCATTCAAACCCGTCCTCCTCGATGCTCTCTAGCCTCCACACTCCACATTCTCCGGCCCATGGATTTCTTTGCCGGAAACATAGCAAATCTTCACCCTTCTGAGCTACTCGTTCGTACCGAGACGCAAATGTTTGCGCGTCTACCTAAATCGGGTGCTGTGATTGTAACAACACGGACGAGTACTGAGACAATAAGCGACATGGTTGAAAGAATGAATGTGTGGGAGAAAGAAACCTTTCTGAAGACAGTGAACGGGTGGGGACCTGAGGAAGCGAGGTTCAAGGGGAGAGAGTTGTGGATTGGGGTTGTGGAACGGTGTTTGAAAGGTTAGTGTCTAGGCTCTTGTTTTAAATACTAGAGCCTCGACTTTTACGGCTTGCTGACAGATTTTAACAGGTCAGAGTGCGTTCAGGGATGATATGACGGTTTGTAGTAGACTGTCGGCTATGTAAACAATCAGGTGAGCGATTCATGAATAATGCAATATATTGGAAATCTTGGAGTACGAGCACGGATATTTCGCAATCGCACTGGAATGCGCCCAGATGGTGGTTGTAGCTTTTTTCAATACTAACGTCTAGGTGGTGGTATAGAATACACAGCCACCCGTTCGCTACCGTACAACGACGACAAGGGAGCACGAAAATACTTTTCTCACTTCAATGTACTTCACTATTCTTTAACTCAATTATATCAAGATGGTTAATACTACCTCACTCAGTGTGGTAGCAGCCACGCTCAACGCTGCCAACATACCTACCTTCACACGTATCGTGACTACCACCATGGTTACTCCCACACTCGCTACAGTAATATCCACCACTTCGTCGACAAAAACCACTATATTCCCCACCAGCACTATCCCCACAACCCTCGGTAGTCTCCAAACTTTCCCATCCGAGCACATTCAAAATACACAAGGCGACTGTCGCCCTCAAGCTCCAGGCTACGGCCCTGTCCCAGAAGAAGACAACGTGTCGTCCTTCTACACGTCTCCATTAATTCGCACTCCAGCTCTAGAGGCTACCACACCCCATGGCTATACCCTCGCCTTTTGTGGGGCGAATGCATCATATGTCGGCACGAACTACCTTGGATATCACGAACTGGAAGCATACAGTCCAACCGAGTGTGCGAGTAGATGTCTCATGTGGGGGAGATCTAACCTAGACGGCGAGCCAGAAGTTTCATCGACCACTCTGTTCCCAAACGGATTCGACTACTCCGCTACACCTACCAGCACACCCACGTTACGTGCGCAGATGTGCAACAGCTTCAATATCTATTTTGAGCGCTCCCCATCTATTAATCTGGGAGAAGAGTGTCAGGACGCGAATAGTCGCACTATCGTTAAATGTGCACTTTGGGGCGAGGGAAATATGCGCGAAGAGTGTGCGACAAATACAGGCTACAAGAACTGGAAATTCGAAATTGTTATTGCGGGGAGCAACGGCTATGTTTTGGGTATGGGGAAGGAAAAGAGCAATGAGGAGAATTCAAAGACTTCTGAGGGTGAGAAGAGTGTCAAGGTGGATATGGTTGCAGCGTTCATGAATAGGTTTGTGGTGGGTGCTGCGCTGGCTTCCTTAATAGTGGTGCATATGGAATTTTGAGCTTGAACCATAGGTACCTAGCTGTTCCTACGTGACTTCTCCATAGTATCCAGAATAGACAGTGTGGCAAGACTTACCTCATGTCGCCTTGATTTCCTAGTACATCGTTCGTGTAGGGTTTTTGGTATCGTTTGTGTCGCGGAAGTTGCGAACGTTTGAGGTTATGTCCACTCTCTGCCTAGGTAGATATGCTCGGTGCAACACCACAAGGGTATATTTGATCGGTGATGGGTTATCGCAAGTAAATTCATCATATGCAGAACTGTTTGGAGTCATCGCTGTTGTAGTCTTGAACTTGCGTCACCTGTACGACTTCCAGCTACTGCTATAGATATCTTTAATCTCTTCCAAACTTTTCCATCATTCTACGTCAGTCGATAGAAAGGCCACTACTGTGAAACTTTTACAGCGGTGCTGTTTTAATGCTGACAGGTCAAAAAGAAGCGCGTCAACGCTTTTGACTTAGACATGCTTGCAACGATTACCTTGATTAAGAATGCAAACATAATCTTATCGGAAGTTTCGCTGGAGCTTTGTCAGGGCATTGCAAAGGCAAAAAAAGAAGACTGAGTCTTTTGTGTGTGCCCACTACCCGAATCGCTTAATTTGAGTCAGTGTCTGGCTCGTACGCAATTCGAACGCAGACAAACTTACAACGAGTGATCTTCGCATTACAAGTGCGACGCCTTACCGCTTGCTGTAAATGTTTTTAGCAGGCGTTACTCGGATCACGCTGTGGTAAACTTACGCCAAGCGGGCGATGATATGCCTGTCATGAGAAAAATCTCGATTTTGGACGTATATCTTCTTGGCTATCAAGATTCCGAGACCCGCAAGCTCGCAAATACTGCGCATTGTTGTCAAGCATGTAATTGGTGCGGGGCTTTACCCTGACTAGTTTCCTGTGTCAAGGGATTGCAAGAGTACCCCACGATTGGTAGTGCTCTGTGGCAACGGCCGGGGTTTCCAAGGTCAGCCTCACCCTTGTCCCGCGGTTAGTTGGAGGGAAAGCTCCGACCATCGCTACATCATCGCAGCAAAGGCCAAGCAACACGTACACCAATACTTTCACCCTACGTCCCACTGTCATCTCACAGTCCTTTCCGATGATATATATCACTCGTCCACGTTGAGATATAATCTTACACAACCGAACCTCTCGACCGAAAATAAAGTTGGTGGCGGAGCCAACATGGCGGATACGGACATCGCATCTCTCACAGCCGACCAGCAAGCCGCGCTTCAACAATACACCGCTGTTACCGACCAAGCGACATCTGATGCGATACCGATACTCCAACGCGCGCAATGGAATGTCAATATAGCGGTCACGCGCTTCTTCGACGGCGAACCGACCGAAGACCCAGTGGCTGCTGCTGCCGCCCAACTACCACCGCCCCAAGACGTCCGCCGACAAGAGACACTACTAAACGGTTTTGCCTCACCACGATCATCTACAAGTAGTGGGAGGAGAGTGAGGATAGAACCTGCTCCGAGGGTGGTCCCACAGCCAGAAAGCCAAGTCAGTACACAAGTTCCGCTAGTACTGGCTATATTCTTTGCGCCATTCTCGCTCGTGTACTCCCTATTTGCGAAATCCTTCCGGTTGTTAGGATGGATCTTTCCCTTCCTCCCGCGCGCATGGGGGAGGGTTACAGCTAGCAACATCAACACACCTGCCTCTCAGCGCAGCGCGAGCGGGCGCCGACCTTTGAACCCACGAGACACAGCGGCGCGTTTCATCCGCGAGTTCGAGGAGGAATATGGAAGTCACAACCTGCCGTTCTTCGAGAGCGGATACGCCCAAGCTTTTGATCTAGCGAAGAAGAACCTACAGTTCTTAATGGTGGTGCTGGTCAGCCCAGAGCATGATGAAACATCATCCTTTGTACGGGATACACTTCTTTCGCCAGAGGTCGTGGAGTTCGTACGAAACCCCGAGAACAACATCATACTTTGGGCTGGCAACGTGCAAGATTCCGAGGCATATCAAGTTTCCGCCGCCCTGTCGTGCACCAAATTCCCGTTCACGGGTCTCATTGTACATACACCCCAAGTTTCGTCAACAGCTATGGGGATTGCCGCGCGTGTAGCTGGTCCTACGCCCCCACAACAATACATTGCCAAGCTACGACAGGCAATGCAGCAACACATAGAGCCGCTCAATCGCGTGCGTAGTCAGCGCGCGGAACAACAAGCGACACGAAACATCCGAGAACAACAAAATAGCGCATATGAACGCTCACTCGCAGCTGACCGAGAGAAAGCTCGCAAGAAGAAGGAGGAAGCAGAGCGCAAAGCTCGAGAAGAAAAGGAAGCACTCGAACGCGAACAAGCCATCGAACGATACGCACAAAATCTCGCGCAATGGAGGCAATGGCGCGCTGCATCTATACGCTCTGAGCCCGAGCCTGAGGAAAAGGACATCGTGCGCATCAGTCTTCGTATGCCGAATGCAGAGCGCGTGGTTCGCAAGTTCGCTGCAGATGCACAGATCGAGGAACTCTATGCATTCGTCGAATGCTACGATATCCTGCAATCTGAGGTAGGTGTACAGGAGAACATAGAGAAACCAACAGATTTCGAGCATGAGTACAAGTTCCAACTCGTTAGCCCTATGCCGCGCGAGGTATATGAGCTCAAGACTGGTGGTACGATTAAAGAGCGTATCGGACGGAGCGGTAATCTGATTGTTGAGCGGACCGATCTAGAAGATGAAGAGGAAGACGACGAGCAGTAATCGCATGAAGATGAGCATTGGACTGGCGTTACAATATCTACTCGACTTAGCGTGGGACGTGGATATCCACTTAGGTTCTCGATACGACGTTTACGTTGACCATGAATGTAAGAATGTATGTATAACGTTATACATGACTTTCTCTATTTTCAGTGCTTCGGCCGTTCCTTGATCCATGTAACTCAGTATATGCTTGCCAAGATCGTCGATACCACAGCCACAATTCCGTGTTCCGGATATTTGAGTCGCACAGCCTACGGCAGCTTCGGGAGCACAGACCATGTTTTAGCGTGAAGGCAGACTGCCCGATTTCGTCACGCATCCTAAGCTTTTGATCGTCCACTGTCATCACGTTCCCTAAACAAACCACCGATATGATCCTCGCAGCGACAAGATAACATGGAAAGAGCTAAGACTCGCAAGCCCCATAAGAAGTCGCGAAACGGCTGCTTACCATGCAAAGGCCGCCATGTCAAAGTGCGCCTTCCCATTCGAATCTTGAATTCTACATACGACTGACCATCTTCAAGTGCGACGAGCAAAAGCCAAATTGCGCAAACTGCGTAAAGCAAGGCACCGTGTGTGAATATCGACCATCCACGGGCCAAGAGAGTCGTGAGGCTTCGAACGTGTCGCCTTTACCGATTGGAACGCCAGCTTTTACGCCATCATCCACAGATGGCACTTCCGGTTTTCTTGACCAACAACCACTACCAGATTTTGGATCCATCACTATCAATGGCGCTTCCAGTCAACCAGATTTGGCATTGAATATACCCCAACTACGATTGCTCCAGTACGTACTCTCATGTGTGATTGAGTCTCTCAGTACATGACTGTGGTTCCATGGTCTGGTATGATCTCAACGAGCAACAGAACTTTTTTATCGATGTACAAGAAAGACACCTAGAAGCGTAAGCTAATTGCGTGGGTAGTCACTACACGACCGTCACAGCCAAAAGTCTCGCAGCGCATACTGACGCCGAGGACGTATTTACAACTACTTTGATACAGATTGCATTCGATCATCCATATCTTCTCCAAGCGGCTCTTGCACTCAGTGCGTTACACTTGAGCCGAACTGCAGGACCAGAAGAGGCCCAACAATACTCGTACCAAGCTGAGAAATACCATGAAGCGTCTCTGCTCAACTTCCAGACAATGGTTCGCGATATCGATCCTTCGAACTTTAAAGCAGTCCTATTGTTTGCCGGCACGCTGTTCCCGCATGCGTGTGTCGCTTCACTTGCAATCCACAATGATTTGGATCATGTGTTCGACAGCGTTCTTTCCAATCTCGTCCTGACTCGGAGAATTAGACCCATGGTAACAGGGGTCTATGAACAGATGAAGGAGAGTGAATTAGGTCGTGTGATTCCAGACGACGTCAAGAATATCAATTGGCAGACCGAAGAGCAACCACCCAATACTGAGCTCGTACAGCTCCGCAAGTTCTCCGAGGTCGTCCATCACGTTTACCCTCCCGACATTGTCGATGCATATGGATATGCCTGTCATATCCTCGAGCTCGTATTCCAGGTTGCAGAGAAATCTACGAAGCCGCCTTCCGACGCTTTGTTGAAGATATGGATACATCTTGTCTCGGACCGCTATATCGAGCTCTTATCGGAGAGGCAACCAGGATCTTTGATCATCTTTGCACACTTTGCTGTCATCATGCATAGAGCAGCAGAGAACTACTGGTATCTGGAAGGAGTCGCGGAGCAGATACTTCTCATTGCAGATCACATGGTCCCTAGTGAATGGAAGTCGTGGTTGCAGTGGCCGAAGGAGCAGATTCGTGGTGCCTCCGTACCGCCGACGCCATATTCAGGGCATACGACATGAAGCCTGAAATTGATGCGGGCTTCTACCGCCCCTCAACGTCATGCCCTCGAACTGCAGATACCTCCAGCCTGCTTTGAAGTGAGCCCTTGGTTCATGAAACAGGCCGTTCGATGCGGCAATGCTGCCCATTGCGGAGACACTGGACCGTAATTTTGCTTGACGGTTACCAACAGACGTGCAGCTATTGCATCGAAACAATATCTTAACACCAAATCGGCATTGTTTGTTCCTCTTGTCAAACTGCTTTGGGAAATGCTTGCGAGGAGTGCTTGGTAGGCTTGATAAAGTCTTAAGTCGTAAGTGAAAGCGGCCTAGCTCAAGTACCCACCCACTTACTTACTATGCAGACCACCGTTATCGACAATAATCGATCGACTTGAAAGAATCATACCCTGATCCAGGTACATTGAGGAGGAGGCTGTGCGAAACGAGCGAGGCAGACAGCTTTTCTATCTGCACCGACTACGAGAAGCGTAACGACGTATTCTGGACGCGACACTGAAGACTTTTGTCCTGCTACTCCGTGTTTGATGCTACTATACGCGGACAGCTAATGTATGAGTTCGAGCCATCACCCAAAGAATGATAGAAAAGAGTGGAGCCGAGTATTCACAGAGCAATGCGATTGGCGCGTCGTATCCGAGGACGCTAGTCGTATGCACAGACCGCACGCCTCCTTCCCTGAGGCATCTACATATCCCAACGGGCGGCGGGAAGGGGTTGCTCGGGCAATCTATGTACGGGTCTAGAGGATCTATGTACGAGATACGGCTAGGTGGGCTGTGCCCCACAAGTATCCGTTGCGACTTCTATACATAAAGACCATGCCATTTATTTCTCCATCAGCCAACCCCAGTTAAAACACCACTACTTCAACGGTGTACCACCTCAAAAACTACTCATACCATCTAGTTCAGTACTTGTCTCTCTGATCTGGTTCTGTTATATCAGACGGGCTCTTACCGCTGACGCCTACCGCGTACACCTAATCCCCACCACAAGATGTCGACACCAGCAGATGACTCCTCAGCGGTGCCAGAGTATGTGCTCTGGCCGTACACCCCCACCATCGCAGCCGGTGCCATCGCCGCTGTCGTTATGTTCATACTGTTCTTCATTCACACATTCCGCCTCGTCAAGAATAAGACATGGTTTTGTATACCGTTCGTCATTGGAGCTCTGGTACGTACTTTGCTACCCAATTTTTCCCAGCTTCTACACATGAACATACTTGAATAGATAACAAGGTGCTAACATCCGCCCTAGTGTGAAGCTATAGGTTACTCTGCTCGTGCCGCAGCCCACAACGATACCGAAGGCAAAACACCGTACATCATCCAGTCTACACTCATTCTCCTGGCGCCCATCCTCTTCGCCGCTTCCATCTACATGATTCTCGGTCGTCTTATCCGACGTACGGACTCTGCTGAGTACTCTCTGATACGGGTCAACTGGTTGACCAAGATCTTCGTTGGCGGCGACATTCTGTGCTTGTACGTCCCTACATATTGTTCACAATTTGTATGAACAACCATATTAACCTGGATCCTAGCTTAATTCAAGCCGGTGGTGCTGGTATGCTCGTCTCAGCCAATGACAAAGACGGTTTCAAGCGCGGCGAGAACATCATCCTCGGTGGACTGATCCTTCAAATCCTTATCTTCGGCTTCTTCGTCGTCGTAGCGAGTATCTGGCACGTACGACTCCAAAAGGGACCTACAGCTTCATCCGCGGATATCCCGTGGACGAAGCTGATCTGGTTCTTGTATGCGGCTAGTGTCTGTATCACTATCCGTAACCTTTGCAGGGTTATTGAATACGCTATGGGAAAGGTACGCTCCACTTCCGCTTCTTGTGCATTTGGACAGATTGCTAACAGAGCATAGGATGGTTACCTACTTTCGCACGAATGGCCCATCTACGTCTACGACTTCCTGCCTATGATGATCACGCTTGTCGTATGCATCTGGTGGTACGACCCGAACATCAAGCCGCGTCCCAAGACCGACATCGAGTTCGCCCGCCGATAGGTTGGTCGACGGTATATGAGAGCAGGAGGCCGGCCCAAGGGAAGCCTGATAATAGAAATGGAAATGTACCTACTGGTACAGCATGTTTGTTTTCTTTGTGTAGCGTTCAGGTTTATGCGTTTTGAATATGGGAAGAGTGCTTCGAAAGCAGTAGCTCATGGAGACATCATGACAAGGATCGTCGTAGATACCTTATATAGCTTATGCGGATCTTTTTGGATCTGACGCTTTGCCCGTTGCCATCTCCGTCGTGCTTTTATGTTGTTATTGCTTTACTAATGAACTGACTTTGGACATCTGGCTTTGCTCGTATTGGAGGCACTCAAGAAACATCAACCACTCAGTCTTAAAGTTGGGTTTAGCCATATATCTTCTTGGTGACGCTATCCACATCCAGACTACTCGCGGAATCAAGTCATGGGTACTTCACACCTGTCTCTTATACCGCCCTTTCTCTCCACATTACTTAAACCTCATGAACTCCAAGTCCTCTACTCTTGCCTTTCTCGTGCATCGTCAACCGCCTTGTCCCAATTATAGAACTTCATGTAAATACCCTCCGTTATCGTAATGCAGCTCGAGCCTACCGCACACCCAGTCCAAAGTCCCACCAACTTCATATCCTGTTTGAAACAAAGGAAAAGTGCCAACGGCACAGCAATAACATAATAAACAAAAAGGTTACACCACCCTCCAATATTTTGCTTGCCCAAGCCGCGGAGAAGTGCATTTACTAGTGCAGTGGTGGAGTCGGCGAATTGGAAAGCGGCAAGCAGAGGTAGTACGGTGGCTACTATGCTGACGACTTCCGGATCGCTTGTAAATGCTTTGGGAAGGATATTTCGGCAAGCAGTCAAGAATGCAAAGTCAATGAGGCCGATGGCGAGGAAGGTCAACACGTAGGTTTTTGTGGCGGTACGGGCTGCGGAGAGGGAACCCGCGCCGATTAGGTTGCCCAAGCGTGTTGAAACAGCCACGCCGACAGAGAAAGGTACGTGGTAAATAGCTACTGCCAGTGTCATGACGCTTCTGATGTCAGTATTTTTTGATGCGTTAAAGAGGAGTAGTTCTTACATCGACTGCGCCGCCAAGTGGGCTGTGGAAAGATAGCTTGTCGAGAAAGTAAGAATGTCCTGTAGCAAAATTAGCATACAGTCGATATTCGCAGATACATGATCCAGAACTTACAAAAGCAAGCCACTCCGTCTCCACCATGACGATGCCTGGGACGGCCAATTTTGCCATGGGTCCCCAATTCGTAAAAGCAGCTTTGGTAAAGCCACCCCAACATTCCAGCGAAGATGGATTGACAAAGTACACGTAAATCCAGAGCAACAACGGTAAAAGGTTATTGGAAATGACAGTCGCAAGTGCAGCACCTGTAAGGTCCCAATCCAGAACAAAGACGAAAACATAGTTCAAAGCTATGTTAATGGGCGTTGCAATAAGCAAGACGAAAAGCGAAGCATTGAAAAGGCCTTGGGCTTGCGTAAACCGCTTGCCGGCTTCAAAGATGGCGTAGCCCGGTGCTCCGGCAAGAAGTAAAGAGAGGTAGTATCCAGCAAGATGCGCGATTGCTTTTTCCGGAACAAGGGCTGCGAGGATCCAGCCAGAACACAGCCAGATCGCTCCGATGGGAATGGTAACAGCCAGCATGAAGAGTATCATGCGCTGAAGATGGAGGCCCACCATGGTCTTCCTTCCGGAACCATAGGCCTGCGCGCAGAGGGTATCTAGCGATGTGGCCAGCCCTTCGTAGATTGCAAGTCCGGTGATGTTGGCGGTCATCGTAGCTAGAGATACTGCACCAAGCTCATCCGTCCCGACTATAGGGGGTGTCAATCAGCTTGCGTCCGAAAGTCTTTCTGTTCTGAGTACTTACTATGCCCCACGACAAATATGGTGACAAGACTGAACGAGTATTGCAGCAAGTACGTCCCCATAAGCGGAACGCTGTACTTCAGTAGCAACTTGGCTTCCTGTCCCGCCGTTGTTCCCAGCTCTTCTGTCGTCCCCTCTCCTCCCAGTAAACTCTCAATCTCTGAAGGATCAGGAATTGCGCCATATTGACGCTGCTTCGCCGCGTTGTCGTGCGATTTGAGTAAGCCGACGCGTTCAGCCGTACTCGTGGAAAACCTGCGCGCTTCTGGAGCGTCCATTGTGTTGTATGTAATGCCACCACCAGAGGTAAAGGGGAATGGAACAAATCCTAGCGCTAAAGACGAAATGTCATTATCGTATTCCAGGTGTTTGACTTCGTTGTACTTGTCGACTTTGTCTCGCTGCGGCTGCGATGTTAGAGTCGTCGGCTCGGGCTGCCAGAGTGGGGCGAGCAGCTGGGCCTCTGCCGTCAATGGCGTATCTCGGCGCATGGCGATATCGGGCAGCTTGCAGCGAAGCAGTAAAGCGTCGGAGGACTAACGAGGGGTGGGCATAGTCTTCCTGTGCCGTGTGGAGTTTCTGTGCGACAGATTGCCCTGATGCGGGAATGTTTGTCCAGAGTCTGCAGCTTTTCACGAGATTTTGTGGTGCAAGAGGGCACTGTCATGGCTCATTTCCCGCGCCAGCATGTTGTCAGGGTCTCCGCTGCTCTTGTTGCCATGTTTACTGCGAACTTTGCCTGCACCTACCATTCGCAACGGCGGGCCGTCGAGATAGTCTGGTAAGAGCGAGGCGGTCGGGCAGCTTGGGGTGCGTGGCGATGATCGTACCATCGTAACGCGCATCGGAAGTAATCCCATTGGCAAGGAATGGTTCGTGATTCAATCATCTCCGAGACACCCGGAATCGCGACGTTGCGCTACTGTCGAGTATGCATGGGAATTACCTCACTGAGCATACCCAGACATGCGCGAACTACCTGGCTAGAGATAGAGAAGACAGTTCGTCTGAATCTTATCGTTCGAGGCGCTCGCGTGTGCGATTGTCCTTGGAGCCTGGCAGATCTGCGTGTAGCTTTTCGTCAACAAACCACCTAGCACTCGTCGTCAGTGCATCCTCCATCGTCCTTACATCGATAGTGATATCTATCTTTATCAGTTTGAGCGTCGTGTACAACAGATGGTAATCTGTTGTCATTGTCCAGATCGGTGGTGGAGCACACCAAGGTAATGTAGAGCAGCGATGTCTCAAATGCGACCGGCACAGTAGCTCTGAATCGTTTGTGTCGCTGACAAGAACTAGATGTCAGCACAACGTTGATATAATAGGATACAAGCTGCAGCAAGCCACAAATCTTGGGGCCCATCGGCACAAGTGGTACGCCGTGCCCAGGAAAGCCATCCTGTACCCGGGTGTCCAAAGTCATCAACACATCTCATGTGAGTTCCGATCTTGGCTTGCGTCTCGGCACATTCTAGAATCTCCGTCACATCTTCAAGCACCCTCCCCGCAATTGTATCTCTAGAATGCGCGCTTCGACGTCCAAATTGTAGCTCACACAATCTGTCGTTCAGCATTTAGATCCAGCCTGTGTACCAGCACAAAGATAGCCTTTTTCCTCATCTCCGGTGTCAAGTTTATAATACAGCTCCGTATGTGTTTCGGATGATAGAATGCTTAGTGTTTCTATTTACTACATCTATTGCGCCTTAAGGGACCCATCTCGTATGTTCTAGATCCACAGCCCGCAATCTCTATCCCGCAGCTCCGTTTCTTAGTCTATACTCCACCGCTTAACGTGCCGGGACGCGATTTCCAGATCCGGAATAGCTAGATGCTTGTAGTCTTCGCATATGGATGTCAAATGGTGAACAGAAAACATGGATGTAATTGAATACAGACGAAGAAGGGCGAAACGAGTACAGTGCTGTTTGGTATTCGTAATGAAGACAAGAACAAATCTTGCCGTGAAAGAAATAATAGCTTACAATTCAAGACCCGGACAGCAGAAGACTTCTACGCTGTTTGCGCACCTGAACAGGAATGGCTACTATATGCCACTGAAACTCTCAGGACTTCACACTTCGTCGATCTTGATTCTTGTTGATGATAGTGGTAGGAGAACCAGAAAGTCTCCGTTTGTTTTCTGGTCCTCTCATTACATTGATATCTGATGCAGCGTTTCTTGCCGATCTTGAGGTAATCAACAAGCTACCAGGATAAGTGCACAGGGTCAAGGACTCTTTGAATATAACCTCGCATAGCTAAAAACATCTTTTATCTCTGTCTCGCACCTATATTGTTACCAAGAATCTTTGTACAACAATAGGTAACATCACTTCGAGCCTAGCGCTGTATGTCTCAACCACGCCTATACTATTAGCCATGTATCAATGCATTCGTACTACCTAGGAAACATTCACTCATTTCCACATGATACTCCAGCTCTTTTCGACCACGAAGATGCCCCGTATGCATTGCAAAGCAGCAAGGCGTACAAGTCGATCTTCATGTCGTATCGTGGCTTTCTCTCTAGGTACCTTGCAGACCAAAGAAGGTAACCCAAGCCTTCGTTCACTCATACGCTACATAATGACATTCTCCCGGTGGCACAATCCAACCCAACTACACACATGTCTTACATCCTACATCACCCCATCATCCTTATGTCCTCCCTCAATCCTTATTCCCACACCCGCTCATCCCACCCGCTCTATCCGAATTGGGGTCCCAACAAAAAGAATCACTAATCACTAACTCGCACGTACAACCCGCATAACTCATGCTATGCGCAATATGCCCTAGACATGAATCGTGAGTTCGCCTCAAGCATACAATGCACAACTCGCAAGAAGTAAGTAAACCGGTTGGCGTAGCGGACACAAGAGCCAAGTCCATCTACGTAATGACGTCCGTGTTCCGCGATGCCGCCGAGCATATCATTACATGAAGCTATGATCTGCCCAGTCCGCCGAGTCGTGAGCAAGCGCGGGGTGGGGGCAGAACTGACCGCACCAACAAGCGAACAGAGAGAGGCAAAATTGAGACTAAGGCCTATACGTAAATGGTATCCCGCCCTACCTACGCGTGCGGAGTGCTCTGTGCTGCCCCTCCATTCTCCCATCCGCCCGCTATTTGTTCCGCACCATAGACGGGATGATGGAATGGGAAGAAAAGCCCCAACCAATGCCCCGCGAATAGAGATTGCGTCAAGGGGTATCCTGTTCCGTGTGTCTCAATGAGCGGAAAGTATCGGCAACTGTTCATTCCGACCGCACAACTGCATTCATGGCGTGACATTTTCAGAAAAAAGCCGGATCGTAGGTTTCTTCAACGGGCGGTTTTCTACTGGTGGTACAGATCTTCCACAAACCAAAAACCTATATCGGGATTTGGTGCATGTCTAGGATTATACTGTACTGTACTATACTACACTATACGCATCAAGCATAGTCTTTAGCATAACGTGTGCAAGCTTTGAACATCCGAACCGACCTCTCAACCCCACGAAAACGACGCATGGAAAAGGGCCGAGTGCGCGTCGATGCGAAGAGCAAGCGGCAGACACCGCGGAAAAAATCTCACGTGTTGAACAGCAATGCATATGGTGGAGTACGTGCCTACCGCCGCGCTGGGACACAGCCAAAGGGAAAAGGAACAACGTGCTGATCAATCGCGCACACGCGCACGCGCGCGCCATTTGTCGGTAAAGGAGAAGACGCGACGACGCAATGCGACGCGTGTTCTGCAAGGAGAATCTGTTGTGTCTGATGGCCATTGGGGAGTTGTCCTTTTTTCTCTCGCATGCTGAGACTGGGATTGTTAGAGTGAGGCTCAGCGAGTGACGATGCATTGCATATGAATTGTAGTTGGTTGGCGATGATCGCTGGGATGGGATGTGCGCGTGGGTGGGCGGCTCCGAAGACCGCAGGTGCACTAAACGTTGAACACGTACTGCCGCCGCAGCAATCATGGTTTGAAGGTTTGTTGAATGCGCAGCCATGTGGTGAACTCGTGAATTATCAATTATTCGAGTATTATGAGTGCATTTGTAATCGCACATATACACGAGACGGAGCTCAAGAGTAGTAAGAAAAATGTGATGAGACAGAGACCGTAGAAGATTTCGTTATGTGATATGAAGAACGAAAAACCATTGACAATGTAGTCTATGAAGTAATCCCAGCCCGTAAAGGAAAAGGCCAAATCCTGGCTTGCAGACATGGAACCAATCAGAGGGTTCTTACATGGAGATAACGCCAGAGAAATGCAATGGACAATATGTACAGACCGAATGAATCGAATATCGACAGTGAAATGAACGCTAATGCAGAGAGGAAAATCAATCGGGCCTTGCGAGGATTGCGGCAATGGCATCACATGGAGCACAAGGCTGGGGTTTGCGTTTCGGTGCTTCGGCAGCTGGTGGAGGACATACACACTCGTCGTCAGCGGGTACGAAGACGGAAGTTCGACGTGCTTGCGTTAGGCCTGGAGCATCCATTGGCACGAAGAACGATTCACGGCGATCGTACTGCGGTGTGCAACATCCATCCTCAGAAGCAAGGAAAACGGATGGCCGTCTCGAGAAATGGCCAGCGGAGGGCGCGTCGTCACATGAGGGGTACGCAGTGCCCCAGAAAGGCAGCTTTGGAGGTGTGCCCTGACCATTGTATGGTACGTAAATGGATCCACCACGCGGTCTGAGAAAGGGGCTTGGGTCGTCAAAGTCCTCAAAAGGACTCTCGTTGGCACTCTTATCCGACTCCTCTTTTGTGGCCTCGAGGTGTGATTTTTGTAGCGCGATCTCGAGTTCTTCAGCTGAAAAGGGTTGTGAGGGATTACGAGTGCGGTCGGAGCCAGTGGCGGGTCTCGATGTTAGCTGAACGGAACTGGAGCGGCGAGCGGCTTGTCGACGAGCGTCACGAGGGTCTTCGGTTGGATTGCGAGAGAGGCCGACTAGGCACGTCAGTAAAAGATCGGTCATATATACGTAAGATAAAACACACCATTGAGCACGTCGCCTTCGTCGTCGGAGGCCTCTTTGATATTTGCGGGCCTGTCGTCACCAGCGATGCTCGCTCCGATGCCGCTGTCTACCCACTCTTCAGCATCGTAGTCTGAAGAGCAGCTTCCTCTCCGACTTCGGTGCATACTACGACTGCGGCTGCGTCTCCTGAAACTACTCCTACGGCTCGGTAGCCTGCTACCCATGGGTGAATACAGCGAGGCGTTGCTGTGCCGGCGCCATGCTGTCGAAAAGCTGAATTCCTCGAGTTTCTTCTTGTGTTCGGGATCGACGGCGCGACGGTATTTTAGCGGAGGCATCTTCTCGCCAGGCTTGTAGAAATCAGATTCTGGCTCCTCTGGTTTTGCATTCTTGTGTGAGCCAGCAGTAAGAACGCGCTTTAAGCGAGTGCGAAGGTGGCCAGGCATTGTGGGCGAAGAGTATAGTTGAACCGGAACGTGTAAGCCAGCACAGGAATAGCGAGGAAGATTAAAGTAGGCGTGTGTGAGTGATGGTGTGAATGTTGACGGAGTGTGAAAGTGTTGTTGGAGAAGAAGGAAGAGGGCACTCGGAAGGATGGTCCGGTATGATGTCGGCAGCAGGGTGAGGCTGATTAGGGAGTGGGTCGGGGCACAGACGCTGCAGTTGAGCTAGCCCTGGTCGAGTGCTGGGCGAAAGATGGAGTATCCGAAACTGCGGTGGGACGCTCCAGTGGTCAGGCACTGTGCACTGGGGAAGATGGTGGGTTGTATATGGGCAGCGATGCGGCGGATGAAACGCGCAGCCAGGCTAGAAGAAAACGCGGAGAAGTGCAAAGCTTGGTCGCGGCCTGCACTGTAATAACGCGATGTTGGGCTTGGGAGTGACGGAGGCTCGCTACGACGCTGAACCGACGAGCGAAGGGGGGTCAGCTATTGAGAAACTAGGTTGCTGCATGCATGCCTGGCGGTAGAAGTTTTCTAGAATGGAAGCAGGCGCGAAAAGCGCAACAGACGGCGTGAAGCAACTGGGTTCAGTCGGCCGAGGGTTTCCTAGCGAAAGGTGCAAAGGTGGGCCAGACTGCTGGTGGGTGAGCGCTAAGCTGTTGGAGGGTGAACTGCCGTTGGGAGTGGCATCCATGGCTTGCCACCGTCGTAATTCGCGCAATCTCAGGCCTCATTCGCTGACTGTCGGATAGTGGCAGCGCAGGTTGCGGAAGGTGGTTGGGATGGTGCGTTGAGGTACTGCATGCCGAGCTTCCAGATGGCATCGGCAGCGTATTCGAGCAATACGCGGCGCAACTTGGGGTCTGTCTAGACGACCCATCCTAGACGCTCTACTGGAACCCTTTGCCGCCAAAACTTCTGTCAAGATCTGACGTCCCACCCACGTCCGTCCACTCGCCGCGTGCCTGCATCCGGCCTACCTCAATGGGTCATGGTCAGGTGCTCGGAAATTGCGCAACACAGTGTGGGGTAACTTTTGTGTGGGACGCGATCGGTGAAGTCATCCCTATATTTGTACACACCGCCAACGCAAATTGACTGTCTTGATATCAAATACACCCAGTGGTCAATCAATGATGCCGGATGGAGCAGCATTGCCAATCCATGGAGGGGGCTACCTTAGTCATCCTCGCACGTGTGTGTCTGCCGAGGATCCTCCGAAGCCTCAATCGGAGGCTCATGGCTCGAATCGAAGTGATCGCTTACCAGGATGACGCTGCCCCGCATGTCAAACAACTTGCTTTGGCTACATCAACACCTTCACACTGCACCGTAGACAGGTCGAACCGCTGCAATGGGCATAAGGCGTGGCTGTTCGTGGCTGGAACGCGGCAGCTGGCCGTTCTATTGGAAGGCGGCCGTCTAGCTCCTGCAGCTACCCCATCTGTATGACCTCATCGGCGTCAAGCTGCCTAGCTACAACAAACGCCATCATGTCGTGTAGTTCACGAGCTGTGCCCTGCTTTCTCATACTCTAGCACCGCGCTTGAGCTGATCCTTGAATACAACTAGAGCCTTCCAAGCTCATCCTCCCGCTGCAGTGTGCATCATCGCAGTTAATCAGCAACGACATGGAGAAGATCAAGAGCGTCCTTCACGGACACAAGAAAGATGACACTGTCGCCCACGATGCGCAGACATCGTCGTCCACTGCTGACGGGTTTGAGCTTCCCTCTTTCAACTGTGACTTGTGCTAATATCAATCCCAGTCAGCAACACCCAATCTACGACCAGATGAGCGCCGGAAACGAGGGTCGGAATACAACTGCGGGACATACAGGACAGCCAATATACGAGATCAAGACCACCAGTGGGGCCCCATACACAGAGCTAGCCCAGCCAAGCGGTTCAGCCGGCCTCCACGCACATGATGCTCACGGAAGACCTGCGCAAGTCGGTACAGATGCACCCATTGGAACTACCAGTACAGCTGCAACTGGCGCTCAATACGACCCCAGCAGGACCCAAGACCACGCCACGACTTCGCAGCCACTTGGGAATGCAGGCACAGCTGCGGAAGGTGCACATCGCCCTGATGCCTATCCTCATGGTCATGCCCAAGAACCGAGCGTTGCGAGCATCAAGAGCGGCGTAATCGGATTTGGCGCGGGAGCGAATCAGGGACATGCTGCCATGCCGACGCACATGCCTACTCAGGAGCTGAGTCAAGACCAAGTAGTTGGAGGTGGAGATCCTGGAACTGCTGGCTTGACTGAAGGAAGGGGCGTAAACCCTGGCCAGACACATTCTCGTACGTAGATTGAATCTACTATTTGACGCGTATATATTGACTGTGTGCAGAATCCGGCATAACTGGCAGTGGGCCATTAGGCTCTAACCCTGCTTATACCACAGAGCACCAACCTTATGAGAACACTCTGCGACAGGAGAGCTACACCGCGGATACTGATCGATCTTTCCCTCTCGCTGGAGGTGTTGTTACAAAACCTCATGACGATCCCGCTTCCACTCGTCATCAGACTGAACACATTTCGCCCGTCCATAGCAAGGGAATCAGCGAGCGTGAGCCAGGCACAAAAGAGAAGCAGGTTGGTATACATAATAGCGAGAGTCCTGTTCGTGACAACTATGGACGCGAAGGACTGGCTGGAGCAGCAGCGGCTGCCACTGCCATTGGCGCCTCCAAGACACTGTCACGGTCAGAAGAGAGAGATGTTCAGGATCGAGGTCTCGAGACTCGCCAGGCTACATATGGAGATGTTCCGCCAGCTGCTGCTACGACGAATACCCAGACAGGCAATATCCCAAGCCAGTCGACATCTGATTACCATCCCGAGGCTCTGGCTGCCGCGACTGTTGCTGCTTCGAGATCTTCTGACCTTCCGCCGTCTACCCAGAGACACGAGTATGGAGCTCAGGACATCAACCCATCTGGAACTACACATTCTTCGATTGCTGCTACTCCCACGACTGGGATGTCAGGCACCGGTGAGCGACCTCTAAATCCCCGACTTGAGTCGCATAGACACGTTCCTGGCGAATATATCGCAACACCGAGTGACGAGAAAACGTTCCTCAATTACGCTCCTGTCATTCAACCCGTTTCCACCGAACCAAGTGGAAACCTATCGAATGTAGAGCCTACGTCTACATTGGATCCATCTCACGTTCAGTCTTCTGTGGACACTACGTCTACAAGCGAGCCTCACGAGCTTAGACATACGGGAACACTCGAAGAGCCTCGGCCAAAATCAGCTGATGACCACAACTATGGCCGCGACGCTGCAATTGCCGGAGGCCTCGGTGCTGGCGCCGTGGGTTTGGGCGCTCATGCAGCTTCAAAGAAGCACGATGCCCAGGACGTTGGTAGTAGTCAGCCTCTTTACGAGGAGTCCAGCCCATACAGTAGTAAAGTACTCGACCCTCGCGTTTTGGGTGATAAGTCCAGGCTAGAGGAGCAAAAGTTCGACGAGCAGAGGTTCGATCCACAGGCCAAGACTGAGGCAGCCCCTAGCGCCGGCTCAACTATCTCTGGACCTCCAGTCTCCCATGATCCGTCTCAGACAGCTGGCTCACAGCATCACTATGGTCGTGATGCTGCAGTACTTGGCACAGGTGCCGCAGCAGCCGGCGGGATGCACCACGCCCTCAACCGAAATGATACTCCTAGCGCTGGCACTGCCGTGCCTCCTGAAGGCCCCTCTTATACTTCCAGTACTGGATCCGGTGTCGTTGCTCCTCAACCAACTTCAAACTTCTCAAAGCCTCTTCCTACCGCAGGCACCTCAACTGCTCAACCTGTAGGACATGATAACTTTTATGGCGCGACAGGAGCTCCTGCGCCAATTTCAGACACAACTGCTCAGCAGCCATCAAGTAATCTTGGTCAGGCACCTGCCGCCACCGCAGTTCCAGAGAGGCACCCTGAGCACCATTATGGTCGTGATGCGGGCCTAGCTGGAGCCGGAGCTGCTGCTGCTGGTGGCCTCTACGCTGCTAATCGTGACAATACCGACAGTGGACCAGCTTCAAACACTATCGGACCTCACTCCAGCAATGCTGCAAATATCATGGACCCTAGGGTTCAACCAGATCCTAGTAAACAGATACACCACAACGTTGGACCCACGGCTGAGGACCCTGCTTCGCGAACGATCGGGCCGCACGACAGCAACATTGCTAATATCATGGATCCAAGAGTCAAACCTGACCCATCAAAGCAAAAGGGACACACCACAGTCGGACCGCACCAGTCAGACACACTGAACCGCCTGGATCCCAAGGTTGACGAAAAGGCTGGTCAACAAAGTGGACATCACTATGGCCGTGATGCTGCTGTTGTCGGAGGTGCAGGCGCCGCCGGTTACGGAGCATACGAAGCCACAAATGCGTATCGGGATCACAATATCACACGGCCAGGAGCAAACGAAGCTACAAATATCCATGGCAACCAGAGCATGACACAGCGAGCATATGAAGCTATCAATGCATATGGCGATCACAGGATGACACAACCTGAAGCTTCTATGCCAGACCAGAGATACGACCCTACCGCTACCAGCGCACGTGCTCCCAACCCCATCTCATCAAGGACTCAATACGACTACAACGACCCTACTACTCAAAGCAATGTGAATCGCACTGACCCTAACGACCACATCAATAGGAACGCTGCTCTGGGTGGAGCAGGCCTTGCAGCCGCTGGATTAGGAGCCGGAGCTTATGCAGGATCCAAGCATAACGATAACACAACTCAACTTCCTCTTCGTCAAAAACAAGACTTTGCGTCTTCCGATCAGCCTGCATACCCAGTTCAAGGCGCGACGCAGTCTTCTTATCCCATGCATGAGACAGCCACGGATGCATCATACCCTACCTCAGGTACCATCGCACCACACAACACGCATGCTCAAGACCCTACGATTCAACCGTGGGGGGCTAATGCCACAAATGAGAATCACGACAAGCGCAACGCTGCTGTTCTAGGTGGCGCTGTGGGTGCAGCAGGGTTGGGCGGCGCAGCCTACGTCAACTCTCAGAACCAAGACGAGCGCGAAGCCGAAGAGCGCCTCAAGAAGATTGCTCACGAAAAAGAGAAGGAACAACATAGGCTTGACAAGGAACAGCACAAGCATGACAAAGAAGTCCACAAGCACGACAAGGCTCTTGCAGCTCACGAGAAGGACGAACATCGTCTGGCTAAAGAACATGAGAAGGAGCAGGCACGCCTGATCAAGGAGCAACATCAGCGCGAGAAAGAGCTTGGAAAGGAGAATGAAGGCGAGGAGAAGAAGAAGGGTGGTCTTCTTGGATTCTTGCACCGTGACAAGTCCAAGAAAGAGAAGTCTTCTGCTAGCCCTGAGTCTTCACCACGCCAGTCTCGAGACTACAGCCCCAGGCACTCCAGGGACTACAGCGATGATAACCCAGACTCGCCACGCTGGAAGGGCAAGCACCTCTTGCACAAGGACCCACCCAAGGGCCATCCCGCGCGTGAAGCTATGGAGCACCAGCAGCACCAGACTGATCCGTATGGCTCCATAGGAAAGAAGGAACACATTGGTGTGGATGGTCCGATCGGTGACCCAAGTATGATCTCTGGCGACCGGTAAGGTCCTATCTACCATCCTCGTCAATCAAACATTTCTAACATACCTTCTAGCGAAACTCGAAAGGGTGTGTACGGCGCGCATCCCGTCTCCGACCTGGACCATAACAACACGGTCACCGAGCCACACACCGGTTTGCCTATGAACACCGAGCGCTACGGCACTGGCATTGGCGGAACGGATGGTAATCCTGCTATTCATGGCCATCATCAACACGACGTTCCTGGTGCAACATCAGGCCAAACTGCGACGGATTGGGAGGCGATCAGAAAGGCTGACACGCCATACTAGATCGCTGATGATGGAGGCATGGAGAGTGATTAATGATTATTAACAAAGCATACGAAGTGATAATCTTACATAATACACATATAATTGACATTCTTAGCTACACTACAAGTCTTTGATTGCGCAAGTAACTTCTCGCTGCTTATACTCAACTCGCGCTTCAGTCCCATCATGTGCCACACGCTCCGCATGAATTTCAGCAATAATGTGAATATGGAAAATTAATGTGAGTACGAAGCTTATACTCTGATTGAGGGGATGTCGTGCATTGAAAGTACTTGTAGTAAACTCAGATAGTACCACGGTAACCTCTTACTCAGCCCGGTTCAGGGACGAAACGATGACGGAAAGGTCCGCTGGTCAGCAAACAGCAAATCAGATGCAGATGCAGTCCTCGAAAGAGGTGTAATGCGGTCACTAGCTTTTCCGAGTGATTACTCCGCATCATCATCTGAATTTTGGCGGGTTTGCAACGTTTTCGCATTCGTGTACTTCTTAATTTACACACCACCTCAATATGCCCTCCTTCTTACGCCACATGACTGCACGTCGAGGATCTGCAATGCAGCAACCGAATACAAACGTAGAGACTGGGAGAGTATCATCCTGGAGGCATCATTTGCTGTATTACTGGATTGCTACTGGCGTCGTGGTAGGCTATGCATTCAGTGCAGTTATGACTATCGGAGGACTCAACGTACATGAGCTTAACATCATTTATATCACTACGGTGTTCATTCCTGTGAGTCACTGCCTATCTCTTTACGGGTGCAAGCCACCTACTTAGGTAGCTAATCGCAACAGGCAAACATTCTCCTTCATGCCCTCACCCACTTCCTGTGGCACCGTCCACGAGCGTGTAACCGCTTCTTACCTCTGACGAGAGGAATTATGAGCTGTGCGACTATTGATATTTGGGCTGCAGGATGTGTGGGAGTGTTTTATACTATGGATAATGCGATGTGGATTGCAGGATGGTGGTTTATTGGTATACCGGTACGTTCATGAGACCGTGATAGAGACATTCAAGTGATTCGAGGATCAGGCTGACTTTAATGCGCCAGGGTGTGCTCTTGATCATCAATCGAGTTGTTGAGTATGGTATAGAATGGAGGTTAGGACGGCAGGGGAATTGAGTGTCCACGAAGAATGGAAAAGATGTCTTGTCACATGACATCTTACAGTACCTCAGGGAGGTGATTGCCTACGAGGGAGCTCATCTTCTATAGGCTATGTGATATAACTTGCCTCGAAGTATACACAGCCTTTCAATTTCTTAGCCTATAAACTTATGACACGACGAGCACCTTTTGGACAAGTTTTGCTCTGAGTTCAATACGACACAATCTCCGATCATTTCTAGTCCGGCGGTACATGAGAGATAGAAAAGTGTGTAGGGTAGAAGAGGGAAGAGCATGCGACAGGTCAGTCTAGCGTTGGTTAAACACAATTGCATATCATAATTCTCTATGTCTTACTTTCTTCCTAGAGAAGATATCCTAGAGGTATACACTTGCATTATTCCAGGAGTGTTCTGTTATGAGGTACAGCAAATACCTATGAGGTAGCTGTTGCCGCACGAGGATACAATCTAAATGGAACAAGCTCCTTCGTAATATTCAGCCACCTGGAAGCCCAACTCACTTGAACCCATATACTCAGAATGCCACCCTAACCCCACCTATCGTACCCCATGATTCATTTTAAAGTCCAGAAGAAAGCCAAGGCCTGTACCTAAGACGCCAAACCAGTTTGCTTCAACTCCACCATCCAACCCTTACGTTTACAAAACCAGCACTCTCTAGAACCAATAACTCTCACCCGCAGCACTGACCTCAAATTGGCATCCCAAACCCTTTCCAGCCTCTTGCAAAACCTCTTCCCCCTCTCTCAACTCTCTCAATATCTGTTCCCCAACCAACGGCCCATCCATGAAAGAATCCTTGACATGGATAATGACAATTTTGACACCTTTGAGTGGAGCGTCAAAAGCAGCAGATAGTATGGCGCGGTTATGATCCGCTGAGACTGATGAGAGACCGAGTGCCGCTGGGGCTGAAGGGTGGGAGTGCTGTGGTTCGGCCGTGCCATTTTGATGTTCCTGTCCCTGTTCCTGTATTTGGTTGCAATGTAAAGACTGATGATGCTGAAGTGGAGGAGGGAAGGGAATTGGAGTATTCGTCCCTGTATCTCCTCTCGAAGGCGGAAGATCACTCATAACCTCGTCATCAGTCTGCGAATGGTAGTTCGTCGTCGAGATTGGGGAATCAATTCCTTTGCCCACTCCGCCCAGATAACCACCCATTTTTGCTTTCCGACCGTTCTCGCCTGAGGTGAGGCTGTCGAGTTGGAGTGCATTGTTTGCACCGCCACTGGTTCGCTTTCGCTTTTTCTTCTTCTGCAGACGCATCTCTTCTTTTTCGCGCTCGTATTTCTTCTTACTGTCTTTTACCATCTCGGCGAAGCTACTAAGTTCCTCGAGGAGGTGGCGTGGGGCTAGGTGCCCGAACAAGACAGCATCAGCTTGAGCATTCGTATAAGAAACCTCTATAAATATGCCTTTCAGTATACCGGCGGCGATCTTGGGAGCTGCTTCGCTCCAGATCTGGTGTGTGCGAGGCGAAAGAGAAAGAGAATCTGGTTCAACATCTCCGAAAATAAGGATTTCGCGTTTCGGGGTCGTGAGAGTGGATTCTGCGCGGATAAAGTAGGCGGTTGAATCGATCACACAGTGATCTTGGGATGGCGGTTGCTGGGGCTGGGAGACTGTAACTCCGCTGGCTCGTCGACCGGCCTCTGTGCTGCTGTTAAAACCGGGAGTGCCGGGTGCGCTTTGCGTTGCTACAGAGAAGCTCATTGAGCGACCTTCTTGGCCGTCTGATAGTCCGTACGGTTGAGAAGTATTTGAGTGCTGTAAACTTGATGTCTCCAGTAGGTTGGCGTTTGATCCGCGGTGTACATGGCCCGGTCCTTGCATGCAGTGACCATGACTTACTTTGAAGCCTTTGACCCCAAGACCATCACACACCTCGATGTACCCTCTTGAACTTCCTTCACCCAGGGCAATGTTACCGCCTTCTGCAAGCCGCTGGAACGTCACAAGGCCCACCCCTCCATCTTCGTCAGTAAGATTAGGCCAAATGATGTTATTAAAGATGTGGTTCTTGATGGCGTTGACAGTGAACGGCAGCGCTGCTAGTCGCTTTGGTCGTGATGTATTATGGAAAGCTGCTGTATTGATGACGAAGCCTGACACATGGTCCAGATGTGGATGGGTGATGAGGTATGTCGAAATATGCTCCCTAACAACATGAAGCGCATTTGCTCTAGCGCTCTGATGAGGAAAAGGCAAACCCGCGAATGCACCTTTTTGCAGTGTGGTGATCGTAACTGGTAATTCGTGCTCAGAATCAGGTGTCTCAGCCCCAGAGTCATCATCGGAGAGTGAGACATGCGCGGTGCCTGGTGACGGCGACTCAGTATGTATGTCAATTACATTTCCATTGCCGTTGTTAGCCCGCGAGGTCGGTAATGGTGGATCTGGGTCAGAGACGAGTGGAAAATCCCTCCCAAGTATTCGGGTTATTGATGCAAGATGGGAGCCTGCATCTACAGCTATGACGGAATTCTTAGCCCAGTTCGTTGCGGTCGATCGGACGAGGAAGCCTGTGACATTGTCTTCGCTTGGTCCACCTCCAGAGCCCTGTTAGTATTAGCTTTGATGGCGAGATAGATAAGTGGCCGTCATGCTGTATAAATTGCGACATCCCATGTAAAGTACATGACTATGCACCTAGACACATCAGTAGCCACAAACACAGCCACCACTTACCAAACAAATCACTTGAATCGCAGGTTCCCCTGCATTTCCAGAAGACCTCCTCACCACTCTTCCACTATCCTCTTTCATCCCCTTGTCGTTCCTGCTCTTCCTTTCTTCCAGCTCTCTTGTCAGATGTTTCCAGTCTCGTCTTTTCGCAACCTCGTACGTAGACCTGCAATCCCCAAAGCAACGATCGCAGGAAACTTATCTCAGCTACGAGACGTCCAATATCCCCGCTCTTTAACAAAGCCACTTCCGCAGTCCAATCTCACGTGTTCTTCTCACGATTTGCCGTTGGGGCCTAGAGAAAGCAACAATATCTATTCCCCTTTGGCGCAGCAGCAACAATTCTTTAAAAGGCGAACAACTCTCTCCTCTCGTCGCTAGAGCTCTCAGGTCCCCGTAGCGCAAGTCGTTACGTTACACAGCGTGAACGACAGATGATGTGGCTGTCCGTTCCTTCGTTCGTCCGGATTCCGATCCACCAACAGTCGACGCAGGAGGCCGGACTTCCCTGAGCAACGATTGCGTCGCCTTAGTCTTCGGGTCCCGTCTCCAGATCTTTCTCTCCTTGCGCGACAAGAAAGAAAAAGTGTGCACGCGATCTCGGTTTGTTGTTGCAGGTATGACGACAGAACGAATGCGCTGCTTGTTCCTTCCAAGGTAGGAGATTTGCCCCGATCGGATGTAGCAGCTGCAGCGCGGCTGTGCGCTGCGATGCGAAATGTCACCGTATTAGTACCGCTGCAGCACCGCAACTTTCGGCGCCTGTGGTCGCAGAGATCGAGAGAATGGAAATCGAGGACTCGAGGATCAAAGGCCATGCATGTCCCCTTATGCGTGCCGCCTGCGCCGTCTGTCTTGTCCAGCCTTTGCTCTCGACGGCTTCGGCGGTTGGCTAGAGCTACTTCCCTTGTCCGCCTCTCAACCAATGATAGGCTCGGTTCGATAAGCCACGACTGTTGTTGGCCCCGCCCAGGCCGAGCCCAGATCTGGGGTTTGGCGAACACCTGACAGCTTCTAGGCAACGCAGTGTCATGGTAGACCAATTTCCCAGCTCTTGTTGAGTGCGCAATCAACAAGGCACCTGTGTGGAAGAAGACGTCACATGCATGTTGGTCTAGCATACGAGACAGCAAAGTAGACGCACAAAGGGCATCACAGCATGAAGGCAAAAATATGTGTTGGGTATCATGAACTTCTTGTGCAGCATTTTGAGCCTCTAACGGGCCATGGCAGTATCGCTGATCCACCAAGGGCTGCCCAGCGTGATCTCATGAATCCTCATCCGTCATCCTATCCCTACCCATGCTAGTTCGTAAATCATCCGCATCATAAATCAAAGCAACCACTTCAGAAAGAAAGCGAAGCGTTTACTTGAACACCTTGCCGTCGGCCCACTCGTAGGTCTTACCGTTGACCTCGATGGGCTTGTCCCACGACCACTGGTCGTTGACGAACTCCTTGTCCTCGGGCTTGGTGGGGTCGAGCTTGGTGAACTCGTAGCTCTCGACATCGGGAGCGACGTCGAAGGCGGGGAGAGCCTCCTGGCCACGGACGACGAACGCACCGGTGACAACGGAGTCGTTGGTTACTCCGTATACGGAGCAGCAGCCGAAGAGGTACTTGCGGCTGGCCTCGAGACGGGTGAAGAAACCACCTGAATAAATTAGCAAGTAGATCATTTGCAACCAGGACAAGTCAACTTACCAATTAAGTTGGCGGTCATGAAGGTCATGGTCAACTCATCGTTGTACTTGTAGTCAACCTTGTAGATGGAGTACTCCTCGAAGTTGGCGTTCTCCCAGAACCAGGGGAGGGCAACCTCACGAGTCTCCTCGTTAGAGTACTTGCGCTTCCAGTCGTCAAGAACGAATGTAGCCCTGGGAAGGGCCTCGAGAGGGTGCTTGGGCTTGGGGGCAGGTGGGGCCTCCTCCTCCTCAGCCTCCTCTTGCTTGGGCTTAGGGGCGGCCTTGGGCTGCTCCTTCTTCTTCTCGCCACCCTCCTTCTTTGGTGCAACGTTCTTCAACGCCTCGGAGATGAACTCAAGCTTGGGGGCAACAGCAGAGTAGCTGGACTGGTTGTAGACGGTCTCGTACCAACGGGTAGTGTTGGGGTTGGAGTCGCGCCACTGCTTGTCGAAGAAGTACTGGAAGCCACGGGCAAGGATGCTGGCAGCGAAGATGTCGGCAAGAGTCAGACGCTCACCAACAAGGTAGGTGTGTGTAAGAAGGTGCTCCTCAATGACGTGGACAGCCTTGAGAGCGGCCTTCTGTGACTCGTCGACGTTCTTCTTGTTGTAAGGGTCGCGGCCGAGGATGGGGCGGAACCAGCCACCGAGAGGAGAGAGGACCTCAGTGTTGGCGAAGGACATCCATCGCAAGATGGTGGCGTAGTCCTGCTTGGTCTTGCCGAGAAGGCTGGTCTTCTCGTTCTGGGAGGCAACTGCAATCGGTCAGCTCTGAGTCACCAGCAAAGTCTGGACGAACGGAGGGATGATTGTGGACGCAAATCAGAATAGTAAGTTTTCAACAATAGTTTTCAGACAGGGATAACTGAATGATAACATTCGACATCATATTACGCAGGAAGGAGCAAACAGGCGGGGTAGCACTTACGGTAGACAGCGATGGCGATGCACTCAGAGAGGACAAAGCCGTCAGCGCCCTCGAATGTAGGGACCTTGCCGAGCTTGTTGAGCTTCAGGTAGTCCTCAGAGACACCCTTGGCAGGCTCGGTGTCGACGAACTCGATGTCGAGACCATTCTCCTTCGCGACGGCCAGGAGAGAGGTGGTACGCGGGTTACCCTGTTGGCTTGCTGTTAGGACTCATTGCAGTGCAGTTTCGCGTTTGTGGGTGCGGCAACGTACCGAGTAACTGTAGAGCTTTCCGAAAGACATGATTGTAGAGTTAACCGTGGTTGAGCAGAACAATCAGTGTGTGGAAGCAGGTGTTGATGAAGAAAAAAGGCTGGTTGGGCTGCGGGGCAGTAGGAAATCTGCTGTGCACAGTCCACCATAATTTCAGCCTAGGCGCTAAGCATTTGCATGTGGCTCGTGCAGCGCTCGTCGTCAGTTTACGGCAGGTGGCAGTCCTTTGAGAGCGCTACCACGGCGCATTCCCCATCCATCAGAGGTGCAATGGCAAGCAGGGAGATCTCACGGAGTCTATGGAGGGCGGTCGATGCCCTGGGAAGCCGACCACGACCTCAATGCGAACGGACGATTCGATATGCTCAGCGGAGCTTTCAGCCCACAACGCGGCGATGCATCTCGACAACGACCGCACGGCGTGCAGAGGTCACAGAGGAAGAGCTACGTGAGCCATTCACAGCGGCACCCGAGATCGACTTTGAGAGCACCGGCGGTGGCGCAGGAAAGAGCGACAAAAAGATCAACCTCGGGGCACTGCGTGTTGTCCCAGCATCGCCCTCCTACTTCAGCGCAAAGCCTACGTTCACCGACGACTTCCTCTCCCTCTCTGCTCTCCTTCGAAAGGTCGCTACACTACCCGTCATACCGCCCGCCGAAGCACCCAAAGTGGCGTGGAAGACAATCGAGCAGTACCGCATCATGACCAACGAACCAGTAAAGACGGCGCGTTATCACAGGATGTTGCAAATATTGCGGAGACTGAACTGCATTCACCCCTCCCTCATGCCCGATGAGGTTGTGCAGGCAATGCTACGGTACAAGAAGCCTAACCAGCCTGGTGACATTGTCCCGAAGCCTGGCGTGATTGATGAGCTTGGACGTGCCAAGGGTGTCGGGCGGAGAAAGACATCTTCTGCTGTGGCATGGTTGGTAGAAGGTGAAGGTGAGGTACTGGTCAACGGCAAGTCCCTCTCGGAGTTCTTTGGAAGGCTACACCACCGCGAGAGCGCTGTGTGGGCACTCAAGGCTACCCAGCGTCTTGACAAGTACAACGTCTTTGCTTTGGTGCAGGGTGGTGGCCTGACTGGTCAGGCGGAAGCAATGACCCTGGCCGTAGCGAAATCTTTGCTGGTCCATGAGCCGGCGCTGAAGCCTGCGCTACGACGAGGTAAGTCAATATTTTCTTTGTCCGTGGGTTTTTTCAACCCAGCTTTGCTTTTTCTGTCGTTCCGTAGGCATTGTCAATGCAGCCCTTGTGTCTGACACATGCCCTTGTCTACCCACGCCTCAAAACGCTGCCAAATAACCCTGGATGATCCCAAACATGTCTCGCCTGCGCATGCCGGACCCAATTGCTGACTGCTTCTTAGCTGGAACCATAACACGCGATCCAAGGAAGGTGGAGAGGAAGAAGCCAGGCCACGTCAAGGCACGTAAGATGCCCACCTGGGTCAAGCGATAAGAGGCTACTTCTGTATGTTTTGTGCTTGTATCGCTGGTCATATGCAGATTTAGCATAGGTGAATGTACGATGAGACATTTCAAGAAGCGACCTTTAGGATTTTCTTCGATCTCGTCGTCCATCTCTGCGCAGGTGGTGTCGGCCTTACACTGTCCGCATTAAAAGCGCTTTTAATGCTCCGTACCGGTGTGCATGGAACAGGGTGCTACAGGCACAACACGTGGAAAGATGCCCAGATCTTGCCCTGAATGTCAACGTCGCAAACCTAGACAGCCATGTGCGTATACGATCCTCATCTCTGGCGGCGTTACCCGTACAGGGCAATGCCTCTCGATCAATTGTGTCCTTGACTCCAGGACGCGTAAGGCCTTGAACCTTGTGCTGGTCTGCCCTGCTCACAGTGCTTCTGTCCCGGTTCAGTATCATCTCAAGCAAGCATCCTGGCACAACCTTGCCCGCGCTGCTGGTTGTTATTGCTTTCTCGGTCCGTTCCTGGCAGCTTCTGACAGCTGTCTAACTAAGATGAAGAGAATATTCATTGCATGAATGGCTGCGCCACCACCAGCACTTAGTATTGATGCGATCTTTGAGATATTGTTGATTTGCTTGTGTTTGCGCTCGGACTCGGACTCGCGTTTATGACTGCTTTTCGACAAGTGCCTTAAGACGGTCAAGATTTGCATTGCAAGTCCTGTAACAGCGACAGAAAGTCACTCCAGTCATTATTGCCGGTGGCACATGGAACCAAAGTGATGGGATGGCCGGAAGATAGTGAGCGAAGAGGTGTGAAGATCCTCCCTGACTCGTTTCAAGATGTTCTATTTTAGACGTGGTCATAGGGCGGCCAATGATCTTTTAACCTGAACGTCTGTGCTATGTCCGCTCGCATTTGCGTCTCGGTCGCTCCGGATCATGTCGCAGAAAAACGTTACGTAGCTGAAGGCATATATGAGGAGATTTACGCTAGAAAGAAGGCTGCCGTTTGGATCTCCGTTGGTGATGGGAGCTCCTTGTTTGACCTCCTTGTCGCGTGTCCCGCGAGACGCGCAAACGGTGCACCACGGCACTTGCCCGAGACTTTCCCTGGTGGTTGCAGCTGGGAACGAGTCAAGCGTTTGTCGAACAAAGTGAAACCTTCTCGAAGCATGTTCGCCATGGTCCTTGATCATTTCACGAAGCGCGGTGGTGGAGGTTGATGCGGCAGCCAGGGCCACTTGATGATCGCCATCCGTGCCGAATGACGCACTCGTCTGGGCTGTGATCGCACGAAAGTGGGCAAGTTGAACGACAATGGTTTCGTGACGCGATGGCTGTGTCCTGCAAAGCCATGCTGTGCACCTTCGCTGAGCTTCCAGAAGGCTGCAATCTTCCGAGGGCACGTGGACGGACATTCATGGTGAGACGGTCCGGGCACAGGAGCGCGCGAGGCGTGTGGCGCGCCAGAGCGTGCAATTCAAGTGTCAGTGACAGTGTAAGGCGCCCTCTTAGCCTGGAATAAACGGGCGGTGGTCAGTGTTTTGCAGTGTGCCGTGTTGAGGAGATGACGGAAGGTTCACGGCAAGAACCAGTGAGGTTTGCCGGCAGGAGCGACCGAGATGGCGCTAGCCCCACTGTACCGCAGACGTAAGATTCGAGGAGTCGCAGCGTGGAGAAGATATCGCGAGGTCGCGGCTTGAGTATGGATGGGTTGCGCCAGTCGATGATTCTGAAAGGGAAGGTCCCTATTCGCAGGATCAGGATCGACGAGTGAGGCTGATGGGTGAAGTGGCCTAAGGCAAGATCGACCACAGGCGAGAGACCCCTGCCCGTGGACGGGAACTTGCATCGTTGCAGAGATGAAAGGACAGATCGAGTTTGGAGCCCGAGATAGCCCCTAAACTTTCTCTCACACCTGTCAGCACCTACCTACACGAGACACTGCCGACCATGAGGCTATCCAGGTTCGACATCGGTTTGGTGATTTGGCAGCAGGAGACGACGCAGGCGCGCTTCATGAACCGAACAACGCCCTGTTGCGTGAAACAGGTCGGAAACGCGCTCGTCGAGGTTAGTCTTCCCACAGTGCGCCGGGCCCCTTTGTCATCAAGCTCTTCACGCGTACTGGCGGACAAATGCCATGCGTCGCGTGGTCACTGTCCTGCTGCCAAGACCAGCTGGGTGAGAGGAGGAGTTCCTGGGCCAGCGACCTGCGACATTTGGCCGCTGTGGAGCCGCGAGGCGGGAAACGCCATCTGGTTGCGCCGAGGAGAGACGGAAGAGAGGCCACGATGAAGTTGCTGGCTTTTGTCATTGTGCCGCTGACATTGTCGTCGTCCCGGCTGCATCCAGTGGTGGTCACGCAGAGCAAACGCGACGATGCCCTGCAGTGTGGCTGCCCAGACGCCTGCAGATCCACCATGGGCGATCCGTTACCATGGCAGACAGGGTATCGCTAGCCCCGCCCTGGCCATATCGGAAATCGGAGACTTCGCATGGTCGCTGTCATTCAGAGCTCATGGAGTCGTCTTACTCGTCAGCCCTCGCTCGCCCGACCTGCAGCCACACCCACTTCTCAGGTACCCACCATTGTTTTCTCCTCTAGCTTCAACACCCCGGTCCAAGCATTTACAGTCTGTTCGCCGGCGTGGCTTGTGAACTACTTCCTTTTTGCTTCCCACACTGCCCGATGCTCTCCCAATGTAGCGTCTCTGCATCACTTCCCGCCCACCTCTCCTCCTGCCCTCATCCAGCCTGGCTGCCATCGCATCGCCGACCACACCACCCCCACATGCACCCTGGTGAGCATCTTCGGCAGAAGTGAACTGACGTCGAGCTCACACGGGCGCCATTGCTCCTCTCCTCTCGACTCTTATAATAGAGCCTTTCTGTCTTCTCTACCCGTGGGCAAGTGCATGCGATTACAAATTTACCATCCGTCGCACTTTCTGTCTGGTCTCGGACCGAACGCTTCATTCGTCTCTGCATGTACTCCCGCTCGCCCAGTGCGCTCCAAGACACTGTATCGTGAAGAACGCCAGCGTACGTTTAGGCCGTTGAGCTACCGCAACGCAGACGTTAGATTGTTTGAGACCATCTCCTAGCCCGGCCTCTACTCCGTCCGACTCGTTGGAACACTGATCTGTTTGCAAGGACTACCCTTCAAACATCTCACGCATAAGCGTCGCCTCACCACCAGCCCATCGCTCACAGGGTTCTCCACGCCTGCAGTTACCGGACAATTTCGCTGTCATCTAGTGGCTACGTGTTTAGCTGATCCACACTACGCACACATTTTCTCCAACATTACCGCATCGGGAGGACCAATCCCGGACCTCAGAGCATTGCATTGCAGTCATCTTCCTGCAGCTAAAGCGAGGATATCCTGGTGGCCGGCCGAGGCTCTTGCGCGAGCTTCTTTTCCTGCATCATTGGGCTCCATTGGCCGCTCGTCGACGCGTCAGGGCTGTGTTTATATCCAAACCATCTGGACCTTGGAGCATCTCTTCTTCCAATTTCGGACGTCATACATCTACCACCATTGGCCCACATCAACCATCAACTCTTTCTGGTCCTTCCACGCATCCCGCCAAAAGACGCATCTCTTACGCACCTCTCCATCAGTCCGCGCATACCTCGACGACACTTGCGCCCTCGCTTCTCCACCTCTTGCGCCGGCCCTCCATCACCTACATCCCGCAAGCCTGCAAGCTGGCCAATTACGCGACGCCGCCAGTCTCGCCCTTGGGGTACCGGGCACTCGAACCGCCCTTCAGTCTGCAGTATAAAGGCGGGCTGGTTGGGATGGACAATGACCGCCGGCCACGGCATACTCCCTCAGGTTACGCGAGCCAGCAAGGCACGCTCCTTCCACCACAGGCGTCGTATCCAGTGGTAAGCGCACCCGATCGCTTCAGGCAGCCGCCCTTGACAGCTCCTGCCCCACCTACCTCCGTCCCCTCTTCCGGAAGTCGCGCCAGCTCTCAGGGTTACGGTTACGCTTACGGTGAAGGTGCACAGTTTGGCTCATCGATTCAAGCATCCCCCGTAGCCTATGCCACCCAGGACTATGCCGCCGAACAGCAACAACAGGCTCAGCGTGCACCCCAGCAGTACTCGCCCTACGGCCAGAACATAATGTACAGCGTGCCCGGCGCCCAGGCTTCGGCGCAAGCCTCGTCGCAGTATGAGCCTGTGGAACAGTACCAGCAGAATAGGGACTCGGCTATACAGGTCCTGAGCACCGGCTTTGGCGTGGCACAACCGCAGTACTATGAGAGTGGGCCCACGAGCGCACCTGCCTCTGCCATCGCGGCGCAAAACGTTCCTTCTCAGTATCCTTCGTTAGGTTATTCAGCACCGCAAGCCCAGGTCGGCCGAGAAGCACTTGCGCCCGCCTACTCTGCCGCTGGCATGACGGACCCCCATCAGGCGCCCTCTCAAGGGGCCTACTCCCAGGGCAACTACAGCGAGCCCCAGCCAAACAGTGGCAATGAGTACGACGACTTCTACAGAAACTACCAGAACGAGCTCAAGAAGACATTTGAGCATGTACGTGACGGCCGCCTTAGCGAAGCCGGAACACTGCTCTTTAGAATGTCCGACTGGCTATTGCACTGGGCTGAGACGCTGGGTAAGTTCTCCGGTGCCCACAGTATCGAGCGAGCAGCTGAGTTGACCGCAGCAGGCCTAGTACGCGACGACGAAACCTACTACCAGCAGCGTCTGCAGTTGTGGGAAGAATTCAACACCTGCTGGCTCACTACACTGCAAAAGCAGAAGACCATGACGCAGGAAATGACCACAACGGGCCAGCGACCACAACCGCCAAAATCGCTGATCGACTATGAGTTTCTTGAGAAGATGGGCACCCAACTCGTCAAGAATTGCGACGCCATGGAGAAGCACGGTCTTGTCGACTACCAAATGGGTGTATGGGAAGAGGAAATCGTAGCGAGTCAGTACCACATCGCGTCTGCTCTCCAAGCACCTTGCTAACGTTGCGCAGTGTTGACTTCCTGCATGGACCTCCTCGAAGAAGTCGGCGCTGGTCCCTCAGTACAACGACCTACGTCTACCGCGCGCCGGCGGTGATCTTAGCAATCTCAAGTTACGGTGATCTGCTTGATGGCGTATCGCAGTGCCGCTCCCGAGCGCCATCGAGGCGGCGCATTGACACTCATCTCGAGAGGCTTGCTACACGTCGTCCCCGCACACGCTTGCGTCCGCACCGTGCGCTCACTGGAGCGCAGTCATCACGACAAGAATTGCTTCTTTTTGTACATATATCGTTCATGGGGCGTATTCTTACATTGGTTTCTTTTGGCAGTCATGGAGAGGGTCAAGGTATCAGCCGCTTGCTGTGGAAGTCAATCTGCATCGGTTTTCCTTTATGTCAAACACTTGCATCCACGGTTCTCTCCTAGCTGTTCAGCATTTCTGTCACGTCATTACGTTTCTTTTGTAGCCTTTTGGCTTTGCTCGGTTTTTCTCTCATATCCGCATTTGGAAAAAAGTGGGGAGATCTTATGGAATGAACGCAATGGCACGCATGGTTCATGTTCACGACATGGATAGATGCATCTACGAGCATTTGGACATGCTTGCTTTCGCTGTTGGGTTTTGGTGCAGGAAAAGATGATCCGGCGCGGGCGCTTGGGGTATTTCATGGGGTATATGATGACGCACGGGTTAATGAGGTGGAACACAATCGATAGAGCCGAGACGAATGCATGTGGATACACCGGATCACCCTTGCGCCCTCGCAGCTTCCGGTGAAAACGCAACGCAGGAACTAGAAACCTCGATCAAACCAAGTATCTCTTCTCGGTATTGGGCGGCAACGATATAGTTCTGTGAGCCTGAGAAGGTAGGGCGCGAACGCCAGCTGTCATGCGTGGTCGGGTTCCTGGGTCTGCTGCATCGACGTGGTTGGGCAGCAACTGTAGTATAGGATTGAATTTGTACTAGAATTACATGCTTCATTGCAAACATCCTTGTACCCGAGGTAAACTGAAGTGATGTTCTGAAGGATCAGGCGTTGTTGAGTCACTCTTCCAAGGTTCAGTGGTGCCTCCCTTGTCATGCTTGTCAACAGGGATATTCGTTCCTTCTCGCCTCACGATACCGATCTCGACTCCACCCGCAGACGCCATCGCAGCCTCGTACATTGACAGATGCGAGAATCCGCCGCGGCTGATTACCATTCGACGCCTTGGACCGAGAGAGTGATGGCGATCATGTGCGGCGACTTGGCGACGCCATGTTCGCGTCTCATGCATGGCTCCAGGCTTTCGCGGCTGTCAAAAGCAAGATCTGACCTGGAGCTACGGGAACAGAAAACCGGATCGACAGGCGCCACAATCATCGCTAACAAGCGAGTCTAGCTGATCATATCTTATCACAAGGACATTAAGACCTTGCTGCGCATCATGGCGCCCGGCTATTGAACATTGACGACGATCATACAATATCGGAATATAGTTGCCATATCTCCAATACTTGCTGCTAGACCCTACTTGGGCAATGGCGCTTACAGTTTCATAAATCATCTTCAAACAGGTCCGTTCGCATTGAAATCAAGCAATGTAGAGCACGCAGTAGCTACCATCGTGTGTAGCGCTGCCTCAGCACTGCTCCACCTACTTCGATACTCTGTCCCAGCGATGTCGATATGCCCTAGCATTATGCGTGCGCTGTTTCCGGGGTACGCACCTGCTTTCGCGATAAGCTGAAGTCATCACTCTCGCATTCTTTAGCCACCGGAACGCCTCGATCCAGCAACCAGATCACCACCAATGATTGCGCAGCCGAGGACCCTAAAGGCGGGAGACGACCGGCTCGTCTCCCTGGTTCTGGGAGCACATCAGCTCCTCCATCGTACATGAACGCCGAAGTAGCAGCGAGGGTGGCTACATTGGACGCCTTCGATTCTGCAGCCACCTCTGACATCTCGCGATGCGGCTTTTTGCACAAGCCTGCACAGCTGCCCGTAACAATGAAACGGCACTTTTTCCACATGCGCGACAGGGACGGAACGCGTCCTGCCGAGCGTATGAGGCTGCATACCACACGTAATGCAAGGGCACAATTATTCAGGCTGCACATCCTTTTTTGTCGAATCAAACTTGTACCAGACCGACTCGTAATCTCAACGTGACAGCATTACGAAACTTGAGAAATGCAAGCCTTTACAGCTTCTCGAACATCTGGCTACACAAGGGATTGTGGGACCTTGCACTATTGTGGCGTGTCAACACAACCCACCCATTCAGAAAATGCCACCTCACATTTACCCAGCACACTGGTAGCCATTCAGCATTCTTGTTCTGCTGCGCATGATTACTACGAAACGACCATTGCTTCGATTCAACGATACTGTTCTACTTTGGCTTGCCCGTCCGACCTTCCCAACATCTGGCAAGCGACTACGACGTGCTGATAGTGGATTGTTGAGGAACAATAATGCCATGCTTATGCTCCCTACATGTTGCACAGAAAATAGTGCGAATATGACATCCACGGCCAGCTACAAAGTGGCATGCGTCTCTGGCGATCCATGTTCGTAAGCTATCAGCTATAACATGTGGGCGTATCAGCCACCAGGCACATAGCCTAGCTGTTGTAGTCCCCAGTGCTGCAGGGCAGAGTAGACGTGCGTCGGGAAATTACTTGTTGTACCCGCATCGCCACATTGCGACATTTGCAAAGGGGGCTTTTTTTGTTGGCAACGAGATGCTTCCGGCAGTTACACGCTTCGTGTTCGCACAGCGCGTCAACCGCAGAGCTCAAAGGCATTGAGAAGGATGTGTTCCGCATTTTGTATGGCAACAAATAGCGTAGTGCCTTGTCAGGAGTGTAAGTTACTTCTAGTACTGGTTTCTATATGGCTTGAGCAACTCTTCGGAATGCTCTAGCAATGGATGGATGTGCTCCCGGAAACTTGGCCCCCTCACATCGTACGCCTGTCCAGTGTGTAAACTTTGAATCTCAAATTTTCGGATGCACATATTCACCAGCATCCTCCTACTTTGCTTTCATCAACACAATTACAACTGTTCATCTCTCTAAATTATGCATAGGGTCGTTCAATAATAATAATAAAATCAGATCATTTGTTGTTTGTCAAAGACTGCTTTGACAACCAGGGACATGTAGTGTCGTAGTATGGTTGCAGGAAACCCAGCCCGGCTTCTCTTCAGGATCACGCCTATGACTACTTCTAAATCCTGTCATCCTCAAAATACCAATACCAATAAAGTAAAGCATGCTTGCTGTGGTAGCCAAGCAGATGGGAATAGAAACATAAACAGGAACGTACTATGGCTAGTGTTTTCGCTATGTTGTTCATTAGGCGTCATTGACATTGAGATGCTATCAGCGCGAAGTCATACATGAACGCCTCAACGACAGGAGTGAGAGACAACACTTTTTCACTCGAATACTCACCAGAAGAGAGCCTTAGCTTAGCATGTGTATCCACTCTCTACTTTCAACTCAAGGAAGTATCATACGCTACGACAATGTCGCGTCTTCGTCTTGTCTAAAACCGAATATACCATTTATCATGTGTAAATTCCCATTGCGCTGTTAATCTAAAGTCAGCATTGCTAGACCAGAATCAATGTGTCATCAATTATGAGCTCATCAAGTGCGAAAGTGACAGAAGACATTCTTATTCTGCTTTCTCGTTTCGAAAGCTTCCAAATCGGCCATGTGACTTCGTCCTTCTTTAGACCAAAACATACCACAGTTAACAACATTTTGGTCTTCTCTTCTTGTCCTAAATGATGCCATTTTGGTAATTTGTGGGCACGTTGTAGTATACGATCATATCCACAGCAGGGTTCAGGAAGACACCTTTTTTACTTTGTTTTTCTAGAAGATGTCAACAAGAGTAAATGCGTCTGCCTGGTTTTGAAAGAAAAGCAGCACGCAGTTATATTTCCTAGTCCTTTTTTCCCTTCGTCTAAGAAAAAGGAAAATGAGCTCTGTATGCGCTGTCGCTCTCCATTTCTGGAAGATGAGTGGAAGCTGAGCATGCATCTGGGCTCTTCTTCCAACGAAATCTACCCTTTATCGATTCCGCGGAGTTTATGCCTTTCTTTCTATGTATTCTCTATTTGATTTTAGGTGTCGACGAATCAATTGATAGCTGTTCTTATCAACTCCATGCTCCTCACACTTTTACAATCACTGCCACACCCGCCTTGTGCGACAAAAAGGTGGAGAAGGATGCTGTATGTGCTGTGTACACGAAGAATGAAAACAAGGTGGAGTAGTTCGTGTGCCGGCATAATTGCGAAGTTGTTGGCTTCTGTTTATGGTTGAGGTCTTGCTGCTTCTTTCTAGTGATGGTGTAGAGTATCGAAATAGAGTATGCTAATCCATATGTCAGAAGCTGGAGAACAGGAAAATTAAGCCAATAAGGACAGCATAATGCAGGTTCATAGAGAACATGCGGGCGAAGACGAAAGAAGCCGTTGATATGACTATATCCTAAAAATCTTCGATTTTCTTTGATTGTTTCGAGAACGTAGTCGTGGCAAAACAGTACTTCTGAATACATGAAGAGCAGCTTCCCTCTACTTATCAGTCGCAAAAATCGGCAAAAAAGATGAAGTAAACAAAACAAAAAGCATCCTCCTCCGGGAAGGCTCGAACTTCCAACCTCCTGATAGCCACTGGTGTAACAGTCAGACGCGCTAGCCAATTGCGCCACAGAGGATTTGTTCTGAGAATCTGCAAAGCATGACTTCATGTCATGGTGGTTCCAAACCATAGAGTCAGTTCCACACCAATGAAGACATCTAGTAATTGCTACATCCTTGCTGAGTTTTCGCATCAAACGCAATGACCCTGCTTCTCATATATTGTATTTTGCAGATCTCTTTGTTCAGTGTTCCCATGACGATGTGCCTATCCACGCACAATAATGATTGCGGACGTACTCAGAACATGCGTTGTTTTATTCGAGCGGTAGTCATGTCGTCTGGATTCCAAGTGAAACCGTCTTCTTCAGTATTCTTGGCTTCGGGTATGCGATGTTTGGCATGTGGCTGTCGCATACTTCCATCCATACTGGTGGTTTGGAAGTTTCACGTCCGGTCTTCGACGAACGATTTCAATATGCTTGTTCGCCAGTGACGAAAAGTTAGATGATCGTGGCGGATTTTGCTCGTCCGAGTAGTGCTTCGTCTTCCATTACACGCCTCAACTCCCATCAACCTCAAAAGCCCTCACGAACCACGCATGCCGTCCACTCCCTACAAGTCTCGCCGAGACTCGCGGCATGTCATTCTCTTCAACACTCCTCTCTTCCTCAGTCAACGGATCCGACCACTCAAGCCACGCTTTGTCCTTAAGACAAGCACCCCACGCCAAAGTCTTACTTGGGAACATGCCAATGCAAAAAGCGCTTTGCGGTCCCTCATGAAGCGCCAGAAAAACCACCTCCTTGCTAACCTCGTTGCTAAGATCCTGCTGACTATCAAAGCGGGCCGTAGGCTGACTATCAGGATGCGGGATATCTAGCCTCATAACCCCGTTGTCAAACTTGTGGCTCTTATCCTCCGGTACAACGGCCGTAACACCTGTGCGCTGCATGGTGTGCGAAACAATCTTAATGCGGCCCGTTGGACTCAGGTACTCGCTTCCATCCAGCAGCCCTTCTCTTGAGAATGAATACGCGCCATGTCGAAACGCAGCGGCAGTCACGGTATCGATACTGGAATACACGCCAAGGAACTGGCTTGGTTGTGTGTTATACGGATAAGGGACGTATTCCAATGCGAAGAAATTAAGCGGCGGCGTAATTGCACCCACAACGCTTGCCGGTCTGCGTTTCTGCAATCTGTTGCGAGGCCGTTCTTGTCGTTCATGTAGGGATTCTACTTTCGGTGGTTTGTGTAATTTGCCGTAGGTCTGGGGTTTGCGTTTAAGGGTACTAGTGGAGCTTATCATTGTTGGGTCGCTGTTTGAGCGTCTATGGTTGCTGCGGCGCCTCTTCGTATCGACTCTTTCTTCGTATTTAACTTTGGCATAATTACATATTGTGCCTAACTCTCCGAGTTGGAAAGGGGCCATCGCGATGATTATTGTTGTTGAAGCCGTGCTAGCCGGTCTCCGGCAAAGCGAGTGACGCGAGGAGATCCGGCAGAGTAAAAGAAAGAATGTGAGAAAGGACGTTTGACGGGCAGCGATGGGCAAAGGTAAAAGTACAGGTGTTGCGAGTTATTACCGTAGCATGCTGGCCTTGCTCCGCAATGGCACGTTTCACCTTACGACGACGGGGTTAGACGTGCAGCATTGTTGCAGGTAGGGATGTGTTATTGGTACAAGATGCGTCATACGGAGTGACGCAGCCAGACACAGCCACGTACGCTAACCCTATGCGGCTGTATCGATAAATCCTTCATCGGTCCCAAACTTGCCTGCCTGATCAACATCATGGTCAAAGTCTGGACTCCTGACGGACGACATGTGAACGTAAAGGCTAACAACTAGGTGCGATTTCTACTGCGTTGGAAACTTAGTCGAGCTTCTACAACGGCGGCCATAACTGAGCAACACAATCGACAACAATTATAGGCTTATCGTCCATTCACTCACTTCTCGACATGATTTTCAGGCTGAAGATGTTGAACCATGTGCACATCATCATTCTAAACTTGTGATGGAAATTGTTGACCTCACCGCCTTAACCACTTCATCTCCAAGCAGCCTTGACCCACTCCTCGACATCCGCCCAAAGCGTCTCAGGCCTCTCCAACGCCGCGAAGTGCCCACCACTCTCGTGCGCCCTGAAAAAGGCAATCTTTGCCGTCTTCTCTGCCCAAGCCTTGGGGATAGGCGCCAGTTCAAAAGGGAACCAGCTGTACCCCGTCGGCTTGTCCACATATTTTGTTTCCTTAGCCTCTCTGTATGTGTATATTGACGTAGGGTAGCAACCAGTAAGCCAGTAGAGGGTGATATCAGACAAAATGGTATTGAGTGAAGGTGTAGTGGAAGGATCAGACCACGCAAGGAACTTCTCGCCAATCCAGGCTAATTGTGCAATGGGCGAACTGGAAAGTACAAGACCGATGGTGGAAGGTTTGGTGCCATGTTCGATTGCATAGGCCCGGCCGACTTCCATAAACTCGGTCATCCTCTGGATACCTTTCTTCTCCGCTTCACTAATATTGTCTTCCGGCGAAGAATAAGATTGAATGTTCCTGCTGTGCATGAAGTTGAGATGCATGCCTTTGCATTCGACGTACGTGGCTGCTATCTCTCGCGAAATGAGACTGCCAATATCACCGCCCTGGACGAGGTATCCTGATGGCCCAAATCCAAGGGAAAGAAGAAGCTTGTGCATGATGCGGGAAGTGTCCGCAACTTTCCAATCTTTTTGTAAAGGAGGGTCAGATGACAAGCCAAAGCCAGGGAGAGACGGCGCAATGATGTGGTAAGGGAGAGTATCTGGCGTGTACTTCTTGCGCAAGAGATCCATAAGAGGCAGAAACTCCAGAAATGAACCTGGCCAGCCATGAAAGAACGCTATAGGGATAGCATCTGATTTGTTCGAGAACAATGCCACAAAATGGACGTCGTAGCTGCCGCTGTCATCGTCCTTGATCGTAGTCTTGAAGTTGGGGAAAGAGTTGATCCGGTCCTCTTCCTTGCGCCTATATCATCACATTACAACAACATCTTTCGGATCGTTGCGAGAGTATACATACCAATCGAACTTCTCAACCCATTCCTTCTTTGTATCAACGATCCACTGCCGGCTGACTCCAAACTTGCCATGGCTTCCCTCATCTTGCTTGTTCTCGTACGTGTCTTTTGCGACTGGACTCAGTTTGAGCAGAGTCTTGAATTCCTGCAGCTTCTGTTCTTCGACGTGCAAGTCGAAGGGTGTGGGTTGCTGTTGCGCACCTGCTGGCGTGGAGCTGAAGGATTTGGTTGACGTCATTTCTGTCATCTCTTCGGCGCTGGCAAGAATCGTGATTGTAGGCTTCAGGGAGGTATCCGGTGATTTTCTGTAGGTGACAGCTATAACAGTAGACTTATATCTTGTCGTGAAGTTGAAGCTGCAATCGGTGAGCTTACAAATGCCTGCTGGGTTACGTACAGTACACTGCGCTAAGTCTAGGATAGGCAATCACCATTTGACCTCTTGTGGGGTATGATCTGCACACTTATGTCATGGCACGCCCTCTCATAGGCCGCAGCGTATACAGATGTCAATCGGAGCATTACAAATGCATGCATATCAGAACTTACACGCGTGTAGTGCTGCGAATCAAAGGAATTGCAACACACTTTGGCGTTGCAACACTAGTTGGAGAAACCTGCCTTGAATGCGTGACCCTCGTATTGCTAATGTACATCGTATAATGTACAGCTGTACTGCTACAACTCGATGATAGAACTCTCCGTATGATTCTTGCATCTGTCTCGCAAATTCAGGCAATACGATGAACTGAAAACTTGTTTTGGATTGGAAACGAACCTACTCGCTCATAATAAGCCAACCACCTCCACCCAAAAACACAGCAAATACTACTATAGTAAGAATTGCCGCACCAGCTTTATCCCCCGTCGTGATGGCGTCATGCTCAATCCGCACATTTCCCCCGTCACTACCCGCGGTAGGGTCATTCTCACTGATTCCACCAGTATCGAGTCCCACGGGCCCAGAGACTTGATCAACAAGCAAGTTCTGCATGACTTCCAATGCAGACATTTGCTCTCCAACGCCCACTTCTCCATCATTCACACCGCCTCGCCACCACCTGAGGCCGCATCCACCTTTTCCGGCACTGCATTGTTGAGCGGCGGCTGCGGCGGAGGTGCGGAGTTTTGGCATGATCCTGTCGCGGGTCCAGGGAGCGCTCAGCATCGTGTAGCCCATCCATCGGCTGAGGTAGGCCTTGAATGAGCGTTGGTCGTGGTCGCATAGTCCGTTGCGCTCGCAAGCCATCTCGATCATGACACCTGGGGCGCCTTCGGCGTTGAAGAAGATGTCTGTTCCATTAATGATGCCACCCAGGCGCTCTCGCCACCTGCCCGCTGCTTCCTATGTCACGTTAGATATGCTTGTTTACTTGCGGATGTCGAATGAGCCTTACCGCATCACCGTTCGTTTCTGACATGTTCCACAACGCTGCAACGCCAGACATGTGGATTCCAGCGTTGTAGGTCCATTGGATATGGTTCTTTTCTGTGCAGTTCTGCCTCTCGCTGGTTCCGTCTGTAACAAGGAGATGTCAAGTCAGTATATGCATCACCTGAGGTTTTTAGGCTGGCGTTCTTACCGAAGAAGTGGTAATCCGGGCTAATGAGACCGACAGAGTATTGCCAGTCCCATGCTCGCTCCGCCCACTCGACATATGTCGCGTTGCCTGTGTACTTTGCTAATCTTGCTGCAATGTTAAAAAACGCTCCATTTGAGATAGTGTTTTTGTAGTCGAATCCATTGTTGAATCGGAAAATTTGCCAGTTGAGTCCACCACCACAGGTCTGGGTATTCCAACGCGGTGCCTGCGTGTTGAATACTGCGATGGCGAGTGACAACCACGACATCTCTCCCTCGACGTCCGGAAGCTTAGTCTCCGCTGCGGACATGGCAGTCATCCCCCAGAAAGCTTGATCGTCATTTCCCAGTGTACTGGTTTGGTTGTCCGGCATGAAGGCTTTCGGGTTTCCAATCTGATGCACCATTGCTTGCCGTGTAATAGCATTATATGTGTCATCGCCGGTATAGTACCAGTAGTCGATGAAGGAATTAAACATGGCTCCGCATAGCCACCAGTAGTAGGGATCTGGCAAGTTTCCGGGTACATCGCCCGGCCGGTCACCAGTGTACCATTCTCTTAGACCTGCCGCCACAACTTTGGTAGCTTCTCTAATAGAGGCTGGCTACGTTAGTGGAGTTTGAAAACAGTCGCAGTGTGCCCACCTGGATCGTCAACATTGAGCTCCAGCGCGGATGTGGCAATCGGCGACAGCAGGCCAACCGCCGCAAAAACAAGGTTCGAAGGTCTCATTGCGGGATCTCCGGGGTATCACTAGAAAGTAAGGTGTTCGGAACTCGGCATGCGTATGAAAACGAAGGTGCCTGAGGCACTACACAGCGAGCGATGTAGTGGAGCCTGAGGTTGGTAGGATGATAGTGAAGGAGAGTGAGAAGGCCAGGACAGCAGCATTCTGGGGCTGCGAGTCGTGATGTTATGAAACCCCTTCCGCCTTCAGCCAAGTAACGGCGCTGAGCCGCAGCAGTAGCTGGGCGACAGTGCAATGCTTGGAAGTCATCCTTCCGCGTTGGTACGAGGCTAGGGTTGGATCGTTTAAATGACTACGAAACCCAGAAAGGCTTGGCGATCTATTCGGGCCCTGGATACCATCTCCTATCATAATTGCGCGCGGTTTCCGTTTGACATTGTACAAAGGGGGTGGTGTGCGTAATGCAAGTCGCCAAGTTTGGAGATGACATTGGCGTTGCTTGGAAATGTCTTGGGCGCCGAGGAGCTTAGCTACTCATAACGCCGACACGTCGTTCCGCCACGTCCGGGCGACTGCACTGCGATCAAGGAAATCGCATTTGTTCCTGCATCGTGGATGATGCGGGGAAGATCAAATGCGCTTCGCTACACGTCATTGGGATCGCGCGGGCCGGATGATCGGGTGCGACGCGTGCTAGGGTTGTGGTGCAGCCGGGTATCCGAGACAGTCGCGCCAGCAGAGAAGATGAGAAGTGATTCTTTCGGATGCAGCAAGTTTGCGACGTTAGCAGTTGATGGTCAGAGCAATGCACGTGCACGATCTAGAGTGCCCACCTGGATAGGCGGCATTGTGAGTGCGGGGGAGGGTTCCTGGGATTGTCAAATCTCATATTGTCTAACATACCTAGGTATGCTTTGGGGAGTCAGGACGTTGGTGTTTCACAGTTCTATTACTTTTCCTGCATCGCCAAACCCTACTTATTGTGTGCACCTGTGTGTACGTGCTAACGAACTATCGTCAGCAAAATCCCAAAAATAGCCAAAATCAAACCACAAAGACAGAAACTTTGCCTTTTTTGTGCGTAACAACAACCACGTGTAACAGAACCGTCGATGGAATCAACGTGCTGCATCTTGCTGTGGACGTAGAAATCTCAACTGCCTGATTATCTCCGAAGTCCTCATAGTCACACACTGCACATTTGGCTCAGGAAAGCGATCTGATTCCTGCCTTGGCTTTTCGGGATAGGCGGACAAAGCGTGTTGTGGTCTTTTGGTAGCTCTGCGTCTGAGCCAACCCCATTCTCGGTGTTGGCCTAGGGTAGGGAAGTCTTGGTCATCACATGTACGTCACCGTTTTGACTACACTGCCTTAAATGGTAAAGAAGACTGGGGTGCATATAGGTACATACATTAGTGAGATTGGGTTATTGAGGCTAGAAGGGTAGTTAGGTATAGTAGGGAATAGCGCGCTCACCTTCAACCATGCTTTGTCTGGTCGATACAAAACAGCAGACATACACTCGAAAACCGATTGAGTACTTTACCCTCCAACATCTCGCTAGCCTTCAATGACCTGCGTCGACCTTCATCTGCTCGACTAACCAACTCCTGAAAGCTTTCGCCTTGCTAATTGTTCCTATAGCCGCCGTCGTGTCCATGTGGCTAGCAATTGAGAAGGCTTCAACGACATGCACCGCCGCTGCCTCATCATCTTCATCGAAAGGTATCAAATCTAGAAACTGCCTCAGAGTGATGGAACCCAGCTTGACTCGCAACTGTACGATATAATCGACGCTAGTAACGTCCATGACGGTCAGTGATGTTGGTGTGATAAGCTCCCATCCATTGTTCCTAGTAGAGCATTGTCGAGCGTAAAGCTGCTCGGCTGAAGCTAGCTGTACGAATGCTCGAGCGACCGCGCCTTTGGTAGTGGTGTGTGTTTTTGAGATTTCTAGAATTTCTATGAAGTCGTCTAGCGAGGCGGTTCCTATAAAGGTATGTCGGTGCTTGTACTCCAGATCCCGTTCTTCTGCGGGCCATGTATCCGATTTGGTAGCAGGATACGCGGCCTCGTCGCCAACCAACGGCTGGGTCAAATCCTCAGTATCAGGCTGTCTAGATTGCTGGGTTCCGCTGCGCTGACCAGCATGCGAGTTCACTGGGAGATTCAGAGAAATTCTTTGACGGTGTCTGCCCCTGTGAACATTGGCTGTGGGCTCTTTAAAGGGATTTGCCCTGAACAAAAACAGGCCATCATTCGTCTTTGCTCTCGACCGCAAGGAAGTTGGAAGTGTTTCGGCAACGTCAACGGCCGAACTAGACGAGATGTGCCGGCAGTGTCGGACATACCTCCTCGACATTGGAGTCGGTTCGTAATCTTTGACTTGATTGGCGCACTTGGCTGACAATCTCTTCCCTAGGATGTCGTTGTGATCTGTGCAATCCGGAAAGTCTTCACCGCAGCCTGACGGGCTGACTGGACATAGGGGCGCATCTTCAAAGAGGGTCGCATCCGAGGTTGGCGATGCTGTATCACTTGGTACCTCAGAGTGCGTTGACCGAACACTGATTTTGGATGTACAGTCATCTCCAGAGGGAGGGAAGCGAAAAGTGGTCAAGATCGGGTATTCTTGTTTGGCCATGTCTTGCGACGCTTGTGTTGCAGTACTGCATTCATTCGAAATTGGTTCTTCGAGATAGATATCCTGATCATCTACGTCCGCGACTGTTGGCGCGGTCGGGGCGTTTCTATCCGTCTTGGGTTGTAAAGCCAGCAAAACAGCGCTGCTGGTACGTTGGCGCTTTGTGGTTGGCACCCAAACGCTAGATTTGCGTGAATGCACTATCGTGGCTCTATGTTAGCTTTCGTCCCAAGAATTTTGCCAAATTTGTACGTGATTATAACCTACTTGTTGCTTCACTGGTCCTGTCCAAAGCGACAATCCTCATCACACCTGTCTCTGTGCAACAGTGCTCTCTCACTGTCGGTGACCTGAGTGGCTGTGAACTCTCCATCAACCTTTGCTCCTTTCGTGATCCGTCATGCGACACGTCCTCAAACGTGACACTCAAAAGCTTGACGTGGTGGTTGGGGCGACCGCGATTGGTCGCATCACAGCAAGGCTGTTTCCTTCGGCGCAAATATTCGTTTGCGACCGCGCAGCGAGCAACAGTTGATGGCTTCATAGCAGCTATGAGTCTGTATGGTGTTCGTACGCTTATAGCGACTGCGCGCAGGGGGCCGTCGGGCGATTGTTGTGACGGAGTGAGGAGCATGCGTATCGAGAACACATGGCAACAAACAAATCCGCATTCCACTCCCACCAGCCGGAGTAGCTCCAGACGATCGAAAGGATATAGGACAATTAGAAGCGCGTAGTACAGCCAGACAATACGTATCATCGCCTCGTTGGTGAGCGCACTCCCCAGGAAGGAGCCAGGGCCAGGTTTCTCATCAGCTATCAACTTGAACATATATCGACCGCTATACACACCTTGCCACCGTAGTCAATAACGATACCGGGTTGTCAAGAGAGGTGAGTGGTGTTGGCTGGGACGGCGCCAAGTCGAATATTATTGTGACATCTTGCGACCCTAACCATGTGACGGCTGACAGATAAAGAAGGAACAGTACAGGGCAGGATAACTCAACGACAACAGAGACGAACATCATGAGAGTGTCAACGCAAAGCCATCGGTGGTTGTCTAACTCATTTTCTTTGCTTGGAGACCAGGCATTTCAAGCGCCTATTCCCCTGCCCCGTCCACGCGCTACCCGAACACTGTGAGGGATGAATTTGAGTGAAGACATGCTGGAAGTTAGACTGTCCATGGGGTCGGCTGACTGGACAGCAGTAGCCGGCTTCGTGGCAGTAACTGTTGCTGCCTCTTCGCGTCCGAGCCCGCGACCACCAAATCCTCCACGCCCATGAAGCTTGGTGGGATACCGACGAGTATCTCCCTCGTCCTGTTCCGTATCCATGGTATCGCCTACTATGCTTGCATTCGACTCACCTCTCCGCCGTCCAGTAGCGTTGCTCGCTGAGCTCATGGTAGAGCTTCTGCGTCGATGAGAGGGTATTAACATGCTACTTCTGCGGTCTATACCATCCTTCACAACAATGAAGTCGAACTCGCGGGGAAATTGGTGTTTGTCTATACAGTGCAGGCGGCGCTTTTGTGGCGTGCTGCACATGCGATCGCACTCCGGTAGAAGACAGGCATACTGTAGGTTATCAGCTACAACATTCAAACGACAGTACTATAACCCCGCATACCTCATCAATCTCGCTCCAATGGACAGGTGAAGGCGTCGGGAGGAAGATGCCCCTCGATAAGGGAAAGGAGCGAACACGTGACAAGCTATGTGCGGAAATGACCTACCGTTTTCTCTCCTTGATCTCGTTTAGCAGCATTGATGGGATCGTGGTACTCTGCGATGTGCAGATGGAGATAATGCTGATCTGGAAAGTTCTTGTGGCATTCGCTGCATCGGTTCATGTGGACCTGCTGATAGTGCACATCGTGATCCTCAATAGACGCGAAAGCCAGCGGCTCGTGTGGAGGCAGTGAGCACTTCATGATGGTTGGTTCGTCAGAGATGGCAGATTCGGTATCTAAGTGGACAATCTTGATGTCGACAGACGTCTCACGCGAGTAGGGTGTGCTGTCTGATGACGAGGAATCGCGGTGTGAGCGCTTGATCCCCATTATATGTTGATTGGGGTTGATTATGAGTGTGACAAGGCGTAGATGAGAGGGGCAGTACCTTTTACCGGCGAGAGTGCTGTCTCGCAGGGCTGTTTCACCTTGGTGTTGGCCGTGTGGTGGAGGAGGGAGATTTGGTACTCAGATAGGTTGAGCCGTGGTACCTTAGCTCCGAGACTGCTGCCCGCTAGTTCGCGACTCATCAACCAACCTTACTTTCTCTCACCTCACACGACGGCCATCGCCTCCCACTCTGACGCCATACATCCGCGTCTTGGGCGCTGTTTGCCTCCGAGACCCTTCCGATCGCTGATTGTCCTACACGCAGGGCATACAACTTCACCATAAATGGAGCACGCCAGCCACAACGTCCGCCGCCTGCTCCGTGCCTTCGTCTGACCTGCCCGCCGACCGTGGGGTCACATAGGAACGTCGCCGGCTCCTGCACACCGAAGGCATGGCCGCGAACACTGAACAACTTGACAGGTGTGTCCTGGCGTCATCACGACCATGCCCGCCGAGTGCTAATAGAGTGTAGGCGGGCCAAGGCGATTGAGAGGGAGCTTTATAAGCGCGCTGATGGCGGTTCTTCGTGCGCCGAGTTAGCTGCGGTACTGCAAGAGTAGGGCACTATTGCCGCTTCCAGCAGGCGACGACTAACGCTCGACAGGTACCGCGCCGCCTGCGAGGCCCTCATCTTCTCCAACTTCGAGTACGCATCCGCCCGCGAACTCCAGACGACGCTGTGGAATGCGCACCTGAAGGTCAACACCAAATTCAGGCAGGAACATAAACTCGTGCGTCATCGGGACAACAAGGGCAAGAGACAACGCTAATATCTGGCCAGCTCAAGCGCTCCAAGGACCATGTTGTCGAGATCCGAAAGTTCCAGAAGACGTATCTCCAGTTCATCAAAGCCAGCCAGCGCTTCTACCGCCAGTACATACTGAACCTTGACACTCAATTCGACGGCATTCCAGAACTGCGCAAAATCGCCCAAAAATGGAAGGATGATAGTAAGCACGTCCGGCTCGCTCCACGCGATGCCACTGACAGTAGAGCAGCCTCCAAGTCATCACCGCGTCAGCGCATACCCGCGAAACTCAAGACACCGGTCCTCATCTCTTGCCACCAAACGCTCATCCAACTCGGCGATCTCTCCCGCTACCGCGAAACCGAACTCGTTGAGAAGAACAAGGAGCGCAACTGGGGCCCGGCTAAAGGCTACTACGATCTCGCCGCAGAGATATATCCAGATTCTGGGCATGCGCCAAACCAACTCGCAGTAATCGCGCGCGAGGACGGCGACCACTTCCGCTGTGTATATCACCTCTATCGCTCGCTAGCAAGCAAGGAACCGTACCCGTCGGCCAAGGCAAATCTGGCAACTGAGTTCAAGCGCGTCATTACCGCATGGGATAATGGGCAGCTCATCAACAATCACAAATCAGCCGACGGTAATACCGGTCGGGCTTTAATTGCTTGGTTCATCAGACTGCATAGCAAGCTCTACAAGGGCGAGGAGTTCGCTGCTCACGATGAGCTAGAGGGCGAAGTGCTCAGCCATTTGGCTATCGAGCTTAAAGAGCGCCCATTGGACTCCATTCTGACCAAGATCATCCTCATAAACATGTCCGCGGAATATTTTGCGACGGTGCAGTTGCAGAGTAAGCTCCTCAATCTTCACAAACTGACTATGCTAATTCCTATAGGCGAGAATCCACCCCCGAACATCATGCGCACATATTTCTATTACCTTCGTCTGAATGTCAAGACATTCTTTATCCTTTTGCAGGTTCTACAACCTGAACTGGATCGCCTGTCCGAAGGCAATGACGTGAAGCATCAGAACGGCGATCGCGCCGCCCACTTGTCCGACAAGATCACAGCTGTAGCACGCCGCATCCTCCCAGGTCTTCGCCTGTACAGCACCTGGTTTACGCGCTACTGGAAGGTACTCAACGCCAATATCGCGGATACATTGAACACAGTAGATGTCCAGGAGCTCTGGAAAGCCTATGCTGCGACGCTTTCGCTTTTGGCCTCGAGCTTCCCTGTCGATCAGCTTCCGCAAGAGAACTACATGCTCGAGGAAGACACGGACACGATTGGCTTCGAGCCGTTGATCCACCCAGACACTATGAAGCTCTGGTATGACGGAGATGTCATGAAGCAGAAATGGACTGAGTTAGAGCGCAACCACCCGAACGTCGAGATGCTCATGCGAGTCAAGGATCTGCTCATCGACGGTTTGCTCCTCACGCAGAATGATGATGCTCCGCTGGACTTGGACTTGGCAGGCTCACGATTCATCTACCGAGAAGCAGGTCTACCATCGGAGCTTTTGGCGAGTCCCACGAACCGACCTGACGGATCTCCCGTTCTGCCGGTCCAAACAACCGATCTGCCTTTATTTGAGCATACGCATGCGCCTATTCCAGATGACCAGAAGTCACACTCTGTTGCGGCAGCTTCGGAGTCTGCATCCACTACGCTTGCTAAGGATAACGCGATGCGCAACATGGTGGACGATCTGGTAGGTGACGAGACTGGACTGGACCCTTTAGTTGAAGAAGACGAAAATATTCCGCCTACACCACCAGAGCAGACATTCGATGACACGGCCGTTGTCAACGATAACACATTTGTGCCTGCGGCATTGTCGATCAACGACTTGGTCAACTCGGTTAGGAACTACAAGCCCTTGTCTCCCGCTCCCATGCCCACGATGCTCTCCACGCCAATGGGAAGGTCCGGTTCTACTTCTTCTATCCGCCAGCCACCGAACTTGCCCTCTGTGCCTGATGGTCAGTGGAACTCGAATTCTATTTGGAATCGTACGCCTGGTCCAGCATCTCCCTCCATGCTGAACACCAACGGTCTGGGTAATGATCTCCGAAGATCTCCCATGAATAGTATGAAACCCAGGTTGTCTGGCCATGTGCGAGGTGACTCGGCAAATTCGCTCCTGAGCGTCGAGACTGGCACTCCTATCGCTACTCGGGCTCCTAGCGGCATTGGTAGTGGTGCTGCTTGGGGAACTCAGGTCGGCAGCCCCTCAAACTGGGGGTCGGCATATGGCAGTGATTTCAACAACCACCACCAATACGCATACGCAAATAGTGCAAGCATGGCGAGTCCGCTCCTGTTCAGCTCGTACCGTGATGGTGCTGAGAGCTCTTGGGGGCGCACCCCTCCAAACGGCCAAGGCGGTTGATCTGACCCCAACGCAGCCGTAGCAGGCTGCTCAATGCTGTCTTCTCATCAGTGGTTATTGTCATCAGACATGCCGTTCGCCAGACTACCCGTTCTGTGTACTACAAGACTGTCATGCCCGAGCTGAGGAGCTCGTTGGAAGGCTTCCGAGAATGCTCTCCGACTGAATGAGCGCACGTATCCTTCTGAATGCTGGATGTGTGTTCCTACAATGCTTTCGCTTGCGAGTCAGAACTTGTTCTTGACGTCGGTCGAAGATCAAGGGGAACTTACTTAGAAGGGGAATTTTTTGCTTTACAGACTGAAATTATTGCACTATTGCTTGGGTTTGTCCTGATTGCCTGCTCGTCAGGCTATTGTTGGGCTTGATGCATGGCTTATCTTCCTCAAACACCAAGACTCTGAGTCGTTGGATGGAAGATGGGTTAAGTTTCAATGCTCAACCTCTAGCTTAGGAAGTTTTGTTTTACTTTATCATTATGACATGGAGTTATGCGAACACTCTTGATTCTTGACATTCTTGTACTGCTGTTCTCGACAGGCTAATTATATTTCGACTGAGGTAGCGGTGGCCTGACATGTCGTGAGCCTCGTTCGAGAGCAAGATCTTGTCTAAAATATACACAACACTCGAAGAATTCGTCCTTCTCCTGCATTACATATCTGATCTTCCAAGATGTCGCCCTCTCTCGCATGCTCGGCGAGATTGTTCACTCGGCTACACCTTCCTTGTTTGAGTCGGCGCATGCCTATCGGCGTAATTTTTAGCGTGGAGCTTGCTGCCCCTCGCTGTCCGAAACCCTGCCCCACATTCAGCACTTTCTCTCCATTACGACACCAACAGAACCTCTTTTCATCCACTACAACCAAAATGCCTGGAAACTACGAACTATTGTGCCTCGAGAACCCGCTTCTGGACATCCAGGGTGTTGGGTAAGTCTGCTTTTCCTTTGATTAGGGCCACAATGCTTCGAAACAACTGCCGAGCAGCACAGCGACCTTTGCTAACAGCTAGCAGTGACCAGGCTCTCCTCGACAAGTATGGCCTGAAGGCCAACGATGCTATCCTCGCCGACCCAGAGAAGCACATGGGCCTGTATGAGGACTTGCTCCAAAACTACAACGCTGTCCTCATCGCTGGTGGTGCGGCACAAAACACCGCCCGTGGTGCAGCTTACATCCTCGAGCCCAAATCGGTCGTCTACATCGGATGCATTGGCAAGGACAAGTACGGCGAGACTCTCGAGAAGATCTCTGCCGATGCTGGTGTCAAGACTGAGTACCTCTACGACGAGAAGACTCCTACTGGTCGCTGCGGTGTTGTCATCACTGGCCACAACCGCTCCATGTGCACCGACCTCGCTGCTGCGAACAACTACAAGATCGACCATTTGAAGCAGGACCACATCTGGAAGCAGGTCGAGAATGCCAAGGTCTTCTACGTCGGCGGCTTCCACTTGACCGTCAGCGTGCCGGCTATCAAGGCACTGGCTGAGGAGGCTGCTGCCAAGGACAAGGTACGACAAGTCCTGACGTGCTGAGGGAAGATCAATGTACTGACTGAATTCTAGCAATTCATCCTCAACCTTTCTGCGCCCTTTATCTCACAGTTCTTCAAGGACCCTCTTGATGAGGTCCTCCCATACGTTGACATCGTCATCGGCAACGAGACTGAAGCCGCCGCCTTCGCCGAGGCGCATGGCTGGGAGACCAAGGACGTGAAGGAGATTGCAAAGAAGATTGCCAGCACACCCAAGAAGAACACCAAGCGATCCAGGACTGTCATCATCACTCAGGGCACTGACCCTACCGTCGCCGTAACCGCAAAGGAGGGCGGAGACGCCGATGTCAAGGAGGTTGCCGTACACGCCATCAAGGAGGAGCAGATCAACGACACCAACGGTGCCGGTGACGCTTTCGCTGGAGGTTTCGTTGCTGGTATCGTCCAGGGCAAGCCGCTCGAGAAGGCCATCGACATGGGTCAATGGCTCGCCAAGCTCAGCATCCAGGAGCTCGGCCCTTCATACCCGCAGCCCAAGCAAACTTACAGCAGCTAAGCGTCCTCACATCGAGTGAGCGCTGAAGCTCGTGTATTTCAACAATCTACGAGGGCATGCCTCCGCGAGAAGGTTCGTGCTTACCATGCCTAGCAGCTGTCGTCGATGTGCTCAGCTAGGTATAGGTATCGTCGAGGCATCGTGATGGTGTTTCTGGCGTAAGACAAAAGAAGGATCTGGCCTTTCAACAGCCGGAGATAGATACCCTCAGCTTTGATGCTGCTAAAACAAATGAACAAATGAACGAATAAGACAACCAAAGGGTCCATGCTATGCTTTTACAAGTGGCAGTATTGCGCCCGATTTAGTACGCGTGTACCTTCTTCTTAATGCAAGAGCAGAAGTATTTTCGCCATATACATAAAAGCCACTACTGACAGATCAAGTGTGTTACTACTATATATACTCGCAGTATCCAGTATAGAGTTTGACCGCGAAAACTATATTGAGCCTACATTATCTCCTTAAAACAAAACTTACAAAGATTAAGTGTTGTAGTCTTGCCTGTTTCTATCCACATCTGTATAGCTCCTAGTATATTCTTTTATAGAAGGAAGGAGCACTCTTAAAAAGGATATTTATCTTTTCTCTTTGATACAGTGGTGTGGATTGCGAGCTGTATCTGGGTTTTTATGACAGAAAAACATCACTTGGAGGACTCCCGCGATGGATTTGCAACCCGTATATGGGCATTGTGGTTCTTCACTCTACCAATTGGTTATTTAATTCGCCGAGTATGGTTAAAAAAAACGGAATGGCGAAGATTATCATGCTTGCTAATACGTTTCTTGTCGACCGATTAGGTTCCTTGTTCCGAACGAAGCGGTTGCATCAGCCACGGCCAAATGCAGCAAGTAAGAAGACAAAGACTTGTCTGACCCACGAGATTGCGAGGATAAGTAGAAAAAGTTCTGTATAGGGTTTTGTTACGAAGGAGACAAGCATAAAGACAAGGCGTTATCAGGCACGCCAGGTAATAAAAACTGTGTGGGAAGCGCGCTATGTTTTTAAAATAACCGTTTTAAACATTGTACTAGGTTCAATGTGCACTGCTTTCCTCTGAGAAATCATTGATACGTTCAAGCATAAGTTCGTTGCCTGTCATACGGTTAGCAACGGAACACACATAGGTAGAACAGCGACCGACATACGCATAATATTCCTTTCCATCATCATAAGGGCGTGGCGATCCGTCATCGACTTCCTTGTTCAATGCTGCTTTTCGCGGGATCTTCCTCTTTCTCTCCCCATAGATCGAAGCGGAAACCCAAAGCAGCCACATGATACCAGCGATGATTCCATACGCGATAGTCTGACCCCGGCTTGGAGCAAATCCAGTGAATGCGGGTGCGTCCGATGCAAGAAGCAGACCGAGGCCACCATTAACCATGCCCATCGTGATCAGGATACGTCCCAGCCAGAGATGACCGTACGACCAGATAGTTCGGCGATTATGTTTCTTGAACTTGAGGTGATGTACGAAACCAAGGATAGGTTGGAAAAAGAGCAGAACGAAGACAATGATACCAATGATCGGGTGGTAATTGTCGAGCATGTTGACTGGTATGTTGTTGATCATCCAAACGCCGATACCGAATGCTGCGATGTATACGACATACGCAAAGAGTTGAAACAAGCCGTGGACAAGCCAAACGCCGCGGAATGATCCTAGTCGAATGAGGATCGATCCAACTGGGAAGAACAAGACAAATGCTAGGGCTGCCAGAACACCATGGGCTATGATGATCTTGTGTCGTGATTCCAATGAAAAACCGCCGCGGCCGCCGCCAAATGATGAGCCGAAATCGTTATCATCGTTGTCACTACCTCCTCCAGATCCATCAGGACCATATCGGCCACCAGGTCCGTATTGCGCAGAAGCTGCGGTCGCTACTAGCATTCAATTAGTTGGATCCTTAGATCCACAACTTAGTTCCATACCTAGGCTGAGCAGCATCGCTCGTGTGGTGGAAGTCATGATGAGAGTGTAGAGTGTCCCGAAAGCGACATTGACTCCACGTGGTGGTTTTACAGCTTGATAGAAGAAACATTGGCTACTTAATCTATTCTTACCTGCGACCCGTGGACCGCTGATCTTACAATATCACCCAGAACACAAGCCGAAAAGCCCCAAATCGATGAAGCGTGTCTGAAAATGACACAAATGACGTTGTTTAGACCACAAAACGGTCGAGCTTACGTGTTTCCGCAGCTTTTTCGAGTGTTTCGAGTGGTGGACATGGTCGACCTAGTCTGACTTGGGGTCGGGGTATATATTGGAGAGCCGAAAGTGAGATGTCGGCGAAACACAATGTGGAAGCTCCGACTCTCATAATGTGACGAGTGCCTCAGGCAAGAGAACTCGTTGACGTCGATATGAGATTAGTGAGGTTGTCCTGGAGGCCTAGGGTTCAGCCATGCTGAACACGTGATTGCGCGACGAAGTGTCTGTAGCCTTGCGCGGGCGCACGCGTCTGACTCGAGCAACTTGGCTCGCGTTAGCATGATCCTTCGTTCGCGAGTGTAGGCAGCGACTAGGCGACAGTTCTGCGAGGCTCTTCTTCCAAGGGGTTGCGAACATGGTCGTTGGTTGGGAGGCTAGACTAATGGTTAGTGAGGCAGATGACATGGGTCATGAAGCCTGTGCGGATGTCTCTCATCAAAAACTTCCTTCCATGTTAGCACCCTTAGTATAACGTCCAGGTTCACGTTCACCGTCTACTTGACATGGCGGTCGGCAACGTGATGTGGCATCCCCACGCAGCGCATCCCGTCGCCCTCGACCCCATGGCGGTCAGAGCGCAGTCGAGGTTTTTCATCCGCCTTCCGCGATCCTAGGTCGTCGCATGGCCAGGCACATGGCCGCCGTCTAGAAGGTACAAATCCGGCATGCGCTTGTTCGCAGTCACCCGTCACCGATATTCGCAGTGACCATGGCATAGCCCCAGCATTGAAGAGTCCCGTGGTCGTAAAGAAAGGGCAGAATAGCACTTCGCCACGGCTGTGCTCATCACGCGCGCGCCCTTTGTCCGTGTGAATGTCGTCAGAGTTGTGAGTCGAAGAAGCAAAAGAAGGTGAAACAAGGAAATTACGATGAGTGTTGGGCAAAGAGAGGTGAAGACTCTGCGGATTCATGAGTTGTGCATGCCCAGCACGAGGATGACTCCTGCAGGTCCCGAAGTTCGGCTTGGACCGCGATGCCTTCTGACCAATCATGCACGTGCACGGTTGTGACAGTGGGTCCGGATTTGCTGTCATCTGGGCTATGATCTAGCATCTTCCTTCTCCCCGTCACACCATCGCGCGGCTCTGAGTCACTATGCAGCCTACTGACATCCTTGACTTAGCTTGTACCTGCATACGTGATGCAATGTCGTCCTATGTATATAAGACTGGGTAAGTATCTTGCTCGTAAGCTTGACTCTCCTGAGACTATCAGCCGCCTTTGCGGCTTTTCGCCCCACCTCTCGCCATCTCCCCTCAAACATATCATTACTTATTTATATATCAACGAATACTTGGAATAGACGACATGGGCAAGCGTCACAACAGAAAACGAACAAGAAGCCGTCCTCGGAACCGCAACAACAATAACGACAATTCACCACCGCAAATCATCAATCACACTCGAAGTGAATCCGTCAGCACTACCTCTTCAACTCTCTCTGCAACAAGCTCCTGCTTCCATCCTCGAAGCCACCATATTGCGAACGCCACTGCGAACCACTGGCAGCAAACTTATACCGCATGGCAAACCCGGCTTCGCCTTCAGGAGGAACAGGAGCAAGAGTTGGAAACTCAACGACTCCGCATCTTTGGTGGACTACCGGAGGATGAAAGGACTTTGATGGAGCCGATGCTGAAGGTGGTCACGGATCTTTTCGACGGCTTCTACGACTATGAAGATCCGTGATGACTGACGCATTGGCTGTTTGCCTATCTCCACTTTTGCGCATGGTATCCATTTCAACGGACTACGCATGTATTGACGACGACGAACGACACGAATTAACGACCAAATCAATGATGACTCTGGTAGCCAGCCGGAGGCGTGGGATAATACCTGGGCACGGACTCGTAGCAGATCAGACAGTACCTGCGTCGGCCCAACTGGGTCGGCCCGCAAGCGCTGTTTGGTTGGTTCAATATTGCTCAGCCCTAGGACTCCGGCTTCACGCATAGGCGGCGGAAATGAAGAAACAGGTGGAAGAGATAGCTAGATGCACGCCTTGCACTTGTACTCGCTTGAGTCTCAGACTCGCGGGTACATGTAACAGGTTTGAGCGTCGTTGTCTCCGGAAATGGCGGGAAGAAACAAGGGACGCGCCTGCGTATTGGTGGAGGAGTTGTATTGTTTGGGATCATATGTGCACATTTGCAGTTTTCTGCAGGACAACCGGACGTCCGAGTAGTTTATCCATTATTTCTTTAATAAATCTAACTTTACCTTAAATTACTGCCCATCTCTACTCGTGAATCTCACTCTCTGCTGTCAAGATCCATCTAGAGAGTACTCTAACCATGATAGTTTCTTTGTACCACCCGAAGTACCACGGACATGGGTGCCAACTTTCAGTATAGCAGTGTTGACTTGAGGTGCATCAGGGATGAGTGATGCATACGAGGTTTATGTGGAACGTGCCAAAGATCTGTTCACTCAAGGAAGTTGGAATCTTCTCATCGCTGCGAACCCTTGGCCTTTGTTCATATGTGCGCAAGCGAAGTGATTAGATCAATCCATGGATCCACAGACGCAACGCAGTCTGCATGGCGACGCTACACGAAGGAGCAGAATGAAGTGAGACAAAGGCACCTAGGTATACCATCAAACGGCATGGAACAGCTCCCGATAATTCCCCCCACCGTGACAGTTAGCCTGACATCTACATAGCCTCCGCACTTTCCACGTTTGCATCATCTGGAGCAACACGACTAGAAGCTGGAAATAGGGCGATGAAGCGTTGTGGGCATCATCCAAGAAAGTCGGTCGATACGTACAGCCGTGCACCGCCGCGACTTAAGGTAATTCGGATTTTGAGAATGTACAACGATGACGCTCAGAAACCCGAGTTTACCAAGTTGGTCGCTGCCAGGGAGCATTAACACCCCCTTCACCACGAGGGTTTCTTCCACTATCAAGGCTACCTACGAGCCATCACAGTCCCGCTATCCTCATTATCGTGAAAAAAAAAACTACTCTAGTAAGCGCACCAGCAACCACTCGAAGCAGGTTCCCTTCCACCCCCTGCGCACCAACCCGACTGAGTGGTCGCTCTACTATCGTACGACCCTCGCCAACGGGTCACCCCACACACCATCCCGGCATAGTCCGAACACCGCGTTCTCGCTCCCATGTCTCGCCACCAACATTCCCTTTGCCATTCTCCGCAGGAATGCATCAGATGATGTAGACGTATATTCGGTAAATCTGACCAATCGTATTGTAAAGTTGCTGCTGTGTCTCGCGATCCCAGAATCCAGGCTGATATTTTTGGCATGTTGTCATAAGCCAATTCCGGGGTCGTGGGATCACGCAGCTTCGGTAGGCACCGAACCGTATCATCGTTGCGTTTGAGGACCTGAAGCAGGTGGATATAAGGCTGGTGGTTTTGCTTGACTTGGTTGTTCATCATCATCTTTCAGCCATAGCAATCTTCAGCTAGACAGTCACACCGACTACTATCGCATTCTCGCATCGCATTGAATCGCATATACATCAATACATCTGGCAACAAAAAGCTCATCAATCAACGGTCATCACTAGAGTCAGCAAGCCATCTCACTGTCAAGACCAATCCAATCCAACCCGCAACAACACCACCAACGATCAAAATGCCAGCAGTAGCAAAGTCCTACCTTCCCTCCTTCGCCGCTTTTCTTGGTAAGTCTTCCTGCCTCCAATCCATATGCAATTCCCTTTCATGTCCACCTTCCTTGTTCTTCTCACTCTTCTTTCACTCTTGTACGCAATAACAAACAACTAACATTTGTTCCAAGCCTTCGGCATAACCTACACAACAATCGTCGCAACAAAAGAAGGCGCAGCCGTCGACGGGGCACGAACACGCTGGCAAGACCAACATGCGCGCGCGAGGAATGCCCTCAGCGGAGGAATGAGTCTGGCAGACATGGAGAGGAAGTAGAATGGTCAGAAAAGCACAGAGTGGAGGAGGGGTTCTTCAATTCTTGTTTGCATATTAGGGATCTGAGAGGCGTTCTACGGTTGGATAGTGTAAACTCTCTATGGGAGAGAGCTTAGCAGTTTCTTATTATTATTAACGAAAACAAGTATCATTTGCACTGTTACAATACCTTCACTCCCCTCACTTCTGTTTCACCCACTTCCCCACCATCTCCAAGTATCAACGAACCCCCACTAGATCTTCCTTCGCTACCAATCTTCCATCTGCCATCTCCCGCCTACTTCCACATCCCTGCCTTTCACTCATACTTTGGATATTATACCACCAGGATACAGGCCTATAACACTATATGTGCTATTGTTCCGGGAGTCAATCATAGTACCCGACGCATGAACAACGCTTTAAAGAGGGTCGCGTTGGTGCAATGCGTGAATGGGAGGCATAAAGGATTGTGGAAAGTGACGTGTATGAAAGGAAAAAATAAATTAACGTCGCCGACAATCCGTATGCAGGGAAGACGGACAGGGAATGTTGCAGATACGGTAGAACGGGTGGTTAATATGGGTAAAGTGTGTAGGGCAGAGGACGTGGGGGCGCGACACCTGGTGGATAGGTGGAGGAATATATCGACGGAGGAGCGGAGGGCGAGACACACTTGATTCCTTCTTGTGGGTTGGTGGCTGATGAGTCGACATGGAGCAGGCACTACAATCGATCACGCGGAACAGACAATTAACTTCGACAGTGTATTCAATCCCACATGCACTCTACATGATGTCGGTTCCACTTTCTCTCCCTTCACCCCCATCGACCTCGGGGTCAAATATATCTACAAGAAAACCCATTGCCGTTAAACGCCGTCCAGAACGGAAGTGAAGTACGCTTGATACCATTGCACAGTACCGAGATAACAAAGGGAATGGAAAGAGAGAAGCCTACTCGCTGTTTGTGGCTGCATATGATCAAACAAAGGGAATCGTTACAATCATGTAGGACCAGTCTATCAAATAAAGTTGCTGCAGTATAGGCGCGCAAAGAGAATCAGAAAAGAACGACATGTTAAGCCTTTAGATTTAGCTATGAGTCGAGCATCGATGTGATATCGGCTATTCTTTGCATGACTGGGCTCATGGCGGCGATCTTCCTCTCCAGACGCTCTGCTAGAAGTGCCTCGTTGGCATCATCCGAGATGATTAGCGAGTAGCGTGCAAAGGCCTTCTCAGGGTTGGTGAAGAGCGCTTCTTGGTCCTCAATCGGCGCAGTGGCGGAGGGAGTAGATGAAGAGTAGTACAGGTCGTATTCAGCATCTTCTTCTTCTTCGGTCTCTTCGATAGCAGCGGCGGGCTCGGACTGAACGGGGCGCTCAATGACGGGGTAGTCAGCCTTGGCCTCCTCAACAGGTGAGTCGTCCTCGGCATTCAGGATAGCGCTGTATCCCTTGCCAGACATAGCTTTAATATCAAGGGGGTTGCTGGGGCCCTCGGGTAGCTCAGTGACGGCGAAAGCGACTGGTTGCTGGAAGCTGAAGCCGTTGTTGACACCCCAGTTGTTGCCGTTGTTACCGTTGTTGTTCAGGTTGAGCATGGCGAAGTCGAGTTGGGGCTCGGGGACCATGGTCATACCGACGTGGGTGTTCTCAGCTTGCGACATGCCGTTGAACTGTTGTTGTTGCTGCTGGAACTGAGCCGGGGCAGGAGCAGTGGCGACAGGTGTTGAAGTTGACGGCATTGAGGTCATGGGCGCCTTGGCCTGGAGCGACTCGTCGCGGGAGAGCTCCTCGAGGAAGGGAGTAAAAGCTTGGTGGCGGAGCAGGCGCTCGATGAAAGCGCGGGAACGGGCGTTCTCCTCCATGAGGAGGCGGTTTTGAGCGCGGAGTTCGTTGGCCTCGTTGACCTTCATGGCAACCTCGCCTTCGAGCTGGCCAATGTATTCTAGTCAAGTTAGTTGGCATTCCATAGATGGTGATGATCGTGTTAGCTTACCCTTCCTTCTTGAGCGGAAAGCGCGAGCGGAGACCTTGTTACGGAGCTGGCGGCGCTCCTTGGAGCTCAGCTTCTTGCCCTCCTCGGACGCAAGTAGCCTCTCGTCCTCGTCCATATCCTCTTCGTCTTTCTTTGCGCGAATGATGTGGGGGAGGAGGCCTTGGTTGTCGTTCTGCATGGAGGCAGACGCGTTCTGGCTGTCGGCCCGGATCTGAGCGACGACGCGGGTGATCATCTCTTCGGTGTGGGCGTCGCTGAGCGGGCTCGATGTCTTGCGACTGGCGGAGCTGGTGGAGGGCATGCGGTTCTGTTGCTGTTGCTGTTGTTGCTGCATGGCCTGCTGTTGCTTCTGGTGGGCCAACTGCTGTGCTCGCTGCTGCTGGGCCTGCGCCTGCGCCTTGGCCATAGCAGCTTGCTGTTGATGCATACCGGGCCATACCCGGACGTTGGCGACCTCCTCTTGTGTAATGGCGCTTGGGTCGACGTAGTCGTCGGAAGCATCGTTGAAGGCGAAACTGTTCTGGCGGTAGTCGACGCCCATGTTCATACCGACGTCCATGGGCAGGCCCGTGTTCCAGGCGCCGTCCATCATGGAGTCGCCGCCCATCATGGCCATCTCGTCCAAGCCGGTGGACGAGAACATGGGGAAGCCGGTGTTGTAACCGGCATTCAGGCCGGAGATGGAACCGGTGGGAAGGCCAGTCTGCTGCTTGAAGCGCTCGTACTCGTGGCTAGGCTTTGCGGGTGTCTGGAGGTCGTCGTCGATATTTGTGCTGGTGGGACTAGCCATGGTCGAAGTCGCACTGGACTCCCTCTTCAGCGTGGCAGGCTGGGTGGGCGAGGGCATCTGGCCAAAGTCGAAGAACTCATTGGGGTCGACGCATTGATTAGGATGCTGGTTGAAGGGGGCCATGGTCATGGCAGGCTGGACTGCGGTAGCCATGTCGGTTGTTGATTGTTTGGACCTGCTGGGGAGTCGCTGATCGCGTTTGAGCGTTCCTTAGGCAGGCGAGTGGATGTCTTGGGGGTGTTGTGTTGCGGGCACTGGGTGGGTGACCAGAGCGGTTAGGCTGCTGGAAAGTCGTCGTCAGCTCCTCTCTGGGCCGGTTCTGCCGGAAGTGTGGCTGTGCCGTTGGATCCGCGCCTCGTGGATTGAGCGCGTTTGTCGAAGGGAAATGGAGCGAGTGTTTTGGGTGAGTTAGAAAAGGCGTCGATGGTTGAAGATGGCGGATGTTGGATTGAAGTGTGTAGTGAGTGAGAGAGCAGAGCGATGGTATGGGAGGGATGGACGAGGCGTTTCACACTGAGGCGGAGTCCCCCTTCTCGAAATAGAAGGAAGCAGGCCAAACCCAGTTGGTCGCTCAATGCCGATCACCGCCCAGCAATCTTCGGCTGTTCCTCTCCTGAGCGCCGCCGGGCCATGTCTTCGGCCTTACCATACCGCAATAGTGGACACGATGCCAATACCTGGCTCTGTCTTTACCCCTCTCCACATCTGCCACGAGACCCAGCGACTGACGTAACGCTACTATTTTTTATTCACGGTACAATCACTACTCGAAGTCCCTCGCCGCCGGCATCCAAGGGCGTGGCAGCCAGCTGGGTATCCTCCGCACTCTCTCGTGCAGCTAGGCATTACGCACTCGATGCAAGGTCGGCGCATACTCGCCCGCTCCGATGCCTCGACACGCCAATCACGCCCTGCCATGCTGCACCACCACTGAGGCTGTGCTGTCATACTTGACTTTCTCTAGCCAATCTTGCGACCCCCGGCTCCTTTCCGTCCATTCACACTTATCCTGCGCGAATAACTGCCAGGCCGTTTAGCCCTCGAGCCACAACCCACCGGCTTGGTGGCTTGGGCGCCCATTCTGGCTGCATACCGACTAGCAAAGCAGGTGCAAACGACGCAGAGTCTCGATGCATCTCTAATCTTCAGCTTCTTACCAGAGGCCTCGTATGCACTTACCTGGCGCAGTTGTGGCTCACCCTCCGTACCACCGTCCGCCAGTGTGGCTACCCTATTGTGTACAACTGCTGCTAGTATTCTACGTCAGCATGTCTCTCGGACAACCTGCCGGCGCCAGTCCCGTCGACACATCCATCTCTGTCGTGCGCCAGCTTTCTCCCACACCTGTCAAGCCTGTCAGCGCAAGATTCTACCCGGCCGTAAATTTTGATCTACACTCTCCCCTCCCTCAAGCGGAGTCGGACTTGGGTTCCGGCAATCTCCGTCCCAGTCCCATGGAGCAACTCAACACTACCTGCTTCCCCGAATCCACTGGCCACGATATCTTCAATTCTTGAAACACTCGTCTTGAGTCAACAACGTCACAGCTGCCACTTCTCGACGTGCGCGGGGGTCCTGTTGTCCAATCAAACCCGCTGAAAACCGCTCATGCTTCCTGTCTAACTAGCCACCCATGGTAAGATGAAGACAGACCCTGCCTATCAGATCCGCATCGCAGGTACAGAGTCAGTCCACGCGATACCGATAATCGGCAAACTTCAAGCCAAGTTAGACTGCGCATCTTTCTTCAGCAGCAGAAATTTCGCGCTCGAGCAAGGCTGTACAAAAGACGCGTCACCAACATGCACCTGCACATGGACAAATATTATCCAGCCTAGACAGTTGCAAGAGACAACTGCAGGCAGTGCCATCTGAGGCGTTGAGGGTAATACTACACGCGGGCTTACACCGGTCTTGATTGCAAGGCCATGCCTACAAGTCTTTGTCAGACACAGCATTGGCAGAGATTATGCAAGGCAGAAAACCACTTGGCCGGCCTTATACAATCCATCATAGCCTTTTGATCTTCTGAAGCATCCAGCCTGCAACGATGAGAAATCAGATTTGCCGACATCTCCCAGTGTGCTATCTTTGGCGCCTCATCTGCGTCTCTCAAGTGCCATTCAAGAGGCCGCGTCAACAAAGGGAACCTCTCTTGTAGCCAAACTGCTTCTAATCTCCTGATGTCCTAATTGGCAAGCCGCAGCATTCTAGTTCGCTGCGCCTGAGTCTGTTTCTTATTCCCAGCGAGCCCCATGCCGCCCGTCCGCTTGGTCCGCGCACACGCACGAAGCATTAGGCAAACCATCTCCTATCCGCAACAGCTTCAGCATCGTCCTCGACAGAGGCTCGAGCACGCATAAAGAACCAAAGAGAATTGCAACCGCTTATCGGCCCGTCCCAAACCATGAAAGGGGTCTAGTCTAGACCCGGCTGCCAGACCTTCTCAGACCCTGACCCAATATCTGGCTGAACTCTTACCCATAGAGCTACAGAACAGAGTCTGTTTCACGGTGTTCCACGCCGAAGACCAGTCGGCCTATGCAGAGCGCAACAAGTCAAGTCTTCGAGACGGACCAGGCCATTCTGATGCGACACGCGTCTCGTCATGCTCGGACCCAGAACCAAAGGTCGGTGCACTACCTGTCAAAGTAACAGCAAGCCTCATGTATCCCCCCGGATCTTCAGTCTTGGTGAGCTTAATGCAATACGTCTGTTTCAGAGAAGACAATCTCAAAGTGGAACTTGGGTGAGTACTACGATGGCAACAGATAGTAGGTTTCGCGTAAGGTGCTACTCTACTGTTTACCGTCCGCGGATGACTTTGTTAAGCCTCATTTCTGAACTCAATCGTTGTCCTGAGTCGTGAAAAAGACTAGCGATCTTATCAAAGAATGTCAAACTCTATGGGTTGCACTGCCTACCTCGTCCAAGTAAGGAGCTACTCATCTATAGACCGACCCATTACATTGGAAATCACCAAAAGTCGGTCTTGCAAATCAATATCATGGTAAGTAGCAGTGGTCCAAGTTCTTCAGGTGGCGACCTGACACTGGGTGGTAGAACCCTTAGAGAAAAATAGAAGAAACAAAACTCTTGGAAGACAAAGTACCGATGGCATTTCATAATACATGGATATGCACAGAGCATCCAAGCTTTTCACCACTACCTATGTCCAACTTCGGACTCGTTGGTCAAGAAGCCATGGATATCCTCCTCATCCACGCTACCGGGTTCCCGCCCCGTTCCTGTAGTCGTACTGTCGCCACCATCCTCGATGACCGGCGATGGTTGCTGTTGCTGTTCGTACTGCGCACTCTCGGAGTCCATCTCGTACTGCGAAGCCTCAAGCTGCCGCTTCAACATACTTCCCTCCAGCCCCGCGACACCACCCCTCCCTTCACCACCTATGCGGTCTCCCATTATCTCCTCGCCAAATCCCAATTCGCGAACCACTCTTGTGAACATAGCCTCCCCCTTCCGATCCCCTAGGATACCGCCCCTTGCCACACCCTCCCCCCTAGCAACATCCCTCACAATAGTCTTCGCCCTATCAAAATCTCCGTCTCTTGCTAGCGCCTTGACAACAGCTATCAAAGCACCCCAACCAGGTAAGTGTTTCCGCTTGCTCATACGCGCGAGTACACTCATCATCTTGCCCACTTCACCGAAGCTCGCGTACCCCTCGAGAAGCCGGTCGAAGAGCACGCTGTCGCTGGGCATACGGGGTGCGCTGAAGAGACGGAGGACGACGTCATCAACGCCAGATATGTTAGGTGGCTCGGATTGGAAGTAGTGTGTGACGATAGACGTGTAAGCATGTACGCTCGGAATCAATTTTCTGTTGGCCATATGTTCCAGGACCGCGCGCACAGCGGCATGATTGGCGTATTTCTTCAACAGACGATCAATGGCCGTAGAGTAGATGTAGTCGTTCATTTTGATACCACTGGCTTCCAGATCGTCAAGCATCTTTAGAATGCGCGAAGTTTGTTGAGCTTCGGATAGGTTGTCAAAGGTTTGGTTGTCAAATGCGGCGCTGATAAGCATTGCGTGCGTTGCCGCGTCGCCCTCTAGTCCATCCTTTTCCATCTGCGAGAGGATTCTAAAGGCGGTGGATCTATCGCCTGCGTTTAAGTAGAGCTTTATAAGAGAATTGTAGGTTATGGCGTCAGGCTTGATTTGGAAGTTCTTCGACCATGTAAGGAGTTTCTGAACGAATTCTACTTTTTTCTCGTGGCTCATGTCTCTAGGACGGAACTGTACGATGGCAGATAGGGCACCGTTGACAACTTCGATAGAGGGTTTTGTGCATGTGTTGACTGCCTTGCTCAACGATGACTTTTTCGGACCTTTTTGTCCTTTGGCAGTCGCCTGGGCGTTGTTGATGGCATTCTCTGCTGCAACCCAGCGCTTGGCCATATCGTCCATTGCGACAAAGGCCTTGTTGATCTGCTTCAGAGACACCAAGCCATTGATACGCGTCGTCCAGGCATAGTTACTGGGCTCAAGACCAGTGTTCAACATGCGCTGCCACATTGCATTCAAGCCGTTGAGGTCTTTTGCTTTTGCGCAGCCTTCCAGAAGCGCCACCCAGGAATGCATGTTTGGCTTGACATTGTGGGCAATCATGTGGTTCCAGATCTCAACGGAGCGTTGTGGGTGGAAAACAGTCATGTACCCAGAAAGAAAGGCGTTGTATATGGACGGAGGTATGGCAGCAATCTTGTTCTCCGTGGTATATTGTTCCTCAACTTCTTTCCAAATACCGTCCAGTGCAGTCGCTGAAGTTTTGGTCTCGACTGCACGCGCTATCGTCTTCATGAAGAATGCTTCTAAGTTGGAGTACGCATCACCGGTGTTATCTGCTCCAAGAGTCTCACCACTTTTTCCGATAGCCACCATGGCTTTCCCGGGCACAGCATTAATCTCTCGAATGACTTGGTCCTGTACATCTTCCGGCAATTTTTTGAAATCCGGGCTATGTGTAAATATGAAAATCGAGTCTACAAACGAGCCGGCGAGTAGTCGTGTAAGAAAAGCCAGAAAAGGTGCGGCTTGCTTGTGTGTCGCCGGGTCTAACGCGTCCGAGATGTTGTAGAAGTAGACGGCGCAAAAGGCCAAGGCAGGACTCGCGACATAGTTAGGTATGTACCCTTGTAAGCGCATATTAAACTGCTTTTCGTCAAGCATCTCCGGGATTGCCTCGGTGCCTGGTATGTTCCATTCGGTACTAATCGACTCCATTGAACCATTCTTTGGTCCCACGCATTGGAAGAAAAGCCGCCATACGGACAACAGCTCTTGGAGCAGTGCATGAAGGTCTCGTTTCGCCCCAGAAGGTG